CAGATATCACTGTCCAAGTACAGTATCTGTGTGTGCAGCTGTCACTGTCCCAGTACAGTATCTGTGTGTAGTTGTCACTGTCCCAGTACAGTATCTGTGTGTGTAGTTGTCACTGTCCCAGTACAGTATCTGTGTGTGTAGTTGTCACTGTCCCAGTACAGTATCTGTGTGTGTAGTTGTCACTGTCCCAGTACAGTATCTGTGTGTGTAGTTGTCACTGTCCCAGTACAGTATCTGTGTGTGTAGTTGTCACTGTCCCAGTACAGTATCTGTGTATACAGATATCACTGTCCCAGTACTGTATCTGTGTGTACAGTTGTCACTGTCCCAGTACAGTATCTGTGTGTACAGTTGTCACTGTCCCAGTACAGTATCTGTGTGTACAGTTGTCACTGTCCCAGTACAGTATCTGTGTGTGTAGTTGTCACTGTCTCAGTACAGTATCTGTGTGTGTAGTTGTCACTGTCCCAGTACAGTATCTGTGTGTGTAGTTGTCACTGTCCCAGTACAGTATCTGTGTGTAGTTGTCACTGTCCCAGTACAGTATCTGTGTGTGTAGTTGTCACTGTCCCAGTACAGTATCTGTGTATACAGATATCACTGTCCCAGTACAGTATCTGTGTGTACAGTTGTCACTGTCCCAGTAGTGTCTGTGTGTATAGTTGTCACTGTCCCAGTCCAGTGTCTCTGTGTATAGTTGTCACTGTCCCAGTACAGTATCTGTGTGTGTAGTTGTCATTGTCCCAGTACAGTATCTGTGTGTACAGTTGTCACTGTCCCAGTCCAGTACAGTATCTGTGTGTGTAGTTGTCACTGTCCCAGTACAGTGTCTCTGTGTATAGTTGTCACTGTCCCAGTATAGTATCTGTGTGTATAGTTGTCACTGTCCCAGTACAGTATCTGTGTATACAGATATCATTGTCCGGGTACAGTATCTGTGTGTACAGTTGTCACTGTCCCAGTAGTGTCTGTGTGTATAGTTGTCACTGTCCCAGTCCAGTGTCTCTGTGTATAGTTGTCACTGTCCCAGTACAGTATCTGTGTGTGTAGTTGTCACTGTCCCAGTACAGTATCTGTGTGTACAGTTGTCACTGTCCCAGTACAGTATCTGTGTGTGTAGTTGTCACTGTCCCAGTACAGTATCTGTGTGTGTAGTTGTCACTGTCCCAGTACAGTATCTGTGTGTACAGTTGTCACTGTCCCAGTCCAGTACAGTATCTGTGTGTGTAGTTGTCACTGTCTCAGTACAGTGTCTCTGTGTATAGTTGTCACTGTCCCAGTATAGTATCTGTGTGTAGTTGTCACTGTCCCAGTACAGTATCTGTGTGTAGTTGTCACTGTCCCAGTACAGTATCTGTGTGTAGTTGTCACTGTACCAGTACAGTATCTGTGTATACAGATATCATTGTCCGGGTACAGTATCTGTGTGTACAGTTGTCAGTCCCAGTACAGTATCTGTGTGTACAGTTGTCACTGTCCCAGTAGTGTCTGTGTGTATAGTTGTCACTGTCCCAGTCCAGTACAGTATCTGTGTGTACACTTGTCACTGTCCCAGTCCAGTACAGTATCTGTGTGTACAGTTGTCACTGTCCCAGTACAGTATCTGTGTATACAGATATCATTGTCCGGGTACAGTATCTGTGTATAGTTGTCACTGTCCCAGTACAGTGTCTCTGTGTATAGTTGTCACTGTTCCAATACAGTATCTGTGTGTTCAGTTGTCTATTTGTACAGTTTTCATGGACAGTTGTCATCGTCCCTTGTCCCAGTAGTGTCTGTGTGTACATTTGTCAATGCTCCGGTAGTGTCTGTGTGTACAATTGTCAATGCTCCAGTAGTGTCTGTGTGTACATTTGTCAATGCTCCAGTAGTGTGTGTGTACATTTGTCAATGCTCCAGTAGTGTCTGTGTGTACAGTTGGTCACTGCTCCAGTAGTGTCTGTGTGTACAGTTGCCACTGCTCCAGTAGTGTCTGTGTGTACAGTTGCCACTGTCCCAGTAGTGTCTGTGTGTACATTTGTCACTGTCCCAGTATCATCATACATTGAGTGGTCATTGCCTCAGTTCAATATTCATATCTACAGATGTCATTCTCCCAGTACAGTACCTGTAAACACACAGTACATGACTAGATCTGTCATCGTCTCTTCACAACATATCTCGACATGAGAAATAATTCAATCTAAAGTTGAATCCAAACACAGAAAAACGTTAGGAAATTCAATATTTTTATTTGAGTAACTTTCAAACAATTACATGTGACAATATCTATCTGATAACAGACAAGACACACCAGTCACATGACAACATTCAACCTATCACACTGACGTTCTGTCATTCATTAACACACGCACTGTTCAAGTCACATGACTACTGTTTCCTCCAATCACAAGCCTTCATCTGCTCAGCTATATTTATAACAGCCAATGAAAACAAACCACAATGAGATATAATGAATATCTCTGATAACCAAACATAACGACCATACATAACAAGCATTTGACTAGAGACAGAAACTGTTGGATGAGCCAACTAAACATCCTGATCCCTGTTATATAAATGTAGCTGAGAAACTGCAAAAATCAAGATCCTCTTGTGTGGATTTTTAAGTATATGTTGTGATTCCCATGTTTATTTCATCAATGAAATTAATATATATAACAATTATTCCTTTTAAAAATGAACCAGGTATAAACCCCTATTATCATGTTGATCATTTATGTATTGGTTATACCTAGACCATTGTGTTTAAAGGTACAATATAACAAAAATCTGTAAATCCACATTTTTAGACGTCAATTAAAACATGTATATATCAAGAATTCAATGTTAAATGTAGTGCATAAAAAATGATAAATATTGATCCCATTGTTGGTGTCATCTAAAACATGTATATTAATATCTTCTGGTTGATGTAGTTAACTGAAATAAGGAACTCCATCAACATATTCTTATGCATGGATCAAATCCAATTATTAAAAGCTGAGATGGTGTAAATATTCCAGTAAGATAAAACATTTTCAGTCAATTTTTTTTTCAATTTATTTCCCTCCTATAAGTCAGATAAATTACCAGGAACTTATTAAACAACATTCCAATCAATACGTCATAACAGTAATCTCTCAACATTCATGGACAAGAATTTAGAGAAAATTGAAATTTAATGTTGATCATATATATTTGGTGAGGATATTCCTAATGAAGCAAATAAAGATAACCTGTTACCACTATTTCATTAATATTTATACCTGGGGACACAAAAGTTGTACATACTTAACTACTTTTTTAGGGCCATGTAACATAAAAATTTGAGTATCTTACACTTTTGAACAGATTCAGACAGAACAATAGCACCTGAAAACTACCCTATACTTTTAGATTGAGCCCAAATATGCAAGTTTTGGTGTGAAGCAGTTTTTATTTTGTTGGCTCAACTTTGGTTGGTTTTCTCCAAAAATCAATTTTTAGGGTTATGTACAGTGTATTGTGCTTAACAGTTCCTTCTATATACATATTTTTTTTGCATCAATATATTAGAATTTTTCATCAAGTATATATCTTTAAGCCAGGAACATCAGCAAAATAACATCTTCACACTGGTCTTGAGAGAAAATGATGACATATCCAAACACAAGTTTTGTTACACAGACAACTGTTTATATTTTGCACACTTAATGATGAAATAACAAAAAAATATGTTAAATTGAAACTGAAATTCTAGGAAAATTTCATTGTATCAATTTTCACAGTCAATATTGTGAAAATTTAAAGGCTGACTAAACGAAATCTGCATGTATTAGGACATTTACAGTTAATATATTTGGCATGTCTAGTCATTGGATAATGAGATCTACATCTTGTAAATAACTTAATATAATACCTATATAAATGTACAAACATCTCCTAGTTTATGTCTCTGCTACTGGTAAGACATACATGTTACATATACACTGCACTAAATGGAAAAAAAAGTTTTTACTTCTCAAAGTGGTTTCAATATGCTTTCAAACAAAATTAATGAAATTTAAGACTTAAGCAATGAGTTACAAACAATCAAATGAAAAGTAGTTAAATTCAACATGTGGTTTTAAATGAAAACAATGATTTATTTTTTTTTTAATAAATACATTTTCACACTGCATTTATAAATAAATGACTGTGATCAGAATAGAGGACAATATCTCATTCATATCAATATAAATGTGTTAAACTTGTAAATATACACAACTCCCCTGCATGGTTGTACCATTGCACCCATATAGTACAATATTTGTTCAAAAACCAGTGTGTGGTGGTGATTTTTCTTTCAAGTGATTTTGAAAGCTATTAAATTGAAACCCAATGGAAACGACTGAATTTACAAGAATTAAAATAATATTTACATGTATTTGAATTTTAAAAAAGGAGTTTTCTTTTTCTTCCACATCCTTGAAAATTACTTCATTTGGCTCACTTTCAATTTAAAATAAGGTTGTTTCAAATAATTTCTTCTTTTAACATTTGGAGGATAGAAATTTACTGAAATAAACGAGTTAATAGAATGAGAGTTTCCAGAAACAGCAAAAAACATCCATCATCTATGAAAATTAATCTTCTCTCAATATTGAAAATTGATTTTATAGTTAATATTTCATTTTTGACAATTTTTCTGAAACATTCACACATTGAACAGTACTATTTAAGGGCCATAGCTGTAAAACGTCTCACAAGCTATTATCTGATCCCGATGAGGAGAGTTGGGGAAGGTGAAAACAAAATTGTCACAACTTACAACACTTACCTGCAAATATCACAAAATGTCCATTTCATGTAATCACTGTATTCAGAATGAAAATTAAAACAACACAATACCAATTTTACTGTAACCTATAGTTTGATATGCGTTCATCTGTTGACAATGTACGCAATTATGGTTTGGCATGAATATAAGTGTTCTTTTAAATAACTTATGTGGTGATGACAGTCAACACTGGGGCTATCAATAATGAGATGAAGTTATCATGAAAAGTGTTTGTTTAGTTACAGGAGTGATCAATATCTGTGTGGGTGTGTCCAGTATTGGTGTGGGCGTGTCCAGTATTGTTATGGGTGTGTCCAGTATTGGTGTGGGTGTGACCAGTATTGGTGTGGGTGTGACCAGTTTTTGTGTGGGTGTGATTAGTATTGGTGTGGGTGTGACCAGTATTGATATTGATATGGGTGTGACCAGTATTGATATTGTTATGGGTGTGTCCAGTATTGGTGTGGGTATGACCAGTATTGGTGTGGGTGTGACCAGTATTGGTGTGGGTGTGACCAGTTTTGATGTGGGTGTGACCACTTTCGTTGTGAGTGTGCGGAGGAAAAAGAAACATTGTCTGATGAGCTGTAGGTAAGAACTTCCACACAATCACAAAGGAATGACAGAAACAAAGTTAATTCAACAAGAATGGCAGGAAATCTTCATGGAACACAATGTTGAAAGACTTGGGGCATTGCTATGTTCTGTGCCACAACATATTGTACACCTGTGTTAAAGTAATCCAGCCTCGTTTTACAAAGAAGATTTCTTGAAGCTGTCTGATATATACAGTTAAGAAATCACAAGAAAACTGGTAGTTTAATACATGTCACATTAACACAATTTGCCTTTTTATCTACATCCAATCCTCATACATACTTGTGTACTAGCATACCAAAGCACCAATATAATCGACCATTTGACTACGGTATCAATGGCATGCATAGTTGTACTGGTTTACTGCTGGTACACAGGTAACTCACACCAAACCTCACATACCTATTTCACTTTATACTGAATCACATTGTGCAGTTTTTTAAGATCACATAATATGTGTACAGAATCATGGATCAATAATTTAACCTAACTAATTCAATATTTTATCAAGACTTATATGTACATCCATATTTTGACATAGTATGTCATGATTTCTTGTTAGTTCATATTGCTATGACCTATTATGTGATGAATTTGGCAAGGTCAAATATTCATCAACAAACAAATGATGCCACAATCTATCTGTGATTAAAATGTTAAGAAGTCTAAAATCTGTTTTTTATAATAGTTGTATAGTTGTCATGGCAGCCATATTAGATTTCACTAACCAAAGGATTATTTCAAGAAAAAGTTTGATGTGAAACTCAATGATGGAACTCGAGATGTTAATATTGGGTGTTGGTTCAGAAAAACCATAATTGCACAATCATGTTACAATATGGCAACAATTGGCTGTCTTGTCAAACATTTGACAAAACCTAAAAATAATACATCATTGACCCCTTTCTTAAGCTTCCATGAATTTTCAGTTAAATAGTTCTAATGGAACAACAGAAGATGTTTTATATGTAGATTTCAAGATGATGATTATTACTGCAGCCATATTGTACTTCAGACCGACCTGAAAATAACACTTTGCCCACATCCTTTCAGACAAGTTTGAGCAAAAAAACCCATTGGTTGAAAGTTTATAAAAGGTGCTGTTCAGCAAAACCATGACTGAGCAATCATGTTACAGAATATTTCAATAAGATGCCATGCTTAAGTTTTGACAAGATCGAAAATTAATTCTTTTTCTTGATTTCCTTTCTTTATCATCTGGCCCACCAATGTTTAGCTTAATGGCACTAGTGGAGCTGGAGATAAAGATGGCAACCATATGGAATTTCTGACCAACATGTAAAACAACATTTGGTCTGGACAATCTTTGGATCATTTCAGGCCAGTTTGAGCTAAATCCAACAGGTGAAACTCCATAAGTTTAAAGTGTGAAAAATTTTGCACAGTACACAGTGACAGACAAAACACAATAGCTATAGGTCCTCCTGACCCTTCGGAACAGACAACCTAATAAATACATATACTCTGGATATGGAAATACCTTAGCAAGAGACTGGAATAAGTTTTTGTGTATCACAAATATTAAGTTAAACTACTTGGTGTTTTTGCCAGATAAATGTACAATGAAACCGAAACATTGATTAGTTGTCAAGTTTTATCAAGTTATATCTTTGTACAAATGATAAAAATATAAAAAAAAAATCAAATATGAGCAATTTTCAAAGTAATATGAAGTTTGTTTCCTAAACCAATGACTATGAAACAAAAATGCAGCACAAACATATAAACTAGATTCTTCCAGTTCATCACAGTACTAACATTTATGGTCCACTAAACAAAATGGATTTTCCACAAACATGGATATAGATCCATGCAACATAAAAAACATATATTTACCTCTATGGATTAACCAGGATGAGATTGTCTTCTTAGCTGAAGCAGACCTGTGAACATGATTACAGGCACAACAACACTTTGACAAATACATCCAAGTAACTTCCTCATCATCCGGAAGCTTTTCTGTATAAGAGCCAGAGAAGTAACAGTGATCAAATCTACACTGTGATAATACTTATAACATGTTGATAATCATCACACATTTGTTCAAAATATAACCGAACACAGTTCAAATAAAATATCAATACAATCTGATAATATCATATGGTGTCTGGATTAATTAGACTTAGTACAAACACCACATATAGTATCATCAAGCCAACTAAAGAATGAACCCAAATGTACTTTGTACCAGATCATGTTAGAAATGAATTTATAAAGATTCTTGTGTTTAAGTCAGGTCTGCACAAATGAATGTTACAATCAGTATAGGAAAAAAAACTGCTGGCACTAATTAATTAGGTAGTTAACTGATTAAAAAAAGACAAAGAAACACAACATACAAAAAATGTTTAAAAATGAGTTAAATCATGCTCAACCCAACAGAGTACAAAGTAAACTAAACACTATACAACAATAGTTTTGTCCAGTTGTGGATATTAAGAACAGCACAACTATGACTGCATTTAGTGCTTGAAGGGCTGATTGAATAGACTATTGTACGCTATCTAAGACACTAAAACAAACTGTAAACATCACAACCAAGGATGTTTTAACATCACATGTTCTGTTAGAAAGAAAATTTGTAGACAGTTTATTGAACACATGGTGCAGACACTATAAAAAATCAAAATGAACACTTTATGTAATGCAGTTTGACTGCTATGGCAAGCACACTGTGAAAGCTACATACCAAGCGATGAAGTACAATAAATTACATTAGTCATTTTAATAGTATCTGGTTATTGCAAATATCTGGTATTCCTTGTGACATTTTTTTTACTTTATCTTTTCAGTAAATGATTTTTCACCACTACCTAGCATTAATCATTGTTCCAAGATAACAGTAATGCATACAGATAAACATTCAACAATTTACAAAATCTTGACTATGGTAAAAGTGATAAGATCTGTCTTTTCCAGAAAACCTTTCGATGAATGATATTGAAGCAACTAGCAAAGTAATACTTAGACAATGGATTTGTGCATTAGGAAGCTGCATCCTTTATACTTTTATGTTTTTAAAAATCCTTTTTTAAAATTGATCTGATGTAACAAAAGAATGAAATGCTTTGGAATCTGATGAAGGTACAAATGGAGTGAAGTTTCCAGGAACAGTCTCAGAAGAGAAGAGGCATACTGAGGTGTGATGAATTCTCTTCGTGTACGGGATGCTTTTCTGTGAATGTCTGTTTACAGTCCTGAGACAGAATGTTGCATAAAGGAAGGACACAGTTATTGGGAATAAGGCTACCTGTAATACAAAAACAAACAGAACATGTCATACAAAATCATAAAATCACAGCTTCATATGGCAAAACACATCATATATCAAAGGGCCTGTTCGTAAACCGATATTTCACATGTAAGCAAGTGAATTTTCACCAGTTTAGCAATTTAGTTTGAACAATTACACTTACAAATTCGGCCTATCAAGTAAAATGGGAAATATTTATTTGAACAAGTTTCATCATCTGCATCTTAACAAAGGGGATGGTGCATGTTCTATTTATTCATATAAAATTGTTGAAAAAAATGTAGAACAAATTTTGGGTTGCAAACAAAACTAATTCTCAAGCAAGGTCAATCCAACAGCCTCATCTGTACCTGGAATTACTTTTTCAAAAATTTTTACTTACCAACAATTCTTTGGCCACTGTCTGTCCGTAGACGTATGATTTGCATCTTGGAGTTGGCTCCCCCTGGCATTGAAGCAAGGACTCCCTCTACTTTGCTCCAGACGCTGAGAACGGATCCGCTAAGTACATGGAATGTTCGACTCCTGAGTCCTACCTCACATGGCAGACCCAGACTCACCTTCTTACAGTTGCCCTTCCTGTAATTAGTTTGCACTTTAATTAGTCTACACTTCAAATACTGAATGTATTTTCTTGGCTCATCTCAAACTACATGTATACACAAAATTAGGATGTGTCACTTTCTGGTCACCTATAATTGACACTGCTAGAGTATATTCTGTCGATGTCCTAACTGTATGGTATGGTATAAACTATGAAACTGTTTCCTGTTTATATGGTTCAGATCTTGACAACGATTCTTTCAATTTTGTGACAACAATGTTATCTGTTAACTATCTAAAGTTGTTGTATTTTCCCAATACATAATAAATACAAATAAGGAACACTTTACAACAGAAAATTGTATTCCTATGAATTAAAAAATGCCTAACAACAGGCCATTAAAACAAACAATGAAAAGTCAAAAGGTCAGTTTCCTGTATATCCTGTTATACTGAGAGAATTTTGTCCACTCCTAAGTTCTGATTAGGTAATGGGGTCCTGTCACTATTATATTTAAGTTCCATCACATGGGAGACATTTCACACAGAACTATAAATGATGTATAACTACACAGTACCTACCAATAAGCATGACTGCAAATTTTTGCAGATAAGTTGTATTGGTCATCCCATATGGGCATGGCAACATCTGGAAGTACCTGTAAATGATACAATGTACACTACATGAACACCGCATTCTGTTTGTTTCATTTCATACAAAATTACCTGACAAATATACTGTAAAACATGACAAGATTGGGGACACTTACTAGTGCAGTTTAAAAAGTACTGACTACTTGAATGTATAAAATTTTTGGGATATCAATGGAGAACAGTGAGTAAGAATCAATAGAGATGGACAAGTACCATAGTACAGACAGAAAACGTACAAGGTTGGGCAAATGACCCTTTACCTTTCTTTGTCTGATCAAGGAATCAAAACTCTATTTAAATGGCTAGTGTGTTACCATGGTGCCACTTGATAATATGTCACATTTGATAAAACGTAAACCAACCCATACAAAAGTAATATTTTCATCTCCTGATAAAACCATCAGTTCCAATAATAGTTACTAGCGGAATTTAGAAACTGCCTAAACTACTGTACCTTTTTGTACTTTTTCTTGAGATTAGACAGAGCCTCTGTATGGACCTGTCTGCCAGTGTTTGGACGGTATACATTGTACATCTTCTCCTTCTTCTTACTCAGCCCGTAGTACACTGCCAGTACTGCTGTCTTCTTCATGCTTCTCTCCTACAAATTGAGATACAGTCACTTATCACAACGAGATCACTTACCAACTTCTGTGTCAAAAATTCATCTAACGTCTATTTTGTCAAAAATTCATCTAATGTAAATGTTTTTAATATGAGGCAGTCAAATTTTAGCACATTTTCACTTTTGAGTAAATAGACATAATGATAAATTCATGCATCTACACTAATAACTATATAATTAGCATTAAGAAACTCCAATTAGTTTTATTTCATTATAGCACACAATCTTCAGCATGGAAAACAACGAAAATAAAATTACTGTTATTTGCTATCTCCATTTACAGTATATTTTATTTTGGTAACAATGTATTTATTTATCAAGCCAACAATACCACATAATATGTTCATCAAAAACATAATGCTTTTTTCTACAGGCAAACAATAGAACTTAAACAAAAATGGATAGAAAACTTAATCACAAGATATATCAAAATCTAAGCTTACACATTAAAAATTATTGAAAAATGTGTGTTATACCTGTGTTGAGACATAAAATCCATCCTCAGAACCTGTATACTTCCTCCAGATCTCTGTGGCTCCAGTCCAGGACATACCCCTCTCCACGGAAAACTGAAAATCATAAAAATATAAAAATTAGTTAATTGAATCATATCTCAAATTTCTCTTCTTGCGATTACAAGTTGTAAGCCAACATCTTTCAGTTCAAAGATTCATGTCAACTAGTCCAAAGATGTTAAACCACACATTAACATTATTCAGCATAGTTTAGATTTAATATATAAATTTTATAACTAACTATCCTCATGGGTTAATGACAAATCTCAATCCAAATGATTTGCCATTTCCCTGGACTAAACAAGTGAACTCTTTACAATGAACAAGCTTCAGTGCTTGTGCTGGACTCCTGTTCTTTTTCAACACATACTTTTATGACATTTTACAAAGTGGTCTGTTTGTGGTAGCTGGTAACTACCATGTTGAACAACATGAAGAGATATGTCACATGCTATCCAGAACTTTTCACATTAACAACACAAGCACAACCAGACAAGACAGTGAGAAATCTAAGCTTCCAATTATTTGAAGTCCAATGATACCCACTTAATATCATGTTCCATTTGTCAGGGGGAAATGTGATAATAAGTGGAACATGACATTAACAGCTGACACATTTTTTCCAAAAGTGTAAACCCGGAAGTTAATTTACAGGTGCACCAAACTGACTTGTATCTAATAGAATTTTTTTGAAGACAATGAATTTGTAATTTGATTTGTTTTTCCAGTAAGAACAGTGATTTTCCTTAACTTTTGTTTGTTTATTCTTTGAAATATCTAAACCACTATCATAAATTATTGTGAACGATTATAAAAATTCATGTCTTATTCAGTTTACACGTGGTCAGATTCGTACACAACATTACAATGTGATCAGCCGATGTTTTGCCATATTTTTACTGTATAGGATTCATAAAATTGCCTCATAACAAAGATAATATATATACAGTGTGTATTTTTCCAATTCAAATCAAATTTGTTCTGCAGATCGTAACTCTGCATTGCATATATGTACCACCAGTATCATTGTATGTACAAACAAGATAATGTTGAACTTTACACAATGAAAAGTTTTGTTTCCCAATTTAATTTGAAGTACCATATATGTTCTACATTCACCCTAATTATTGTTTACTATCCGGATCCTGTAAAACTTACTGTGGTGAGTTCTGTCCTGGCTGTGTTTGTGGCTGTGTTTCCTACAAACACCCTCGACTCTAGTTTCTTTACACTTTCTCCTCCAGAACCAAGATCTGTAACAGTTCATAAGATATTTAAATAACCATTTATTAGCTAGTCAGTCATTAAGAGTTGAAAAATGATTGAAACTGGTAAATTAAAAGAAATAGTGATCAATATTGACTTGGAACAGGCCACAATTTACTTTTGAAATAAAATCTAACATAGTCTTCGGCTCAATGAGCATTACTTATTACAGGGAAATGATGAACTGTTGGTTTATATTTTTACCAAAACTACAATACGTGTGGATGGGCTTATTATCAGACATCAGATTTTTGTGTGATAAAAACAGACTATAACCTTCACAATCGTATATCCTGTATGGGAACCAAGACAAGGCAGATAAACTGAAAACTCCCTATTTCAAGGTCATCTTTTGAAGGTTCAACTCTATTCTAAGTATATCTGACAATCGAGACAGCAGAAAAGCCAATGTATTCCTACAGGGATTGATAGGTAGACACTGGGCAATACACCTGACTATTGTGAGGAACCTATGCAATGTCAACATGACAGGCTGTGATCTTAATTTCACAATAACAGTGCGCTACAGTTTTATATTTACCAAGAATGCCCATGTCCCATCTTCCATTCCTCTTGGCCTCCAGAATGATGGCCATCAGGGTCTGTGAGAAATGCTTGAACAGAGCATTCTGTAGAGCGACCTCCATACCAAGGATTCTGTTGAGGAATTTACTGATGTTGTTGTAATCTGAAATGCAAGAGATATTTGTAGAAGTTACTCATTATAAAAAAATGCTATGCCAATCAAATTCAGATCTCGTTTAGTAATGAAACATACAAACAGAAGTATGGTGAAAAAAAATCTGTCATTGTTATTAAACCTGACACCAAAACATAGGACTAGTTGTGCTGATGATGGCATAAGTCGACCATTCATATAAAAAAAACTCAGCGAATACAAGGCTTCTGATTATTGCTTCATTATAAATCTGATTAAAATGGCAAAGTAGATGTTGGACCGGATTCACAGGCAACATCATAATTATGATTTTCTTTTATACAAGACAATACACCTTTCATTCTTAATGTGTTTACCACATAATGTCATGAGAATACCAGAAGTAACACCACCATATCAAAACTTTTATAGCCATACTCATACTCCACTCCTTTTCATCAATCAATTAATTAATATGATCAATAACTGACACACTGTGGGAAATTTTCATCAGTGTGGTTGTAGTCATGCATAGTCAAAGTCCCAAAGATGTTGCTTTTTTGTTCACTATCCCCAATCATAGTAAGGAGTATTACAAGGGTCAGGGTTCTTGTATTAACATTCTTCATTTAATCACAACTTGTCATGACTTAACATCTACTCACTATGATATTGTACAAAACTGAATTTTAATTTAAATATTCTTGTACAACGGAACCCCATATCAAGATTTCAAATTATCCAAACGCATACAAGTCAAAATTTCACACTGATAACTGATCAGTGACCACAATGTAATATTTTCGTAGAATATTTTAATTTGTGTTATCAAAGACGTGCTGCATACCTTTATCTAAGATTGGAACATTAATTCTGTCATCCACAGTAACCACGCCAACTCCCACAAGACCCTTCCTGACATCTGGAAAACAAAACAGACATTCTTGTATGTAAATTAATACCATCATAACCAATGAATGGAACTATCACCACCATTCATACATAGAAGGCAGGTAACAATGAACAGTATAAACTTACCTGCATTAAAATCTCCCTGGTAATCTGAGGGAGGGGCAACCAGAGGACTCTCAAACCCTAATGATGATTTCATAACATTCTCCAGGGAAACACGGCCATACTGAAACAGTTAAAATACTAAATATAAAACTTGAAACTATAAAACTTTCTAGACAATTTCTTAAACACGAGATCCCAGGGCATCTTGGCACTCATTATTGTTTGGTCTTAAACGGTCCTTTCAAAAGAAGGATCTTTTCTCTTCTTTTCTATTCTTTCCTTATTTGCTCTTAATTGTATGAAATTTGTGAATTGCTTCAAAAAATTGTAATTATAATTTTTGACTGCCATATACAAGATGGCAGCCACACTAGTTATTTTATCTTTCTGTGATAGCGATAACAAACTTTCCTTATCAAATCCAAAATGGCTGCCATTTTATTTTTTTGACCAGCTTCAAAATCAAACAGGCACAACTAGGGACGATGGGAAACCTTCAGATGTTTGAGAAAGATCTGTCCAGTACTTCTCAAGAAATAGCAATAACAGAAATTGTTTACAGCTGGATGGACAGACGATGGACCACGGGCAAAGGACAATCTAGTTTCATTAGCAGACTTCATGTGCCCTTATCTTATTTACAGATTATTAAACGATATATGTTTTGTGATATTTTGTGACAATTTAAGTGTCAAATGCCTCTGCAAACTTAAAACACTATATGTTTTAACACGGATGATGTACATTTCAGAAAGTCTGACTAATTGGAGACCTTTGGTCAATTTATTCCAATCAATGCTTCATAAAGTCAAAACAAACTGTTTTCAGATTACGATACAAAATTGGACCTTGGCCTTTGATTGGACGATCTTTGCTCTCTGACTTATTGTTTAATTGTTGGCAACTTAAAAATATATCGAAATGAGATCAGTTTCAAAATATCATAGTGTATACCACGTTCAGAGACAAAAATATGAATTTGACTTGAAGTTTGAGGATATGTACCAATAGATATCATTGTGTATTGCCATTTACAAGATAATAAATGTTGACTTTCTAGATTCTGAAAAAGTGCTGTAGACCAAAACCTGATCAAAGTAGGATATAACATCTTGATAAAGTAATGTACTAGGTAGGAGGTTAACAACAAATGACAGCTGTATAAGAAATCCATTGATGGCCAGTTATCTTACCTTGTTATCAATGTTAAAGCGGCTGAGATCCCGTGATTCTGTTGCTCTTCTGTCACCATGGGTGAGTGCTCCCTGTTAAAACAATATCAATACATGAAAATCCTCACAAATCTTCCTATAATTTAATAATAATTTAAAATCAAACATCAACAGTATATAGTTTCAATAAATCAATCTGGTCACTACTTAGAGCAAATTCAAAGTATTTATCTGTCATAAAGTCTAGAAACATACGTTTATCAGTCATAAACACCTTCCAAAATAAAAAATTCTTAATAAAAGTGTAACCAAACTGTAATTCTCTGAAGTAATAAGATAACTTCTTCAAATGAAAAGATACAGATTACCATTGTCTACAGAAATTTCTTTCACTTCAATATTCTCCAATATCAGTCTAAAATTAAACACATTGTTCTGGCATCTCAAAGAGAAAGTTATTCTGAAGTCATTCCACAACTCCTTACTGTGAGTCAAGAGGTTATGTGTTGCTCTCTGACCTTATTCTAGGTTAAATAAACGCTCACCAAGCTTTCCAGACGTTTTGCTACAGTAGAAGCAAATCTCTGCTCTCCTGCTAGTTCCGAGATCAAAAACAGATACTCTGGGGCATGTACTTGGTTAGATCTGTGGGTGCGACCTGAAAATAAATACGTTACATTTGAGGTCTACTTAAATAATCAAATAATTTTCTTTAATATTTGGAATTTCAGTGTTAAAATGATCTGGAAATATAAAGCACTGACTGTAGGTCTTGGGAGAAACAGTGAATCAAGTGTATGCATGTATTCATAAAGTAGTTATGATATATTTCTCCCACAAATTCAATTCCTGGTATAATGCTATCTTACCAAACTGTTGTATAGCTCGGTCAGCACTCCATGGCAACTCCAAAGTGATATGAACACGCCGCCTTTGATTGATTGCTCGCCTATCAGCCTGGAGAGAGATACCTGAACTAGCTGCCTCAGAGATTATGGCTATATTCTGTTGGAGTAAAAAAAATCACTTCAATCCGTCAATTTGTGAAAAGGATTTTTTCATAAAATGTCTGATAATAAGTCCACATAGTTTTTGCTGTTCATAGAACCATGAACTAAAGGTGATTGAAATTGTCCTGTAATAAGCCCATCCACTGAATTTCAATCAGTAATAATGTTCCCCTTGCCATTGCAGTGTAAGTACAAACATGGTAATTAATATTATTTACCTTTTCACCATCCATAAACCTTTGTTTCTCTGTAAGGTTTAAGTATTCCAGTGGTACATCCGAGGCACTGCGTGACTCGTAACTGATGCCATCATCGGTACTGACAACACGTCCCTTCCTACCAGTCATCTATAATAAAACAAAGAGTCTCCTCATTCAAAGCTTCAGTAACAAAGCAACACTGTTAAACTAGTATCACTACGGTGGGACTTGAAAGATATTTGTTCTGGACTCAGCATATACATCCCTGTTGAAAATAAGCAAAAGAATACCTCCTATAAACCTGAAGTAATCAAAGATTATGAGTCTCAACTCTTATAACAATGTTGTTACAAGACAGGTTCTGTACAAAGTATTCTTAGATCTATCTTGATACATATTAAATATGCATGTCTGAATTATGTCATGACCAAATCCAAGACTGTCACTTAGCATTTAATTGGCTTTAAGACACCAAAATATTCCACTCTATATACAATCAAATATTTGATTAAAAAGATACATAAATTATTAGAGAATTACTAAGTCCAACAAGAGGTTCAATTAAGTGTAAAATTTGGGCCAGATCTAGACACTGTGACAAATAATGTGTAAAGCATTCCTGTTTACATAGGTCATGCAAGTTTGTTAAGGAAGCACTTGCTATTACTTCAATACTGTTCTAAACTTTTCTTCTCAACCACAACCAAATGCTGTAGGTACAGCATATGGCCCCCTAACTTTATTGAGGTGAGCTAGAAATGGCTTTATGAAGAAGTTACAATAACTAATTCACATAAGTTCAATATCAAAACATATATATAAATGACTGCAACCACTCTCCCTACAATTACTTAATTGTGCAGAGGGCAGGAGTATAATATATACTACAACCTGGTAATCATGTATATGATAACAATCAAGCATCATGATGGCTATCTAAAGAGGAATCTAGTCTACCTCTCCACTGTCACATTTTCTGTGCAACCAAGTTCCTATCTTACCCTTGCAACATTTTCTGTGCCACTGACTTCATATCTTACCTCTGCAACATTTTCTGTGCCACCAAGTTCATCTATTAGGTGATCTAGTAAGTTTGGAGGCAGTTTGTCTCCTACTTCTTCCAACATATCCAATAGTTCTCTTTTCATAGACACAGCTCTTTCCACACTATCCATACCAAGTACTGAAACAGCAACATTTTATGGTACAATGCTGAGGATTTTTATACCTTTCCTTTCAGAGACATGTACCTCTATCTTTGAGAAAATACAGTTATCAGCAGAACATTCGATTGTTATTCATGATCAATTTGCTTTTTTCCTTTTTTTTTACGATCAGTTTACCTAATAACCTACTTTGCCAGTAAGATTTGTTATAGTGCTGCTATTTCTCGTAACATAGATGATCACTCACCTGGTCAATGATTTGTTATTATATAAGCTTCAAGTCTGTTGTCCAAACCATTTAATATATTCATCAATAACAAAATTTGTGGTGATGAAAAGTTAAAAAGATGCTATCACTTCCTTACCTGGTTGGTTAGAGCTGTTATTGGTGGTGTTATTATTGCCAAAGTTGTTGATATTCTCTTTGGTACTAAGATTTTTCTTCATCAGACCGGCAGCTGCCAACTGTTTGTCAAACTCCTCATCTTCATCCATTTCCTTTCCTTTCTTCTTTTTCTTCTTCTTTGTTTTCTTCGTTTTCTTCCTGTTTGCTTTATTTTTCTTTTTCAACCATGGATCTGTATTCCATAAAATTGGCCATATAGATAAGCTCTAGGGCATTTTCATCATTATGTAACCATGTAAATTTGACTTATTACATCTTCTTGAAAGGCATGAACAATCAAAAAGGTCTAGACTATTATGATCAGTGCTCAAAAGGAAATAATGCTGGAATACTTTCTTCATTTTTGATTCTCATTCTACAATATGGTATGTTCTGGTATCTTTCAACCACTCAGAAAAAAAATCTTTTATACATGGTTTGTCCTGATTTTTCATACCAAGATTCGAGCAGTTTTCTCACACTTTTTCTCAGTTTTCCATGTGTATTTTTTGTCCAAACTTGCAAGAAATAGAGATTCTATGTTTTTACTTTAACATAATTAAGATAACAAAACAGTTAAACTTGAAAAATAGTTGATACTTGAATAAAACTTCAGCAGTTTTATAAGTGTTCCATTTTGGAAACAAGTTCCTTAATTCATTATCTTCTCTGCTGAAGAAGAAATGCATATTTACATCAAGAAAGTATGAAATCAAGTATTCCTGAGAAGATTCCAGCTCTTTTCCAGCACTGACCCTAAATTTCATTACTTCTCCAGCATTGACCCAAAACGCCAACACTTTTTATCCCCTGTCTAAACCATATTTATAACTAAGACAATAATGTATGCACAGAGATCATGACACTGCAACAATCATCAATTGACAAACTTGTGTTCTTGAAAGGTCAGCGGACTCCAAATTTCTTATTTTAAATTAATTATGGTAAAATATCTGAAGTAGAAGAAAAATAACACATCCAAAGAGCATCCATTTTACAAAATAAAAAAATACATTTTGCCCAATAGACAAACATCCTAACCAACTAACAATGCCAAAAATGACCTTTATCGATCACATTGTGTGTTATCATCGCATCAATCTATATGATATTTTTGGTGTTGTTTGAGTAGATCTTCAACACAACTGAAATATCAATAATAAATATTGTCTTTGGGTGTTCAAGTACTGGTTCCAACTCGCATCAGTATTTGTCATTACACCCATGTTTTGTGATCTGCTGCCAAAAATGTAACCACATATGTATGTACCTTTAACATGAATGAAAATAATTCTGACATGTCTTTCCTTAGTTTACATAGCAATTACACATTATTCATTGATAACATTTCAGATTAAAATAGCGAAAAAGTATGTTAAGTGTGCAAGTAGTGGTCAGATGAATCTAACGCAAACTATAAAATAGTGACAAGATTCTGGTTCACACTTCCTATGATGGTTCATTGGTTTAGAAAGAAAACTTAAGAACAAGAACACAAGAATATTTTCATGTGCAACATTTACCATCATCACTATCAGATCCACTGCCAAATGGGTTGAAGTCATCTACATCGCCCTCAGACTCTGAATCGCTGTCAGCTCCAAAGTCTACACTACTAGCATCCGAGTCGGACTTGAGCCAATCTGAGTCACTTTCATCAGAATCACTTGAGCTACCATTCCCTCTCTGCTTCTTTGCCTTTTTAGAAGTTTTTTGGTCTATCAAGGAAGAAGTATTTAGCATGATTGATGTCATCTTGAATAAAAAGTGATGGCTATCAGTTCTAATCCTTAATATATACAATATTCTGGTGAAGTATTAATTAACTTCTGAATGACATTGATAAGCTCTGTGCATTGAGTATCTATTCACCAGGTTTTTATCATTTTAGTTGCCAAATTAAAAAACTTGAAATTTAAACAAATTGCTGAAATTTAAATGGACAAATATTTACTTACAGGTTTAGAGCAAAGTTGGCAACTTTTACAAACACAAAACATTCCTGTGGTTTGTTATCTCATTGGGAGACATTACAGAGAAGAGTAAATGTTTGTGCACTTGGAGTAATATGTTTCAGTTTTCAAAGTCACAACACAATGTAACTTCATCAGAAATGTTAAAAGTCTTCATTATAGATTTTGATATAAACACTTTCAATCTTGAAAAATCTTTTACAGACAAAACTCTTTTTTTGATAATCTTTTCAAATTTTTTAAATGGAATTCCAAACTGACAAATTGATATTCATATTCTTACAAGTCTTATAAATGAATTCACCTTTTTTTCTCTTTTTGTTGTTGTGATTTTCTGGTGTAGGAGGGTTACTGTTATCAAGGAAACTGGGGTATCCACCAATTCCGAAAATATCAAAGGTTTTCCTTCGATCAGGTGCTGGAAAATGTTTCTCAACTAATGTTTGAAAAACACCCCTGCAGATACAACACATTATTAATAGAAACATACATGAGAATCTAATTTATAAGGAAATGACCACAATTCTAACATTAACTGGACTCTTTTCAACTTTAGAACTATAACTAGTAAAATTTGCATTCTTTACAGAGACACTGCCCTAAATCAAGATTCATAGTAACAAGGTACAAACTAGGCTGACCGGAGGTTAAAATCAATTACTGTTCCAGGAGAAACAGAACTTACTTGGTTGTGGATACAAAGTCATTCAGTTCTCCTCCACTCTCCTCCAACTGTTCTAGGGTTCTAGCTTCTCCTGTTGACTGGAGACCAATCACAACACACTGCAACATCACATAACAATAATGAACACTCCAACAAAATTACCATAGAATACCATAAAAATTAGCATAATCTTTTAACTTACTAAGACACTGAATCTTCCATCAGTTCTTTTCAATTTTAAAAGTCAAATGAATTATTTAATTAAAAAAAACCATCAGCATAAAAAGCACTAAATATGGCTACATTTAAGTTTATAGAACGGTTTGTTCAGTGTTGATTTGATCAGTTGCTTGGGTTATACTTTTACTATGTAGGTATCAGGATATTCTAGATCTAGTGCTTGCCTTGCCATTCCTGACAGCTTCCCTCGCCAGACGGACACAATGATTGACTTTTGCCGATATACACAGGTACTTGAAGAAGCGCTGATGTGCTGACCAGAATTGACCCCACATTGTCTTCTTCATCCTCTGTTCGGCATCTATCAGCTCTGCAGCTTTCTGGAATCTGTCTCTAGCCACAACCCACTGAAGAAAATGACCAGTAAGTGAGTCATCGTAACAAAACAAATCTAATGGCTGTACAAGTGGGCATCTGTGTCGACTCCCATGTAAATCAATTTTCTCAAACAGATAAACATGAAAATGATCAAAAGCATCATGAGTCTAAAAAAATCAATTGTTAAGTTATAAGTAGATCAATTTTCTCTGGAGTTCTATTTATTACAAGCAGTTATTTGGTTTGAAAGGAGTTTTGACATAGCAAAGGTAAAATCAATTCTGTCAATTCTACTGCTTATTGCAATATTCTACTCACCATCTTCACAGCATCATTGTACACTTCCACAAAGTCCTTCTCTAGAGGAATTTCTTCAATTCTGAAAGAGACGCCTTTGAAGCTAAGTTGCCTGGCAATGTACATGCCACGCAGTTTCATGTCCATAGCAACCAGTTCCATTGCACCAACACCCCTGCAAAAAATTGAATAATAATACTAAAAAGTAATAATAAAAAGCATAGTTTTTAACTAGAGAATTATTCTAAGAGATGACAGATGAGAAGTGATGTTTCTGTCTACACTGTTCTTTTTCCATGAAAACTGATTCTATCAGCTCTCCAGTACAAACACATATATATCTGATAAAACACTGAAAACATCAGAGATTCAATTTTGAATTAAACAGTTGGTTCATTAAATAAGTCAGAGAAGATAACAGGTCTGAGGTTGCAATACTATATTTTATCTGATTGAATTGCTGAAAGATTCTGTGCCTAAAATTTCATGAAAACATGAAACATCCTTCTGATCTCCATCATATACCGGACTTTGTCAGTTGATCATTTTTTATCATACAGCAGTTACTTTTAAACTTGGTATAATCAACAAAGAACACCAACCTCCGCTCCACAGCTTGAATGAAGTCATTAAATTCAGTGAAGGGCGTGCCTTTTCCCCACAGGCCAAGTCTTGTCATGTATGCCATGTTCTTAGGTTCAGAAGCACCTACAGGTGAAATGTGAACATGATGATTTGCATATCTGAGGAAAACTCAACAAAAACAGAAAAGGCCCCAGCGTAACAGATTTGCATCTGCTATATTGGATATCTGGATATCCTATTTGCATATTAATGTAAAAACTGATGTTGGATTTGTAATATGAATTGCTCGTTAGTATGCAATTAACTTACTCAATTGAAAATGTTGTTGTTTATATCTGGCACACACATCTGTGACTTTTGGTTTACAAAATGTTAATGTTCCTCTACAGTAAAGACTGAGACTTTATCTGACCAGAAACATTGATATTACTGTCCAACTAGGTAGAAATACAGGACTTTACCTGTGGCACTTGCATATACGATGCGAGCCATTGGCAGACGATTCTGTAATTCCAGCACTGTCTGTCCTGTCTTTGTAGGCTTACTACTCCCAACAGGACATAGATTCTTAGCTTTGTGACATTCATCAAATATAATCTGTAGACTGTCAAGGAATATCATCAATTCTTCCACAAATTATTGAAAGGCTAAACATATTGTAATACATACATTTGTAACTTTAAATGTGAGATATAACCAATCACATGCAAAACAATAAACACTTTTTCAAGGATGACTATCAACCGCCAAATTTGAAATTTTGAATACATTTTCCATCAAATCAGTGAAATTTGTGCAAAATGTAAAACCATTGGTCTGATAAGGGTGACTGTGTAGTCATGGAAACATCACACTCACATCTTCTAGTGGTTGTGTTATTAAGAACTTTAATTCTACTGACATTACATACCCGAATAAAATGTACTGAAATATTGAGAATAATATATTCAGTAATTCTCAATGCAAGGAAAACAAGAGCCGTCAAAGTCCAAGAAGGCTGTCTGTTAGCCAATTTGTAATATATGCACACAACTTGGGATCATATCAAAACGATGTTTTAATCAGCCTCACAATATACAATGCACAACCAGGGAAAAACATCGGAAATGTAAGAATGTCCATCAAGTTGCAGTAAAAAGATTAAACTGATGTTGATACTGATGGCAGTAATTGGAGAAACTGGAGGTTCTACAGTAGGGTGGCTTAAAGAAACACCTATAATTTATTATTCATTAAAATTTCAGTAACCTTACAATGCAAACACACAGTTAACAGCAATATAAATGTAGAATCTGATACACTTCAAGCTTTTCCACATCAAACGAATGTAGTATATGTATAGAAATATTTGATAAGGATACACAGCCATCAAAGTCCCTGCCACACCACTTGAGAAGCTGTTTTAGCCTTGTCTTGTACTTGCCACCAGATTGACTTTCTCCAATCAGGGAGGAATATGTAGCAAAGATAACGCCCTTCTTGACACTACCGTTTTCTTTCGAAGAGATCTTTGCATACTTAAACTGTAACACAGACCACACTTATACACAATTGATGATAAAATGACCCTGTTATAACTTTAAACTACTATAATCGAGTTAAATTATGTTGAAACACTGAACAGTAAAATTACTCTGTAACACATATTCATTTTTATCTTTATTTCAGCAAGTATTCTTTACCTTCATTATTGATATCTCATCATTAAGTAATAATAGATACCTTTTTCAGAATATGCACAGAACAAGTATTCAAATTCTGAATTATAGTTTCTACTTAAATTTCTTAAAACTGGAGAAGATAATATTTTTTACAACTTTAAAGCCTTTAATGAAAAGTCCGTAATCTACAGGTAACATCTGGACCTGATAATAAATATGGTTGTTTGTAGATAAAAAAAAAGTTTACCTTGTTTAAGGCATGTACTTCTATTCTTCCAGCTCCAATATCCCTCAGGTCTCGCTCGGCATCAACTCTAAGGTCATTAGAAACACTGAGCCTACAAGACAGATAGGGAGTCTAAACATACTATCTGTGCATAGTTAAAAGTTACCTCATTCCTGGTACTCACAATAACACGAGTTTAATTTGCTCTCGTATAAAATCTTATGTCAACAGAGTTTTGAAGTCACACCAAAACACTCAAAAACAGATATTTCAGCTTTTCATAACAAACTCTAGCTTATTCTTTATGGCTACTCTGTTTCCAAAATAGTAAAATGAGTAAAATTTATACTATGGAAAAAGTTTATCTGTTTTCAAAAATTCACACTAGCTGTATGGTGCAGACAGAAATTTCTATATTGTTGGTGGTGAATATATAGCTGCTAATTGAACCCATCTGAGAAACTTCATTATACTAGTCATTAAACAACAAATATTTTCATTTATACACTTATCAACATTCTTGGAACATGAAACACACCATAATGCTCTTTTCCTGCCCTGGATGTAGTTTTCATAAATTATTCCTGCAATAGTTCTACCTTTTCCGACACCAGCACCATCACCTGTAAGAGAAAAAGCCAAGCATGTTTAAGACATATAGTAATACATACATATACACTGTAAATTACACTACTGAATTCTGATATCATTCTGTTTTAAGATTTGATACAAGGCTGTCTGCCATTCAGAATGAGCCACACTTTTTTTTATTTCGAACAAAAATTCTATTGCTCCAGTTACCTGCTTTGATTTCCTAGAAACATGATTATGAAGCCAGTTAAATATTTACCTATAAGGAATCCACCTCGCTCTCCACAAGGTAGGATCATGTCGTGTCGCTGTGAGGCATACACAATAGATTCCAACTGTAAGGCAGAAAGGTCTCCATAGTCAATGGTGGAGTCGGGAATGGACAGCTTGTACCAGATGTCAGAGGATTCGACGCTGGACAGGGAACTTGTTTCTACCACTGGATCAGGATGTTTAACACCAACAGACACTGTGAGGAAAGAAAATACAAGCTTCATGATACTGCTACTCATGTACGTCTGGTAAAGGCGGGATTATGGAACATAAATGTTTTATCAGTGAACATTAGTGGAGACAATAGCCAAGATTAGGAAACTGATTTTAAATTCTTTGTGAGAATCAGCAAACGCAAATTTGTGCTAGGAGGTATGAGTGTAGTATATGTAAAATGAGGAGACTGATGTACATACTAATACTTAAAAAATGGTAGCAAGGAAAGAGGCAAACCTACGTTTACTAGGCATATAGTCGGCATACGTTTCTGCATGTCCAAGCTCTTCCACTTCATCCTCAACTTCTTCATCTTCCAAGAAGGAAGGTGCAGTCATTCCAGCTAGGCTATGCTAAAAGCAAAAACATATGAAAACTATGCTTATTCCATTTAAAAAAGAACAGAATCATCCTTTTTGGTATTTTTATAAAAGAAAATGAGTACCCTACTTTCTGGGTTTTACGTGGCATCAGTACAAAAGTCCAAACAGTCAAGTTTTGTCCTTTTTTTCTATTTGATCCACAAATAAGTCCCATCAGAATATAAGCTGCACCCTTTTTTATGATATAATAACTGCTATGTTTATCACTATCATTTTTGAAATGTTTGATAAAGTTTGCAAAGGAAATATGCGACAAATAATCCTTAATTTTATAGATGTATTTTGTAAATTATTCTGGTCATTTAGAATTTATCAAATATTAAACTCATTAGTATTGTCTACGCCCAGATATACAGTAAATAAAACAATCTCTCCCCTAAGTCTGTACTGTTAAATATAAACAAATCTCCCCTAAGTCTGTACTGTTAAATATAAACAAATCTCCCCTAAGTCTGTACTGTTAAATATAAACAAATCTCCCCTAAGTCTGTACTGTTAAATATAAACAAATCTCCCCTAAGTCTGTACTGTTAAATATAAACAAATCTCCCCTAAGTCTGTACTGTTAAATATAAACAAATCTCCCCTAAGTCTGTACTGTTAAATATAAACAAATCTCTCCTAAGTCTGTACTGTTAAATATAAACAAATCTCCCCTAAGTCTGTACTGTTAAATATAAACAAATCTCCCCTAAGTCTGTACTGTTAAATATAAACAAATCTCCCCTAAGTCTGTACTGTTAAATATAAACAAATCTCCCCTATGTCTGTACTGTTCAATATTAACAAATCTCCCCTATGTCTGTACTGTTAAATATTAACAAAGGCCTGTGGATGTTGACAAAATTTCTATTAATCCCATAATATTTCTTGTAAGTTGCATCTAAGCTAACAAAACAATGTCAACTTTTCTACAATTTGACCTATCACAGAATGACCAATCAATCCCAGGGTTCAATAAACTACTGTAAACTTCTGATGGCTTCTTGCAATAGCTTTGAAGTAACCACGAAAGTCGGTAATCAATGTGATTCATATTAAAAGGTATGACTGAAAAATTCTACGAGAATGTTTTTATTGCAATTTTCAAACCATACTGAATACAATTACATATGACTGTTCTACACTATCTGTTTCCGTAACAAACATGTGGTGGGCAGGTACTTCACACAAGTATATTAGCCGCATGCCCGACACACAAGGAAAACTGTTGCTACTTATAATCCAGAAAATATGGTATATAACAATTACTTTAAATTTGCAATATCCAAAACGTATATTGAAAATTACCTGAAGACCACCACTCATATTTTTCATGACTGGCGCAGAAAAGTTTTTCATTTTAAGATCCTCATTGGACCACATTCTTGATACATCTTTATGCGACAAATTAGTTTTTATATTAGCAACATTGGTCCCAGTTGAGGCACTACTTGTTCCACTAGAGTTGACGATGATATTGTTTCTTGTGGGCACAGTAGATGGCACCTGTATGGCACTGGACGTCCTTGGAATAAGTAGAGAATCTCCACTTCGCTGCAGTAATGATACTGCATTCTGAAGTGACCTTCCAGTTGTGCCAGATTGACTTACAATCTGTATTGGAGAATTGGCAGATTGTAGCTGTGGTGAAAATGAACGTTGCTGTATGTGGGTTGGCAGCCCAATATGATTGCCTTGGACAAGTTCCCCAATATTTGAAACCCCACTTGCTGTTCCAACCACACCCTGTCCAACCATACCCTGTCCAACCACACTGGGGCCACCAATGTTTGGTACACCAGCACCTGACACTGCCCTTTTGATAATAATTTTTTTGCCTGCAAAAGATCCTCCTGCAAGGCTTCCTAGAGTAATTGCTCCACTGTTCTGGGGTATCTTGATTGCGCCTTGTGCTCCCCCGACCCGTGTTATTTTGATGATACGAGGAGTTGTGTTCCCAGATGCGGCACTAGCTGCTTGCTGTATGGATATTGGAATGCTGCTTGGACTGGCCACAGAATTCTGAATACTGGACTTGGGTATACGAATCATTGCAGGGGATGAAGCTGGCCTACCCAATGTAGAATGAAGGGCAACTTTCTGTGGACCATTTCCAACCTAGGAACAATGAAAAGTAAATTTTTAGCATCAATGATTTAACACCGATACAAGACAAACATCATTAGGACTCAACAAAGAAAAAACAAATTACATTAAAGCTATAATCCTTTATACCAAATATATCGTAACCCAAGGCAAAAGGTTTATTCAAATTTTTGTACTTCCTGTTCTAAAAATATTTCAATGTTATTGCATTTTATATTCTTTTCTGCCATTTTGAATTTTTTTCAAATATCTCAAAATGAATGAGAAGTGAAAACTTATTTGGAGAACTTACTACAACATACCAAGTGCTGTTATAATAATATACAAATAATGAAACAAATGACAGTATACTAGTATACAAACCCTAATACTGCCAATAATTTTTTTTCATATAAATTTTAAACTTGAAACTGAGTAAAGGCAATCAAAACTACCATACTTCTGACAAAAAGTATGAAAAATATTACAGAAAATGCACAATTTGTTCTGCTAGTATTTTGTGACTAATATTTATGACAGTGTGGAGAACCTTTTTGGTCTTTCACTCATGGAGTCAACATACAATGTATACAATGCTCACATAAAAAGGATACATCTGAAAGATTGTCACGTCTCCCTGTTGCCATTCAATGTAAAAGTAACGTCAGATATGGTGGCAATACACTAAACAAACCATTCCAATTGTTTTATAAACATCACTGAGACAATCTGTTTACCTGACTAGGTTGGGTCCCAACAGTAGGGATGACTTGGGAAGTAGATGCCAGTTGTTTCAAGGCATGAGAGAACACAGCTGACTGGCCCACCTGGGTTTGAGGAATGGCACTCCCATTCCATGATGTCACAGGTACTGTGACTGGTTGATTCTAAATGATACAATAAACAAAAACTTTATCAAAATATTAAAATATGTAACATGTTTACATGTCTGTCCTGTACCAGTGTCATAGCAAGTGTGTGGAATGTAAGGAAAAGGAAGTTACACAAGTAATTACATACTCATGCCACCCTGTGTTTGTGTCGTATAACTGCACACTCATCAGTCCTCTGTCACTATTCATAATGCTGCCAAACATGATGGAGGCAAATTGAATCCTCTCCTGGTCTCTGGTAGGTCATTGAATGATGTACTTTGTAAAATGTTTAATATATTGAGTCTTGTATCACTATCAGTTTTACTGTGGTAATTCACCTTTTGCATGTAAAAGTAAATGCCAGATAACTACATCTGTTCAAGGGATAGTTTTGTATTTTGATAGGTTCCTGTATATACAACAGCTGAATGAAACTCTTACTGAGATCTAGCAAGGATTACAAGTAACATTCCAAATAGATTTTTATTATTTCTCGAGTTTTCCCACTTATCTGACAAAGCTGTTAACATTGTAATTTACAATCTTATTATCTCAGAAATGTTATAACAAGTATTTGTGTGTATATATTTAGTTCATGCAGGGTTTTCCATAATTTTGTTAGTAGTAGGCTGTGTAGTGAAAGTAGGAGGCTGACCTGTCATGTACGTGTAGTCGTGTACGGCGACCAGCTCTTATGGAAAACCCTGTCATGTAAAGCAATATGTGGCTTTGTATAGCTTAGTATTAAGTGATATATGTGATATCAATTGTATGCAAGATTACATAACCAAAAATATCTTAATTTTTTACACAAAATCTTAGCTTGCCTTTGGTACTTCTTGATATGCTACATGGTTGATAGGTTCGTCAGCAACTGGTTCGTCAAAGTCATCAAAGTCTCCTAAGATTCCAGATTCATCTAATGCAGCTGATAAGATGTCAGTGAAGGAATTCTGAAAATCAGAAAAAAATATAGCCATCAAAATAATTTTTTCACACATCATTATTCTATTGAAGTTAAATTTTGAATCATTCACAAGTTTCAATCACAATACTTGATGTAAAATTTTAAAAAAAGATACACTGAAATAAGTCGCTATGGAGATAGATGATCCATCAGTGAAGTAAAACCCTTTTCACAATATTGATGATCATATTTTAACTACATACTGTAATCTATTAAACCTGTGGTTTCTACCTCGATTACGTTATGTACTGAAAGAAGGAATGTAAAGACAATTATTTCATAATTTTCTTGAATTTCCTTGCAATTCAGCATATGTTCAAACAATTTGTTGTGTACAGGATATCATCATTAATATTGTGTACAAGTGATTTTCAATTCCTGGATAATTAATTAAGCGAGGTCATTTGCAAATGGAGGGATAGGTTGAATTATTAACATAAAGTCTTCAAAATTGTTTTCCATCCCTCCTTAAAAAGGTTGTGTAAATTGACTTGTGATATTTTACACGTTCCATAACCAAACACGTTTTATCACTATTACTAAACAATAGTCCTTCATCGAAACGACTCATAATATTGGCGAACAACTCAGTTGACATCATTCATAACAAAAACTACATCCGAAGAAACATTGCAGCAGCTGATGAAAAAACTTTCGGTACATGTTCAAATGAAAAGTTCCTGTCGTTCGAGAAATGTTCGGAAATTTAGTTCCAAACGAATAGACACTGTTTCATCATTTCATACCTCAGCATAAGGCATGGCCGATGTCCTTCAATATTAAAAGTTCTACGGAGCCACAGTAGACTTTCCTACTCAACGTGTAAACTAATCTGAAGATCTGAACATACACAAATGAATAATGATCTAAACAAGTGATTTTCACTTCGCAATGGTTTTTATAAAGACATGTCATCATGACATGATTGCGAAATCATGATGAGACACTGACGAATATGCGTTCTTCGCTAACGAAAAAGAAACAAGGAAGGAGCACATGGGTACCAGTACTAAATAATGTTTAACCCTTAAGAAGTTGGAAAATAATCCATTTTTGATCATCATTGAATGCGTGGTGTATTTTATTGTTAATGAAACGACATTTCAAAGACCAAAACGCCTTACATTCGCTTCATTGGCCATCACTTGAGACACACGGCCGCACAGCTTTTCATTGCTGATTCGACTCCACCATACTCTTCATTACCCAGAGTTCCGTGCTGTGTGACGTCGAAGTAAAAGTTTCATTTTTTGAACCAATATTTAATTTTTTAAAGATATCGCAAAAGTTTCCTAGTAAGTAAATCAGATATCATTTAATTGTGTTAAGAAAAAACTGGTACTTTATCCTAAAAAGCATCGCTAGTTCGAAATTTTGCGAGACCTCCAATTGACCAATCAGAGGACGTAAACAATCAGACGAAATTTTGGAACCAAAAATTTCAACACGGACTCGCGGGACATCAAGGTTTACTTTTCAGGTATTAAACATTTTCACAATGACATGAATAGGAAAATATATGATAAAGATAAGCATGTTATTATTTTATAAATTTGTAAATATTCATAAGTATGAAAATATGAAAACGAGGATACACTGCATTGACTCGGTGTTCAGGCCTGATTTATAAACAAGCTGAAAACTTTTGTTGATGGCCAAGCGATTCGGGGCAAAAATATCTTCAGCTTGCTATAGCAGTGATGCCATGTACCTCAATGATATGTTGTCTTCATTAAGTTCATTTTGCTGTAAGAATTGGGAGTGTTAATATACATTGAAGAAATGCAGGATGTACTTGCAGCGAGAGTGACCTCCCTTACATGAAACATGAAACAGCCCCCATAAAATAGTGTACATGCAAGTTATAGGTTTTATCATACTTGTTTTGTTACAAGCAGATGTAAACCTTTTGACGCTATACGTAGAAATGTGATGTGCTATTTTGCTTACGGTTCGGAGGTCTTCCACACGATTTGTATTTAAGCATTTCCAATCCGTATACACAGACATGACCGTAATTCATATTATATCCTTTAGTTTTCGAGCTGCTTTCTGTACGTCATATGAAAATATGTCTTTAGAATACTCTTGGAATGAAATGTATATTTCATGTTTTTTTTATATATATGTATATTTTTATATGTGAACGTTACATGATGTTTAATGCAATATTATTTTTGTAGGAAAAATGGCAGATAAAGAGGAAACGCCTAATTCTTCTCCCCAGACATCTCGAATCACAGATTATTTTCCAGCAAGTCCGAAGCCTCAAACAGAAAAACTGAAAGGTAATACATACCCTAGCCAACCCTTTGATGTAACACATTTTACGACATGAATCCTATCATTTTTGTTGATTATCATTTTATGCAGACTATCTTGTTTTACCCTTTTGTGATTAAATATATTTTCATAGTTACAACTGATAATAGTGCTAATAACATGTTTATATTTTGTTTATGGTAGCATATTAAAGATTAATTTACACTTGTAGATTTTTCAACCAATGAATATGTACTTTTCAACAGATATTAAAATAAAGACAGAAGACAAACAAGTTAACAAGGTTATTAATGGTCTGCTAACACCTGAAGCTTCTCCCTCGAAAAATGACATATTGACAGTCGTTGTGAAAGAGGAAAAAAGTGATTCGGACAGCCAATCCAGTACTGACCTTCCTGCAAAACAGGTTTATTGATACTTCAACTATAATGTCCTTGCACTGTGTTCCCACATACTTTTATTTTATTTCAACACACAACCCATAATCTAATTAGGAAATGAAAACATATCTGAGATTAGATGTCTTTGGTAAATTTCAATGACTGTTTAAAAGAGGCTTTTTGACCAAAGTTAATCTACATGACAATATTTTTATAAATTCTACAAGATCAAAACACTTTTTAATATCTTTCGAAGACATTTTCATTTATGCCATTTTGTATGGATAATCATTCCAGCTTCCTAACATTATGATAAATATCTAGGTTTTACTAGAAAATGGCGCAGCAGTGAAATCAGAAAAAGGAAAGAAAAATAAAAAAGTATCTGATTCGACCACAACCAATGGCACAACACAATCTACCTCTAGGAAAGGCAGAAAAAAGTCCTCTAAAAAGTAAGTATCATTTGTATATTGACTTGTCAGGTGAAAGGAAATGGGGACCTGATTGTGAAGATAAGACACATAATTATGTATGCATAAATCTTTTGGACATAGTAGATTGTACCACAGTTATATTGATGTCAGATAATGTAAAGGGAAAGATGATGTCCAGGAATTAGTTGTATATCATTATAATTGGAGTTCATGTATCTAAGGATATGTCTTTTGGAACTTGAATCTATGATTCTGGATTACAGAAATGTTGAACAAGACCAACTTAACAACTCACTAGTCACTGACTACTTCCCTGTACGTAGAAGCAGCCGACGATGTAAATCTGATATAGAGGTAGGTTCCATGCACCTAATCCTTCACAAATTTCACTAATCATCACCTCTAGATTTTAGAAAATAGCAATTTTGTTGGCTGTGAGTAAGTGCCTTTTTATAATGGAGATGTATTTAATCTTCTTTAATTTGAAACTAACTTCAATTCACAAAGTGCCATGTGTTGCTATTTTAATAACATTGTGAAAGTAAACCATTGCCAATTCAATTCAAACATTCATTACTTCCATATAGTGTAGAAAATTGCATTTGTATGGCATAGAAATTTAATCTACATTAGTCCTAGAACTAAAATAGTTCACGTCACATGAACTAAAGAATATATTGTAGGTAGAAAAATGAAATGTATTTCAGAAAGAAGTAATGACCGATATTGAAGACAAAATCTTGAACAAGAAAGAAGAAGGATTAAAGGTAGGTCCTTTTCTTTCATTCTTGACAATCTAATGAAGGGGAAGACTGTAACAGCATTGATATTAAAAATCTAGCCATCACTTATGTTACAAGTTATGGGTATTTCATTTCACTTTATGATGTTCAAGTGTAGTGTTTGCTGAAATTGCTTCATTTTTATTTCTCCTTGAAAACTACTCTTATAGCAGTCAGATGCACTGTTTATACAAAGCAATGTTTCTTCCCCAAAAGATGCTTCAGATGAAATTTTGGCAAGATCAAATCATCCAACAGAAGAAAAAATTATAGAATTTGCTCAGTGTTCCTTATTGGTCCATGTTCCTCTCAACCCAGGGAGCCAAAATTGGTTCTTTTCCACCCAAGAATGCTTCAGACCAAATTGGGACAGAATTCAGGCTTTCTTAGAGAGACAAATTTGAAAGAATTTGTTCTATTTCCCTAAATGGGCCCTGCCCATACTGTCCCCAGGGTTCACCACCCATAGTTTACACAGAATTGATTCCCCTTCATCCAAAAATGCTTCATACAAAACTGGAGCAAAATCCAATTTTTCCTGCAGAAAAGGAGAATTTTATTTAAAGAATTAGCACAATTTGCCCTATTGAACCCCAGGGGCCAAAAACCAATATTTTGAATCAAACTTGGTTTCTTTTCACCCAAGAATGCCTTGGACAAAAATTGGGCAAAATTGAATCTTATCTACAGAAGAATGAATTTAGAGAAATGGCTACATTTTCACTTTTCAGGGCCAATATTTATACTAACTCGGTTCCTCATCCCCCAAGGATGCTTCTGACCAAGTTTGGTCAAAATCTGTTCTGCCGTTTATGATGAAGAGTAGCGATTTTAGGAAACAGGACTACAGGTGCCTCACCATGGAATAAGCTCACCTGCTGAAAAGCATGAGCGTTGTATAATGCAACTAGGTGATCAGGATAAGAATCATCATACATGTCTAATTTATTTTCATTTTTGGTTGAAATATACTTCTCACATTTAATACTACAGTAATGCTCTTCACTGTCAGTATTATACTGCTGTTCAATGCATGCATGCAAACATGAAATAATTCTTCTTCATTGTTATTATTTTTTCATCCCTTTGTTTTTATTTGATTATAGATAGTGGAAATGGAAAACAAAGGGCGTGGCATTGTGTCCACAAAAGCTTTTAAGCGTGGAGACTTTGTGGTGGAATATGCTGGTGATTTGATAGCACTTTCTGATGCCAAGGAAAAGGAAAGAATCTATTCTGAAAACCCAGAGACTGGGTGCTACATGTATTATTTTCATCACAAAAATAACAGCTATTGGTAAGCCATATCAAATTTTCAATTTTGGATTCCATTGAAGTCCCTGATATTGGGTCATGGGTCAAAAGGAAACAGACTATCAGGCCATTGAGCCTCATCTCATTTTAAAGATTACTTTGATATAATTGAACTTTCGTGTTAAGTTTGGTGTTGATATTATTGCTGTAATCTTACATATTGTAGGGTTAAGTGCTGAAACTTTTGTGCTAAAATATGGTTGCACTAATTTGGAAAATGGTGATGAGTTAAAATTTACTGGCACAAAATTATGTTTTCAGTAATTGAAACTTGTATAGATAGAAATGAGACATGAAAATTTTTTGTATATGTCTGCAGTATTGATGCTACAGCGGAGAGTGGACGGCTGGGACGACTTATCAATCACAGTAGAACTGCAGCAAATTGTCGCACAAAGCTTGTGGAGGTAAACAACAAGCCCTACCTCACCCTGGTTGCCGCCAGGGACATCCACCTGGGAGAGGAACTTCTGTATGATTATGGAGACCGCAGTAAATCTTCTGTAGAATCTCATCCCTGGTTAAAACATTGATAAGTGTATCAGCATTACACAAAGAAGAGTGATATTTGCATTTATTGTTAGATGGAAATAATTTGTAAAAGTGAGACTGTGTTTTTAAGTAAGAATGAAACTTGGTTGTGTGAGATTATATGAATGAAATCAACAGTGGACAATGGATTTTTTCCAGCTATTGATTAATTTTCAAATTTTTTTTTTAATAGAAATTTAATGCAGAAGTATCTATTAATTAACCTCCATACAAGTTAAACACATTAACATTATTCTTTTGACAGTTGCTTGTTGTCATAGAAAAAAGGGAATAAATTTTTTTTTTTACATTTGATAGAGCACACAGATTCCCTTTTTCGGTGTTCCAGATTGTGATTTGCTGAACATTAGTCAGTCAATAGTTTGTTAGAAAGGTTTAAGAGTTGGGTTTTGGATGAAAGTCTTAAATACTGTAATTGTGTATAAAATTTTGGCTTTAAAGAAAGATACTATGAATTATTGCTTCCAAATGAGTTTTTAATGCATAGTACAAATGTATTTATATGAATGTATGATGTAAATGTAATGGATGAGTGTTGGAGATGTTTACATGGCAACAATGATGAAATTGTTTGCTCAATGCTGTCTCATCTACAATATTTGATTAAATGACAGGGCTATGTATTTTTTATTTGTCTCGTCTGAATCTTGAAATGGTTTTAACCTCATCAAATATAAGCAACAGAAAAAATGAAAATAGTGAAAAAAAATCCAAGAAGTCTGGACGATAACAAGATAGTGATAGTTTATATAAAAAACAGAAAGTTTTATAATGCTAATAAGGAAGAGCACCAACACCATTTTATAACATATTTTAGAATTTTAAAGTTTTACAATACAGTGTACTCCAAATATACATAATTTGATGTATTAAGTTTCAACTCATTATCACTTTTTTGGCAAATTGAGTGATAATTTCATCTATCCTTACGGTCATTGCTGTATAAATAGTAAAAAGAACCTGCAATTCATTCATGATCCTTTCATATAGGATCTGAAATGAGAAAACCATTTTTCCAGGAAAATTTCAACAAATAGGAACACTTGGTACCCTTCTTCTTAAAAGAAATATAACTTTAAAAATTTAAGGAATTCAATATTGTAAAAGATCTTGTGTAGTATTTTGCATTTAATTATATGATCTGGTTGCATTGATGGATTTAAGAACTCCTTATTATATGATTTGTTACACACCAGAGCAATTCTATATTAAGCACATTCATGTTATTATAAAAACATAAAATGGTGGTTAATGGTGGAAATTTGATATTTTACTGCAGACAGATCTTGTATGAATCATATTTAAGTGTTACTGGTCTATCAATATATATGTGGTATCTTCAGTAATTTCCTTGTCTGTGTATTAAGTTGAAGGATAAAAGGCCAGTTGTAATACTTCAATTATTTTTGAGTTGTGATATCTTCAGTTTGCAGCTATTAAAATGTATAAATACATGTGTATCTTTAAGATGATCATTAAAAAGTTGAAATTAGAAATTGATGAAATATGGATAAAGTCACAGTATTTCTTTTATTTGTCGATGATTTGCATAGAAAAAATGTTGAAACTTTGAGTTCTGTATTAAAGAGTTTTTTTAGGACTCAGATCTCATATTTTTGCCATAATGTCAAGTTTGCAAAACAAACAAAAAAGAGAGATGACAGACACATTTTCTCCAGGGTTATTTTCTTTCGATGGTACATGTGTCTATTCAAAAGTATATTTCTATTCCCTCCTTAAAAATTCTCTTTATCATGATTTCTTATGCATGAGAGTTTGTAATTATCATTTCATATTGTTATTGGGATTATGTAGTGATCAGAAAGTGCTTTTGTTCAGTCATTTGGAGTTTTGAGAATGAAAATCCAGCAGAAGTTGTAAGGGTAACATCGGTCGGCATATTTGTCCCTTTTTTATGGTTTACAGATGAGCGTTCTATCAGAAATCAAATATAAGGTTTAATTATTAATTATATCGTGTACCTATCATTTACAAATGTTATGTGGGCTACTCCTATGACGAAAAAAAAAAAGAGATTTTTTTTTTCTTTTAGTCAAATTGAATGATGCTGTAATAAGGTTTAATATGAGTTTGGTAATAGGTTTTAGAAACAATTTACGAATAAGATTTTAGTATTTATACATGATAGGTTTGTGAAAATGTTTGAATAAGATGAGAATATGTAAAGGCTAGTTGATCAACATGAACTGTACAATTTATATATAGAAAGGCATGCATGAATTTTCCTGAAAACATTTAAACATTTTACTCAATGAATTATCACTAACGTAAATGGGTACATTGTTTTCCTAATTGCTGCTTGATCTTAGGGGTGTTGCTTTATAATTACTTCCTTTAAATTACAATTGATTATGAAAAAGTTTAACTCACTAAATGTGAATTCAACAGGCCTTGTGTGTCTTGTAACATACTGTTGTTGTATATATAATAATGTGCAATGAATTTTTGAGGTGCTTTTGAAATGAGTTGTTTAGTCACATCATAAAGTATCTTACCCCAAATGAAATTTTACAGTTGATAGGCGATGTAGTAAAGTGTTATTTTGAGAAAAACCTTCAATAACTTGAGATGTTCATGGTAGCTCGAAACAATAAAACACAAGACTTTGCTAAGTAATGACATCAGTTTTGACTCAAGTGTTAAAGAAAAGTCTGTTTTTTTTTTTAAATAAGTAACTGATTCTGCAGCGTAAAGAAGTTCCATGACTAATGTCAGAATGTCTATGATGCATCAGCTTTATATGATCAGAACTTTCAGTCCTTTATTTCTTGACCTCTTGGTTTGATAGATTTCAGTGCCAACGAACTGGAATTTGTAAAGGTTTTAACATGAAATGTCCATACAAAAAATACTGATTTTAATGACTTAAAGAGGAAACAAATTCTAACTACCGCTTGTGTTCAGTGGCAGTCATCACCTTTTGTTTTATGGTGACAAAATTGCCTTAAAAATTGATTCATAAATGTCATGGAAATAAAAATAACTTTTTTTTGTGATGCAGTATTGCTTTATATTGTTTGTTTTACTTTTTTTTCAAATGCAAATCATGATTTTGTGTACCCATTTAATATGTGAAAGAACATAATAGTTTTAATACAAAAATAGCTCTTTAATTTTTCTTTGTTATTATTTCATACATCTTATCATTATCATAACAGCCTATCCCATGGAAAGCATGCTATAATTTCTCCGTTCTGTGTTAAAACTGCAATAACTAATTTCAGCCACATCATCATTTTTCCGCATTACAGATAAGGCACTAAAACTATATACATGTAACTCCATTTTAGAGAAGGTGCTGAACTATATACATGTAACTCCATTCTACAGAAGGCACTAACTTTGTATATGTGTAACACAACTCTTTCTCATGTAACATGTGCTGGTTGGATATTTGCCATGCAGTCTATTAAAATGGTAAAAATAATGAAAGTTGAGATGCAAGAAAAACCTGTGGTATGGTATATGTAATAGAATATATTATGAGATAACATAGTTTTGTTTTATCATTATCATTTAGGAGCACAGCTGTGATGTAGATACAATATTCAACTGCACAGGTCAAATATTGCATGCCACGAAAGTCTCTGTGACTTATTGCGATCCCCTTTCGTGCGGCATCATGTCTTGCAAACTTTTAACATTTTCGACTTTTGGAAAACTCCTTAACAAATTTCAATGAAATTTTTACAAAAAAATCTTCACTGGCTTAAGGCGCACCAAAATTGTAAATTAAATGGTTCCCAAGCCCCAGGGGCATGAGGAACAGGGCCAAAAAGGATTAAATTGATCAAAACTTCAAATACACTACCCTTCCTAAAGACTTAAATACATTTAAACTAAATGTGGTATGAAACATCATTGTGGATGGAGAATCATTTCTTAAATTCAGAAAGTTGATTCGACCCCTAGGGACTTGGGGCCCCAAAAAAGGAAGTTAAACAATATTTTACTCCAAAACGCTACTCCTTAATGCCTGGGTAAATTTCAACCCATTTGGGCCTGAAACAATATTAGGAATTGGCAATATCATACATACATGAAGTGATACTGAGACTTCATCACTGTGGTCGAAAATCCAACATAATTCATCTAGAACAAATAATCTGAACCACTTCTCAAGTTTTATTCAGACCAGTGAGAACATTTTGAGTTTGATTTGCCAAGGAAAAGAGAGATGATTTTGTTATCTTTCAGCTTGATCAAAACTTCAATATGGTAATCACAGTAGCCATTTTGTAACATGAAACTTTTTCATGAACATAACCTACCATTTACAAAGTTTTTGATACTTATGATAAATGTTCAAAATTTGAATTCCTCTGATTTGTCAGACCACCATTAGCCAATTCTTTGGTTTGTCCATCCATTCGTCGATTGTCAGATGATCGTTAAGGGCCATGGCCCTTTAGCTCACAGACAAGGGACTTAACTCTCTAAAATCGGGTCAAAATGCAAAAATTCCTTCAAAGTGCACATATGGTATTGCAACCTAAAATTTTCTGAAAATCCATTGAAAACAGAGCCAATGCATTGCTGAACAAATTGTTTCTACAGAGACAAGCTGATTTCATTATACCCCCTCTAACTTTGTTGCAGTGTTATAATAACATATTATTATAAGGACACCTACCACATAATTTAAATAATTGATTGAAAACAGAGGGAAAAGGCAGTAATATAAAAGTCTCAAAAATGTCATTTTACTACAATTCCACCTCAATCTGACTAAAATACACATAACCTCATAACACTACATAAGTCAGATTGACTTCACACTTTCTTAGGAAGAATTGTGACCCTCTCAGAATGATATTCACAATTTGGAAAGTAATAAAGACCTGCCTTATTCAAGATGAGCATTTTTATTCTACCATATCTGGGTTATTAGACAATGTTAGTCAAATTGTCCCTCCCCAGGCCATCAGCTTGTTCCCAAAGACCCTTCCTTATATGACGTGTCATGGTCTGGAAGATTTCATTGAAATTTATGTGAAGAAGTAATATTGAGACTGCTCACTTAGCCTATGCAAAACCTCTAGATGTATCTGCTGCATATCTTTCCTGTGACGAGGCTGGATCCTATAGAAGAAGGGTCTCCTTGTAGTAGCTGGTGCCTGTCTAACCATATAACACAGACTGGTGAGTTTCTCCTCTCGATGAGAAACACAAACCATGACAGATACCAAGCGTCAATTCATACACTTAGGTTACACATAGGTCACAATTTACAGACTTGGCCATCAAAGCCCCAATGTAATGGGGAAAGATGACAGGCATGTTTATTATTAAGTGTTGGAATAAGATCACAATACACCAGGTATGACATTATGTTGTGTATAGATAACAAGAGGCCCATGGGCCTTAACGGTCATCTGACAAAAAGCAAGCCAAACTCTAACAACAGTGAGTCTGCCGTTAAAACAGTGGGCTTTATTCATTTGAATAAACTTGGTAGCCCTTCCTCCCAGCATCCTACAGGCCCAATATCAGCACTCTGAGCCTTTTGGTTACTGAGAAGAAGTCGTTTACAGATTTTAACATATTTGAACCCTGTGATCTTGAAAGTGGGTCAAGGTCATTCACTTGAACACATTTGGTAACACTTCCTCAAAGCATCCTACAGGCCCAATATCAGCACTCTAATCATTTTGGTTATAGAGAAGTCATTTCCATATTTTAACATATTTAACCCCTGTGACCTTGAAAGTGGGTCAAGGTCATTCATTTAAACATATTTAGTAGTATGTCATCCCAGCATCCTACAGGTCCATTATCAGCACTCTTGGACTTTTGCTTATTGGAGAGAAGTTGTTTGTATATTTTAACATTTTGACCCCTGTGACCTTGAAAGAGGGTCAAGGTCATTCATTTGAACAAATTTAGTAGCATGTCATCCCAGCATCCTACAGGTCCATTATCAGCACTCTTGGACTTTCGCTAGTTTGTTTATTTTAACATATTTGACCCCTGTGACCTTGAAAGTGGGTCAGATTCATTTGAACAAACTTGGTAGCATGTTTGTCCCAGCATATTTTAACTCTTGGATTTTGCTTATTGGAGAGAAGTTGTTTGTATATTTTAACATTTTGACCCCTGTGACCTTGAAAGAGGGTCAAGGTCATTCATTTGAACAAATTTAGTAGCATGTCATCCCAGCATCCTACAGGTCCATTATCAGCACTCTTGGACTTTCGCTTATTGAAGAGAAGTAGTTTGTTTATTTTAACATATTTGACCCCTGTGACCTAGAAAGTGGTTGAGGTCATTCATTTGAACAAACTTGGTAGCATGTCATCCATGCATCCTACAGGTCCATTATCAGCACTCTTGGACTTTTGCTTATTGAAGAGAAGTTGTTTGTATATTTTAACATATTTGACCCCTGTGACCTTGAAAGTGGGTCAAGGTCATTCATTTGATCAAACTTTGTAGCCTTTCCTCCAAGCATCCTACAGGCCCAATATCAGCACTCTTGGACTTTTGCTTATTGAGAAGTCATTTGTATATTTAAACATATTTGACCCCTGTGACCTTGAAAGTAGGTCAAGGTCATTCATTTGAACAAACTTGGTAGCCCTTCATCCCAGCATTCTACAGACCCAATAAAGGCATTCTGGGCCTTTTGCTTATTGAGAAGAAGTCGTTTGTATATTTTAACATATTTGACTCCTGTGACCTTGAAAGTGGGTCAAGGTCATTAATTTGAACAAACTTTGTAGGGCTCCATGCCAGCATGCTATGGGCCAAGTATTAGCCCCCTAGGCCTTCTAGTATTTGAGAAGAAGTTTTTTGAATGAATAGTTTACGGACGACGCACGGCGCGATGGACGAAGCACGATGGCTATAGGTCATCTCGACCCTTCAGGTCAGATGACCTAAAAACATGAAAAATGATGCAACTAATTTGATCTTTATTTCTTTAAGACATTGATATTCACAAGAATTTAATAACACTTCCAGCATGTTGTTCCAAATGAATTCCTATACTTTCATATGTGATCTGGAACTTAAAAACTGACTAATGAATGTATTATTCTTTTAAATATGCAATACTATTGTACATCTAAACTTAGTATTATAATATTACACAATACAATACATTCGACTATCAATGCAACACTTATCACTGAAAAAAATTCAGGCAAGAACACATCCTTGTTCTATACATGTAATGTACGAGTGCCAAAAAAAAATCAAAATGCAATAATGGTCTCCAGTTGAATACTCAATGTAGATTTCATCACATGAGTGAAAAATATTGATACAATCAGGAATACCTAGACCATTTTATTTACTAGTAATTGACAGGGTAAATGGGAGTTACTTGTTGATGAAATAAGCAAAATCATGAAAAGTTATGTATTAAGACATCACAAATAACATACTTAAATTACAACTGGGCAGGAAATTGATCGCGTGAATTGAAAATATTGATCAATACAGAAAATCATATCTCTGAGAAAAGAATCCTTTCCAAAAATGCAACAAAATTTGCGCGTAGATAACATGTTACAAACAACTCATACAGTTCTAAAAAAGATATATCACTCTTTCCATCAATGTACAGTGAAGTAGTGAAACTCATCATTTTTCATCCACAAAGTCCTTCATTTTAGACAACAAGTTTACATAGAGATGATGGTCATATGTTTTACAGAATTCTCTCATGGCTGCAATCATTTCATCTCCAACTCCTCGACTATCAAGTAAGTCCATCAGTTTGTCATAGATTTGCTGAAAAATTAAAATTTCATCAATAAGAAATATGACAGAATGACAGCAAGTATGCATCCAAATCAAGGTTTAAACTAATTTCAGGTGTCGAAGTATTTGTGTGTAAGCTGTTTGTCTTATTTACTTCTAGATGTTAGATGTCATCCGGCTATACTTGGTACATGTTTTGATACCAAAAACAAACTGATACTTTTAACACTCTACACATTTTTCAATATTTTTGTATGCATCAAATTAACATTATTTGACCAATGAGTGCCTTGGCAGATCTTAAGGGACTCGAGTTTTCCTGTACTCCAAGCTGTTTCAGAGACCAGAAATCTGACATGACGTTTCAGCATAAAAGGGAAAGGATCTATGACATATTGAAGTGGGGATAAGGCCATCCCTTAGTGCCTGATGAGCAAGGACTATGTCAGAAAAAGTTGATGTTAAACATGTTACCAACTAACCACCTTCCAAGCAAGGTCCACAACATACAAGTATACACAGTAGTTAACATTTCTCAACCAGATCACTACACTATAAATATAATGCAGAGATCACAGACAGATCAGTCTATAGTATTTACCAGTGTAATTACACAAGATCAAGTTCCGTCACAACTTTTTATTACATCAAACTTGGCTTCTCTTTTAAAGAGCAATGTGACATTGACACAGCGAGACTTTGTGGAGTTCTTATGATTGTTTAGAACAAAATTCCAGCATCAGAGCTGTCTTACTTTCTAAATAACAAACCAATTAGACATATGAACCTTCATGTGAGTAACAGTGTACCACCTCTTAGTTAAGTGACTGTAAGCAACTGTTAAGCAAAAGAACTGTTAAAGTATGATAGTACTTGATTTCAGCCTCGTCTTTATTTTTAAAATTCTACAGCTCCTGTCTGTCAGTTTTCTGTAAATGCTGTTAAACATTTACAATGTGTTCCTATATGTGCACAATGTACATTCATTTGACCTACCCCATCCATTGTCTCTGCAAACATTGTATAGGTACCCTCCTTCAGCTTGCCTTCATCCATAGTCACAGATGTAATTTCAAAAGCATCTGCTGTAATAAAATATTTCATTACTGAGTAAGGTTTTTCATTTAAAAAAGAAAATGTAATGAATCCATTTATCATCATGTAAGATTAAATCATAGTCTTTAATTTTATTGGAAATAACAGCAAACGACCTTGACCTAGAATACGCTATATTTATTGGTCTAATTTAAAAAAAAAATTTCACACAGTAAACGTTGCATTGACCTGATTGTACATGTAATGATAATCCCTTCCCCCTACAATCGATGTTTGGTTCTGTTATGAATATCAATCAAGTCCTGAAATAATACCATCCCCAAACCCATCAACTCGCACACCCCTGTCAGAATTGGATTTGTATACTCTATCAATCTGGCGTATTGGGGATGTTATATATGAATATGGCAGAGAGTGGTCATGACCTTTTCCTTTGAACTAAATTAGCATAAATGAAACCCATTAGTCAGCGTAAGGTAAATGACAGCAGCATCTTGAACACCTATGTTATGTAACAAGTCCAATATTACAGATATGAGTACTGATACCAATGTCCAATACTGAATTCCATGAAACACTGTGAGTCTAAAAACTTTTTCAATGATAAGACTAGCCATTTAGCATATCAGAGGCTGCAATATAAAGGTCTTGTTACTACATACACTTGGCTAATCATTTCATGATGCTTTCTGCTCTTGTATTTTTCCCTCATATTTTTAATAAGAACTCATAAGTAAGAAAACTCCATGAAAATTCTACAAAATGACCTGTACAACTTACCTACTTCATCTTCCTTTGCATCAAGTCGCTCATTTGAAGGGATAATTGTACATTCCAAGAACATTATTTTACCTGTGGACTTTTTTATTTCCACATTAAAAGGTGGATCTGTTTCAATCTGAAAAGAATCAATTTTCTATCTATGAGTTAACTTTTCAATTTTTTTTAAAATTTGTACACCTGTACCAATTTAATGAGGATGTTTCCTGTCAATCTGGTTAGGTGCCTTACTATTTCTGAGTAAGCACAACTTGCTAATGTCTTTCACATTGACACTTATGACAATGATATAGCAGATAAGTATATGCCAGTCAGATTCGTATCATGTAGATAACTTTTGTTGACTGTTCCACACAAACGTACAACCAATACCATGTGATAACATATCACAATAACTTCACATGTACTCAGTATGTTATGTTGAGATTTATTTAATGATTTGAGTTTTACACTGAAATGAAGATGCTGGAAATTGTACAAAAAAACAGTTGAGCTTTTATTATCAATCTGAACTAGTGAACAGTAATAACCATACTGTATTTGGGAAAAAAAAGGACCTTTATTGCTCTGAAAAGGAAAATGGTAAATATGATATTAACAAGGAGAGTATTAACAGCATTGGGTTTTTCAAAAGGTGTGTAAAAATAATAAAAATACCATTAAGAAATGTTGATCATACAGCAACATATCCATGTATAAGTCATAAACAACTGATAAAAGCTTCATGATTACCTCTCCTTCTTCTCCTTCACCGTCTAAATCTTGCTCGCTTCCCGTGGCATTATTCAGATTAAATGTAATTGTAACACTGAAAGACAAAAAAAAAGCAAAACTCTTATTCACCAATGACATCATGACATTGTTATACTGAGCAATGAGCAATGGAAGCTTACAGCAAATCACAGCTACACATACTGATTGTGTGTTCAAACCAATTTATGATATACCATGTAACAAGGCACCCTTAGCAACATGCATAAATTAAAAGCATATCTGAACAGATTAAAATCATTCTATGAGAAAATGTAACTGATTATCTATTTTGGTATGCAATATAAATTTATATTCTGTTGTATTCAAAGACAATTTGAAGCCAATCATGAAATTAGTTCTAATATTTCTCACTTGAACTTAAGGAACATGTGGGTCAATTTTTGACATTAATAGCTTTCCTCCATTTATTTAATATATGATACAGATGGATATATATTTTTACCAAATGTTAACCTCGCCCCCTAAATCATCTTAAAAAATCAACAAAATATCAGGAAAGGTCCAAAATATCAGAAAAGAAATACATCTGTTTCAAGTACTCAGGACACAATTATATCTTTATTAAGGTGCATGATATTTTTTGCTAAATATCAAATACAAAAAACTCTTGATACACTATGTAAATGTACTGAACAAACACTGATATACTATGTAAATGTACTGTACAAACACACACTGAGTATAGATAATTTACAATGAATAATTGTGTGGTACATAAGGCACTTAAAACCAATCCAGACATGTACCAATAAAATATTCTAACAAATGTTGTAATACAACAGTGTAAACACTATCAGTTTCAAAAGTAGAGCCTTTTAACATTTGAATTCTTAAATATATATCAAGTTATTATCAAAAACATCACACAAAAATATGCATTCAACATTATCAAAATGAAGTACCTTTCATTATCAATTTTTCTCTCCAATTTCACCTCAGCATTTTCCTTGGTTATATTCCAGCCTACAATGTCTGTGATTTTTCTCATGGTACTCTTCTCTGAAGATATTTCCTCTGCAAGATAACTGGAAAGATCTGCATCATCTGTAAAAGAGTTTCTGATAAGCAAATTGGAATAGTTCATTATAGATTAACACAGTATTCCAATCAATTTCATTTGCTCTATTTCCCCCATTGTGCTTCTGCTTATGCCTAGGGCCCCTGTTCCCTCCTTCGTACCAGGTACATAAATCAAAATTTTTGTTATCAAAATTTAAAAGAAAAGGTAAAAAAATTGTATAATAGAAGTTATTAAATTATGTTACGCATTTTTTGAGGAAGATGACACTTGCATTCCTGAACTCAATGTAATCTTTAAGTCTGATTGATCAGATAAGTGTTTATTTGACATCTTTTTATTCAAAATAATTTGTGACAGCCAAAAATTAGTTGCAGAAGTTGTGTATTTCTGTCTCAATATCTCATAGGTATCTACAATTGACTCCATACACCTTGGATGTGTACACACTACACAGGTCGGTGTAAACCACAAAAATACACAAACCAGCCAATTTTACGCTAATTGGGGTATGGATTAGCTGCTAAAAATAGCCAAAATTATTTAAACAGTAACTTATGCAACATTTATTCAAAGTTGCATCAATTATGACAAGGTGAATGTTTGTTTGTATTTTTTTTACAAAAATATATTTACTGGAAATGCTGGCTTTTAAGAAACTTGAATTTTGTAACTGTATGATGTTTCATGAATAAATAAATGATTAAAATTAAGATTATCCCAGTTTGCGTATTATACGCAAATTTGTGGTTTTCCTCGAACTGCTAGTAAACCCTCGAGATTATTACATCATGTCGCCAGAAAATCAGTTTACACTTCAGTTACGTTTCACTGATATCGCATACGTATCTGCTCATGTTATTCTCGAGTGTGTGTGTATATATATATATATATATATAAACGTTACCCTGTGTGTGCATGCAACATCGGCATGTTTTTCCGTGAATACTAGGTTGACGAGAGGACACAAGCATTGATGGGGTCGGTCGGTGAAGTTGACTGAATGTTTTTGCTGTCGTCCGTGACAGCTGCTTTGTCAGATGTGATTTTTGCATCAGTGAGCTTGCCGTCCTTGAAAGTGATCGTGCTATAACACCTGCCATCTCCAAAACTGTGTTGTGATTGAAAAGCACACGAGGTTACGGTTACGTCCTTTCACCGGAAAGCATGCAAGGCTCTATTCGCGCATGCTCTATCACGCCGAAGGGACAATACTCTGGATATAATTTAAGGACGCACAATGCCAAGACAGGGCGAAGTGTTTATTTTTGAAGATCTACAAAGCGCTTTTGACGAATCTTCAGCTCCCTCTTCTAAAAAAACAAAATAATTCTTCCATAGAACATTTTATTTTTCCATCCTGTACACCACCATACCCCATTCTAAACTGAAGGAACGCCTTCGTTCTCTTGTTATGAGAGAAGACTTTCTTCTCCAAGAAAGGAACAGCGGTATAAATCTATGGTCATGAGCTTAACTGAAGCGTTTTTCGTAAAATTAGATTTACGTCAAAATCAAAAAAGAGATATACTAGGGACGAAATCATAAAAATGATCCAGCTTTTGGTTGAGAACATCTTCGTCGAGTTTGTTGTAATGGGTAATCAATGCGTCCCTCTATTAGCTGACTTCTTTTGGTTTTCATATGAGGATGAATTTATTGAAGAGCTTATCAAAACAGGTAACAAAGACCTTGCAAAGTCGTTTAATTTCATCTTCGGGTATATTCTTGACGTATTGCCTTAAAATGATAAGAAATCCACCAGAACTGGGAATCAAAGATACGACAGACTCTTCTACATCAGCTACTTATCTCGATCTTTTCCTACGACGAAACCAACATGGGCAGCTTTCCATCAAGTTATATGATAAACGTAATTATTCTAATTTCCATGTTGTGATTTTTTCCAGTTCTGGATAGCAATATTCCTGCATCTCCAAACTATGGTTTACATATAACACCGAGTTGATTCGATATTCAAGGGACTGTTTCCATAATCACAATTTTCGTGCAAGACGTCGTCAACTGACTAACAAACTCGTTGTTACACAAGGGCTCCAAAGATGGGGACTGATGAAAATTATGGGGGAGTTTTATGGTCGCCATAGTGATCTTATTAAGAAATATTCTATTTCTTTATGCGACATGAAGCTGGACGTATTTGATGCTCGTTTGTTTGCCTGTTGGTTTCGTTGTTGAATACCTTGTTCTCATTTGAGAACGTGACATTACTACCTCGGATTGACCAAGGGTGTCGTCGAGAAAGCAGAAGACGCTTACTCCTCCGGAACAACCCGTCTTATTCTACTTTTTCTCATTTAGGACCTCTATGTTAATATGAATTTTGTTCTTAGTTTGACCTAGTTTTATTGAATTTAAGTTTGGATTATGTTGATATGTTGGTATTTGCTTGATTTTTTGTTGTTGCGGTGGTGTTTTTTTCTATATTTGAAGTTCACCGGGACAGGTCAAAGTGCAATACTTTTCCTCCAAAGCAACCCATTTCAAATGAAACTTTGGCATATATACTGGCAATTCAAGATCTACCGTAAAATAGCCTTAGATGATTGTAGTCACAATATTAACAATTCGAGTCAATGCCAATGTCCTTTCACGCTATCTACTATACTCGATATTTACCTCAAATGGTTAAAGTACAATACTTATTTCAAATATAATCCTATTGGAATTAAACAGTCTCTCTCGGCAGGCCAAGATCCAAGCAAAAACGCCCTCACTTAATTAGAACCACAACTCTATACTAAGTGCCGATGCCAAATATAATTTTATGCCATGTTGTACATCATATGTTAATCTCAAATGGCCAAAGTAGCAATATTATGTTCCGAAATAACGCTATTGAAAAATATTGTGGTAGGCCAGGAGCCACACAAACGTGCCCTCAGATGATTGGAGCCACAACATGAACCTTAGAGCCACGGCCAATATTGAATGGTCATCTCAAAAGGTCAAAGGTCAATATTTTTCTCCGAATGGTATGATGATTGGAGCAAAGTAATTAATTCATAGACCTAGGAAAATATCGTTTTACGTCTTATTGTAAATTGGATGTTGAAAGCGTAATATTATTGTCCAAAATAATCCTGATGAGGTGAAACTTTGTTGTATATACCGGCACGCCATATATCAGGTAATAATGTCTTCAGATGATTGAGACACATCGCTAACTCTCAGAGTCTCGGTTATGTTATATTTCACGCCATGCACTATATCTAATATTCACCTAAAATAGTTACAATTAGAATTACCTTTCTTTGATAACAACCGATGATAGAATACCTCTTTTTCAGAAACTCATCGTCTGCCCTTTTAACGCAACTGGACATCCGACCTTGACCGGATTTTGTTAAGGGACTGCCGGTCATAATCATGTGCGTTGGTCGCAGCTTCGATGACCATACGGTTTTGCAAATGGCGTATGCCTTTGGACAAATATAGAACCAAACATCAGGACTGGTATAATGACTGTTTACGCTTCCGTTGTGAGAATTACAGAATTGCACTGATAAATAAGAGTGTGACTATAATAACACACCAGTAAATATCTGCTAGATTCGCGTTGCTTAATTACATGCTAAATGCATCAGTGGTGAATTTTTACTTTTATTTGTTATAAGATTAAGATAACAAGGAATCATAACAAAATATGACACCAGTAACACGTGTGCCAATGTTATAGTCAGTTATTTCTTCAAAGTCAGACATTTTATTTACATCTCAACGGTACATACATGCAAACTACATAAAACAGCAGGGTAAATTATATGTCCACCTATTGAAAGTATTAGCAGATGAACTAGTCACTTCCTCCTAAAAGATAGAAACAGGGTTTTGCACTAGAACGGATTCACTCAAATCCGTGAAATTGGCAATATTTCAGATGCCTATGCAAATAAGCATTGCCTTAAATTATTATGTAAAAAACGCATTTTATTTGACAGTGCCTTTCATCTTCTATCATCATCTTACAAATGAACGCTTATCTACAGAAAGTCCTTCGTTATGACCAGTGTCCAATCTGGAAGGAGCTACTTCACATTTACATTTGGAAGAAGAAAAAACCAAACCCTACGGTGCGCTTTGGGCATGATTTGGCAAACATATTGATTTAATAAATCTTTAATTGACAATAGTTACACATTTTTTCCGTCCAGATACAACAGAGATTGTTACTCGCACTTACTACAGCAAATCTCCGTAAAATACTAACAGATCTATTTACATAGTTATCTGACCCTAAATCACAGAGATACTTTTAAATCGAAAATTTCACTTTTAACAATTCTAGGCCGATTAACCCAACAAATTTTGTTTCTATTTCACCTTTTGATATCCATGATATTTAATCTGTGGAATTGTCTTAAAACGCTATTGAATTGTTTAATAAAATTAGGAGCCGCATTAGGCGTATAAAGAAATACACCTGGAAACGATGTTTGATTTTGAACTGCAGATCGACACTATACAGAACGAAGCACATGATGGTATGACGACTGGTAATACGGAGTTATTATGTAGTTTTGTTGAAGTTTCATAAGTCAGACCGCACCTTTGCTATATGTAGACTAAGCGCTCGTGAGGCTGAATTAGCAATGTGTTTAGTCGTCACAGGATTATCCAACTGTTCAGACATTGAAATTAAAAGAAAGACATATCTGTCACACACAGAGGTGGTTTCTCCACCACACCTAAACCCATGCTAGGTTCGCACAGTAGAAATTTAAACGTATTGATTTCGACTTCGTTGTAAGTTTACTTATAAATCTACAGAACATTCATTCTTTTCTCTTACCTATATCTGTAGTTGTCCCAGCGCTATGTAAAACAACATCAAACTATTGATATTCAAGTTGAAAAGCAAGTGAGATAAGAAGAAAACGTATCCTTGTTTTACATTATTCCCTACAACAAAACACTCTGTATACAAGCCGTTAATCCATACGCAAAATTTTACATATACATATACCTATTTAATGTCTGATATCATTATATATACCTAATTAATGTCTGGTATCATTATATATATACCTAATCAATGTCTGGTATCATTATATATATACCTAATTAATGTCTGGTATCATTATATATATACCTAATTAATGTCTGGTATCATTATATATACCTAATTAATGTCTGATATCATTATATATACCTAATTAATGTCTGGTATCATTATATATATACCTAATTAATGTCTGGTATCATTATATATATACCTAATTAATGTCTGGTATCATTATATATACCTAATTTATGTCTGGTATCATTATATATATACCTAATTAATGTCTGGTATCATTATATATACCTAATTAATGTCTGGTATCATTATATATATACCTAATTAATGTCTGGTATCATTATATATACCTAATTTATGTCTGGTATCATTATATATACCTAATTAATGTCTGGTATCATTATATATACCTAATTAATGTCTGGTATCATTATATATACCTAATTAATGTCTGGTATCATATATATACCTAATTAATGTCTGGTATCATTATATATACCTAATTTATGTCTGGTATCATTATATATACCTAATTAATGTCTGGTATCATTACCTAATTAATGTCTGGTATCATTATATATACCTAATTAATGTCTGGTATCATTATATATACCTAATTAATGTCTGGTATCATTATATATATACCTAATTAATGTCTGGTATCATTATATATACCTAATTTATGTCTGGTATCATTATATATATACCTAATTAATGTCTGGTATCCTATATATACCTAATTAATGTCTGATATTTTCATATACCTAATTACTGTCTGGTATCATTATATATACCTAATTAATGTCTGGTATCATTATATATATACCTAATTAATGTCTGGTATCATTATATATATATACCTAATTACTGTCTGGTATCATTATATATATATACCTACATAATGTCTGGTATCATTATATATACCTAATTAATGTCTGGTATCATTACCTAATTAATGTCTGGTATCATTATATATACCTAATTAATGTCTGGTATCATTATATATATATACCTAACTAATGTCTGGTATCATTATATATATATATATATATACCTAATTAATGTCTGGTATCATTACCTAATTAATGTCTGGTATCATTACCTAATTAATGTTTGGTATCATTATATATACCTAATTAATGTCTGATATCATTATATATACCTAATTAATGTCTGATATCATTATATATATACCTAATTAATGTCTGGTATCATTATATATATACCTAATTAATGTCTGGTATCATTACCTAATTAATGTTTGGTATCATTATATATACCTAATTAATGTCTGATATCATTATATATATACCTAATTAATGTCTGATATCATTATATATACCTAATTAATGTCTGATATCATTATATATATACCTAATTAATGTCTGATATCATTATATATACCTAATTAATGTCTGATATCATTATATATATACCTAATTAATGTCTGATATCATTATATATACCTAATTAATGTCTGATATCATTATATATATACCTAATTAATGTCTGGTATCATTATATATATACCTAATTAATGTCTGGTATCATTACCTAATTAATGTTTGGTATCATTATATATACCTAATTAATGTCTGATATCATTATATATACCTAATTAATGTCTGATATCATTATATATATACCTAATTAATGTCTGATATCATTATATATACCTAATTAATGTTTGATATCATTATATATACCTAATTAATGTCTGATATCATTATATATATACCTAATTAATGTCTGGTATCATTATATATATACCTAATTAATGTCTGGTATCATTACCTAATTAATGTTTGGTATCATTATATATACCTAATTAATGTCTGATATCATTATATATACCTAATTAATGTCTGATATCATTATATATATACCTAATTAATGTCTGATATCATTATATATACCTAATTAATGTTTGATATCATTATATATACCTAATTAATGTCTGATATCATTATATATATACCTAATTAATGTCTGGTATCATTACCTAATTAATGTCTGGTATCATTATATATACCTAATTAATGTCTGGTATCATTATATATATATACCTAACTAATGTCTGGTATCATTATATATATATATATATATATATACCTAATTAATGTCTGGTATCATTACCTAATTAATGTCTGGTATCATTACCTAATTAATGTTTGGTATCATTATATATACCTAATTAATGTCTGGTATCATTATATATACCTAATTAATGTCTGATATCATTATATATATACCTAATTAATGTCTGATATCATTATATATACCTAATTAATGTCTGGTATCATTATATATACCTAATTAATGTCTGATATCATTATATATAATTAATGTCTATATCATTATATATACCTAATTAATGTCTGGTATCATTATATATATACCTAATTAATGTCTGGTATCATTATATATATACCTAATTAATGTCTGGTATCATTATATATACCTAATTTATGTCTGGTATCATTATATATATACCTAATTAATGTCTGGTATCATTATATATACCTAATTAATGTCTGGTATCATTATATATATACCTAATTAATGTCTGGTATCATTATATATACCTAATTTATGTCTGGTATCATTATATATACCTAATTAATGTCTGGTATCATTATATATACCTAATTAATGTCTGGTATCATTATATATACCTAATTAATGTCTGGTATCATATATATACCTAATTAATGTCTGGTATCATTATATATACCTAATTTATGTCTGGTATCATTATATATACCTAATTAATGTCTGGTATCATTACCTAATTAATGTCTGGTATCATTATATATACCTAATTAATGTCTGGTATCATTATATATACCTAATTAATGTCTGGTATCATTATATATATACCTAATTAATGTCTGGTATCATTATATATACCTAATTTATGTCTGGTATCATTATATATACCTAATTAATGTCTGGTATCATTACCTAATTAATGTCTGGTATCATTATATACTCAATTAATGTTTAATATCATTAGATATACCTAATTAATGTCTGGTATCACTAGATATACCTAATTAATGTCTGGTATCATTATATATACCTAATTAATGTCTGGTATCATTATATATACCTAATTAATGTCTGGTATCATTATATATATACCTAATTAATGTCTGGTATCATTATATATATATACCTAACTAATGCCTGGTATCATTACCTAATTAATGTCTGGTATCATTATATATACCTATTTAATGTCTGATATCATTATACACGTATATACCCAATTAATGTCTGGTATCATTATTTATACCTAACTAATGTCTGGTATCATTATTTATACCTAACTAATGTCTGGTATCATTATATATATATATACACCTAATTAATGTCTGGTATCATTACCTAATTAATGTCTGGTATCATTATATATACCTAATTAATGTCTGGTATCATTATATATATATACCTAACTAATGTCTGGTATCATTATATATATATATATATACCTAATTAATGTCTGGTATCATTATATATATATATACACCTAATTAATGTCTGGTATCATTACCTAATTAATGTCTGGTATCATTATATATACCTAATTAATGTCTGGTATCATTATATATATATACCTAACTAATGTCTGGTATCATTATATATATATATATATACCTAATTAATGTCTGGTATCATTACCTAATTAATGTCTGGTATCATTACCTAATTAATGTTTGGTATCATTATATATACCTAATTAATGTCTGATATCATTATATATATACCTAATTAATGTCTGGTATCATTATATATATACCTAATTAATGTCTGGTATCATTACCTAATTAATGTTTGGTATCATTATATATACCTAATTAATGTCTGATATCATTATATATATACCTAATTAATGTCTGATATCATTATATATACCTAATTAATGTCTGATATCATTATATATATACCTAATTAATGTCTGATATCATTATATATACCTAATTAATGTCTGATATCATTATATATATACCTAATTAATGTCTGGTATCATTATATATATACCTAATTAATGTCTGGTATCATTACCTAATTAATGTTTGGTATCATTATATATACCTAATTAATGTCTGATATCATTATATATACCTAATTAATGTCTGATATCATTATATATATACCTAATTAATGTCTGATATCATTATATATACCTAATTAATGTTTGATATCATTATATATACCTAATTAATGTCTGATATCATTATATATATACCTAATTAATGTCTGGTATCATTACCTAATTAATGTCTGGTATCATTATATATACCTAATTAATGTCTGGTATCATTATATATATATACCTAACTAATGTCTGGTATCATATATATATATATATATATTATATACCTAATTAATGTCTGGTATCATATATATACTTAATTAATGTCTGGTACCATTAGATATTCTTAATAAATGTCTGGTATCCTATATATACCTAATTAATGTCTGATATCATTATATATATACCTAATTAATGTCTGATATCATTATATATACCTAATTAATGTCTGATATCATTATATATACCTAATTAATGTCTGATATCATTATATATACCTAATTAATGTCTGATATCATTATATATACCTAATTAATGTCTGATATCATTATATATACCTAATTAATGTCTGATATCATTATATATATACCTAATTAATGTCTGGTATCATTATATATATACCTAATTAATGTCTGGTATCATTACCTAATTAATGTCTGGTATCATTATATATACCTAATTAATGTCTGATATCATTATATATACCTAATTAATGTCTGATATCATTATATATACCTAATTAATGTCTGATATCATTATATATATACCTAATTAATGTCTGGTATCATTATATATATACCTAATTAATGTCTGGTATCATTATATATACCTAATTAATGTCTGGTATCATTACATATACCTAATTAATGTCTGGTATCATTACATATACCTATTTAATGTCTGGTATCATTACATATACCTAATTAATGTCTGGTATCATTACATATACCCAATTAATGTCTGGTATCATTATATATATATATATATACCTAATTAATGTCTGGTATCATTACCTAATTAATGTCTGGTATCATTACCTAATTAATGTCTGATATCATTATATATATACCTAATTAATGTCTGGTATCATTATATATACCTAATTAATGTCTGATATCATTATATATATACCTAATTAATGTCTGGTATCATTATATATACCTAATTAATGTCTGATATCATTATATATACCTTATTAATGTCTGGTATCATTATATATACCTAATTAATGTCTGGTATCATTATATATACCTAATTAATGTCTGATATCATTATATATACCTTATTAATGTCTGGTATCATTATATATACCTAATTAATGTCTGGTAGCATTTACATAACGTCCTATTGGAGTAACAAGGTGCTCTCTCGATTTTTTTCAGACATGAGTTTGTTTTTTCGTAATAGAGTTAACATACCTGCATTTTAATATGTAATACAATATAAAGAAGGTAATTGCTAATTGAGAAAATGTATTATCTTCAGAAATTAGAGTAACCGGGTGTGTTATATCAGTATCACTTCATGCAACAAGGTGCCATGACTTGTTGTTGCACACATCTTGTAATGAGTGTTGGCTTCAATACAATTAAATGATATGACCCCTAGTGGCTGAGTCTGTCTAATATTTATTGTTTTGACAAAAAGTGTCATTCCTCGGTCTTAAAACAATGATGTTATCAGGTATTTCCGTTAACCTTCATGGGAGAAGATAGTAAATTGGCGTAGTGGTAAGTCTAATAATTATCAATGTAATAATGAGCAAGTAAACACGCTCATGGATGTAGTGTCGGTAGCCGTGAATAAACTAAAGATGCCCCAGATTGCATCTACCCTGGAAACCATCACAAAACACCCTGGCTTCGTTCCCTCATCTTTACTATCATAACTGATGACGTAATGCACAACAAGGGGAATAACTCCCTAGACAAACAGCATAACACCTACAATGGAAATCGTACACATATTCTGAATCTACTTCGACAAAAAGACAACAATTCTAGGAAAGTTAAGAAAACCATAGATGAAGCTGTTTTCATTTGGATCTTGAGAAAATACTACTGTACTACTGAAGCTATATTTACTGACAACATTGCACTAAGAGGAGGGCAATTTACCTTTATCAAAGTTAAGTCCTGACCAAAGAAGTTTAAAGATGAATACCCCTCGATAGGTTGATTTTATTCGTTGCATTGAATTAAATGGGAAACACCAATATTTATGCAAATGGCTCTACAGCCGACTTCATGATACTAATATGGGAAATACAGCAAATGGAGGATGGTGGGCGTGTCTTTGACGTAAAAAAGGAATTTAAGGAGTCACTGTTTCCAAATATGGCAGCATACTTCAATGAGTTGTTAAGATAGGCAACCTACATTTTACCCCAGATTTCCGGTCTACGCTTGGTTTTAATTTCCGAATGATTGGAACATCCAGGAATGTCAATCTGTATCATGGTATTCTTGGAAAAAATTTAAAATGATCTATCAAGTAGCTTGTTAGTTTCCAGTTATAACAAACCAAAACATTTTTAATTTCAGCGAAATTTTTGCAAGTTTCATAAATCACATGTGAAATGGAAATTAATTTAATTTGCAAATCCATCTTATCATCTTATCACTTGATCGATAATTAAGACAAGTGTTGTTCAAAGGGTGCTTTCTTCATCAAACTTGAAGTCAATATCGGTTATTTGTCTGTGGTTTTCTTTGTTGTGATATATTGTTACCTGTGAGTACAAGATATTTCGTTATCTCATCCAAATATCAGTATAATGTTACAGGGTGAGGTGTCATGGTACGTGTCCGGGTTATGACATTTTAGTCCGTAGTCAGTATAATGTAACAGGGTGAGGTGTCATGCTACGTGTCTGGTTATGACATTTTAGTCCGTAGTCAGTATAATGTAACAGGGTGAGGTGTAATGGTAAGTGTCCGGGTTATGTCGTTTTAGTCCGTAGTCAGTATAATGTTACAGGGTGATGTGTCATGCTACGTGTCCGGGTTATGACATTTTAGTCCGTAGTCAGTATAATGTAACAGGGTTGAGGTGTCATGCTACGTGTCCGGGTTATGACATTTTAGTCCGTAGTCAGTATAATGTTACAGGGTGATGTGTCATGCTACGTGTCTGGTTATGACATTTTAGTCCATAGTCAGTATAATGTTACAGGGTGAGGTGTCATGCTACGTGTCTGGTTATGACATTTTAGTCCATAGTCAGTATAATGTTACAGGGTGAGGTGTCATGCTTAGTGTCTGTTTATGACATTTTAGTGTGATGACTGGTGAAGTGCCATGCTATTTAGTAGATGGTGTACCATGCTATGGTGTCAGGGTTATGCCATTATATTCGTCATTGATCCCCGTCATCTGTGAAAACCTTGGTGTTTAGCAGTTGTTTTTTAATACTTGTTTATGTTTACTGTTTTTGTATCACTGCCATATCAAGAAATAAATCAATGTTTAAACTTAATCAAGATAACAACATATTTTTCAGTTCCCTATCATATTTGTTGATATTCAATGTTTGCATGGTTCAAGTATTAATCTTCAATAAGAAATAAGCAATCAGGTTTATGTGTAAGATCCTGGACAACCTGATTTACTACTAGGTATTCCATTTGCCTCCACAGAAGACATTTTTTTCTAAATCTTGTAGGTGTGGGGATTTTTTACCTGCAATCCTTTTGCCTGTTTTGTCATGAATTTTCCTACACTTTCAGCACTTACGAAATCTGCAAAACATTTTTTTTGAGAGATTTATACTTGTCCCTGTTGAATTCTAGTTAAGTTATATCAAAGGTGTAAATATTGTATATTTTATCTTATATCTTGACCATATAGATGATGTTCTTTGTGCTCAGTATCAATAAGAATAAATAAAGCCTATTATTATGAAAGTCAAGCTTCATTATTTAAAGGATTCTTGGGCATACCTGCTGCACTATTTCATATTGGAGCTTCAATATCTGTATGTGGAAAAACCCAAAGAAAATAACAACATGTAAACACAGCCATAATTCAACCTCAAATTCAATAAAAGATTTACACACAGACTCTTGAAAAGAAGGAAAATAAGAGACAGTGTATCTAGAGACTTAAGTGTGAAATTTACCAGAAAATTATTTTAGATATGTTCCTACATCATTCCATCCACCTGTACATTAATAGGTACATTCCAAGGGGACCAGTGTAAACCTTACACAATATTTTAACTTATGTAACACTTATTTGTTTATTACTCAACAGTGAGTATAAAAGAAAGCCCTACCATGGGTAGAGAAGTCACTTCTCACACATACCTCTGTTTGTATACACCATTAATATATTATAAACTACACAAATACAATGAATTCAGATTTGATTATTTCTGCAACAAATACACAACAAAATATTACCCTTCATTCCAAAGTTTTCTTAGCACAAATAAGAGCAATCAATAGAAGCTGTAATTCACAATACTCTGAGATGTCAACAAGTTGGAATATTTCTACACAACCATTTTGTGGATATTGATTCTTACTAGTTATAAAGTGTGTAACCTAACTGACCCTTATATCTACGATAACAGTAGAATTTTCCAATCCCTCATTCCCACCTGTCTCTTTTTGTCCTATCGTGTACCCAAACAGGGAACTGCAACAATAAATACAGACTTTTTTTCTACTTCAAGTACACACCACTAATATACAAAATTAAGATGATAAGCAATACATAGGTACATTATACTTTGGTAAAACTTCATCATACAGCTGTTTCATTCTTCCAGGACTTTCAGTGACATCGTATCTAGTAAAACTGCATCATGCAGCTGTTTCGTTCATTAGGGACTTTAGTGACATCTGATCAAGTAAAACTTCATCAGACAGCTGTTTCATTCTTCCAGTACTTTCAATCACATCTGATCTAAAATGTGAAAGTTCAGAAATGTAGGATACAGGACACTTTCAAGATAAAGTAACTATTTTTCAAACAATGATAACTTTGCTTTGAATTGCTTCTTAAATATGACAATTTTCAATTTTTTAATATGACATTTGTTATGATAGTCAGCGCTAGCTCATATGTTCAAACAACTGTTCATACATCACATTAATTTACATAATACATTAAAATATCTCCCATAATATCATAAATATTGCATAATAAATATTTATGGCACAACACAGAAAGATTAAAAGGAAGGGAAATTGTCTGAAAACAAAAGCACATGTTTCCTCATATTTTTCAAGAAGAGATTTCCTGTTCCTTACAAAAGAATAATCAATAATGAGATATGTAGTCTTAAAATATTATTTGTAATCTGAAGTAATTATTTAACTTTTCATTACAGTCTGATTAACTATTCAGAATAACATAAACAGATGAATAACAGTGATTCCGAATATTATCAGGTGAGTGACTTGTCAATTGGTTTGCAAAATTTTAGGGGTGGGTCGATTTAAAATGACATCATACCTAAACGGCCCAACACTCAAAGTTCAAACACAGCTTAAATATCCACAATGAAATTTACACTTCAGATGTAATAATATGCATTAAGTTACTAAAAATGTCAGCCATTTTGAACAAGTCATTAATATTTATAAATATGCAGATTAGCTGGTGGACATATTTTGGCATCAAATTAAAGAAAAACTCATAAGCTTTCATTTGAGACCATTTTATGGTGCTAGCATTAAAATTACGCACGTTATAACCTTGACTGTGTTCTATTGTATAACATCAAAACTAATAGGGGGGCGGAATAATGTCCAAAAGCCCCAACAGCCAGGTGGTAAAAATCGATTTTCATGGAGCATTTTCCATAAGCTTTTAGAAAATTATACTCTTCCAATTTCCCCCCTAAGAGGGGAACAGGGGTTATTGTCAGCTCAAGGAGTAATACATATTAGTTCTACAATGATAACAATGAGAAAAGCCAGCATTCAAATGGAACATCTAATATTTCAAAAGAAAATAAAGTTATTAACAGTTTATAGAGATCACTACAAATATCATCATGTCATAATATAATGACATTATGAGATATGTTCACATCTTTCCTTCAAAAAATGCTTATAACTGATATATCAACACAGTCGCCAATGTTTTGTTTCACTTAAACACAGAAAAGGTCTAAATGTCACATTTAACACATATTATGTACTTGTTATGTCAAAGACCATTATAGAATTGCAAAAAAAGACATTCACATGACAAAATCAAATAATTTACAGAAGCCAATATGACATAAATACTGACAAATGGGACTGGAATATTCACCAAACTCTTAACGATAATGTATATGTATGTCATTATATAAGTTTATGTAATAAGTTTTAAGAACACTGCACAAAGAATGTTTGTGAATATTGTAGAAAAGTTATATATTATCTGTCTAATATGTAGACTCTTTCACCTATCACAAGCTGAGTTGTCTATGAATATACCGATTAAAATACTTTTTCTCTCCCCCATTTTGACAAAAGAAATGTGACCATCATTCACTTGACTTTTGGAGAAAAGAAGTTACAAGTTAAAATAGAATTTATTTTGAACTTATAAAAAAATTGAGAATGCTGAATCCCCTGAAATATGATGATATGCTAACTGTAATCAACCTGAGGCACATTACCCGGGAGAAAAAATGCTTGCACAGGTGACTCCACATTGTTATGTATCTGTTTCATCAGACTTTACAGTATGTGATATAGATGTACATTTATAAACTCTGAATTCAAGTGGTAAAGGTAACAAAAACCTCAAAGTGCTTTTTTCATGTGTAACCCTTAGTGGACGATAATGAAAGAAACACAATGACTACAAGTCATCCTGAAAATTGGGGTCAAATGATCCATATTTATTGTAATTTGAAGGGGAAAATAATGAATAATATCTGAAAAAGAAAACTACGACTAAAGATATACAGAAAATAAAAAAAAAAACTTCAATTATTAGCAGGAATATCAGTAACATAGTTGCAGAAGTGACAGTGAAAACATTGATTGGTTTTCAACGCACTACAATAATGTACTTAAAAAGTAGGTTTAATTGATTGTCTGTCATCAACAAATTGTTTGAAAGTGAAAAAAAAAGACTGACTCGATTTAAATATTAAAACCCCATTATAAGCAACTTTCACCAAAAAAGAGAAGAGAAATATGATCTATTTATATAGATAAACATGAACTCATCTGAGAAATACTCATGATGATATCATGCATTAGTATTTGTATCTAAACTGTTGAGCTTCACTTTCTGTAAACATGCCTCCATTTATTATCTTTGCTGAACCAAAGTTGGAAGATATTTCTGTGAGAGGTTGGTATTTACTAGAAACATGCATATTCCCTATTAAAATTACACAGCCAGGTCTCACATGACCAAATACCAGCATTCTACCTGTGATATGATGTCACAGAAAACACACGACAACTGCATCATTGCACTTTACCTGTAAACGTGCTGACTACACTCATGATGGTTTCTGAGCTTCATATTGATTTTTATTTATTTTGATATATTCTGTTTAGTAATAGATACCACCCTGCTTAAGCATGTTTGAATCTTATCTTTACATAATAACCATGTGTAAATTTGTCAAGTGAGGCTTTAACTACATGTAAGTAATCCATGGAAGTTGCTTGTAAAACCAGACACAAGCTTCCAGCTATGTTTGACAGATTACCAATTGATGATTTACATGCCTTCATTTCACTTCACTTTGACAGTCAGTCACTAGCAAAAAGTTATCCATGCCCATGAACTGTCATATTCATTATGTTCACATCATACCACTTCTGCAATGCACCCCAATGCAATTCCAGATGTTATTATAGTTGCCTTAGCAGCTGCTCCAAGGCCAACAACTCCAAGTGACTGTAGGAAAGAAAACAGACTTCCAGATGCTACTGTTCCACCATAGGAAGACATCCATGCTGCTGCCAAAGTGCCTTTACCTATTCCAGCAGCACCAAATCCTACAGCTCCAAGAATAGGTGCTAATGAAACAACACCAATCCCAGCTAATGATCCTGTAGCCATGGCCATGGTTAAGCATCCCCAAGAGACTGGAATATCAAGATAGTGTTAATTTACTTATGTTTATGCCTTTATCAGGGCTCTCTGGAAGACACATAAGTGAACAGCACTTTTCAAAAAAAAGACACATAAGTGAACAGCACTTTTCAAAAACTAGAGATCCCAGAGGGATCTGGGCGCCCACCATTTGAGGATCTGTTTTCAGTTCTTGAAGATTTGTTTATTTTTTTTGTTACAGGTGTTGTAAATGTTCATGAACTGGTCTTCATTGAATGTACTCAATGATGGCACAAGATGTTTTTATTAAGCACCTATTAGCAAATATCATTTGAAAAAGATCCCAAAGTATTATTAGATACAGTTACAGGTGGATAATGGACATGGTCTTGAATCAATATGATAGAATATCGAAGAAAATATGCTAGTGCTGTATTACTGTCGACATCCAAGAAGACTGCCTGTGGGCCACCTTGATTTCAAATCAGTCCAAAAAAGGTACAATGCACAACTAGGGACCAAGGGAAACCAATACCTATGAAATCTGACAAAGATCCATCCAGTACTTTCTCAGAAATAGCGGTACCAAATTTTTCTTTTTAAAATAAAAGAAGGCCAACAAGCGGCCATCTTGAATTCGGATCAGTCCAAAAAAGGTACAATGCACAACTAGGGACCAAGGGGAAACTGCATATGAAATTTGAGAAAGATCCATCCAGTACTTTCCCAGAAATAGCGGTAACAACCTTTTACTTTCAAACTCCAAGATGGCTGCCTGGCGGCCATCTTGAATTTGCATCTGTCCAAAAAATGTACAATGCACAACTAGGGACAAGGCACAAGGGGAACCTGCATATGGAATTTGAGAAAGATCCATCCAGTACTTCCCAAGAAATGGCGGTAACAAACTTTTACTTCCAAAATCCAAGATGGCTGCCTGTCTGCCATCTTGAATTCGAATCAGTCCAAAAAAGGTACAATGCACAACTAGGGATCAAGGGGAAACTGCATATGAAATTTGAGAAAGATCCATCCAGTACTTTCCAAGAAATGGCGGTAACAACCTTTTACTTTCAAACTCCAAGATGGCTGCCTGGCGGCCATCTTGAATTTGCATCTGTCCAAAAAAGGTACAATGCACAACTAGGGACAAGGCACAAGGGGAACCTGCATATGGAATTTGAGAAAGATCCATCCAGTACTTCCCAAGAAATGGCGGTAACAAACTTTTACTTCCAAAATCCAAGATGGCCGACTGTCAGCCATCTTGAATTCGAATCAGTCCAACACAGGTACAATGCACAACTAGGGATCAAGGGGAAACTGCATATGAAATTTGAGAAAGATCCATCCAGTACTTTCCAAGAAATGGCGGTAACAAACTTTTACTTCCAAAATCCAAGATGGCCGACTGTCAGCCATCTTGAATTCGAATCAGTCCAACACAGGTACAATGCACAACTAGGGATCAAGGGGAAACTGCATATGAAATTTGAGAAAGATCCATCCAGTACTTTCCAAGAAATAGCAGTAACAAACTTTTACTTTCAAACTCCAAGATGGCCACCTGTCAGCCATCTTGAATTCGAATTAGTCCAAAAAAGGTATACTGCATAACTAGGGACCGAGGGTAACATGCATATGAAATTTAAGAAAGATCCATCTAGTGCTTTTCCATAAATAGCAGTAACAAGAATTGTTTACGGACGAACGGACGGACGGACGACGGATGCAGGGCGATTTGAATAGCCCACCATCTGATGATGGTGGGCTAAAAAGACACATAAGTGAACAGCACTTTTCAAAAAAAAACACGTAAGTGAACAGCACTTTTCAATAATTCAGAGCTAGACTGCTTCATACTGCTTCTATTTTTTACAAACCTAAGAGATCGCCAAGGAAAACAGAAACTGGTCAAAAGAAATTGTCCAAAACTAGATGACGAGGTGTAGTAGCCACACAATTCAACAAAATTAATAAATTTCAATATTGGATGATCTGATTAATCTTAGTCTTACAACTAGTTCCAAGACCACACTACAGACTTGGGACCTATTCCATCTGAGGACATTGCACAGTCAAAGTCACAAACTTAAAAAGTATAACAGAATAACGGAATAACAATTTGTTGTCCAAATTGATCCTGATTGATCTGAAGACTGGTGCATGAATGTTTTGGCATTGAATTTAATCATTTTACAAAGTGTCTAGATATACAAGAGTGAGCACATTTTTTTGTTGTCCAACTACGAGTCTAAAAGACTATGATAACTCCGACCAAGCAGTACAAGACTTTATTTCTACTACAAGTGTGTAGCTGAATTTTCATACACAGGATTCTTGTGATACATATACCCGACAGCTGCACATTCCAGGAAAGTCCAACACTGTTATTTATCAGACATTGTCTACTTTAGGTAAAATGTTTACATCCCATCTCGACCCATTCTAAGCTGATGTCTGGTGCAAAAGTATTGGTAACGTAACATTTATTAAGATAAACAAAACAAATAGTGACATACAATCATACATCATGGAATATAGACAAATTGGATGTGAAGTTTTCTCAAACAGAACTATGTGTTTATAGAATTAACGTTTATATGAAGAAAACAAAATATGAAATGAACTCACCTTCTATGTCTTTTGTTTTCAACACTTCAGTTTTGTGCTCACTCATCACCTCACCACTGACAGCATAGATATCTAACTGGTATCGGGTATTTACTTCTAGATTCTTTATAACCACAGAAGGAGTATTTGTCTCATATTCTTCTCTAAATGGAGAGTCACTTGCTATTTTAACAATATACCTATCCACAACACCCTCTGAAGCTTGCCATATCAACTCCATTGATGTAGATTTGATGGTGCTTTTCTCTCTATCAACCATACCTGGCATTGCAGGGCCTGTAAAAACAACAATTTTATCATATATTAATGTCAGTCATAAATGTGTTACAGCGAGATGCAAGAAAGTTTTCACAGATACCAAAACTGACTGCTTCATAAGCCTGTAATATGGTGCAGGACCATTTATATGTCATTCCATGCAACAGTGAGCAAAATTTCATGAGTCCAACCACACAGCTGCACAACCATGTTCCGAAATGGTTGCAATAGCTGGCATTTTGAACTCGCGACCAGGCCATCTCCTCTTCAACTCACCTTTCGGATATTATGATAAATCTTAATTGATTTTTTTTTTAAGATGGCAAAGATGGCGAGTCATATGACCTGAAATGTGGATTAACAGATGGATAGATAGATAATTAACAGACTTTACACCAAGCAATAAAGAGCTAAAATAATTCCACTCTTATTTTTATTTAGCCAGCTCAATGTGTGGAAATTATGGTAAATATACATGAACTAGTGCACACTTACAGACCTAAGTACATTGAAATTTATTCAATCTAGAATTATGAAAACCTAGTTCAAAGTATGACTAAACACTTTCCCCTAAAAACTGAAATAGATCTATAACAAATTATGATATGCTTAAGCAATCCAACACCTCTAGTGAAACTTTACCCAAAATGAAAATCACATGCAGATGGTGCAGTGTCAATAGTTGGCCTGTAATCCTTAACAATCTCTGGTCAATGGCGATTATACACAAACACAATATCTCTCAAACCCCAACAAGTAAACTTCTAGCTAGGGGGGAATTTAGGACCAATACTTGGCCTGTAATCCTTAACAATCTCTGGTCAATGGTGATTATACACAAACACAATATCTCTCAAACCCCAACAAGTAAACTTCTAGCTAGGGGGGAATTTAGGACCAAATGCTTTTTTTAGCGGTTTTGTACTAGATCATCTTTGTGTGGATACCTCGAAGTATGTAAAGTGATTGTCTTATGACTTAGACATATAAACATAGAGCTACAATCTCAACCTGACATCCTCCGTTAGCGGTGCTTTAGTTCGTTTTACAATATTTGTACATGTTGTCAAGTTTTGCCTGTGAGAGGGCTTCGTCAAGGTAATTATGATAAATTTGTCATTTCATAAGGTATGTTCAAATGGATGCAGAAAATTCAAAAACTTATATCAACAAGGAGAAACCGTAAACTAATACATATACAATTTCTAAATTTAAAGTTTATGTCTCGATACATACACACTGTACAATGACTACCTCAACCAAACTGATCCTGTCTAGTAAGTACATTTATTTGAATTTTTTTTTCATGTTTTACATGCCAAATCATCTCTTCTGCTTTTGTTCTTTATATCAAATGAATTATTGCAGAAAATATTATTCAAGAATTTGGTGTTATGAACCCATGTACATAGTATTGTACAAAACCTGCAAAAGTGAAAAAAGTTAGCACACAATTCTAATGCAAGATGAACAAGAAGTCAGAATGCTAAGCAAATTCAAAATGTGAATTACATAACTATCATATCCTGTGTGATTTATTCTAACCAAGTTTAAATGGGAAATAATTAAACAAATTATGCTTAAAAATTGAAATTAATAAAAACAAATTACCCGTTGGGTGGGGACCATATAATTTACTATTTTGTTTAATCTTTGGCCAGGGAAGATTTTTGCAAAATTTTATTGAAATCGGTACTGGGGTTTTTGAGAAGTTGTAAATGTTTAATTGTTTACAGACGTACAACGTACAACCAATGATGAAGGTGATCCCAATAGGTCACCATGATACTTTGTCTCAGGTGACCTAAAAATCAACACATTTACCGTAATTACTTAAGATGTGTGGAAGTCAATTATTTGGAGAAATATACAGGTTACAGCAAATTTAAGGGACGAAAAAATATCATTTCAGGAATATCTTAGTTCATACATAGTAAACATCAGCTTACGTGTTGTGACAGAGACATCTTGCGACTGTACAATTCTCTCTTTTCCACACTGCATTGGTAGGACTGATATCACCTTGAATCTGTAGGCTTGTCCAGGCATAAGATCTGTCACGAAATGTTGCATTCTGTTTGCTGCAATTTTGATGATATTTACTTCGCTTGAATGAGCTAGAGACCTGTGAACTTCATACCTCTGTACAGGTATATATACTGGATGTTTCCACTCAAGTGTAGCAGACGTACTGTCCTGTGTTGTTACAAGAAGGTCTTGAATGCTCAGATCAGAATCTGCAAATTTATCACGAAACTGTGCATTTTGAAACTTAAAAAGATGAAGAAATGACCTGAACTCTTCTTTCATCAATAACTTCTATCATCAAGGTCATGCTTTTCAACAGAAATGAAAACCTTGCAAACAGTTCAGGATATAATAAGATCAATTATAAACTAAGTATCTATTTCTTAAAGACAGGAAATGGATATACTGGTATATGTCCCCATGCCCCTTAATGCAACACTGACCTTTCATTCGTAGGGTATGTGTTTGAGGTTCACTTTTTTCTCCATGTGAGAGTGAACAAATCTCTACTGCATAAGCTGTAGAAAGTCTATGCTTGTCAAGTGATATGGTCAGATGTGTTGATTCTGTCATTACTGAGGTTACCACATCTCCGTAACAGTCCTTCAAAACAACACTATAACTCTCTACATATCCTGGTGATGCCTCCCAAATCAGCTCTACATGTGCTCCGGAAACAAGACTCTTGTGTTTATCTATTGGACCTGGTGCTGAAGGTCCTGGAAATGGGGAAAAAAAAGGAATGTTTACAATCAGACTTAGACATACATATAGTATGTTCATGTATAGTTTAAATCTATACAAGTAACATACATGCTTGCTACAGAATATTTGCTATTGCTTAGCTATCAGTTAGAATTTATCTACAGATCACATACATGATCCCTGTGAATTGAAGACAGTGAAGTGTAACTTCTGATTTGGAGAGAAAATGAAATAAATCTGTTGAGGGAATCATGATATATCTTGCACTGAACACAAACTTTTGTTGACTCCCTTGAGACATGCAGGGCTTAAAACAGGTTACGTAATCTATACACTGTGTCTACCCTCTTTACTGCTAAGTTGGGAGGTATATCATAGTTGATATATGAACCAAGGGCATCACAGAATAGAAACTTGATCATGGTGAATTCTTATTTTAGACAGTTATACCAGGAATCACAAACCAAATTCCTACACAAGTAATTCACCTTTTATAAGACTTTATTTCAAAATCTTTTAAGAACTCAATAGAAGTGATAGCTCAAATTTTTTGTGGCTTATACACTAGAGATATTTTGACTGAAAGATGTTGAGTACACAACAGCCATCTGTACAGCAAAATGCCCAATATCTACAGAAGTGTGTAGTGAAGCATGTGGAACAGAAAAAGATAAAGCAGGATGAATTTAAATTTGCTTGCCACAACACGCCCTCTCCAACAAAAAGCAGTTACAAAAAGGCTCAGTGATACATACTCATCGTGATTTTGATCTCCTCAGATTTTAGTGGGCTTTCCTGTCCATCTTCATAAGTAACAAATGATGTCACACTAAACAAGTACTGGCCACCAGTGGTCAGTCGGCCTAGGATTTCAGAGGTCTTTGTCCATGCATCTACTTCAAAGGCTTCATCAATGTAAAGTTCAGTACTGATGATGTTGACTTCATACCTTTCAGCTCTTAATTCTGGCTGTGTCCATTGTAATCTGACAGATGTTTCTGTTTCACTCAAAACATTCAGCTTTTTTACTAGAAAACTGTTCTCTGTAATATAAGCAAAATTATGAGTTGTAATAAGTTTTTCCTCTATATGATATGAAACCGAAGTCGCAGAACTATCAATTAATTATCTTTTAGTGGTGAACTTGAATCTTAAAAAATATTCTAGCTCAAATTTTCTTAATATAACTCCAAGATCAATATGAACAAGACAACTTTATTCTGCAAAAATACTGCATACATCAAGATCCTTCTTTAAAGCAATGTCATTGTTTATGTAAATTTAGTTTTTGAATTGTATTTGCTTAGGTAACAATCAATTCATTTTAGGTTTAACATCAGTTGTGACAGATTTTATTTCTTTTTCCTTTTATTTATTCATTGTAACAGAAAAGTACTACTACCCTCCCCACTGGAAAACGTGAGACCCTGGGGCCATTAAATTCACAATTTTGGGAAAGCACCTTCAGATGCTTCCATTTATGAAGAGTATTTGATTCTACCATATCTGAGTGTTGAGAAGATGATTTTTGAAATGTGAGTTATTTTGACACTTTTGGCCCTGCCTCTCAGGCCCTTGGGAGGTGGGGACTGTATCATTCGCAATTTTGGTTCATTTTAGGCCAGGGAAGGTTTCTGCAAAATGATATTGAATTTGGATCAAGGGTTTTTTGAAAAGAAGTCGAAAGTGTTAAAGTTTACGGATGCACACTGCATGACGCACAACACACGACGCCAGATTTAGGGTATTAGAATAAGTCACCATGAGATTTTGTCTCAGGTGACCCTAAAAGTAAGGTTATTGTAATTGCCAACTGGACCAACTTTCAAATGTACATATAATACCTTCTTATTGCATAATTGTATAATACAGATTTGACAAACAGAATAAATAGGAACAATTGTACTGAGAAAAAATAATACACTGTAAAAATTGTTTTGTCAATATTTTAAGCATTTTAGATTTTTCAAGCATTTTAAGGAACAATTTAAACTTAACTGATATCAACACTTGCTGAGATTGAATGCATTGTGATATAATAGTGTTTATCATGTGCCTGAAGTGAGAGATCTCTTTTGCTTTTACAAATTGATATTAATCAACCATCAATATTGGCCTGTGCTGCACAATTTACATGCCTGTCTCTATGAACTAGCTTTTCACAGCCAATAAAAGTGACTATGTCAGCTACAAACCAAGGAGTTGCCAAATGGTGTGAAGATAATTATGAAACCCAAAGATTCAAAGATTCGTTATTTTTTGAGAAAATTAGTTGGGGATATGAGCAATTTACAAACGGTGAAACAAATGCTACAGTAAAGAAGAAACCTAGTAGATAAAAAATAAACAAGTATACACGCAAAGAATATAAAACGCACTGGTGATGCATTTGTTTAAATCAAACATAGTAGAGAACTCTATTGTTTTATTCCTACTTTATCTTCCTGTGGTGAGTTTCCGATCAGAAAGCCAAGAAGATTTCTATTCATGCGGTTGTGGTACTGCTATCAGTAAGATGAATGCCTTACCGACGTCTTTCAAATTCCACTTCTTGATTATTGATTCAATTGCAAATGGACAATGCCAACTATCAGCTGTGCAATGTACTGTTGTTCTCATGTGCAAATTAAAATGATTGATATTCACATTAATCAATTCTACAGACATGCAGTTCTAAAATACAAATTTCAATCATCAATATTAAAGAAAAATTATTTTGTTGATAACTGTTTGATCTTTACCTTATTAAAAATTACGTTTTTGCATTCTCAAATTACTGGTAATTAGGAAATCATATCACAATGATATCTTTGATATGTATTTGTTGAATGTGTTAGGCAGTATACTAATTCAATAATTATCACAAAACCACCATTTAGGTCTAGCACTGATGTATGTAGTGTACGAGATGGTATTAATCAACCAACATTTTCGGCTGTACTATAATCCTATGTACACTAAGGTCAAAAAAAGCATGACAAGATGGTTAACAGATTAAAGACCAAAAAAAATACATCAGATGGTAACAATGTACTACAGTTAATTCGGCTAGGCTTTGTTTAACACTTGCAATTGGTGATAGATGTGCAAGAGTCTGTAGCTTCCATCATCTCTGTTTAGTACTGACCTGCTGTGGAGTATCAAGATGGCTTCTTAAACCAGTAGCCAAGCTGTTTTCTCTGTTGACTGTTTTGGGATTTTCCCAGTCAATGATATTCTTTTGCTGAATTATCTGTGAGTGCTGATTTATTGATCTCGGACTGAGAACATTTCCATTCTAATCTAGTGAATTTTTTGCCATCTTGAGATACTGTATTTATCTGATGTTCATCAAGTTGTACCCTTAATCTCCTGCCTGTTTCTCTGATATATGATGCATTGCAATTATTGCATCCAATTTTGTATACGCATTCTTGCAACATTTTCATTGGGTGTGTTAGAAATGGCTGTGGAAATATCTTGTGGTAAATTCTCTAAACGGTTTCTTACAATCCTTTGATGTAAGGTATGACTTCTTGTCCTTTCAATTTGTTCTTTTCTTTGTTGATTCATCTCTAAGTCTTCTTGCTTTCATCAAAAAGTTAAATTTCTAGATTGCCCAATCAGGGTATCCACATGTTTTCATGGTGCCATGGATGTGATTTTTGTTCTTGTTTCTTGTCTTTTTCCTCTGCGACAACGGTCTCTAACTGTTCAGCAACATTCGTACAATGCCTGACTTCTGGTGTAAGGGGTGGTGCAATCGGAAATTGAGGTTTTGGTCAGTGCATGTCTTTTGCCTATAGATCAATGCTTTGATTGTACTATCACCTTTCTTTACTAGAAGGGTTTCCAGGAATGGGGTAGTGCCATCAATTTCCTCCCTACATGTGAATTTGATGCTGTTGGTAGTATCTACAGTATGGATATGCTTAGTTAAATCCTTTTGTGATCCTTTTTTGACTAATTCCAATATGTCATCAACATACTGCTTCAACAGACTGGGCTTGCAAATTCTACAGCAGCTGTAACTATAGCCTCTTCTTTCAAGTACTCCAGGAATGAGTTGGACACAACTGGAGGCACTGGGCTGCCCATGGCTGTGCCAAACCATTGCTGATATATAGTATTTTGGAAGGCAGAGTATGTTATTGTAAGCACAAATTCTAATAAATCCATGAGGTCTTGGATATGGAGACTGGTATTCTTTCACCATGACCAGTCTTGCTCTAGGCGGCACCGACTGATACCATGTGCTTTGTCAGTTGGTGTGTTGGTGAAAACAAACACTGCCATGTATAATGAACTCCTGATCTGTTTAGTATCATGAACACTTTTTGCAAGGTCTATGACATTGTTATTATCTTGTGAATTTTTCGGTCTATAATCTGTTTACCATCTTGTCACACGATTTTTTACCTTGGTGTACATAAAATTAAAGTACAGCCAAAAAAGATGGTCAATTCCTTAGCAGCTCATACTCTATGTACACCAGTGCTAGTACTCTCCATAAAGATGACTGTGTAGTCATGGAAATTTCACACTCAAGTCTTCTACTAGTTTAACCTTTATTCTATCATATATATTTACTATGTCCAAGGTAAAGTGGAACTCTCCCTTATCCTAAATTTTCCCATCCTTTACATATTTTTTGTTATGTGTGTGTGTGTGCGTGCGTGCGTGTGTGCGTGCGTGTGTGCGTGTGTGTGCGTGCGTGCGTGCGTGTGTGCGTGTGTGTGTGATGAATGAATCAGGTAATCAGGAAAAACTGATGCAAAAAGTTAATTAGTAAGAAAATAGTGAAATGCTTTACTTTATCATGACTTTTGGAAAAAAAGTACAGGAAGGACAGCTTTACAAAATACATTTTGGTATACGTAGGCAATACTGATCAGCTACTACATGTCTGATGATCAACCGATCAAGCCAAAGAGAAGTTCTCTCTAGCTGAGCGGTATATTTCTGGTAGTATTTACCAGGGTTACATATATATTAAGTAAAGATTTAGGTGTATAATTTAACAAGTCACTAATTTTAACTAACCTCTATTTGCGAAGAAAAAATAATTGCCACAAAGTGCAGTCATCGTGATGCTAGAAAATACTATGGTAACAATCAGTGACATGATAAAGTTATAGAAAACTCTTTCCAGAGCGGATGTATCATCTTCTCTTAGAGACTTAATAACTCTCTTAAGCGTGTGATGGTAGGACTTCATTCCAGTCTTAAAGGGTGACAGAACGTCTGCTGGGACGGCCATTTTCAAGCCTCCTTCGGGATGACGTGGGCCGCGTTTGTTTATCAGGTTCAACCGTTCCATTCTAAGGCTTAGATTTTTAACCGAAAATCCGATAGCTGGTTCTGTCGCCTGACATTGTTCGTTAAATCTGAATAACTGATAACTGATTAAAGTTCGTGTAATATACACACTTCATCAGTATTTGTTGGTAGACTTATCTATTTTTAACGTGGTAGTGATGATATTACGTAACTAGGCCTAATGGTAAGCGCGCAACTTAATCGGAAATTCCCTCACCAGATCCAGGAATCGCTGTAAAAGTTACTTTCGTTTTGAATGATCAGAATGGAGTTGCGTCCCCTCATATAGCATATATGAATCGGTGTTCTAATGACCTACTTCTGCTTATATTATTTTGTCCTTGTAAAATGCATCTTGAATCAGGGATGTATAATACTTTTGATATAGCTAGCAATTTATTCCAACATCAATTGGCTATATGATGGCGTAATTTGATACCCAACTTTATAGTCCTGGGTATATTTTAGGATATCTCTGATTGGATAACATTAAGTACCGTTGATAACTGTATTGTTAATGAACAGGAAATTGTAATTGCCATATTTTCTGTCGTCAATTGTTATTTTTAATAAATGGCATATTTCAATTTTAATCAGAGTCTGGTTTTGTGTATTTAGAATAAGTATAACCCAGGTTACACACAGAGCACATCCTTTGTTCGGTGCAGCGCTGAATACTGTTATATACGTCCCTACTTGAATGAAATCATAAATTAATATAGAGATAGTGATGATACCACCTTGCACCTTGAAGCTAAGCGTAGCCAGACAGATTTCCAAGAAGTCGGCAACTTACGGACATAATTATAACACGGGGTTGCAATAGATGCAGGCTGATGAAAATTAAGTAGAAGTTTAACGCTCGTCGTGAGAAAGATTCTTTTTGAGATATGAAACACGTTGGTTTCGTTGTCGTATACCCTGTTCTCATTTTGAGAACGTGATATTATTTACTCGGATTTATTAAGATCTACATGGCGAGCGTCGTCGCTGAAGCAAAAGATACTTATTCTTCCAGAACACCCTGTCTTATGCTTCTTGTACTTTTTTTATATGCTGCCCTAGTTTTGTTGATTTTCAGTTTGGATTAGGAATGACATGTTGGCATTTTCTTGCTTGTTTTGTAGACCTTTTTGACGATTCTACCCAAAACTAAACATTAATTACCAGGGACGAAAGAAACCCGACACATACACCTACAAAGTTTGCGAAAAAAGATCCTCAACTTCTTAGAAAAAAGCAGCGAGAAGATTTTTCAGTAAAATCCAAGAGGCGGTTTTTATCTTATCGATGGCGCAGTCCTAAAATTGTACTTACATAGCTATGGACAGGACAGAATCTACACATGAAAGAGAATTACCCCTTTGCAAAAAAAATAGCAACAAGATTTTGAAGGATATATCTGTGTAACTGCTTCTACGCAAACTGACTGTGCTAAATGTATTGGCTACATGAATGGCCTCAGACGAATTCTAAAAAATGGGACTTCACTCACTGGGACATTGATATACAAAACAAACAAAATTCAGGAGAATGATAAAACCGGATTTGGACGAAGTACTTGAAAAAAAGGTTAGCAAAATGTGTGCCCCCTCTACCCTAAAATCTTGGATCCTCGCCCGAACTTTTTAAATTTCAAGTTGGACCAAATAGAATTAATCCACTCTGAATGTGAAACCAACGCCGGATGTTCACATTAACCTGCTACAAATGTATCTGGCATATTTTTCCATGAACCTAAACTCAAGAATCTTGAATTTCAGTAACTAGTTAACGGAAGGAGTTTCACGACATACTGTAGTGACCACTTAATGACAGGATCATGTAGCCTTTACGAAGCTAAAGGACCACAATACAATATCTGGACAGTGTGGTCATAGATTCATTACCCTGTCACCATAGAAACCTGGTCATACCTCGATGAGTATCTGCTGTCTTGTCTGTTCAACAGATACTGCAAATAATGCATAAGCAGTGCATATACTGTTGTTTCCTTTGTGTCACAGACAAAATATTAGATGAAAGCTTCGTACTTCTCCAACGTCTACTCAATCATATCGAAATCTTATACTCTTCCACTAACCGCGTTTGTTCTGAGATGTTCAAGCTAAAGTTGGTAATCTGTATACAACACATGACATTCCTTTGTACAATTCAAGTTTGGGTTTTATACTAACTTGTGTCCTATGTCGCTAGCAGCCATTATCTTCTGTAACTAATATAACAATTTCCACAGTAACGGAGGTCTTGTAAACATTGTAAAGCACGCTGACGTACTGAATATATCCAGATGTAGGAAGATCTTTCGATTTCTTGACTGAAAGACAACACTGTAATATTATGTATTTTTATTAAATAAATGTAAGATGTAATTTATTGAATGTATGCAATAAATTCCGAGTCATTTAGCATAATCAGACAAATAAAGATGCTTAAACCATATCATGGAAACCATATACTAGTATATATTAAAATGATTTTTATAAAACACGCCGAATTCAGCATTAACGCTCTTTCAACCTCTATACATGTATATAAATTTTACCACACAACGATACATACACACGAATCTAAATGTAACCCATATAAGGTAAAAAGAGTTAATACATATAACACGTGATCTTTGTTAGTCAGGAATATTTTGACCGTGATAGGCTACTTACACTGGTAAGTGTTTCGTTTAGTGTTGTTACTGTAGAACTTACTTTATTTGGCTATTCAACAGATAATAACAAGACATATCCTTCATTTTTAAGGAATATCAACGGTTTTATACAATACTAAACACAATAATATGCAAATGCGTTGTGAAACGATAGGATTTTTTATTTCAAATTTTGAAATATACTGGGAACATATCAACACAGTGAGATTAGTATTGATTTCTTGAATATCATCGAACAGTTATGGTCAAGTTTTGTCTATATGTTAATAAATGTTTGTTCTTGTGGTGAATAAAATTATATATGATGACCTACATATATATGATATGAGCAAACCAGAAGGAAACACGGGAAGTGATAGACATTGCAAGTTGTGAGTTAAGGCATGTGGAAAGTGTATCGCCTGTTTCACTTGCGTGGAGAAGGAGCAGATGCATGATCTACATATATACAAAGTATTTTAAACATACAAAGCTCGTGTTATACCTCTCTCTCTCTCTCTCTCTCTCTCTCTCTCTCTCTCTCTCTCTCTCTCTCTCTCTCTCTCTCTCTCTCTCTCTCTCTCTCTCTCTCTCTCTCTCTCTCTCTCTCTCTCTCTCTCTCTCTCTCTCTCTCTCTCTTTCTCTGTCTGTCTCTCTCTCTAAATAGAAAGGGCTTTATATAAGTTGTAAAACTTGTGCCCAATTCTACTAGGTGCAGTAAAATATGTTTACATCAAACCAGGATTTGTATTTCTGAACAAAGATTGTTTTCTTGGCAGTGTATTAGATATTACAGCCAAAGGGCTCGAAATATACATTACTGGTACATTTAAATCAAGCCATGCTAAATTAAAAATAAAACAGGGTTATTAACCAACGATTGTACAAAAGACACACAAGTTAATAACACCTTTTGATAAAACTTCAGGGTTAGATATAGTAGAGCCAAACAATTAATGAAACTGCATCATTCAACTGTTACGTCTTTCTATGAATGGGCAGTGTTGTTATAGGCCTAAATTTTGAAGCTTAAGAGGCGAATGAGAAAAATCCAAAATGACCGAAAGAAAAGTAAAAAAATCTAGACGGTGAGGTGCAGCAACAGCATGATTAAATCAATCTCGTTATTTTCTTACATCAGATAATTTAAAACCACTTCAAGTACATCAAAACTATAATTCAGCTTTAGGTTACATACTTTTGTCACGTGTATTAGTGTAATATAATATAATAAAGAAATGTACATGTAATGTTTTAGAAAACTGAGTAAGCGGAGTATCACTAATTCGGCGGGTGTTGCTGAAAAAACTTTTGATATATGTTGTGGTATACTGCTCCGTCGTCTGCTGTGATAGACTGCTCCGTCGTCTGCTGTGATATACTGCTCCGTCGTCTGCTGTGATAGACTGCTGCGTCTGCCTGCTGCTGATACAATGCTCCGTGTCTGCTTTGCTGTGGTATACTGGTAGACTGCTCACATTTGCTGTGGTACTGCTCCGTCGTCTGTTGTGATAGACTGCTCCGTCGTCTGTTGTGGTATACTGCTCCGTCGTCTGCTGTGATAGACTGCTCCGTCGTCTGCTGTGATAGACTGCTCCGTCGTCTGTTGTGGTATACTGCTCCGTCGTCTGTTGTGGTATACTGCTCCGTCGTCTGTTGTGGTATACTGCTCCGTCGTCTGCTGTGAGACTGATATCACATTTGTTGCGGTAGACTGTTCCGACATTTGCTGTGGTAGACTGGTCCCACATTTGCTGTGGTAGACTGGTCCCACATTTGCTGTGGTATACTGGTCCCACATTTGTTGTGGTATACTAGTCCCACATGTGTTGTGGTATACTGGTCCCACATTTGTTGTGGTATACTGGTCCCAAATTTGTTGTGGTATACTGGTCCCACGTGTTGCGGTAGACTGATATCACATTTGTTGCGGTAGACTGTTCCGACATTTGCTGTGGTATACTGGTCCCACATTTGCTGTGGTATACTGGTCCCACATTTGCTGTGGTAGACTGGTCCCACATGTGCTGTGGTATACTGGTCCCACATTTGCTGTGGTATACTGGTCCCACATTTGCTGTGGTAGACTGGTCCCACATTTGCTGTGGTATGCTGGTCCCACATTTGCTGTGGTATATTGGTCCCACATGTTGGGGTAGACTTGTTCTTCGTGTGTTGTGATGAACTGTTCAACGTGGTCACACCTGTGGTGTTGTTTTGATGGACTGTTCTATGTGGTCACACATGTGGTGTTGTTTTGATAGACTGTTCCACGTGGTCACACACGTGGTGTTGTTTTGATGGACTAATCTACGTAATCACACATGTGTTGTTATGGTGATGGACTATTCCACGTGATCACACATGTGGTGTTGTCTTGATGGACTGTTCCACGTGGTCACACACGTGGTGTTGTTTTGATGGACTATTCTACGTAATCACACATGTGGTGTTGTTTTGATAGACTGTTCCACGTGGTCACACACGTGGTGTTGTTTTGATGGACTATTCTACGTAATCACTCATGTGTTGTTATGGTGATGGACTATTCCACGTGATCATACATGTGGTGTTGTTTTGATGGACTATTCCACGTGATCACACATGTGGTGTTGTTTTGATGGACTATTCCACGTGGTCACACATGCGGTTTTTGTGCGTGCCGTTTTACGTTTATAATTCATTATAGTGATTTCGCCTTATCGTTTCTGTTATATGGCTTAAATGGAATAACAGTAAAATGACGTCATGTGACAGCTGTCGAATTTGTGTATGGCACACTTATTCAGTCTTGGTAGATGCTTTCTAACCCTAAGGTTGTCTTAGATTTGACATTTCTACTGTTGTCACATCATACATGTTTATTCGTGTATTGACGCGATGGCGTGATTTAGTTCAGAGCATAAAAATGACATGGACCGGTACTTCGTCTTTCCAAATTCATCATCATCATCATCATCATCATCATCATCATCATCATCATCATCATCATTTATAACACGGTATTGAATATAATATTATTATCGTTTTCATTATTCCATTTTAGATATAAAGGATGACACAGCTGCATTAATCTGATTCGGACGAATTAAAAACGACACGTCATAGCAAGCAAGTAATATATTAAAACAATGCCATACCTTACGTGGCCAATATTAATGAAAATCAATATTTTGCGTTATCCTTAACCGTTGTAATGTAACTATATCTTTGTATCCACAATGACTAACATTATATATTTTACTTATGCTTTAAACAGTATAAATCCATCCATCAAACTATTCAATATAATCCTATCTTTCACAACATATTTACAGTTATGACGTAGGATACTAGCTAAATCCGAAATAGAAACATGAATATATATCGCTCACACTCAGCGATTTTCTGCGTTAATAATGCCGCTATCTTTCAAATCGCTATTTTAAAAGCATCCAAACTTAGTTTATTTTTCTAATAAAAATTACTATATATTTCAAAAAAGAAGCACAGTGTGGTCGAACTATTGATAAATTTTGAACAATATATTTTACGGTATTTTCGACATGACGTAAGCGTACAGAACACTGTACGTGCGAGTTGCTAGTCTTGGGGCTTGGTTTGAATTATCAACTAACAGCACTTATAAACAAACAAAACTTACAAACAGAACATCAGTTTTGTTTTAATCCTTGTCGTTGTGGCGAGATCGTCTTAATGTATAACATCATTGTACCTCATTAGACGTCACAAAATTGGACTGTTCGTCCCACGCGCACACCCGCCGATATGACACTTTTTCAGGTTTTTCACACCCACCGCCATGACACTTTTTCAAGTTTTTCAAGATAAAAAGTTTGCGCGTCGTAGGCAAGGTACATTTGGTGCTCATGATTTATGAATAATATATTTTGAATACTGTACTGATCATGATGTTGACTCTGTTATAACTTATATTTTTAGTCTTTTAGTTTTATTTGATGAAGGTTGTTGTGCTGATTTCTCAAGGTTTGTTAATGTGTATCAAAGTTCCTTAAAATGAAAATATCCCTTCAAACAAAGCGCGTATAAAAAACCCAAAATATACATGTTTATAAGTATCAATTAACTAGAACGAAATATTTCCATAACATATTCACTCATTTAGCGTGTCATGGTGACATTATCTGATGCATTGGAGATCAGAAATAGTGGTAGCTATAGTGAAAATATTGTAAATTTTGTATATATATGGAAGTCTGGTTTAATCTCAAAGAACTATGTCTTTATAGACATAATTACTGGAAGAAAAGTCTAACCATGATACTTCAAGGAAGATAGGCATGTAGATACATTTAATGTAATTACTTACACTTTAATCTATCTGAAATGCTGTGTACTCCTTAACTACAAATATGATTATATAAAGGACTATTACTTTGCAATACATTCAAAATAAAGAAGTAAGTATCAAGTCCTTTCGATTTGTCTAAATCCTCATATTGATAGGATAGTAATTGCAACATCTTGGGTATTTCAAGGGTTTTATTTTGTCAACTTCATCATAAAGCTATTTATCTTTTGGCTTGTTGGCGATAAATATATGGTTGTGTGTATTTTGTTATATTTTTTTTACCTATTTTGATTTGTTCACATTATTGTCGTCAAATTTGAAATAAGAATTAAAGAAGATATAAAATCGCTTAAAATTAAGAAAAAATAGCCTCTGGTTCTCTTATTTTAGTAATTTTTGCATTCCAAAGTGTAGGAGTATGGGGAAAGTAATATAGCTTTGCGGTTATTTGTGAACATTTTTCAATACGTTTAGCCTTTCAGTACTTTCAGTACTTTGATTGATGTTTGATTTCCCCTCATACTGATAATACAGTTCATTGTTCAGAAACAAAGATGTTGGAAGCATGGTTGCTACTCTCAAGAAATGATTAGATATAAATATGAAAAAAATAACATGCTTATTATTCACTTATTTGGTTAGCGAGTGTTAGCGGTTACATCTGTGTATAGGTGCTAGTTAAGTTACATATATTAGCATAGGTTAATATGAGAAGCCAATGCAGGGAATTTATCTCATTTAATAGGAATGGTATGAAAGAATAACGTGATAAACAGATTTCTTAATGAGGTGCATGTTAAATGTCTATCATTCAAAGCAAACATCGTTTTTAAATCGAACCAGAAGAAATTTGAGTGTGAGGTTTAGATAACTACACTGTCAACAGTTGACGTATACAGTGTACGAGATGGTTTCACAATATTGTTTTTACATGTTATATTGTTGACTTTTGCTATGCTTGATGTACTCAGATCATTTTATATCAGATGTTTCGTAGAGAATTCCACGGTTTTCATGTATCCTTTCAGATAAAAAACAGTATCTGATTGACAAACTGCAATCTAGTGGGAATCGCGATATGGAACACATTCTGCGTTGCCTCAAAGCCACAACATATCTTACTATGAATGAGGAAAAGGACACACGTCTTGACTCTGTTAATCGCACTGCAACGTCAGCCCCAAGCGACGGGTTCTGTTAGGTGTGTTAGTGACGTATATCCACAGGCCTTTACTGTCTCACACATTGTAGACGATATATACCAGAGGCTGACAGGTTTCAGAGATATCATGCCAGAATTACTGAAACAAGTCACAACTATAGACAATCTTCCATGCCGGAGGTTCCATAAAAAAAAACTAATTGGGTAATGTTGAAATGAAAACAGACCTTACTCCTTCAACAAACAATATACGATGAAAAAAGGAGAAAAAATGACTTTATTACTTTGATACATATTCATGATGGAACTTCACGCCTGTAATTTATGTGATGCAGTGAGTTTATTGTTAGATAAAATTAATTAAACAGAGCTGGGTCAATAACAACGAAACCTCTCTGCATACTAGTCTGTGTGTTGTAGTTTATCAAGTAAAGATAGCTTCATTTCAAATGTTATCTGATTTCATTACAAAATCAAGACAAGACTAATATAAACTGACACAAACCTTCGTCGAAAAGCAGGAATAAAATGTGATATCATCTTGTTACTGATGGTATGATACCTTGGATCAATAAAACAAAACGTCTTTATTACAGGCTATATGTAAGGAAGCTCCAACTGATTTACGTCGCCGTTGTAAATTACATAAGTGCAAATGTCCCTAACCGTGTTCTGTAAAGTTATTTGAAACATTGCCAGTAAAGGATACTTGATAACCAATAAATATATCAGGTACTTCGAATGTACTCCTGCTTGTTGCTGTTACCTAGATACCAATAATTAATCAAATAAATAAAAACTATGTCAATGATATTTACAATGGCCCACTGTCTTCGATCTAAACATGGGTAGTCATTGTATCAAAGGCTCAGAGGCGAGATTACTGACGTCGCATATTTCCTTCTTGAAGCAAGGGCATGGATACCAGCTGTGAATTTGTGGACACGTTCCCCTAAAGCATGCAAATGTGATAATTCGATGTTTTTCAACCGTTTTAAATTCTCTTTATGTGTGTCTGGAATTATTTTTGATTTGACCGAATATTCTTCACGGAGATGACGATATGATTTTTGGTTACTGTTAAATGGGTCGTTTTCATTTTCGATGACTCCTTCGAACCTTTCTTCCTCGAAAACACTGTCGTCGTCTGAATCTGAGAACGAGGAAGAATGCCTCTTGAGTGTGTCCACCTTTTGGGGCCTGACGGCTGTCTGTCGATGGTGAGAGCCCGGTAAGTCTTCCTTTGCGAATGGATATCCCTGTCTATGACCTGGTTGCGATAATCTGTCATTTACAGACGAAGGCGTTCTACTTGTATTCCGTGGTAATTGTCGTGAGAATGCCGATTTTGATCTGTAAGATTGTTGTGGTTCTGGTTTCGAAGCTTGACTGTGCGAGGCGGATAGAGTACGGCGTACCTTTTTAGGATCATTTGTTGTGTAAATCGGCCTGTTTCCAGGCCCGAAGTCGAGGACGTAATTGCTTGGCACAGTACGCAATATCCGGTCAGCGCTTAACTCATGTGAACTCTTCACCACCATGGAGGACCTACACCTTGTTTGTTGAAACCTTGACTCTTGAAAATTGACAGATTTCAGACCAAGTCCTTTACGGAAAGTTTCCAAATTCTCTTTTTCCTGGTCATGTTTTATCCCAAAATATTTCATTTCCTCTCTCAAATTTGCGAGCGCTTTCACTTTTGATTTCTGAACGAGAGCATTGGCAGACTTTACAGGTTGACTGAATTCTTTGGTCAAAAATCGTGCCTTTGGGTCTTTCTTGAATAAGTGACTTGCTCGTCGCTCGTAATCAAGTCTCCGGACAAGCTCCCCCATTCTTCGCTAGGTGTGGAAAACGGGCTTAGTATTTCTGAAAATAGAACATCTATATGTTACTGGCTTAATTATACCCATGTTTAACATGCTTTGGTTATTAATGAAGAAAAAAAACCCATTCAGGCGGGCAAGATGTAGGACACATTTAAAACCACGATTTCCAAGGCACGCGATGGAAATGAATTCACATAATGTTAAAAACAAAACAAAGAAAATGTCGACAAATTAACAGAATGAATATCAAATCAAATGAAAATTCGATGATATAGTTGCAAAATATGAATAAAAGCTATTCACATGGACATCATTGAAAAGACACGAGGATATTAAGGTGTTTCAGAGTAGTAAGCGCCTTCTGCTTCGTCGACGGCGTCGACGCAAATGCTTTGTACATTGTATATCTTGGTAAATCTAAGTACGAAAGATTCCAAATGAGAACCAAGTAAACAACAAAAGAACAATCCGGTATACTTGATAGCATAAACATGTCCACCTGCATACCGCACAAGATAGAAACTTTCTTTATAAAGTCATTATGATGACCATATAACTTCCTCAAAAGATAATATGGTGTCGGGTCTAAAGAAGTCATTGCGACGACCATAAACACCCCAAAGAAAAAGGGATGGTGTAAGATCTCAATGATGTCAGAAAATGACTTAAAGGACTTCTCTATTTGATTTGCTAGCTTAAATAAACTATGCAGCAATGTTGAACTTCGACCGAACAAAGACAAATGATAAACTTATTGTGAGGATACTACTTTACGTGTTTATTATTGTAACGTTTTTGTTGTAACGTTAACTAATTAATACACGATAGGGGAATAATATTACACAAATAGTTCAATATCCTATTTATTTAATGCTTATTATAATTAATTATTCTAAATTCAATTGATATAAAATTAATAACGGAGGGAAATAACGATCTTTAAAATACATGTTTGCGCGTTTGAAGTCAGATACGCATATTGTAATCAGTTCAAGAGGTCATAAGCATTGTCAGTAAGTAGCTATGACGATTAACGCTTGTGTGTATGTACCGATGTTGTTAAATATGAGATAAGTAAAAATGATTTATCTAACACAGCCTGAGTTAATGTGCCATCAACTCTCATAAATACTTCCATGGTGATAGAAATGTTATTTTAGCGAGTTATATTAAAACCCTACTTGCAGCTTATATACCATTTTTTCCTTTTTCTATAGCTATTCGGCTAGGAATGACTAAAATGAGTGATCCCTTATAAAAATGTAAATACATCCACATAACCAATTGAAATACTTCCTACTTATATGATTATAGTCCGAAGTACATTGACTTTACGCTTGAGGCATGCATAACGGTATTAGACAGAGGCCCGTATGATATAATCTCTAAATATTTGGATAAAGTTCAATTAAGTATAAAGCTAATACCATTGTGAAGGGAGGGTCTATCAGAATAGTCGTCGCCTAACGGAACAAAGTTGATATGTTAAAGAATAATATGTACGATAATGAAAATATTTGAGATCGTTGCATGTGAAATAGTTTACTTTGTAGCTGAAACAGCTTTTGACATTAAGAAATAAACGAAAGTTTATCTAAGAGTGATCATTGTAAAATATTGTTAATGACAAGATATTTAAAATACAGTAAAAGGTCTTTTGTTAAAATCATTATTATTCTACTTATCAAGCTAACTGTGTGGAACAAAATTTTGTTTATTATTGTAGTCAGTGTAAACAGTAAATATTTGTCTCTTTTTGGCATACTTTCTCTGCGTTAATAAAAGAATTGTTTTATTTGTCTATTACAACTAATAGTTGTAATTATCACGCACTAGATCTGCCCGGCTATTGAATTTTAATTGTTATCACGTGGTACTTGTACCATTAGGGGGCGTTTAAATAACTAATTGGCATTTCAGTCTTATTGCGAAAAAACTAATCATACGTCGATACATGTTATTTCACTTCTTGTTTCTGGTTTGAAATATTTTGCCTTAATGAATACAAGTCGTGACAATTGTATACTTGTAACCATATAATTTAGACATTCTGTATTGAAGGACATTCAATGCCTTCCCTTAGCGTTTGGATGTGTTTTGATTTTCAGCTTAATCAATACGAGATACAAGTCTTACTCTGGCTTGTTTGTATTTGGTATTTTTATTGCTAGTCTCTGTATCATTCTTGTTCAAACGAAAGATTTTTCAATGACAAGTACTTCTAAAAACCTAAAATTTATTTAAAAAAAAACGTTCATATAAAAAATAGCAAAGTTGTCTAATAACATTTTTCTGTCATTTAAAAGCAAAATGAGCGTTATATATATATACATATATTACAGCTCCTTTCTATATTAGATGCGGAAATGAACATATTTGTTTACCTTTTCCAGTAAATTATGACAATGTCACGTTCTATACACCGATATATCTAATGCAATGATTTCATCACTTTGGGAGGTACATACACACACTCGTTAACACTGAATGGGTCATTAATGTTTTATCCAAGCCCTCGTTACTACTCCATTTCACCAGGGGAAACTTTAAGTGTCTTTCAGAAAGTCATTAACAACAGAATGTATACCAGGGATCGCCTTGAGTACCCGTTGTACGAATACACCCGGTCACGTACTCAGATAGCCTTATAAATCTCCTATTTCCGTGTTCGTGTCCCGCCTAGACAGAATGATAAAAATCATGCGCTATGTTTCTCTTTTATTATTGCTTTTCTCTTTCAAATTGAAAAATAAATTTAATTATTTCTTCCCTTTTTCTTTGACTAAGCGAAACCTTTAATTCATCAAAGGAATTTCCCATTTCTGTACTACACCAAAAAAGTCCTTATCGTAAAACGGTAATCGCAGGAGTTTTAGAAATATACAGAAAACAAATTTGAGTATGTAGGACTTAAAACGGTTCAGTCATAACCTATGACAGTTTTCATGGTTCTGTCAAAAATTCAACAGAACTTTAATGTTACATTAATAAATTACATAATACATTAATCAGAATCAACAATTTTAGAACAATGTTACGCTATGATTGATTAAAGGACACTGATGTGTTTTGCCTATTTTAACTTACCTGGTTAATGTGCTTGTATACATGATTTCAGGTAATTGATAAATTAGGAATTGAATCCATTGTAGAACGATTCGGTTATCGTTTCCTATTGGCGCCACAATACGTATTATCGTGCAATGAAATCCATATCTTTCACTATTATCCTAAAAGTAATTAGCATTATCAAACCTCCAACTGCTGACAAATTTTACATGTTGTATTAACTTTGCAAGTGAGTGTAAATGATTTGTAAAGTTCAACTTCAATATCTGGCAAAATACAATATAAACACAAGAACTTAAGAAAATAAATGTTTGTTTTGAAATGGATAAATAAAATACCATCAATCAATGTTTACTATTGGTAATCAATATTGCCTTCTGGCCTTACACCTTAAATAAGTCTGCATGCTGATCATTTCAAATGTACAGATGTGATAATGATAAAATCATTACCTGTTGTTACATATCCAAATGCAAAGTTTGGAAGGTTTTGGTGTCCCGCACGATCTTCCTAATACATAATGTCCTCACTCGAACAGAACTTTGTGTGTACTGATCTTTCTGTTATGTTAGACCCGTAAAGACCATCCAATTGTCGACAAATTTAAAGCCATGTGCTTGCTGTCAATAATCAGGTGTAAGTGACACAGGTAAGTTGTCTCGGTATTGTGTGATGTGTATTGTGAGTCACCTCACCTGTACTGGTAACAGCAGGGCTATTATGCTTGTACACTCAATTCTCCATAAAACTTTGACGAGAGATACGCATTCCATGTACAGTGGATCCGAGCACGTGTAAAGTACCTTATCAAAGAGTACAGCGATATGACTTGCGTTCCTTTCCAACAATGCACATTTTGGTCCTGTGACAATTTTGTTTTTTGTTTTTATTTATTATTTATTGTTTCATAGCATTGCTTCACGTTAATTTGATTTCTGTACTATGGATGTCCTATGCCCGCGACATGCGCCACGTTTACCTTTATATGATGTATCTCCTAGAGCTGTTGATATTTATTGTTTTATATTCTGTATACATTTTGCAAAACGTTAAAGACAAATGTTTCGTCAGAGAATTTTGATTTTAGGGGTAAAGCTATATAATATATTGATACAGGCCTCAGAGATTTCCTTCATAACTTCAATCGATTAAACAATGGCAAAATATCAGTCCATAAGATTAAGACCAGGTGTTCCAGAATGATGAAATCCTGTTTCATCGACGACACCCACCATAGAATCTAGATCAAACCCAAAAGTAATGCTAAGTTCTCATATTAAGAACTTCTACGGTAAACAAAGAGGGTACCAAAAGCACGGGCATCTTCAAATCGCACCTGATCCTTTCACAATAAGACAACGATGGCGATTATCTAACGCATTCATATGGTTTATCAATGTACAGTTCCTGAAACACTTTTGTATGTTTGTTCGTTAATATTAATAATTGAAAATAGAAATAAAAAGTTGTTTTAAGTGATAAGTATCCCTGTTGGTAAAAAAAGTAGTGAAATATTACTGAGGGACTGGAAAATTTAGAGGAATTCTGTCCTTGGTTTGGATATAGCCAAAGTTCTTTTATCTGAAAATAAGGATTTATTTACGTCTTCATAGAGACCGGTCTGAATTTCCCTCAGTCGCATACATGGTTCTAACTATATGGGCCCTTAGCATCAGTAACGAGTCCTAGAAGGACGAAACTCCTGTATGGTGAAAAAAACTCAAGAAAATATCAACATGACAACATTATCATAATCCAAACTCAAATTTAACAATTACACGGAGACTCCTGAAAAAGTGCAAGGAAATGTAAAAAAAATAGCACTTTTACAATATAAAGCAGGATATTTCGAATATACATGATTTATTTTGATAATAATTTTCAAAAAAAAAGTTTAATATTGTAGCATTATTTACGCCATAAACAACGATGTCATGGCTCGGTTTTGTTCCAAGATCTATCATTGCTGACATGTTTACTATGTACAATATTGAACAGGGGCAGATAAAGGGAAAATGAACACATGATAAGCATTTATATAATCAAGGCGATCTGTTCCTCTGAGGTCAAGGGTCATCCTGGTATGTCGCGGTTATGATGTTCCCCGGGAAAACTGAGGTCAAGGGTCATCCTGGTCTGTCATATTCAGATTCAGATTCAGATTCTTTATTAGCCAGGAGCCTTACGGCTCATAGGCACAAAAGTAATACATTTACATATAAATATATAATAATACATAATACATGCATGTAGCTTACGCTCACACACACCACCTCACACACCATCCCTCACACACACACCACCTCACACCCTCACACATACACACACGTTTATGATGTTCCCCGGGAAAACTGAGGTCAAGGGTCATCCTGGTCTGTCGCGGTTATGTTGTTCCCCGGGAAAACTGAGGTCTAGGGTCATCCTGGTCTGTCGCGGTTATGTTGTTCCCCGGGAAAACTGAGGTCACGGATCATCCTGGTCTGTCGCAGTTATGTTAGAAAACAAATTGCCGACCTTTCTTACGTTGTGCACTGAAATAAAAGGCTATACCGTTGAAACGTACTATATTCCGGTAATATTCCACAGACTCTCCGGAAATGCTAGCGGGTGTGTTACGCTATACAAACAGGAAGGGACGTCGCATCCCATGTAGAGCGCGTTGGTTTGTGATGTCGGAAAGTAAACATCCTCTATGGCTTTCTAAGAATTTAACACGACATGTAATATGTATGTATTAATTTCTTTAGAAGTGAAGGTTTTTTCAGTGAAATTTCGAATGTTCTGAAAGCATATCTCATCATTGATAATGTTAACTTCTGCATATAGCATATGTATAGGTGTAATGTTCCCTCTGCAAATAAAACTGTGTTTTCTAGTATGTTTTACCATTGTATATATTATTGCCTACATAATGAAGACCAAAAGGACGAATATTTACAAAAAAAAAACCCCAAAAAAAAAAAACAAAATAAAAAAAAAAAAAATAAATAAATAAAATAAAATAAATAAGAATAAAAAAAAGAAACATATGTTCAATTAAATATTATATTCAAACAATAAAAAATGGGAAAATACACAACGGATACCAAGTACATATAGACATCCGATTTATGAATGGTTGACAGGACTACATGAATGTATATAATGTAAATTGTCCAGAGACCAACGGAGACGGGTTATAGCACTAATGTCTAGTACATACATAGTAGTATAAAAGTGACACAACCGTAACATCAGAACAGGGACTTCATGATGTAAAATCGAGGTTTGAAATATTCTCACGAAGTCTTGAATGTACACCGTGTCAGCTTTTGGGAGGTGAATCATGTATGTTGGTGAAGAGTTTAACTCACGTGAAGAACTAGAAGCACGTGTGGTCTCGCTCTGCCAACATTATACATCCAATACCCAAGGCTTCATAGATAATACTGGGCAAGAGAAAAAACGTGTAAGATTTAGGTGTTATCAAGACGGGAGTATACGTGTAAACGTCATCACAAACCGTGAACTAAGTCATCAACAACGGTGAGTAACCATGGTAATGACCTTTCTGTACTCATAACAGATACTGTGATGTTCGTGGCGGCGATCCATAACGTTTTAGTATTTACAGTTGCGACATCGACTAAGTTGCATGGTCAGGACTACTTTTTCTGTCCCACACTTTCTCTTGTTTCTGTGAGTTTGCCTTCTTATTTCCTAAAAATTAAACAACCTTTGCTAAATGTGGGCATTTGCCATATATCCTGTTCGTCAGCATCATACCTAAAGATTGCCTCCCGGAAACAACATTTCAAACTTTACAAAATATGATAGCGTTTCGTTTAACATGACAATGTTAATTGTAAGAATCTATCTTATCGTGACTGCAGTAAGATATTTCATTGCAACAGCTAGTAGAAATTGTTAATAAATGGCCGAATTACCGGTGAATACAGATTTTCATTGGCACTGGTTTTCCGTGACTCTCCGCCCAGACAACCAACAAGTCTATACAATAATTCCATTCATTGTTCACTGCATAAACTCCCTGGTCCTTCAGACGTTTGGTGTTTGAGTGCATCATTTATATTGATCACCGATAATGCTCTCTTATCCTGTTTCTACGATTTCTGTTTTCTAATACCTACCATAACTTGTTTTCTACGGTCATGCAGATAGATATTTTATATTGTTGTCAAGTCTTCGATTTCGTCGAACAATCACAAATGATGAACATCGGTAAATCTATACTTATTTAAAAGAAACAATTCGTCGCAGGCACGTAAATCATCTTCAGTTTCATCAGTTTTTCGTGTCTTACCAAACTTAAACTAAGATATCACGTGCAAGTCAATATATATTTATCTCAACTAGTTCCAGTTGTGATATATTTTATATTTACAGAACCGTGGCGTCACTGTGCCATTTTGAAATCGTAACTATGACGACCAAAGAGAATGGAACATATGTCGTCATGACAGCGAACCTTGAACATGATCATGCTATTTGTCAGTAAGTCCAGTACTACAACTGTTATGTATACTTCATTGGTTTGTCCATGATGCAAAAGATCAGGGTGTGATTTTCACGAATATTGTGAAATGGACTATTAAATTAGCAAATGATGTTATCTTACATGGGACTATTTTCGTGCGATTTCAATCCGCCCACGAATGCATGAAAAAAAGAACTCCTCCTGGAAAATAACCCTAGTTATTGGTAACTGCCATGATACTGCCTGCAGTACTATTAGATAGAGCGAGTTTCTGTGTAGACAAGTCTAGTTATTGGTAACTACCATGATACTGCAGTACTATTAGATAGAGCGAGTTTCTGTGTAGACAAGTCTATTTATTGGTAACTACCATGATACTGCAGTACTATTAGATAGAGCGAGTTTCTGTGTAGACAAGTCTAGTTATTGGTAACTACCAGGATACTGCAGTACTATTAGAACTAGAGCGAGTTTCTGTGTGGACAAGTCTAGTTATTGGTGACTACCATGATACTGCAGTACTATTAGAAAGAGCGAGTTTCTGTGTAGTTATTGGTAACTACCAGTCTAGTGTATCTAGTTAATGGTAACTACCATGGTACTGCAGTACTATTAGATAGAGCGAGTTTCTGTGTAGACAAGTCTAGTTATTGGTAACTACAATGATACTGCAGTACTATTAGATAGAGCGAGTTTCTGTGTAGACAAGTCTAGTTATTGGTAACTGCCATGGCACTGCAGTACTATTAGATAGAGCGAGTTTCTGTGTAGACAAGTCTAGTTATTGGTAACTACCTCGGTACTGCAGTACTATTAGATAGAGCGAGTTTCTGTGTAGACAAGTCCAGTTATTGGTAACTACCATGATACTGCAGTACTATTAGAAAGAGCGAGTTTCTGTGTAGACAAGTTTAGTTATTGGTAACTACCATGATACTGCAGTACTATTAGATAGAGCGAGTTTCTGTGTAGACAAGTCTAGTTATTGGTAACTACTTCGGTACTGCAGTACTATTAGATAGAGCGAGATTCTGTGTGGACAAGTCTAGTTATTGGTGACTACCATGATACTGCAGTACTATTAGAAAGAGCGAGTTTCTGTATAGACAAGTCCAGTTATTGGTAACTACCACGGTACTGCAGTACTATTAGATAGAGCGAGTTTCTGTGTAGACAAGTCTAGTTATTGGTAACTACCATGATACTGCAGTACTATTAGATAGAGCGAGTTTCTGTGTAGACAAGTCTAGTTATTGGTAACTACCATGATACTGCAGTACTATTAGATAGAGCGAGTTTCTGTGTAGACAAGTCTAGTTATTGGTAACTACCATGATACTGCAGTACTATTAGATAGAGCGAGTTTCTGTGTAGACAAGTCTAGTTATTGGTAACTACCACGGTACTGCAGTAGTATTAGATAGAGCGAGTTTCTGTGTAGACAAGTCTAGTTATTGGTAACTACCACGATACTGCAGTAGTATTAGATAGAGCGAGTTTCTGTGTAGACAAGTCTAGTTATTGGTAACTACCATGATACTGCAGTACTATTAGATAGAGCGAGTTTCTGTGTAGACAAGTCTAGTTATTGGTAACTACCATGATACTGCAGTACTATTAGATAGAGCGAGTTTCTGTGTAGACAAGTCTAGTTATTGGTAACTACCTCGGTACTGCAGTAGTATTAGAAAGAGCGAGTTTCTGTGTAGACAAGTCTAGTTATTGGTAACTACCATGATACTGCAGTACTATTAGATAGAGCGAGTTTCTGTGTAGACAAGTCTAGTTATTGGTAACTGCCATGGTACTGCAGTAGTATTAGATAGCGCGAGTTTCTGTGTAGACAAGTCTAGTTATTGGTAACTACCATGATACTGCAGTAGTATTAGATAGAGCGAGTTTCTGTGTAGACAAGTCTAGTTATTGGTAACTACCATGATACTGCAGTACTATTAGATAGAGCGAGTTTCTGTGTAGACAAGTCTAGTTATTGGTAACTACCACTGCAGTAGTATTAGAAAGAGCGAGTTTCTGTGTAGACAGTAGTTATTGGTAACTACCATGATATTAGATAGAGCGAGTTTCTGTGTAGACAAGTCTAGTTATTGGTAACTACCATGATACTGCAGTACTATTAGATAGAGCGAGTTTCTGTGTAGACAAGTCTAGTTATTGGTAACTACCATGATACTGCAGTAGTATTAGATAGAGCGAGTTTCTGTGCAGAGGAGTCCAGTAAAGCATAACGTAGAGCGAGTTTCTGAATTTACAATTCCTGTTATTGAGTATAAATGTTTTTGTTGTAAATTGTTAAAAGGACATACAAGACAATAGCATGTTAATACAAATTTAAGTTGGATACAACACATCCAAAAAATGAACTAAACCGCATCATACAGTTACTTCGTTCTTCTGGTGCTCGTCAGTGATGCTAACTGCCTAAGTTTGATATTACGTTGTATTTTGTTCTAGTGTTAAGTCTCAGACGATTTATTTCTGGTTTTATTCGTCATTTCAGAGAGATTTACTTCCAGTATCCAAACATACGACGTATGCAGAAGAGAAGAATATGGCACCAGCTGAATAAAGACCAATTAGAGGAAGTTATTGAGTGGCTGAACACAGACACATCAAACCATCCAACTCTCCAGCGTTTGTACACGCTGTTGAAAATGTCTCAAAAACGCGAAGTTCACTTATCTTAAATTCATTACACCTACAGGTGGTGAGGTCTCAGCTGGCGAGTCAAAGAGACAACAAAGAGATTTGAAACCAATTAGTGGACAATCAGTACAACCAGAACTCTTTTCTTTTCTTCAGGTCCCACCCTTCTTTCTTCTTCTTTCCTCACCAACTCTATTTTTCTTTATTGTTCTTAATTGAAATAGTAAATTGTCTTTGTGTATATATCGTATGTTCCTGCCATCACGTGCTATATATATATTAAATAATTTGTGTTGTATTTTCGGGAGAAGGCCTGGTAAGTTGTAAGAACTTGTGCCTAATCCTTTTCTTTGTTTATCAATAAAATGTGTTTGAATGAATGAGGAGACGAACAAGTAGTTCAAACTGTTTAATTACTCTATCTAGATTGAAATAAAGTATCAATGATTTGATTGGTCTATTTTTTCTATTTAGTCGAAATGGAGATTTATTTATGACACCCCTAGAAGATTGGACCTAAAAATTATGTTGTCTTTGATAATAGCTATTATCTTTGATCATAATGGAGACTACATACATAGCATTATGTATAACGATCTGTCATACCAGACAGGAGTGTTCAAACAAATGGTTGATAAAGAATGCATCTAGATATATACATGTATTTGATAGGGTGCAAACAGCAGTGATGGTAAGTGGCAGCGACCAGCTGATTGTAGAACCAGATATCGTTTAATTCATTCATGGTTCAATGTACGGACTGTATATCTGTCTCCAATAATCAACGGATTAGAAAATAAATTAGAATGGCTTCTCGAACAGGATATGTTGATCTCGATATATCTGTTTCCGGGTACGTTTCAGTCACAAGACCGTAGGTAGATAAGCCATGTTAACGTCTATATCGTTATCGAAAACAACAGCATTATCAGTGTACAAATTTCAAAACTGGGTAACATAAGTGCATGCTAGATACAGTGTTAAATATATGGACCACGAAAACGAACACAGACAGCTGAATTATATAATTGTAAAAGGTGGAGGGATCTCAAAATTTACAGAAAGAAAACATGAAACCGATGACTTAGCGTATACTGACCCCCGCATTGTCTCCGTGACAAGGCAGTGAAATTTACTACTCGTTTTTAAATTTCACAATATATACGTCTGATTCAGAAATGATCCCATTTAAAGACGACTGCTGATCGTCTGGGTATATAAACCATTGAAAGATTTCCCCGACTGTTGGTGGACGTGGATTAAACCTCCTGTCACACGGCTAACACGATTTACTGTCATGTTAATACAGTTTTATGGCTTGTACAAGTGCATAATGTTCACAACCTGAATATTGGACACACGTACAACAAGGAGCAACATTATAGAGGATCTTAAATATTTTTCATGAGTTTTTAAGGTTTTCCGTTTATTTAACTTTTGCGAGCCTTGGCAAGCAAAAATCGATACTTCCGGACGAGCTTCACAAAATCCACATGAAGTAAAACTTATTTAATGTTCTTTTTTATTTCATAACTCAGGAAAGTTTTATTTTGACAGGTTTAAGTGAAAAAAGGATGGCGGACCAAATCAATCGAAGCTGTTTTGTTACAAATACTAATTTACTAGATAATTTGATGGATTGTGTGATTAACATGAGAAAAGTCGTTACATTTTTGTTATTTGTTTTGTATAGACAAATTTGGACTGATAAACGTGAGCCTTTAAATCTACCTTCTGTTGCTGTAATTTACTTTCTGTTGCAGTTATCTGCCTTCTGTTGCAGTAATCTACCGTCTATTGCTGTATTTTACTTTCTGTTGCAGTTATCTGCCTTCTGTTGCAGTAATCTACCGTCTGTGGCTGTAATCTACCTTCTGTTGCAGTAATTTACTTTCTGTTGCAGTAATCTACCTTCTGCTGCAGTAATCTAACTTCTGTTGCTGTAATCTACATTCTGTTGCAGTAATCTACCGTCTGTTGCTGTGATTTACTTTCTGTTGCAGTAATCTACCTTCTGTTGCTGTAATCTACCTTCTGTTGCTGTAATCTACATTCTGCTGCAGTAATCTAACTTCTGTTGCTGTAATCTACATTCTGTTGCTGTAATCTACATTCTGTTGCAGTTATCTACCGTCTGTTGCAGTAAACTACCGTCTGTTGCTGTAATCTACCTTCTGTTGCAATAATCTGCCTTCTGCTGCTTTAATCTACATTCTGTTGCAGTAATCTACCGTCCGTTGCTGTAATCTACCTTCTGTTGCTGTAATTTACTTTCTGTTGCAGTAATCTGCCTTCTGCTGCTGTAATCTACCTTCTGTTGCTGTAATTTACTTTCTGTTGCAGTAATCTACCGTCTGTTGCAGTAATCTAACTTCTGTTGCAGTAATCTACCTTCTGCTGCTGTAATCTACCTTCTGTTGCTGTAATTTACTTCCTGTTGCAGTAATCTGCCTTCTGTTGCAGAAATCTACCGTCTGTTGCTGTAATCTACCTTCTGTTGCAGTAATCTACCTTCTGTTGCAGTAATCTACCTTCTGTTGCTGTAATTCACCTTCTGCTGCAGTAATCTACCTTCTGTTGCAGTAATCTACCTTCTGTTGCAGTAATCTACCTTCTGTTGCTGTAATTCACTTTCTGTTGCAATAATCTACCTTCTGTTGCTGTAATTTTCTTTCTGTTGCAATTATCTGCCTTTTGTTGCAGTAATCTACCGTCTGTTGCTGTAATCTGCCTTCTGTGGCTGTAATCTACCTTCTGTTGCTGTAATTCACTTTCTGTTGCAGTAATCTACCTTCTGTTGCAGTAATCTACCTTCTGTTGCTGTAATTCACTTTCTGTTGCAGTAATCTACCTTCTGTTGCTGTAATCTACCTTCTGTTGCTGTAATCTACATTCTGTTGCAGTAATCTACCTTCTGTTGCATTAATTTTATATTCTGTTGCTGTAATCTACCTTCTGTTGCCGTGAAGGCAAATATCATTGGGTGTAGGAGACTCAATATTATGAAAATGGGGAGGGGGTAGGGAAATGGGTTCTTAACATCTCCAAAACTTTTGGGAAAAATAAACAATCTGTGCCATATACATGTCTTGATGTGAAAAATGAAATATCCAGGTGAACGCCATTAGCCTCTTGTTGAAAATTTAGTATAACATTCTCGTATCAAAATGATTTATTTTCTTTATAAAAGCAACATATAACATTATTACATATACTATATTGTTCATAACTAGCAATTTGATATTGTGTACTATTCAAATGTAAATGATTTAAACGGACTCTATATAATGACTCACTGATTGGAGAAACAAGTCCTGATCCTATGTATATACAACAATCTACAACTGTAGAAAGCACAGGGAAAGTTTTTATCAAACGGTTAAAATTCGTTAGCTGGTATCAACATTCCGTTTTCAAAAATTCATTTAACTGCCCTTATCCTGTTGGGACACTTGTTTTTGCCACCAAAAGAGGCACACTCATTAAAGTTTCCAATAAAAACACAGTCGCAATCCAATCTGTAGGTACTAGCAGTTCAATTTTATGAGGAAAGTGTATATACAATAACTGATATGACAAGCTCAAAATCATTTAAAGTGTATATAGGTCTTTGAAAAAGAAAATAAAAAAACAAAATAAAAACTAGTCAAAATTAATCTTTATTATTGAATCGAACATAAAGTTTTTCAAATTATCAAAAATCACTATGAAAATTATTTCTATGTCATTAAAATGGAAAATTATATAGGACCAGAATTACCAAATATGGTCACAACTGTGCTACAAGTATAAAGATATATCTTACTGAGAAACAAGGTATTGTCGTTTGAGGTAGAGATTATATAGTAATTAATAATATTTTAATGTTCACACATTTAAACACAAACTTCTAAATTGATTTCATTTAACATTCCCGAGATTAAACATTACAAAAATATGAGATATTTTACAGAAATGTCTCACTTTGTGTCACAGAATGTTGAGGGACTGTATGTTAATTACTAAATGATCCATCTAAAGTATTTTATTTTCAAGTTGTAATTCAAAGTAAAGGAAAATGGCCTGTACACAATAAAAATATTTATCTGTCAAATTTTGTTATATTTTATGAACATGTAATATCACAAGTTGCAAAAATTGAGATGTCACAGGTCATTCTCTTAATTTTCAACATTCTATATTTTTTTCAGTTTTTCAAGTAAAAGCAATTTATGGAAGATTTAAAGATATATAATAAGTAAAAATACTGTCTAAATGCAGAAATTGATCAAAAGCAATATTTCTTCTGAAAATATGGCATTTGGAATGTTTTTGGAAAATTACGGGATGCAGTACAGCCTTTCATTGTTCATGAGGAAGTTTCTAGATTGACAACAGGGACCAAGAATACTATTACCAAACAGAAAGTGAAAAAAACAAAGAAAGCTTCCGTGTGACACACTTGTCACACAATAAGTACCAAACAGAGGGAAAGGCAGTAGTGAGCTATTTGTTTCTCTGTAGACTGCGCCCATTCTGGGTAATATGTCCTGCAGACAGAGATAGAGAAATGTACTTATGTAAAACTTGTGAAAACATGAAGATGATGGCTGAAAGTTTATTTTAAAATGCAGCAATTAAGATGACAGATATCTATATACTGTCTGTGTGTGACATCAAGAGCACAAAATGTATCTACAACAAACGTAAATCTTGTACCAAGAAATGTGTCAGCAAAATAAATATTGACAAAAGACATGGGGACAATGGGCATCTGTTACTGAGGAATGAGTCATGAAAACTAGAGAGAGAAAACAACAGTAACAATGAAAGAAATTGAAAGCAGTAAAGTAAAAGATACTATTGAAGAATTTCACATCCACTAATGGAACAAAAACAAGGTTCACCAATACAACATCAACAACCAGTTCCAGTGTTATAGGCATTCTACAACCTTTCTGATAATGAATGCTTAGTACATGTAGACTTCGCAGTGTAGAAAATGATTAAAGAAATCCAAAGCATGCATTTTGGTGCAACCAAACCGCAAAACTCTTAACACATTGGATAGTATTATACTGAAAAGGCAAAACCAAGAACATTTTGTTCAGTATCTGATTCTTTACACCACAGACCATCTGCAGTATGGAGTTATCCTGTTCTCCATGATATACTATGAGAAAATCTAACTGTGAAATACCTTTAATTTTTCAAAAATAGTCCTGTTACTCAATATCGACAAAAAAGCAATTTCTACCTAGTTTGAACAAAAACCTTCAAATCTTACAGCTTAATGAGATCTTCCTGGAACGTCCATGAGGCAGGCCATGGATAAGGGATTACAGACGCTGTAGGAGGATCCATAAAACAAACAGCTGACAGATTGGTCAGGCATAGACAGGAAATACTGAGTGTCGAAACATTAGTTAATGCACTAAAGGAAGAATAGTCTAATTGTGCATTAACACAGAAAGTTGGTGTCAATGACAGCAATAGCACATCCAGAGTTAGAGAAAGTGGTGATGCAGTCAGTATCATTGAGAGTGTTAGCACAAAGTGTTAGCACATCCAGAGTTAGAGAAAGTGGTGATGCAGTCAGTGTCATTGAGAGTGTTAGCACAGAGTGGTTTCATCAGGATGGAGTAACAGGAAGTGGAAACGAGTTAAGTAAGACAGAAGGTTATAAAACTGAGGTTGGTTGTACAGATGATGTTCTATTTAATCTGCATGTTATAACCAGAAATAGTTCTAGAGGAAAATAGGTTATCGTCATTATGATGGAATTCTTTATCCTGGAAAGATATTGAAAGTGAATGGAAAGAATGAGGCTCATGTAGAGTGTATGTACAAAGTAAATCACACAGAAATCTTGTGGCCGAAGAAAAAGGACAAATGTTGGTACACACTAGAAAATATTCAGGTAATATTACCAGCTCCAATTGAAATTGCAGGACTTCCTGGTCTATACACTATCAAGCTGTAGGAGTAAATCATTTCCTCGGCCTGACTTGTTAGTATTCATCAACACTACAATAACTGCAAGATAGTTTTTGTTTATCTTGGTTTTTTCGGCTACTACTTTCTCTTGCGTTCATGACTTCAAATAAAGCAAGGAAAGATGTGTACTTCTTGTTATTAGTGTTTTATCATAATGAAATGTTAATCATGTGACAGAAATGTCCTTCCTGTTATAGAAATGTTCATCCTGTGACAGAAATGTCCATCCTGTGACAGAAATGTCCTTCCTGTTACAGAAATGTTAATCCTGTGACAGAAATGTCCTTCCTGTTACAGAAATGTTAATACTGTGACAGAAATGTCCTTCCTGTTACAGAAATGTTAATCCTGTGACAGAAATGTCCTTCCTGTTACAGAAATGTTAATCCTGTGACAGAAATGTCCTTCCTGTGACAGAAATGTTCATCCTGTGACAGAAATGTTCATCCTGTGACAGAAATGTCCTTCCTGTGACAGAAATGTTCATTCTGTGACAGAAATGTCCTTCCTGTTACAGAAATGTTCATCCTGTGACAGAAATGTCCTTCCTATTACAGAAATGTCCTTCCTATTACAGAAATGTCCTTTCTGTTACAGAAATGTTCATCCTGTGACAGAAATGTCCATCCTGTGACAGAAATGTCCTTCCTGTTATACAGAAATGGTTTTGAAAATACAGGCTAGGGTAAATGAGAAGTATTTTGAATTAACTTGATCGTAAGATTGTGTGTACCTCTGTTAGATCCAAAATATAATGCACCTCATATATTCTCTTCATAAAATATTGTTAAATCCTTATTTTATACAAGATCAAGAGAAAATCAATGATTATAAAACTAGAGTCCTAAGTTGAGTATGTCTGTGTTAATTAACATCAAACAACAAAGGCAATTATATCAATAACAACATGTTTGCTTAAAATCATTTTTAAAACAGAAAATGAAAATTTGTAAATTATTCATTTCTGAAAATTCTCTTCAATATGACATTTTTTACTTAAAAATAACATTTTTCCTGAATTGGGACAAAATTGAAGTGTGAAAATTAAAGGGTAATGAAATAATCATAATTCTAGTGCACTGCCCTCCTTCTCATTGAGATTTTCAACCTTTTGTTTTGTATTGATATCTCTCATAGTTTTAGTGGTAATGCTCCAGACAAATTTTAAGTAATGAAAAACAACAAAGGGCCATAACTTCAAAATTGTGCAAGAAAGAGTGATGGTTATTGTGCATTGCCTTTCACCTTGTTGAGATCTGTTGAGATTGTTGATGAAGTTTCATGTTTCTACCTCTTAAAGTTTCAGTGTAATGCTTTGGACAAAATTTAAATATTAAAAAATAACAAAGGGCAATAACTCTTAACTTATTCAAAAGAAAGTAAGGATTCTGGTGCTCTGCACTTCTTGTTTATATCTATCTACCTATGAAGTTTAATGTTGATTCCTCTGATAGTTTCACTGTAATCCTCCGGACAATTTAAGTATGAAAAATAACAAAGGGCAATAACTCCTAAATTGTTCATAAGAATGTTTAAAACATAAGTATATTTATTTTAAGTTGCTAAATACACTAAGCAAAAGAGCTATGATATGTTATTCGGAAAAAACCTTGGATAAATATTAACAATTGGAGTCTCCTGAATGAATTTAATATCACATTTCATACGATTTTGGTGACTTAATGAAGTAAAAAAATAAATAAACAGGACAATATCACAGTTTGTTCTGAGGCATCACTTGAAACTTGTAGGACTTTGTTTGGCAGTCAGGGTTTTCTGGGTCCACAGGGATTTTAAATGTCCGCTCGATGTACTCACATTCTCCAAATTTGTCTACAAGTAATATTGTGTTGGTTCTGAAACAGAAACGGTAAAATCACAATGCTGATTCCTTTATAAGAAATAATTTGGTTCAATTGTGTGCAGCAGGTCTGAAAACTACATCAGAAAATATAAGTATATGAAAGGATACTTGTCTACTTATAGCTCAGATTTAGGCATTTAGTAGCTTAGAGAAAGCATCACAAAATGATATAAATCCTGTTATGGTTCCATCAAGTGCAGCAGTGAAGAAAATGGCCAGGTGTATGACCAAAATCCCTCAAGAAATTAAGCTACATGTTCTAGAATGTTGACAGTAGAACTAAAAGTAGTAATAGTAGTGACTTTAACCTTGACCCTAAAACCTTGAAACTCAAACTTGTTTGTGATAATATGGTCCTTTATGTGAATGTGATGTTTAAGGTTTAATAACCAGAATCCAACATTTATCATCTTTTATATGTACATATCCCAGAATCCTATATTTATCATCCTTTATATGTACATATCCCAGAATCCTACATTTATCATCTTTTATATGTACATATCCCAGAATCCTACATTTATCATCCTTTATATGTGCATATCCCAGAATCCTACATTTATCATCCTTTATATGTACATATCCCAGAATCCTACATTTATCATCCTTTATATGTACATATCCCAGAATCCTACATTTATCATCCTGTATATGTACATATCCCAGAATCCTATATTTATCATCCTTTATATGTACATATCCCAGAATCCTACATTTATCATCCTGTATATGTACATATCCCAGAATCCTACATTTATCATCCTTTATATGTACATATCCCAGAATCCTACATTTATCATCCTTTGTATGTACATATCCCAGAATCCTACATGTACCATGACTTTCTCAATTACAGGTTGTCCATGGTGTTATTGTAAGGTCACACACCTTGTGCCATATCTGATGGATGGGGACCAAACAAATGCTGCACTCCTCTCCAGGCGGATATCATCTGGAGTATAACTTATAATAGCTTGTTTCAGTAATTGTTTATCATCTGGAAACCTGTCAACAACAGAAATACCACATGATCAGCTTTGTCATATCTCATTTTGTATGCTTCATAATCACTTCAAGAAAGCCAAGCCATCAATGGCACCATTTCATTCAACTCATTGCATACAACCGAGTGACACAAAGCAACTGACCTAGTTGAGTCACACAGGATGTCCAGGAGAGACTTGACCAACGTGTCCTTGTCTGTTTTCCTGCCGTGGTTTTTGACGACCTTGGTGAAGGCGGCCTGGCCATGGACAGACTTTTGCCATGGCTCATCCATGGTTGAATTATCACAGCTATACACTCCTGGCAATGATCAATTTTGTCAAAAGAAGCATTTCATCAATCTGTTGGGGCTCGAAAATCTGTCTTACCTGAATAGCAGTTTTCAAGATATTTACATATATTTTATATATTTCAAATGTATTACATGTAGAGCTCAGATTGTGACATTCCAATTAAATCATTAACTTATTGAATTACTCCATATTAGAGATGTACATGTATAATTACCAACATTGTGTGTAAATGCAGTTGTATAGCCGTCAAAGAAAAAAAGTCCGGAAATTTTTTTACAGAGAATGAAAATATTGTAGTTCTTTCATCACAACCAATAAGTAAAATTATGTGTGACAATTTCATGACTACACTGTCACTGTCATCAGACATTATCACCAGTGTGAAGCATTTTCACACCAAATACAGCATGAAAGACTGTTAAGTACTGGGCCTGTACTAAATAAACAGGAGTGCTTCACACTTTCATTTGTCTAAAGAAAGTGATAGTGTAGACATGTCACACATTCCTTTCTAACTGGTTGTGATATAAGAACCTCTAATACATATGTTACCAACCTGCAGAAAATATTCCATGGGGGACAACTTTTTTAATAAGACAGCAAGTTTTATGTCTTTCAAGGTTAATGATGGAAATTGATTTCAAATGGAAAGACAATATGATGTGTCAGACATAAGCAATTGAAATAACCATTACAAAGGGAACCAGTGGCATCTGAGATGTATACAGTGGAATTGTGAATGGTTGGCTTACCATTGGGAAAATAATCTGTTATGTCAGGTGTTTACAATGAAATTGTGAATGGTTGGCTTACCATTGGGAAAAGAATCTGTTATGTCGGGTGTTTACAATGGAATTGTAAATGGTTGGCTTACCATTGGGAAGAGAATCTGTTATGTCAGGTGTTTACAATGGAATTGTAAATGGTTAGCTCACCATTGGTAACCGAATCTGTTATATCGGTTGTTTTACAATAGTATTGTGAAGCATTTGCTTACCATTAGGAAAGAAACCATTTTATGTCTGGTGTCAACAATAGAAATGTGACATCTAGGTCTGCTTACCATTGGGAAGATTCCTTAATGTGTTTGTTTTGTTGTTGTAGTAGCTAAGACGTGTTGTATTTGGTCTGAAATCAGAATCAGAAGTATTAAAAATACTGTTAATGACATAAATCTTTCAAGCTTATCTTTTTTTAAATTTAAGAGACTATTTAGAACCTGATTTTTTGTCCAGAACAGTTAAGGAAGGGTTATATCACAAATAGAGAGCATGATATTCATTCTTTTACAATTCAGGTAGATCATAACACATTACTTGTGTACTTACCTGATGTCTGCAAGAATTAAGTTGAATTGGTTGAACTCCTGGTGGATTGGCATGATCTTCTGTGTTATATACTGGTCATCAGTTAGGTCTCCTTTCAAGTAATCAATGATCAGTGAACCTGGAAGTGAATGTCACCATAACACAAATAAATATAACAATAAAACAGATAAATATACCAATATCATAGGCAGATATAGCAATAACACAGGTAAGTATAACAATAACAGAGGTAAATATAGCAATAACACAGGTAAATATTGCACAAGCAAATTAAGCAATAACACAGGTAAATTTAACAATAACACAGGTAAATATAACAATAACACAGGTAAATATAACAATAACACAGGTAAATATAACAATAACACAGGTAAATATAACACAGGCAAATTTAGCAATAACACAGGTAAATATAACAATAACACAGGCAGATAAAGTAATAACACAGGTAAGTATAACAATAACAGAGGTAAATATAGCAATAACACAGGTAAATATAGCACAGGCAAATTTAGCAATAACACAAGTAAATTTAACAATAACACAGGTAAATATAACAATAACAGGTAAATATAACAATAACACCGGTAAATATAACAATAACACAGGTAAATATAACAATAACACAGGTAAATATAACAATAACACAGGTAAATATAGCACAGGCAAATTTAGCAATAACACAGGCAAATTTAGCAATAACACAGGTAAATATCACAATAACACAGGTAAATATTACAATAACACAGATAAATATAGCAATAAGACATGTAAATATAACAATAACACATGTAAATATAACAATAACACAGGTAAATATAACAATAACACATGTAAACATTACAATAACACAAGTAAATATAACAATAACACAGGTAAATATAACAATAACACAGGCAAATATTACAATAACACATGTAAATATAATAATAACACAAGCAAATATTACAATAACACATGTAAATATAACAATAACACAGGCAAATATAACAATAACACAGGTAAATATAACAATAACACATGTAAATATAACAATAACACAGGAAAATATAACAATTACACAGGTAAATATCACAGGTAAATATAACAATAACACAGGCAAATATTACAATAACATGAGTAAATTTAACAATAACACATGTAAATATAACAATAACACAGGCAAATATAACAATAACACAGGTAAATATAACAATAACACAGATAAATATAACAATAACACAGGTAAATATAACAATAACACAGGTAAATATTACAATAACACAGGCAAATATAACAATAACACATGCAAATATAACAATAACATGAGTAAATATAACAATAACACATGTAAATATAACAATAACACATGTAAATATAACAATTACACATGTAAATATAACAATAACACATGCAAATATTACAATAACACATGTAAATATAACAATAACACAGGCAAATATTACAATAACACATGTAAATATAACAATAACACATGTAAATATAACAATAACACATGTAAATATAACAATAACACATGTAATTATAACAATAACACATGTAAATATAACAATAACACTGGCAAATATTACAATAACACGAGTAAATATAACAATAACACAGGTTTGTCCACATGACATCATCTGATGTCATTGAATTCTACAATTAGTGTAGCTTAAAATAAGTATTTACCTCTACCAGATTTGGTTTTATCCAGGTTACCCAAGATGTTGAGAAGTACTCCTACTTTCCCAACTTTTGATACGGCCATCCAAGTGCCCCCTTCCCTTCCTGGTTCCATATCAACACCTGCAAATAATTAGAATTAATTGGTAAGATATGTTCTAAAAATAGGCTCTAGAATATGAAAGTGCATTAACTTGATACATATACATATATACAGTGGTGGAATCACACAATGTGTAATGTATGCACGAAAAAAAAATCGGATGAAATAAGTTACTGCAGATTTGTGCAGTTCTATTGCACAACTGTGCGATTTTATTGCCATATATATAAATTTAGGAATTACTTACAGATAAGTGTGGGAAAGGATTTATTATTTCTAAATATATAAGAGCACAACTAAGTATATTTCCTAATTAAGACACGAGTTGAACATTTGTAGAACTATCAGATACAGACTGAACATTTTGATACACTCGTCGTAAAGAATGGACTACCTTTTTGTCACAGCAAAGACTCATCTAAAATCTCATATTGTCAGAAAGGAACTCTTATTTTAATTACTCTCATTTTTCTATCATTTTATGAACAAAAAATTTACACTCAGATAAATCTTAAGTATGTTATGTTTGTGTTTCTTTCTGGTAAAAATGATACTGATTTGGAATCTGTAGCTTAGTATCTAATTTTGATTATTTGAATAATATCTGAGGAAAATTTTAACCACATGAAGTTAAATTCAGATCACTAGTACAGGTGTAATGACCAATAGAGAGAAGGAAGAAATCACCAAACCAGGAAACAAGAACTTGAATCTCGGATGGCTAAACTCCAGACAAAAATATTAACATCACTTAAATATTATAAATATTTGTCACTTACCACTGATTATTTCGCCTTGGGGCCCCCAGAATTCTGCCAGATTTGTTGGTCTGTCCCAAAACTCATCTCGATTATCAGCAATAATTAGACGATAGTCATCATCAGCAGCTGTGTCACACACATACACAAAGAGGAGGCACATGGTTGACAGTTTAATGTGAAAGCAAGGGTCAAAAAGGTCAGAGGTCAAAGGTATTGTCTGTGGATCATCATCAGCAGTGACATCTTCTGTAATAATAGTACACTTGTCAGTAAGACAAAATGCTGGTAACAGTTTTCATCACAAAGTCCACAAAACTGTCAAATTCATATATATGATTCCATTAAAGTATTTGTAATTCAATTGATAACAATAGTTGAACTGCCTGTGTACAAAACTATTATAATCAAATGTCACATTTCAGATAAAAAACAATTGTTTTCAACGGTTAAAACTGACAATAGATTATGTTATTATTGTGTAAATGATTACATCTCCCGGACTCCAAATCAAAAGAAACAAAATTTCAAAATGGTAAAATTTTGAAATCATTTATCTTTTGTCACTACAGAAAATAATGGGAATTATAGATTTATAAATTCTATCTAGTTTTTGATTGGTGCTAGGGTAATTTTGAAGAAAAAACTATATAGTCTGACACTATCTCTAGACCCGGCACCGACGTTATCACGCCTACTCTTTTTAAGACAAGTCAATACAGGGGGATCTTAAGAGTGGACAATCCTCACATGGGCCACCATTTTGAAAGCCTTTCGAATCACACTAAGTTTAATTCATCACATAACAAATGGTTAGTTTTGTGCAGGTGAATTTGTTTTTTGTTGTCCCGTTTTGAAAGCCTTTCGAATCACACTAAGTTTAATTCATCACATAACAAATGTCGTTTGCTTTCTGTGATTCCAACTCTATTCTTCCAAATACACCTATTTGCTATACCAACTTTTTCTGCTTGTTATGATTTGTGATAATATGCTGAATCAGAAGGATTATGAAAGGTACGATAAGTTACGTTGAAATAGAAAGTGTTATGATAGGCTGAGATTATCTAAAATTAATTTAAGATCACAGAGTATAGATGATGATGAATTTGTCTCATCTCCGTGACTCTGCCCGTCACCGGACATTTTCTAATCGATGTGTGTCGATTCTCTGGCAACGTTCAGAGTACAGATGTTAGCCCGATTTTATGTACCTGACAGTCTTGTGAATCACAAGAGTCAGGACATTTGCATAATTAAACCATTTATTCAAAATCAACAATTACACTTGAATGTAATTATATTTACAGAGTAACTGCCTTTCTCATAGATAAAATAATAACTAGGAATGAATGGCTATCACTTAAAATCATTTTTTTATTAGTAGTCAAATGATTTAACAGAAATAGAAAACGTTTACTTCACGTTACTTAAAGGGGGATAACTCTAAAGAAAATCTTCACATAGTAAAATTGTCAACAAATTTACTCTTACAAGTAAAACTTACAAAGCGAAGTGTTAGTAAAATCAATGTTAATTGTCGTATCATTTTACTTCATAACCCCGTGTCATTTTATCGATTTATATCAGGGAAACAAAACCATATATGCCAATATGTATTTGCAGTTCCTGTAAAAAAATGGCTGACCTCCAAATCATCATAGATATATAAAACACTACAAGTTACAACAGTTTGGCCTCGTATCCGCAATTGAAACCAAGGAGGTATTTTCCAACAATAAACTTTGTTACGAACCTTAATGTGTCGTTACTATTACACATGTGGGACCTACCTCTACGTGGTCAAAACATCTCGTGATCAAATGCAAAGTGAAAGTAAAGACTATTCGGCAAATCTCGGCTGATTCCGATACTCCATGTAACTACGTACGCAATCTGCCGAGATGTAACGAGTGTAGAGAGACCGCGGAGCAACAAAACGCGAGAAATTTGATAGCTTCATGAAACCTTGGTAGCTTTATGAACATAAAAATATGTAGCCTAATAGATATGTACGTTGATATTTGAAACAAGATTTACAACTTATATCAAACCTTTTCCCAGTAGAACTTGAATATATACAACACGTGAGAGAGAAAGAGAGGGAGGGAGGAGGGGAGGGAGAGAGATGTAGGTAACAAGTCTTTATTATCGATACATACAAAGTACATTTGTATTGTATAGATAAGTATATATATATTTAAGGATGAGTTGAGATTATTGGGGGTATATAACTACAGCTGAACTTGAACTCTGGTAAGTTGATAAACCGGCGTCTATAAAAGTCACTTGTCAACACAAGGGTGAGCTTCATTCCTTAAGGAATTTTCATCAAAAGTTCGAGTCTCATGTTTTTTAGGTCAAAGTTATTGTTACTATTTTCCAAACTTTTTGTCAGCGTTCTAACACCGTCATTCTTTGAGGGATTCTCATCAAACTTCACACACATAAATGATCTATGGCGAGTCTGAATTCAGGTTTGTTGGGTCAATCCTTTCAATGAATTACAGCAAAACAGTTTGCGAAGCATACTGTTTCCATCTGGAAGAATTGTGCACACATGATAATTTATCACGGAAAACCGTATAGAATGCCGTGTGGTTAAATAATACGACGATATGTACATCATATGTTGTTCGACTTGTAATGAAGTCAATAGAAGGAATCAGAAGCTGTTCTCATTACCTCCCGCTACAAACTTACTTACGGTTTGAGATCTGTTTGACAAAGAATTTTCAGTCTGGTTTTAACTGCCGAAAAACGATATATAATTACTATTAATTATGTAATTTCTTATATTCTGTTTCGACAAGCATTGACATAATTCAAGCAAGATTCAATCGTTAAAGAACTCTCTCTTTCTTGTTTCATTCCTGTCGAAATTATACGAATTCATATAGAACTTTTTCTTATTTTCCGACGAAGATTTTTTACTTTTCTTGGTAAAGCGGTATGTACTGGAGAGTGCCGGATCGATCGATCGATAGATAGATTGTCTTCATCGATGGAAATTTCGGCTTCTGTCAGTTTTTTGTAGTTGAGATAGGGTGTCTCTAAAATGTTATCAATCGGGATCCAAATACATGTAACTTGTTGCTGGGTCCACATGTTCTAATCAGAGACTTCGTGTCCTCTTTTCCTACACTGCTTTCACGATCACGCGCTCACGCGCTCACGTGCTACTGTCCAAGGTTAATGAGTATGATGTACTCTGTGACCTTCAATCTTTGGAGAGTTTCGAGATAAGCTCTAAGGTTCCTCAATTCAGGCATGTAATACATGAATTCATGCTAAATGATTGAGTTTCGTTTCCCTAAAGCATAAGGTATTTTCGTTTTTTCCAAATTGAGTATGTTTGGATTACTTAAACAGGGGGCTAACTCATTAAAATGTCTAGTATTCAAATAATTTCGTTTTCAGAAATTTAACTGGCCACTATATTCGCACACGATATTTTTTTTCAGGAAAATATTAATTCGAAAAAAGTAATGAAAAATCGAGGAATTGATATATAATCTATATGAATTGATATGTAACTCGGCGTGCGTTATGTTAGTATGGTGGCCAGCTCAACTTCTGGAAACGAAATTATTTGATAAATAGACATTTTCATTGAGTTAGCCCCTGTGGTTACATATAGTCTCATACTTCAGTCCGGTTAGACATTTCAGTGACTGTTTCGTCTCAGACAACGACAATATTATAACATGATAATAGTTTCAACATCTTAAGTGCAGGTATAGGGTTATCTAGGATTAAATCATCACGTAATCAAAGCGAAACTTGTTGTATCATTACCAGAGATAGATGTAGTAAGTCTTCAGTTTCTCAACCGGCGTACATATTTGTAAATCAAAATAAAAGAAAAATAAATACATACAACCTGAACGTCCATCCACATACAGCAGGTGCGACGTGTTCTAACATACGTAATTTTAAAATGTCCCTCACGTGACTCGCATAAGCATATTCAAATGTATGATAATGCTTGCTAGTGTCGCTGGTTGTGAAATAGCCACGGCGCGTTTTATCAAATGACCATCGCTAGGCTCTGAAATATTTGGTCCACCAATTTACAGCGTATTTAAAGCTGTCCGGAGGTTGGCAATTCTTAGATACAATTTCGCACTTCTAGAGAGATATGTTATACACTGATAATATTTAACAACCTAGTTCTACTTGCAAAGAAATTGACTCAATTGAAGCACCCCTACTTCTACATCATACCAAAAATAACACATGACACATTGTCATGCCGTTGATTTTTTGAGAGGGGGAAGGGTATCGCCCCAAGAGAACAGTGATAGTAATTTTGAAGAAGGCCTTCTTGTAGTGTTTGGTGGCTACACCACTGAACAACATGCGGGAGGTCCGTAATATAAAGGTATATTGCCCAAGAAGACAACCATAACATAGGACCGAGGTTACAATGCGATGTTCTACTGACCAAGTCACTACAGAATTTCTTTTGTTAAGTTAGAAATGGGTGTCATAATCTTCTTTCTTGAGAATCACCCACACATAAATGAAGCAGTCATAATATGGATTGTGAATAACCTTTTATCAAATACATAAGCGCACTATATTTGCAGATCCTATGTGAGAAAAGAGAAATGCGTTAGAAACAGTAGTTTTACCCAATATCCCAACTGTCGAAATATAGATCACAGTGACTTACATATGAATAGTTATGGTACTTCCAGCGATGTACCTTGCAAAAATCAAAGAGAAAAGTAAACAAGATATCACTAATAAAATAGTAACCTTTATGCACTTCCGTTCACATATATTGAAAAGCAGAAATTTAAAGTTCTTAACACATTTTACTCCTGTGATCTTAAAAGTTGATCAAGGTCATTCGTTTCATCATTTCCTCCCAGCATGTAACAATGCCAATATCAGAACATTCAGAGTTTCGGTTATTGAGAAAAAAATAAAAAAAAAAAAAATAAAAAAATGAATAGTTTACCCTATGTGACCTGGAGAGTTGGTCAAGGTCATCCGGTTAAACAAGCTTGATAGCCCTTTATCCAGCATGCTCCAGACCCAATATGATAACCTCTGGCCTTTTGGTTACCGAGAAGTTGTTAGTTAACACTTTTGACCCATACCCTTGTAAGGGGGTCAATGTTATTCACTTGAACAAACTTGCCAGTCCTTCATCATGTTACATGCCCAACCAATGTCGACCCCCTCGGCCATATGATTATAAAAAAAAAAGTCCTTTGAATATGTTACCACATTTGACCCATGTGACCTTGAAAGTGAGTCAAGGTGATTCACTTGGAACGAACTTGGTAGACCTTCATTCAATGCACAACATCAGTAACCTGAGCATTTTGGTTATTAAGAAGAAGTCATTTAAATGGAAAAATTGCAGTGGCAGTCTTTTGATTTTCTTCACCCTCACCAAAATACAACTTATATTATAATACACTGACAATGTATTCTCTATATAAGCTTCATCTCATGAACATGTCTGCCAAATATCATACTTCTGGAACTTTTGGCAATTCATCGTAGAGTATTTGAAGGTTTCAACAACATTGTTCCCTATGACCTTTCCTTTTCGAAATTGTGTGCCTTTATTCCATGAACATCAGCCAAATATCCCACTAATAGACAACTTGGCTAGCCAGAATAAGTCATGTACAGATTTAAACAAATTTGAACTATGTGACCTTGATTATTGGTCAAGGCCATTTCTTTTTGCAAACAACGTTGTGCTTCATCCTAGAAACCTATCAGTCAAATATCATGTTTCTGTGTATTTTGGTTAATCAAAAGTTGCTTGAAAGGCTGAAGGCAATTTCTTTTCAGACTTTGTTGAGCTTCATCTTCGGAACCTAGCAACCAAATATGTTTCAGGGCCTCTTGGTTAATCAGAAGCCATACCATCTAAGATTTTAACAAATTTGACTCACGTTGCCTTGAACATCATTTCTTTTTTAAATCTATCAGTCAAATATCATGAACTTCTAGGTATTTTGGTTAACCAGAAGTTGACTAAAGGTTTGAACACCCCTGTGATCTTGAATAAGGGTCAAGGTCATTTCTGTTCAAACAATTAATCAGGATTCTCTGCCAAACACCAGAAGGCCTTTTGGTCAATCAAAAGATCTTGTTTTTAACAAATCTGACCACTGTAACTTGAATATGAATGGAGGTAATTTATTTTTGCAAACTTCATCATGCTTCATCCTAGGAACCTCTCAGTCAAATATCATGTTTCTGGGTATTTTTCTTTGAATGTTTTCACAAATTTGACTACTGTGTATGTCAATGTCATTTCAAAAAGTGTGATGTGTGTCATCCTAGGAACCAAATATCAAGCTTCTGGGTATTTTGTTTTATCAGGAATGATTTTAACAAACTTTGTGGAGTTTCATCTTTGAAACATGTTTGAAGGCCTCTTGGTTAATCAGGAGTTGTTTTGATGTTTTAACAAATTCGACCCCAGTCACCTTGAATAATGGTCAAGGTCATTTCTTTTAGCCAACTTTGTTGAGCTTCGTCTAAGACACCTATCAACCACATACCACGCTTCTGCACCATTCGGTTAACGAGAAGAAGTCATTTTAAGGTTTTAACAAATCAATCAAATGAAAATTATCACAATACAGTGAAAGATATTACTAATAATATTAAGGTTTATTGACTGATAAACCAAAAGTGGATTGGCATTCATCACTGGCACAAGAAATGGGGTAGGCTTCAATGTTATAGTCATGCCTTATTTATGTTATTGGCCATTTCTATTGCTTCTTCAGACACATACTAATCCCTATTCAAATCACTCTACATGTGGAAGATTGTCCATTGCTGTCTTTGGTGCTGCCAATGAAGGTTGTCATCTTTCTTGTTTATGTTTGCAGACAACAGTGAAGCAGTAGGGTGTGTATAACATCATCTGACATTCAAATTTTTGGTCAATGGAATAATAATTTTTAACTGAATAAATTGCATTTTAAAAATGAAGAAGTGAAATTGTAAAATTTTGTTCTCATTCCTGATTGCTTATTGACAATGTCACTATGGTTGTTGATGAATCAGTTACCATTAGTGACTAATACCAGTTGTTCTGTACAATAGTGACATCACGAAACCATTAGTGACTATTACACATTGTTGTGTACAATAGTGACATCACGAAACCATTAGTGACTAATACACATTGTTGTGTACAATAGTGACATCACGAAACCATTAGTGACTAATACACATTGTTGTGTACAATAGTGACATCACGAAACCATTAGTGACTAATACACATTGTTGTGTACAATAGTGACATCACGAAGCCATTAGTGACTATTACACATTGTTGTGTACAATAGTGACATCACGAAACCATTAGTGACTAATACACATTGTTGTGTACAATAGTGACATCACGAAGCCATTAGTGACTAATACACATTCTTGTGTACAATAGTGATATCACGAAACCATTAGTGACTACAGTAAATTTCCGGTATAGTGCACACTTTTTCAAGCTAAAACTGTCGTGTCAAAAAGGGGGTGCACATTATATGCAGGAACATGCCATTCTTGGGGTTATCATTCCTGAGTTCTACATCCGCCATATTGGATTACCTCCCTTCAAATAGTTATATGTAAGAGTCGTCGGTCATATATGATAGTTTGGAGATAAAAACAAAAAAAAAACAAAAAAATGAATGTTTTAATCATCAGCCATACACGCTAGCATTATGATGAATCTATTTTGTTTTTTTTTTCCGTTTCCTGTTGTTCGAATAGACACAGGTCAATTTCGTATTTCTGAATCATTTTGATGATGTATCAGAAGATTTTGGGTAATACACATTGTTCTGTCTTGCCAACAAAACATCCTAAGTACCCTGTGGTTAGTTCTGTGTTGGAGCTTTTTCATTTTTAGGTATCTACAGTTACCAATTACTAAGGCAAATAAGTAAAAAAGAACAAGGGTGATAAATACACATTTCAATTTTATTACATAGAAAAACTTCTCATTAACATGTTATGACTTGGGCATAGAAAATCTTTAACATCAAGTCTCTTTCCCATATACACACCAAGTCCATGTCATTGGATAGACATGTCAGACTCACCTTAAAACTGGTTCATATGTATTACAAACCTTAATCTAGTTCTCTATAGGAAAAATAAACATTCATACATGTAAGTAGTTCAAAGTTTTTGCATTTTGAAATGAATATCTTATGCTATGCCATCAAAATTCATAACTGTTTTTAACCTGTCACTTAGAACTTCTAACCTGAGACAGTAAAAGCTACCAAAGAATGGTTTCTGATATTGTTTGAGAGATAGCGACTACAAAAAATCCACTTTCTCCAATCAACATTACAGATAACAAATGAACAATGACATTCCAATAATTGTCCAAGCACCAGTACTAACATTACTCCAGTTTGATGAGTACAATGAATATCTGGAAGGACAAATCCAGAACTGACAATCCAGTATATTCAGCTAAGACATATCCAGGTTAACATGTGACTCCAGTTGACTCCAGTGTCAAAGTACCCTCTTGTTTTCACACAGTCATACATCCAAGAAAACATTTCAGTGTATGTTGAAATCATTACATGATCAAGATTACCAAGTATATTTCAGTGTAATGTAAAATCAGTCACACAACCAATCAGTCACATGACAACAGTCACACGGCAGTGTAGTCCAAAATCAGTCACATGAGCAGATAAACCCTGTTCTTATCCAAAGCATGTCACAAATCTCACATAATCCAGACAACATCCTTAATTAGTATATTAAAACCAGGCCAGCTCTGACAGGGTTGTAGACTCCACTTCTACATGTATTGCACTTTAAAACACAGATCTACAGATACTAAACCAGATTCAGGACTGTGACTCTGAAATGGAAAAAAACAAAGAGATGTTAACTAATGAAATAATCACTTACTAAATCCTAACAATCTCATAGTACTAATCATGTATGTAAGAAACATTCCACATGGAAATCCCATCAGGAGAAAAGGATAATCATATGCATACTTTGATTTCAGATCAGCGGGCCACACCCCCCAATTGACAAAAAAAAAAATAAAATAAAAAGATCATGGATGAGGGGAAGGTGTTTATAATATTCTTGCTTGTAATATTCAATTCACAAGATCTTGAAGGAAAATTTAGTTATGAAATGTAATTATGAACAATGTTGTTTCTATGAGCAATGTTTTAATTATTTTTTCCCTGTAATGTTGAGTCACTGATATCACAGATTGGAGTTTTAAACACTGTTTCTTCCCTTAAATGTTCATTTGTGAAGTCCTCAAAGCAGTGTGAAATCTTAAACAGTGGTTATTATCTTTCTTCTCCACAACACTGAGTCATTGAGATCTTTCAGCAGGGTAGGGATATAAACAGAATCATGTGTGTTCCCAAAACATTTGAGTAATTGAGATTTCTCAAGAAACAAACCAGCACTATCTGTAGTGAAATTTTACCTTCATCTTTTTCCTTCACTTTTTTCTTTTTCTTCTTTTTGCGTTTCTGTTTCTCTGTATCATGTTTTGGTTTCTTTGTCTTTTTATCATGGCCACTTTCTACGGGATTATCTGTAAACAAGAATATAATGTCTCAGATATATATATCTATACATATATAACATACTTAGGATTGATATGTTATTCAGACAAAATAGCATTACTGCATTGCAAAATTATTTACGTAATCTACAAATGTTTCACAATTATCTTCTTCACATCACATTGTATCTATCCTTGATTGTTTTATGCTAATATCACCACTGTCCATTGGAAAGCAAGAGTCTTTGATGTCTAATATCAATGCATGTATCATGACAATATTAGACGACAAGATGAGCGAAAGATTTTAAAAAGTAAGAAAAATGATATCAATTCATTCAATCAAGCAGTGTCAACAGCAAAATTTCAACAAAAACGCCTACACAGTACAAATCCCAATTTTTCTTGTATCTAACTTCATTTCAAAGTAATGTTTTCAATTACAGTATATTATCTATTATAGAGCTGATGTCTTTTAGGGTCAAAATTTCAATAAGGAGAAATCAGAAAACAAGACGGGGAACATCAGTTTATTATTTTCTGTCGCTTTAACAATCCTATACAACTAAATATTATCAATAACCCTTCCGCACCTGGATAGTCCTGCAAAGCACTTGTTTTTTCATCTTTTTTCCGCTTGGGTTTTGGCTTTTTCTTTGGCATCTGGTTCATAAACCTATACTGTTCTGGCAGCTAAAAGAATAATGTAAAGAGCTGACATTACTGCATATATCAAAGCACTATTTGAAAAACGAACAAGTCAAAATTTTCTTTTATTACAAAAATTTCCTTAAAACATTCTTGATATACAGTAGCATGTTACTTCAGCATTTTGATAACTATGTAATTAAAATTTACAAATTAAAATTGAAAATAAAACTGAAAATTCTCTGTTGCCTGATATCTCAGAACAGAGAAGATAACACAGTCTAACAGAGGATCTGATCATTATTTGTGTTTGAGATGGATTCATTTAAGTTAAGGGCTAACATTCTGTGACAAATCTCATCCAGCAAGGAGATATTACAGAATGACAGAATGAGACTGAGATGTTACAGAATGTCAGCCTGACATTGAGATATTACAGAATGTCTGTCTGACACTGATGTGATGTTACAGAATGTCAGCCTGACACTGAGATTTGACAGAATGTCAGCCTGACACTGATGAGATGTTACAGAATGTCAGCCTGACAATGAGATTGATCAATCTCTAACATACACAAGTGATAGATTCTTCTTTTTTCAGGTACATTATTGTGTCAAAATGCACAAAATCTTTATCAATTTTTTTTAAAAATCCAAATTCTTACATTTTACTATTAATATTCATGCATTTTCAGTTTACATCAGAAAGACAACGAGAGTGTGTTATCTTTCAGTATCTCTGCATTTTAAGTAAGAACTCTGTAGAAGTTTAAAATTTCATCATTTGAAAAAGAAGAAGAGTTTTATTTTGACATTGTAATTGCTTTTTAGAAGTAATTTCTGCAATTAATTCAATTACACAACCGAATGCTTTCGATATTCATCAACATTTGAATTTTTGAGATCAGAATATTACTTGTATCAATTTCATCATTTGTCATAGAAATGCAAATCTAATAGTATAAAAAATCAATAATATTGATAGTTTTCAAACGTCATCAATCATTGTAAAATACTTCATATTTATAAAAAGGCTTCAACTAAATGCCACATATTGGCCTGAGGTCGTGTAATACGTACTGGTCCAGGGTGGAGACGGAAGCCTGTCAAAGAACTGTTAGACAGAGGATTTAATTCCTTTCCAGTGATGGGGGGTTTATCTATTAGAGACCGGAGAGAGCTGGAAAAAAGAATTTAAATGTTTGTTATTATGAACAGATATAATTTACAATGTTAAGTACAGACCAAATTATTCTGACATTCTAATGACTTATATATCAGCTTGGAGTACTAGTCCATCCAGACCACTATATAAAAGTTATTTAATGTCAGAATAATTTAGATTATGTAAAGCATAAACAAATATGGTTCTATTCTTTGTTCATGTAAGACAACTGGTGCCAGGATATAAGTAACATCATTACAATATTCATCCAGTAATGTTGGATTGCAGGCCAATCCTATTTTATTATCCTGTAGTAAGTCCAGGCCTGGACTACCTGGTATATGTATCAATAGCAATATGTGGTTCCCTTGTCATATTAAAAGATAAACACCTAACATAACATAAAGTTTTAAATCTAATTCTTCCATAATCCATAACAAAACATTGGATATTTTATCCTTCAAGTGAAAGAAAGAAAGAAAGAAAGAAAGAAAGAAAGAAAGAAAAAAAAGAAAGAAAAAAAAGAAAGAAAGAAAGACATATCAAAACAATTACAAAGATTTATAAAAGCCATCAAGATTTTTTTCCCTTACACAAAAACCTATTATAGCTTATGGATAGTTTTAATAATAGTAATATTCTTTTGCTACGGACTCATACCTGTTATCATTGATACCGGGGGCATCTATGTAGCCAGGCAGATTGGGTAGGAATGCACTGAGTTCTTCTTTACCCTCTTTCTTACAGAACTTGCTGTAGGAATGTTCTAGATCATAATGGATGATCAGGTTGTTACTCCCAGTCATCTCTGATGGATCTATTAACATAAGAAAATCATACAGTGAAGTAATAACATAAGTATGCATTTTCATAGGTGGACAAAACCTTCAGGGTATCTGGTACAGTACAAATGGTGTACACTTCACATCTGCAGAAATTTTAATGATGCCACATTAAAAATTGTAATCAAAGTATGTGGAATGAAAAAACAAGGTTTTGTAAGTCCAAAACAGAGCCCATATAGGGCAGGGCTTACAGATATTATTGATGGCTACATGCATAATATATTATTGCAATAACAATAACATATTACTAGGTGTAGATAAGGTAGTTATGGTGGGTAATTAATAATTATCTCCCTTTATCCAGCAGTAAACTATACATGACAAGGATCATTATATTGAGATTTGTGATCTATTTAACATTCAACAATATCAACTAAATCAACTTCCCTTCATATTGTTGTAAGAAAATTAACTATGTTATTCAACAGTGGCACTCATTTGAAAAATGAACCTCCATCAATATAAGCTTCATTACTGCATCCCTGAAGTGTCTATCATATGTATTCTGTGTGATGTTGCGAGTCACTTAAGTTATAACCTATATACTGTATCAACTCTATACTCGGGGATGGTTTGTTGAATAGGATCATGTCAGTTTATCGAAATCATGCATTCACTGATCATTCCTGTAACTGCTTTGAAGCTAAATTATGTAAATACAGAGTAGGGTTGTATTTCCAACAGACCTTCATACTGGGTAACAGACCTTGATGTACCATTATATGGGGTCATGGTGAAAGTGAAACCATAATTCCTTCAAAATTCAAAACTATTCCATGTTGCTTTTATTATGCTCTATTTCTCATTACTATAATTCTATAAAATACATCCAGTACTGCGAAAAATTCATCACCCTGGAACACATTCTGCTACAATCAATCCGACTCTCTCCATACTAATCTATAACATGCTCTTATAATGAAGCTTTCATGTGATTCCCAAAAAGTAGCTCCATAAGTCATGGTACTGATAATAAGAACAGTTTGAAAAGATGGAATGTTTCCTGAAAATGATTAATTTGCATACTGATGGAGTATATAAACAAATTTATCATGTTATGGGCATAATGTAAATACAAATAGGCCAGAGACATAAAATAGATGGATAGGAGAATTTGAGTCACCTGGTAACTACTGTTGACTTGATATGCATATATATGCACACACTTTAAGTAGATACAGAAATATTTTCAAAATAAACAGTAGCAAAAGGCTGAAAAACCTTTAAACTGAACATGTTAACTTTTATGACAAATAATTTCAACAAACATTTGATATTTTTTAAACAAAATACATGTTTATGTTATTTACAACTGAAATATCACCCTACATTTTATAAGTTCTAGTTAGGCTAGCCAGCATTTAGTTGAAGCTAGCTTTGACATAGAACTTAATTGAGCACATGTAAACAAGATTAGAAAACAGCTATAAGTGAGGAGAAGGGGCTTCACAGATTTCACGGCTCAGTGAACACAAAAGCTTGCTGTTAACAATAGATTAGCCTCTATTACACCTTTCTTCCAGTTCCCACATGATATGTTCCTGGTCCTGACCTACTGTACACTACATACTGCGGTCTTCTTAGGGGTACAGAATTCTATCTAGTTTGGGTAAAGTTGGTACTTTGTATGCATGTCCTTTTATTTGTATAGAGCTAATTTTCAAGTTACATATATTGAAAATCTAATGATTTTTTTTGTGTGTTTGCTATGATGTTGTTGCTGTATTTGTCTCAGAGTAGGTTTTTTTGTAATGAAATAACTAAATATTTGCTTGATTCTGTGTGTTCTAGTGCATGGTTATGGAGTTGTTATTGTGATGTATTTGTTGCATTTTGATACGATGCTAATGATGTTGCATTTGTTGCGATGAAAGGTCAAAAGTCAGTCTGTCTCTCATTGTCATTCTGCCTCAAGGTCTTATTGTAGTTTCAGTGTGTCATATGTTGTATATTGTCTTGTACATGATGTTGTCATCATGAAAGTCATTATATAATGTAAATGAGGAAAACAGTAGGGCCCAAAGATGCCTTGAGTGACTCTGAATGTTACTGGTGTTGTGTCTGATTGCTTCCCTACAAATAAAACTGATTTGGTGCAGAGTGAAAGAAAGTCTCTGATTCATATTCATATTTATTATGCTGTTATAGGTACATACATTTTCATTGACTACACTCATTTTAGAGACAGAACAGAGGTGTTCATAAAAGGTAGAAAAAAATCCACCTTGGGTGCAGTGAACTAAAAAATAATTCCTGCATGCGCAATGTACCCAGAAGTCTTGGATTCATTTCAAAGTAAAACAAGTTGATTTGCCTCACTAGCCATTTCAGACCTTTAGTTTGCTAGCTTAAGTCATTCCAGTGTGTCCAGTTACTCTGCTTAGAAATTAAATTGCATTGCCATTACCAGTTACACTAATAACAGCCTGGCACTACACAGAACTACTTGAAACAGACCGATGCAGGTAGTGTTAGACTGTTGAATTGTCGTTCGCAATTTAAGTGTTCATAGACTTACATTGTAAAAAGGTATAAAAAAGCAATCTTACGTTCTACAAATAAGAATAAACGAAATTCCCTATAACACAGTCTGAATGGTTTCTAATTTCGTCTATACTCTTTTTAGGAATTATTCATTTGTTTTGTTCAGCGGGTTGCTAATATGAAGGATGTCAATTTCAAGGAAGTGTTTCTAAAATGGACAATGGATCAATAATACATCAACATGGAGCAACTTGAAAGTATATTCGCTCGGCCGGATACAGCTGTCAAGTGGCCAAATATAACAACATGTACATGTGCTGAAGTGAACTCACTGGCTGTCCCAGACCCCATATCTTTCACGAGATAGAAAGGTCCAGAATGTATCACCGACGGCACCCTTCCCAGACTGATGGTGGTTCTGAGGGTCCCAGACGAGTCCGCGCGGGGGTAGGCCGGTGAGCGAGACCCCCGGGGACTCGATTTGGGAGATATTTGATCAGGTCGGCGAATAGGTTCGTTCATCATGATGCCATATTGTTTTCTGCAGCAATGCTCTTTCTTTGATTTGATTGGTTAAAAATTATTCTACCACTATCGAACATTAAGGATACGAATCCCGTAAATTACACATAAATGATTCACCGTATCGTGGTCTTGGAGTATACCACAAATGTGTATTTTTTATTCCCTTAGTTTTTTTTACTTAATTGGTTTTGTAATTGATATGCGCATATAGTTTCTATATATGTATGTTTTTAAACAAAAATATGAATATTTCATCAGTACGGTGAAGGAAAGTGGAAAGTTAATTTTGATATTGATGTAGGGCAGGAGTTAGCTCGATATCTAATGAGAAAGAGGTAAAATTACCTCGTGTCAACACAGTAGTTATCTGACACTACGCCACAGTTTAACTGCAGAACTTTTAAAAATAATTTCGACAGGTCACCTGTGCAATTTACCCACCTGATCGTCACTGATAGCAACGACCCACAACAAGGAACTAATATTATCTGGTAGTTCGCACATGTGGATCACTAGTCACAACCAGGTATTTATCCGTTTATTTAAAGAAAGGACTATAATATGAAATTGTGAAATGTACCAGAATATACATGTCAATAACATTATGTCTCTCAATCTTACACATACAATGCTTGTACACATTTCATAAGCACACCATCATCAGGTAGTGGGTTATTTAGAATGCCCTACGTCCGTGGTCTGTCGTCCATCAATTGTTTGCCTCTCAACCGTCTGTGAACAGCTCCAGCTATCACTATTTCTTGAAAAGTACTAGATTTATTTTATCCATGTAGGTTTCTCTAAGTGTCTAGTTGTGCCCTTTTGTCTTTTGATTTTGGATTTGATCAGAAAAAAACAAAAAACAAAATGGCTTTAACAGATGTAGCCATCTTGCATTTTGACAATGAAAGTTAGTTATTGCAATTTCTTGAGATGTAAATAACAGATCTTTCTCAGATTTCATATGTAGGTTCCCTTTTTGTCCCTAAATCTGCCCGTTTAATTTTGGAATTTATCAGAGAAACAACTTTTTAGGTCACCTGAGACAAATTCTCATGTTGACCTATTGCAATCACCTTCTTGTGACGTGTTGTGCATCTGTAAACTTTTGAACATTTTTTGACTTCTTCTCAAAAACTCCTAATCCATTTTCAATAAAATTTGCAGAAATCTTTCCTGGCCTAAGATGAACCAAACAAAATTGTGAATTTTACAGTCTCTACCCCAAAGGGGCCTGAGGGGTGGGGCGAAAAGGGGTCAAATTGACTTGGATTTCAAAATTTTCTTCTCAATACTCAGAGATGAAAGAATCAAATACTCTTCATGAATCTTAAGGTGCTTTACCAAAATTGTGAATTTTATGGCCCCAGGGTCTCGCATTTCCCTGTGGGGAGGGGATAAAGTTTACTATAATTTATATAGGAAAAATAGATTTCTGAGTGTAATTTGTTTAATTTCCATTGAAATATTTCAAACGTGATTAGAATTGTGAGTGAAGGATAACAACTTGATGGTATGCCCTTATTGATCCTGACTGACCCCCGGGGGCTGATGGGTGGGGCCAAAAGGGGTCAAATTGACTTAAATTTTAAAAAATTCCTTCTCAACACTCAGGTATGGTAGAATCAAACGCTCTGTATGAATGGAAGCATGGAAGGTGCTTTAAATACCAAAATGGGTCTCATATTTCTTCCTGGGAAGGAAGTTTTTTTTAAACTTTACTGTAATTTTCATAAAAAAATTGCCTGTTTGAGCATAATGCTGGAAAAAACTTTGTAAGAATCATTAGTATAGGATGACAGGTTTGAAGGTATGCATGTATAGATACTGACTACTATATTCATTGTCACACTTTCTATTTCATGACACTTGATAACTACCGTTTAATGTTTATATTCAACATTGCTTATCTCAGGTGACTGTCAAGGTCACTTGGCCTCTTGATAAAATAACTTTTAAACCTTGAGAAAATTTGAAATGGAGGCAAGAAGAGAAAAATCAAATTTTTGAATAACAGATTAATATCAAACAATGGTGAGCACCAGTATCTCTCTGGGGTGTTTTATCATCTTGTGACAGTGTTAGTTTCTTGTTATTTCAGCATCTATAAATATATATAACTAGTAATTTTTGTCCTTTCAGATTTCTCTGATCTTCATCATGGCAACACCTATCAATCAAACCTTTTTCCATCCAAAAGGTCAGTCCACCTGTAGTGAACATAAAGGGAGGCAACTGGATCTTTATTGTGAGAAATGTGATCAACTTATCTGCCTAACATGTATGTTGACAACTCACGGAAGTCACCCTGTTTGTCAGCTCAGTGCAATTACTCCTCAAAAGAAACAAGATATTGAAAACTTCATTGAAAAAACAGAACAAAATGACCTGGTAAAAGTCGGGGAATATATCACCTCTGCTGATATACTACTTAAAGACAACACCAGTAATTTTGAGAAACTTTCACTCCAACTAAAAACTCAAACAGATAAATTAAAACATGAACTCGATCTACATACAACACAGACACTCTCTATTTATAAACAGATGGAAGAGGACAACACTAGGCTGATACAGAAATACAAAAATGAACTGGAGATGTACGACAAACAGCTGAAACAACAATTACAGGATTGTCAGGTGACCCTTCAACGTGGTTCTCACCTGGACATCTATGACACAGAAATATATCCCTCATTAAATTTCCCTGTAAAACCTGTCCTAGGTACAACCAGCTTCACACCTAACACAAATCCTCACCATTATCTACAACAGGCCTTAGGGACAGTTACCACCTCAGGTCAAACATCGATTGACCAGGATCGGTCAGTCTCAGCACCAGATGAACAGGGGCAATCCTCTAAACAACAACAAACAGGAGTAAAAGGGAAGAAAGCAGTGACAAGTAAAAAACTATGGTTAGAGACCATAGTGATGAAGGAATGGGAATCTCCATGTTGCATTTCGTCTGTATGTCCCACCACTGATGGTCAGGTGTGGACCTGTAACTATTTAAGTGATACATTAACTCTCTTAAACAGGGAGGGTAAAGTAGTACAGGAGGTCAAACATACGGCTGTCATCAATTACATCAGTCTATCACCCACAACACACACACTGTGGGTCTGTGACGAGAAAAAAAACATTATGGAACTGGCATCAGGACAACTTACAAACAAATTCAGAACCAAGGAGTTCCCCAGGTGTATATGTGTTACAGCCAGTAACCATATCATTGTTGGAATGAACAAGCACATCTCGAAATTTACCACACAAGGTCAAATGGTGCTCACTACAATGACCAGAAGGACACGGAAACCATTACTACATACACTGTACAAGATGGCAGAGTGTCCAGTAACTCACAATGTCACAGTGATTGATTTCAACGATGAAAGTGACAGTGGTGATGGAGACAGACATGTTGTTGTCATGGATGCTGATTTCCAGGAACTGTTTGTATATAGAGGTGACATCCCCAGTGCATATAAACAAACACCAGAAACAGAAGATGAACTATTTAACCCCTGGTGTGTGGTGTATGACAGTGTGGGGAACCTCATCATAGGGGATTTAAGCAACTGTAGGGTCCTACTCCTCAGTGGAGGTGGTGAGTTCCTCAGAATCATATACACAGAACCACTGGGGGCATGGGAAGTAGGTGTAGACAGGGAGGATGTTCTGTGGGTAGTGTTTGAGGATGACAATGTAAAACTACTACAGTACAGCAGTGTGTAACAGTACTACTACAGTACAGCAGTGTGTAACAGTACTACTACAGTACAGCAGTGTGTAACAGTACTACTGCAATACAGTAGTGTGTAACAGTACTACTACAGTACAGCAGTGTTACAGTACTGCTACAGTACAGCAGTTTGTAACAGTACTACTACAGTACAGCAGTGTGTTACAGCACTACTACAGTACAGCAGTGTGTAACAGTACTACTACAGTACAGCATTGTTACAGTACTACTACAGTACAGCAGTGTTACAGCACTACTACAGTACAGCAGTGTGTAACAGTACTACTACAGTACAGCATTGTTACAGTACTACTACAGTACAGCAGTGTTACAGTACTACTACAGTACAGCAGTGTTACAGTACTGCTACAGTACAGCAGTGTGTTACAGTACTACTACAGTACAGCAGTGTGTTACAGTACTACTACAGTACAGCATTGTTACAGTACTACTACAGTACAGCAGTGTGTTACAGTACTACTACAGTACAGCATTGTTACAGTACTACTACAGTACAGCAGTGTGTAACAGTACTACTACAGTACAGCAGTGTTACAGTACTACTACAGTACAGCAGTGTTACTGTACTACTACAGTACAGCAGTGTGTTACAGTACTACTACAGTACAGCAGTGTTACTGTACTACTACAGTACAGCAGTGTGTTACAGTACTACTACAGTACAGCATTGTTACAGTACTACTACAGTACAGCAGTGTGTAACAGTACTACTACAGTACAGCAGTGTTACAGTACTACTACATTACAGCAGTGTTACAGTACTACTACAGTACAGCAGTGTGACGGATATATGTTACTCTGGTGAGTTACCATGGTAACTAACATTGTAATTAATATCTACATGTCATGAAGACAATAATGTTTAAATAAATGATGATGTTTATTGAAGAAATGTATTTTTGTTTTTCACCATCCACATCCTTCACTTTGTAAACTACATATATCTGTATGTAAAAAACAATGTGAAATTCACTTTAGTATGTTCAAACATTGCATGTCCTTTTTCTTTATTCCAATTTAAATCAATAAACAGTTTAGCTGTATATTTAGACAATGTAAAACTACCACAGTACAGCAGTGTGTAACAGTACTACTACAGTACAGCAGTGTGTAACAGTACTACTACAGTACAGCAGTGTTACTGTACTACTACAGTACAGCAGTGTGTAACAGTACTACTACAGTACAGCAGTGTTACTGTACTACTACAGTACAGCAGTGTGTAACAGTACTACTACAGTACAGCAGTGTGTGACAGTACTACTACAGTACAGCAGTGTTACAGTACTACTACAGTACAGCAGTGTTACAGTACTACTACAGTACAGCGTGTAACAGTACTACTACAGTACAGTGTGAAAAAGTACTACTACAGTACGGCAGTGTTACAGTTATACTAAAGTACAGCAGTGTTACAGTACTACTACATTACAGAAGTGTGTAATAGTACTACTACAGTACAGCAGTGTGTAACAGTACTACTACAGTACAGCAGTGTGTAACAGTACTACTACAGTACAGCAGTGTGTAACAGTACTACTACAGTACAGCAGTGTGTAACCAGTACAGCAGTGTTACTGTACTACTACAGTACAGCAGTGTGTAACAGTACTACTACAGTACAGCAGTGTGTAACAGTACTACTACAGTACAGCAGTGTGTAACAGTACTACTACAGTACTACTACAGTACAGCAGTGTGTAACAGTACTACTACAGTACAGCAGTGTGTAACAGTACTACTACAGTACAGCAGTGTGTAACAGTACTACTACAGTACAGCAGTGTGTAACAGTACTACTACAGTACAGCAGTGTGTAACAGTACTACTACAGTACAGCAGTGTGTAACAGTACTACTACAGTACAGCAGTGTGTAACAGTACTACTACAATACAGTGTGTAATATTACTACTACAGTACAGTGTATAATAGTGCTACTACAGTACAGCAGTGTGTAACAGTACTACTACAGTACAGTGTGTAACAGTACTACTACAGTACAGCAGTGTGTAACAGTACTACTACAGTACAGTGTGTAACAGTATTACTACAGTACAGCAGAGTGTAACAGTAGTACTACAGTACAGCAGTGTGTAACAGTACTACTACAGTACAGCAGTGTGTAACAGTACTACTACAGTACAGCAGTGTGTAACAGTACTACTACAGTACAGCAGTGTGTAACAGTACTACTACAGTACAGTGTGTAACAGTACTACTACAGTACAGCAGTGTGTAACAGTACTACTACAGTACAGCAGTGTGTAACAGTACTACTACAGTACAGCAGTGTGTAACAGTACTACTACAGTACAGCAGTGTGTAACAGTACTACTACAGTACAGCAGTGTGTAACAGTACTACTACAGTACAGCAGTGTGTAACAGTACTACTACAGTACTACTACAGTACTACTACAGTACAGCAGTGTGTAACAGTACTACTACAGTACAGCAGTGTGTAACAGTACTACTACAGTACAGCAGTGTGTAACAGTACTACTACAGTACAGCAGTGTGTAACAGTACTACTACAGTACAGCAGTGTGTAACAGTACTACTACAGTACAGCAGTGTGTTACAGTACTACTACAGTACAGCAGTGTGTAACAGTACTACTGCAATACAGTAGTGTGTAACAGTACTACTACAGTACAGCAGTGTTACAGTACTGCTACAGTACAGCAGTTTGTAAAAGTACTACTACAGTACAGCAGTGTGTAACAGTACTACTACAGTACAGCAGTGTGTAACAGTACTACTGCAATACAGTAGTGTGTAACAGTACTACTACAGTACAGCAGTGTTACAGTACTGCTACAGTACAGCAGTTTGTAACAGTACTACTACAGTACAGTAGTGTGTTACAGCACTACTACAGTACAGCAGTGTGTTACAGTACTACTACAGTACAGCATTGTTACAGTACTACTACAGTGAAATTCACTTTAGTATGTTCAAACATTGCATGTCCTTTTTCTTTATTCCAATTTAAATCAATAAACAGTTTAGCTGTATATTTAGACAATGTAAAACTACTACAGTACAGCAGTGTGTAACAGCACTACTACAGTACAGCAGTGTGTTACAGTACTACTACAGTACAGCATTGTTACAGTACTACTACAGTGAAATTCACTTTAGTATGTTCAAACATTGCATGTCCTTTTTCTTTATTCCAATTTAAATCAATAAACAGTTTAGCTGTATATTTAGACATGATCTATAGTCTTATACTCTACATGTATACTGTATCCCTATCTCTGTACACTGTATATTGTATATTTGTCACTTTATCTGCAATAAAATACCTTGAAATTACATTGGTGTTTTATTTTTTCTATTGACATTTTTCTGTTATATATGTGTCAAAAAATTCCGGAGTGTGATTTAACAGGATGTCGGAGTACTCCAGGCTCCTATTCGACAGTATCAGAATACTTAGGGATCTGATGATACAGGATGCTTGAATACTCAAGTATTAACACAAATATTACAATAGAAAGGCTGAGATCATCTGTCGGCTGGTGTACATGCCCCATATTTTCAATGCGTGTCGCAAATACCATTTGGTGGATTCTTTTTAAAAGCAAGGAAACAAGATTGTATGGCAGGTATGTTGTGTCAAATGCATTTTGGGATCCCACACAAAACCATTAAAATTCATACATTATAAAAAGATATGTGTTAGATGTAAGATACCAGGTTGTTTGCGAATATTATTACTTTTTCATTACCTGTATTATATTGAGAATTTTTTTTATTGTAATTAAACAAAAATGTAGAAACTGTATCCAAGCTACAAAGTTTGAATGTACACCATTTAATCAGCAGAGAAATATATTACTCGGAGATCATTCCATAAAATATTGAAAAATGTAGTTAACAATACAATGATAACCTATTTGTGCACCTGTTCAGAGTAAGGACAACATGGAGATCTTTATCTTGTGGTGACGTTCAAATCTTATCTCTTTCAAGTAAACATTCTGTGTTATAAAGATATCTCATTTTTGAAAGTGTTGGCATCTGAACATGCGAGCGTACACCCCCACACACTGTGTTTCTCGAAGACATTACGGGGAAAACCGTTTAACAATATCAAAGATATCGTAATGGCAAGTGTGTAATAATCATCAGGCGAACTAAAGATCTTCTCAATATTGAATAAATGTTATTCTCCGTTGTAACATTATCAGGAGTCCATTAGATTACTCCATAAGTCCCTGTGGTTCCACAATGTCACATATTATCAGAACATTATCAAACAAGTCCCTGTGATTGTTAGGTGTCACATATTATCAGGATACCATTAGATATCTCCACAAGTCCCTGTCATTCCCTAGTGTGACATATTATCAGAACATAGTCTGACAAGTCCCCATAAGTCCTCATGTGACAAAAGATTTCATGATACCAATAGTTCACACGACAAGTCCCACTGATTCCTTGGTGTGACATATTATCAGGACATGGCTAGATGACTCCACAAGTCCCTGTGATTCCCTGGTGTCACATACTATTATAATACTGCTAGATGACTACAAAATACCCTGTGATTCCCCTTTGTCACTTATCAGAACATTGTCCCACTGATTCCTTCATGTGACATATCAGAACACTGCTAGATGACTCCACAAGTCTCTGTGATCGCCCGTTGTCATATGTTATCAGAACATTGTTGACAAGTCCCATTGATTCCCCAGTGTGACATAATATCAGGACACTTTAGATGACATGACAAGTCACTGTGATTCCCAGATGTGACATATTGTCAGGATACCAATAGCTGATAACACAATTGTCATATACTTTCATAATACTGATAGATGAGTTCACTAGCCCCTGTGATTCCCCAGTGTCACATATTATTAGGAGATCCTTAAATGTATTCACAAGTCTCAGTGATTTCTCGGTGTTACATATTATCAGAATGCCACAAGATGATTACACAAGTCCCTGTTATTACCAGGTGTCACGTGTTATCAGGAGACCGCTGGATGTCAACTCTAGTTCCTGTGATTCACTGTTGTCAATTGATCGTTAAATGTGGTGACACTATTGTGTAGTAACCATCAGTGGTGACACTATTGTGTTGTAACCATCAGTGGTGACACTATTGTGTAGTAACCATCAGTGGTGACACTTTTATGTAGTAACCATCGGTGGTGACACTATTGTGTAGTTGCCATCGGTGGTCGACACTTTTGTGTATTGACCGTAATTCGTGACACTGTTGTGAAGTAACCATCAGTGGTGACACTATTGTGTAGTAACCATCAGTGGTGACACTATTGTGTAGTAACCATCAGTGGTGACACTATTGTGTTGTAACCATCAGTGGTGACACTACTGTGTAGTTACCAACAGTGATGACAATATCGTTTAGTAACCATCAGTGGTGACACTATCGTGTTGTAACCATCAGTGGTGACACTATTGTGTAGTAACATCAGTGGTGACACTATTGTGTTGTACCCATCAGTGGTGACACTATTGTGTAGTAACCATCAGTGGTGACACTATTGTGTTGTACCCATCAGTGGTGACACTATTGTGTAGTAACCATCAGTGGTGACACTATTGTTTAGTAACTATTGTTTAGTAACTATCAGTGGTGACACTATTGTGTAGTAACCATCAGTGGTGACACCGTTGTGTAGTGACAGTCAGTGATGACACTATTGTGTAGTTACCAACAGTGGTGACACTATTGCGTAGTAACCATCAGTGGTGACATGATTGTGTTTTGACGATCAGTGGTAAAACTATTGTGTAGTGACCGTCAGTGGTGACACTATTGTGTAGTAACCATCAGTGGTGACACTATTGTGTTGTACCCATCAGTGGTGAAACTATTGTGTAGTAACCATCAGTGGTGACACCATTGTGTAGTAACCATCAGTGGTGACACTATTGTGTTGTAACCATCAGTGGTGACACTATTGTGTTGTACCCATCAGTGGTGACACTATTGTGTAGTAACCATCAGTGGTGACACTATTGTGTAGTAACCATCAGTGGTGACACTATTGTGTAGTAACCATCAGTGGTTACACTATTGTGTAGTAGCCATTAGTGGTGACACCATTGTGTAGTAACCATCAGTAGTGACACTATTGTGTAGTAACCATCAGTGGTGACACTATTTTGTTGTAACCATCAGTGGTGACACTATTGTGTTGTAACCATCAGTGGTGACACTATTGTGTTGTAACCATCAGTGGTGACACTATTGTGTAGTAACCATCAGTGGTGACACTATTGTGTCATTAGTTAAAAACTATTTAAATTGTGGCCAATGACAAAATAAGGACTTTCAAAGTAAAATCACATGCAACTCTCAAACATAACTCCAGTTGGACGACAACAAAGATGATGATGCTGATGAAGAAGAAGAAGATGATGATGATGATGATGATGATGATGATGATGATGATGATGATGATGATGATGATGATGATGATATTTTCTTACCCGTGTATTTTGTACAGTGATATCTTTTATCACACACAGAAATTATTGACAATAGCCCCCGTAAATATCTATGTAGTCAGTTGCGTGTGTGACAGGTGACTTATGGTGTCAATACCATGTCTGGTTATCTAGTCTCTGTGATGAAAACAATACCAACTCCAGCACTGGACATCAACAAATACTACATCCAGATTAGATTTTATTTTCCTGTTCCTACAGGTGTGCGCACGGTTATATTCTCATTTCCCGGGTAACACAGATGAGAAACTGAAATGTTATTTACCTTTTGCTTAGTAATTTCTCGAAACCACAATCACTAGATCTGAAGCACAGGATTGATTGTGCTTAAAACATCTGATGGACAATAAAGGTGTTATTTATCAGAATGATATAATTATTATTATTTTCATAACTTGGATCTTGGTCACATGAAGGTGTTTGATTTTGTGATATTAACCGGAAGTTTTTAGAAACACTGGATAATAAACTTGTCGACAAGGCAAAGTGATGACGATCTCTGTGGAATGCAGTACTATCATGTTGGCAAAATTCTTGATATCAGTCTCACGTAAAAACAATGAAAACTTCTGATTAGAGGTGACAATAAACAATTTGTAACGAATGCTGAACCTTTTCCCTGTACACAAATGTGTATAAATATTTGTTTCTTAAGGTTTTTAATAATGGCAATTTATTTTAACGCATATTTTTTAAAAAAAAATTTCTAATTTTTTGACAAAACAAATTATCATGGCGAAGTTGTCGGTTGTCATTTTTATTGTGGAGATGAAATGCGATCCAATATAGAAATATCACAATCAGGAACAAGGTATACTTCAAATTCTCCAAAGCCTGACTGTTTTTCCAAACAAAAATCATATTTACTGTATATTTATCTTCAAAATAAGATGAGCAACATGAATATTCCTTGATACATGATAGTGTAACAAACTCACATATATAGATATATATTTGATAAAATTGATTTTACAGAAGTGTCCTAATTTAAAAAAAAAAATGGTTGATTTCCCAAGAAATCTTACTTGGTTCTAGCAAATATTTAAGTTCGGTGCTCGTCTGTCCATATTTGGAGAACGTATAGGTTTTGTTAATTTGGTGAAAAGATTAAAATTGCCATTAAAATGATGAGAATTTCTATTTTTATATCATTTTGACGACTTTACAGATACAATTTTTCAGATATATCGGTAAAGTTTTGTATATTGTGATGTATGTTACTCTGACAAACCAACAGAGTGCTGTGTGACCATGCATGACACACCAAGTCTACTGTGTGACCATGTTATGACACACCAACAGTCTACTGTGTGACCATGCATGACACACCAAGTCTACTGTGTGACCATGTATGACACACCAACAATGTACTGTGTGACCATGTATGACACACCAACAGAGTGCTATGTGACGATGTATGACACACTAGCAGTGTACTGTGTGACCCTGTATGATACACCAACAGAGTGCTGTGTGACCATGTATGACACGCCAACAGAGTGCTATCTGATCCTGTATGACACACCAACAGAGTGCTGTGTGATCATGTATGACACACCAACAGAGCGCTGTGTGACCATGTATGACACACCAGCAGTGTACTGTGTGATCCTGTATGACACACCAACAGAGTGCTGTGTGACCATGTATGACACACCAACAGAGTGCTGTGTGACCATGTATGACACACCAGTAGTGTACTGTGTGACCCTGTATGACACACCAACAGAGTGCTGTGTGACCATGTATGACACACCAACAGTGTATGACACACAAACAGTGTACTGTGTGACCCTGTATAACTTACCAACTTTCGGTTGTGCGCAGATCGAAAACTAATTTTTCAATCATGGAATTAAAAAAGTAATCTATTCTAAATGTGTGTTTCAATGAATCATTTTCTTTTCCAGAGGTGTTTGGTAATATATTACTAAACTGAAATACCTGTCTTATGACAACTTTTCTCTGCAAGCAACTATGTTATGATTTCCCTATATTTCTGCATAACCGCTGTAGCGAAGATATTTGAGTTAACTAGACTTGCTGTTTTTATAAACAATTTTTCTCCAAAGGTACATAACTAATCTTTTTTCAAAATAAACAGTTGTAGAAAGCTTGATTTTTAAATTTCAAATCTGTGTTAACTTTTGATATTTGTAAAACAAAACAAAAATATATAAGTTATTTGCAACTGAAATACCACCCTATAATGTATAACACTTTCTGGCTGAAATATAAAAATGACATAAAGAATGGTTGAATAATTCTCCATCTGGCTCACATAATTTTGTGATAAATCTATTTGACTTTTTTGTTTTGTTTCAACATCAAGATTGATCCTTTCATCTGTAACATCCTTTTTATCGTTACTAGTTTTAATTTATTGATTATATCCCATTTTCTTACAAGATTTTTACTTCAGCACATAACCCATTTCATGGTCATATAATCTTGTTTACCACTGTAATGAATGGGGATTAGTGAGTAGTTGAATGAGGTAGCAAGTGATTTATTACCCACACTTTCCCATTGTGAGACGTGTAAAGCATGCAGGGAAGAGAGGTATAATTACGTCCCTGGTTGAGATTTAGAACATTTTTATCATCTAATTAACCGATTTGGCTACAACGTTACCTAACTATTTCGTCAATACTATTTGCCTTAACCTAAGTAGGATTAAAATACGGCCGAAATGTCTTGTGAATTCGTTACCGTCTTGTACACTGCATATACACATATGTACGTCATCGTTAATAGTCGCTTGCGCATATGGTTATTCGTCTGATGAAGGTGACTGTTGTCCATAATAAAACAACACACATGAATTTCATACTGGTTATGACATACAAAGATACTACTCTCTAAAATTGGCAGTGGTGTATTTTGTATAATCCAAGTGAATTGCCTTCAGTAACACAGTCTAGTCCTATCTGTTTGTAAGGGAAAATTAGAAAACTTTTAATTATGTATTTAACCACATTTTAAATATATCTAATTTATATGTGTAACAATGTAATGAACATGGCTATTTGAAAGTAAATAAATAGATAAATAAATAAAACAGATTATCGGTTGTAATTCTGGTTAGTTTTTGGTTACTGTTGAATTTAAATGACAAATAACAGTTATTGATATCCCACCCAAGCGTAGTTAATGTATTTTGTGATATATGCCCATGCTCCGATTGAAGCCCATACGATCTATAAAATGAGAGCTCACGAATCCTTAAGACCGGTTTATGGAAGCGTTTAAATGATGTTGATCTGCACTTTGACCGCTGTTGTGAATAGCAAAGGTTACCGCTGCCTTGATTTTCTCTCTTTAAGGCACTGTTACGACGACTAATGGTCCGTGCACGATAGGTAAGGTTATTTGTTGCAGTCGACGTATCGGATGAGAATCATTCATAAAGATGGACCCATCTGATGTAACAGCACAGACATGCCTTGATGAATGGAATGACTGTGAAAAGGAATACATGCAACTAGAGGTATTTATAAACTACCCTATTTAACAAACAAGATTGTTACACGATTTAAATGCATGCGCTGAGACTTTTTTAAATGTCATTGACGACAGCAATTGCAACCACCGTCACGGTGTATAACTGGTAACAAGACTATTGTCAATTTCAGTCAGTTTACCATGGTCTAGTGAATCCCTTGAACTATGGTGCATTGTACTCGAACCAATACCTACATTTTTAGTAAGTAGATGAAGAAAAAGGAGAATCAAATGCTCCTACATTTCAGAACTTACAAAAAATACAAATACGATCACTGAAGTACAGTTAAGAAATGAAAAAGATCTATCAAATTTTATTGCCCGAAAGATTTGATTCTTGGTGGTATGGATAGTAGAAGACTGTACAGATTGTCGAATAGAAAAACAACAAAAAAAGGAGAGTTTTTACAGCAAAACATTGTTTCACTCTGAACATATTTGACAGGTTGGCATTTTGAACCACAGAGTGACCTAGACCTTTGGTCATAGGCCAGGGGTCAAATCTTCTTACTGTACAAGTAAGTTCCAGAAGACCAGATATTTTTTCAGAGAGTATCTGGGGAGATGGAAGTGCTAAATTCTTCATGCAGATGACCCTGATCTTTTTTGCAGAGTCATTGTTTTTTTAGGTAAAAATGTTCTCAAGTTGATATTTGGCAAATAGGGATGTATTTTCATGCTTACCTGGGACTGGAGGGACAGGGCCAATGAGGGAAATAGAACAATTTCTTTAAAATCCTACTCTTCCTGTAAGAATGATCAGATTTTACCTTGATTTGGTTTGAAGCAATGTTGGGTGATCATGAATGAGAATCAGTGTTGTGTAAATGATGGGTCTTGGCCCCCTGGGCCAGATAGAATGGGGCCCTTCTCAGAGAAATAGAGCAAATTCTTTACGACCTTACTTGTCCTGTAAGAATGATTGGTATTTGCCCAGTTTTGTCTGAAGTATTCTTCGATGAACGGAAGTCAATTTAATATAAATAGTTGATCTCAGATCCCTGATATTGGGGGGGGGGGGGGGGGGGGATATATATTGTGGAAAATAACCTAATTTTGTACACCCAGGAGGATATTAAGAGATATGGGGCACATTAGGGAAATTAAGTTTTTAAAAATCCTTTTTTCATGAAAGGCTGTTGTTGAAGTTTGGTCTGAAGCATATTATGTGAATGGTGAATCTGATTTCTGTTTGTCCACAAGGCTGGCATTGAAAAAGAAATGTCAGCAATTATTTGTCATATTTGATTTTTTTTGTTAGGTTATCTTATGGAGCTATAATGGTTTATTTTTGTCATCACTTTGTTAGCCTATATATTGACCAATATTCATAGTGTACCATCAAGGAAGCAAATGAAAGGTCATGTCATAAAGTAAACATTGCATGACAGTACATTTGTTTGAGAAAGTTAAAAAGCCTTGTACATGTCACGGTAAAAGTCATAAGATGATAGTTAGGTCAAGGTCATGTATGTCTAATTTGATTTATCCTCAGAATAATAAATAGTACAGAATAACATTTGAATCAACAGTAATGTGATTGACACAACATGCTCCTTGGGTGAAAGACAAGATAAAAGGATTGAATTTATAGCTTCTTGAATCTTCATGGTAGATGAATGTGTCGTATCATCTCAAGAAAAATTTAATTACCATTTTGGTGTTTCATAAGTCTGTTGTGGGTGAAGATATCAACATTTTATCAAATGTAATGTATAGCTTTTATGTTTTCATTAAAAGTAAGTAAACAATTTATCAATGTATGATATGATGAAGTGATATGTTTAGGATTTTTTAGGTCAAGATGACCTTAATTGCCATCATGCACCCTCCACTGGCTTAAACTTTTCCTTTAAAATTCTATTCCTCCTTCATACCTCGACAGATTTCAACCAAATTATGTCTGATGCATCATTGGGTGAGGTCAACTATTTCTTATGTTAAGAAAGTTAGTTTGACCTGCAGGGAGCAGGTGATGGGGTTCCAAATGTGAAGTTAGATAATGTCTGCTTTTGAATGCTAACCCTCCTTCATGCCTTGATTAATTTTAACCAAATTTGGTCTGATGCATCATTTGGAGAGAGCAATCATTTGATTTATTCAGAGAGTTGATTCGATACCTAAGGATCAGGGGAAGAGGCCCCTAAAGGGGAAATTACACAATGTTTTGCTTTAAAATGCTACTTCTCTTTCATGCCTTAGTGGATTTCAACCAGCTTAGGCCTGATTCATCAGATACAGGAAAGAGTTTGCCATCAATTTTTAGCTAAAATTGGCTTTAAATGCTAGTCCTCCTTCATGTCTCTGAGGATTTGGTTTGATGCATCAGTGGGTCAGAGCAGTCACTTCTTTAACTCACAGATATTATGACACCATCAGGGACAGGATCATGGCCTCAAAAAGGGCAAATTAAGCTACCACAGTAATATTAAATCTACTCCTTCCACAAGGGGCTGCTGTGGTTGAGTGGTTAAAGCATCTGACTGTCTTTATCACTATCCCTCCACCTCTGGGTCATGGGTTTAAGACCTACATGGGGCAGTCGCCACAAACTTGCCACAGGTCGGTGGTTTTCCTCCAGAAACTCCAACTTTCCTCCACCACCCAAACCTGGCACATCCACAAATGACCCTGGCTGTTAATAGGATGTAAAGCAGTTATAAACTGAACTGATCCTCCCTCACGTCTTAAAGAATTGGGACTAAATAATTTCGAATTATTCTGGAAGAAAAACAATCCATCTTAAATTCATTATGATGATTTGACCCCTAAGGAACAGATCTTCACAGGAACAAAAAATTGGCTTTCAAAGGATATATTCTTCAATGCTCAAATGAATTTTGTGTTGAAGGAAAAGTATTAATTTCTTACAGGAGTGTTTGATTGTTAGATAACCAATAGCCATAGCCCTCATGGTATGGTATACATAGCAATCATGGTCTTAGTTAAGGTGTTATAACTCTCTTAAACAGAAATAGTCGGCATAATAGAAATTTGCACAAATTACGTTGATGATGATTAAAGGACTAATTCCTAGATATAGGTCAAATCATAAAACATTTCATATAAAAAATGAATGCATGTTACCATCCCCATGGTAGATATTGCAAATGACCCTTCTTCCTGTTACTAAAGAATGGCACAGCTGATAAGATGGCTGAATTTACACTTAATTTCCATCTATATGTATGATCCTGGTTACAAGGAAATATAAGGGTTTATATACTATAATTTAAAAGTGTCATTTCCTGAGAGAAATATGATGTGTGAGAGTCAGTAAATCTTCCCAGGTCTCCAGCAACAAAGACCATCTGTCAAAAATCATTTACTACGTTAAAAAAAATTCAACTCGCGTCATTTAATTTTGAGTAAAAAATAGTATTGTTTAAGTAACAACATTGGAAATAACATTTGATATTTATAACAAGATGCTCACCATGTCTGATTACTAGTTAGTTAGGTACAATATAAAGTTCAGGTTCTAGCATTTCAGTTTCCTTCAGAAAACTTGTAGCAGAGTGAAGTTTACGACAAAGCTAGATCAAGATATGATTAAATCAGCTTGGAAATTATCTGAAATAGTTCCCTGAAACACTTGTTGGTTTATTTGGATATTTTGTGTGTCTCAGCAAATTTCTTCATTTTCAATGTGTTTTACATTGTGACACTTTTTCCTTACTTGTTTGTTTGCCATTTTAAAAGGACCTGCAGGCAAAAGCTGATCTTGTATACCAACATTGATGAGACACTGTCATGAACAGGCAGCATAATGTTTTATTATCAAATTGCAAGTAAATCAGATTAAAAATGCTATTTTGTAGATTTGATGAGTTTAGCTTGAAGAACACTACAGATTGTTGGAACTAAATAATTGAATTGTTAGACGTTTTTATGTCGTTTTTGTTGATACTGTGGGTGATCTGATGAATTCATCACCTGTCTGCAGCTGATCAATTATATAAGTGTTGTACTTATTCACCAAGTGATTCTCTGCACCAGACACAGATGTAGATCTAGAACATCACGAAAAACAGTGTAAATAGAAAACATATATATGGCAGCCAGTCCTTTATCCTGACAACATTTATGATGCTTGACTTAGTATCTTAAGTGTTAATTATTGAACTAAATGAAGACAAGAATTTTTTTTACAAAACTTCATTTAAATTCTCCTAGGGCAAAATTTAAGTTCAAATTCAGTTATACAGCTATATGTGGATTATTTTTTTCAGTATCCACAACTTAATCATTATATGAGCATGTCGAGTTTTCAAAACTAATTGGAAAAATGTAGGATGACCATGCTAAAAGTATATAATTGCAAATCCATTAAAACCCTGTTTCATTTGTCAGACTTTATCTCAGTAGGTTTCTGTTCTTCCTTTCTGTGGCTGTTTTGATATACCGGGGTATTGATCAAAAAAGGAAAATTGCTGTCAGTAATTGTCAGGGATATGTCTGTATTTTGGAGACTTAAAAAGAGGTTATCATTATTTAGAAATTTCTCTAAAAGTAGAGGTTCCCTTAAATTTATTTTTTTTTTAATTTTCATGTTTAGTTTTGAGACCAATCAAAGCAAGATGGTTGCCAGGTAGCCATTTTGCTTTTTACTACATGTACTTAAAAGGTTGTTTACTGGGTACTTCACTTCTCAGAAAATGCTTAATTGATTTCTCATTTTTCATAGATCGCCATTTTCCTTCAGTTTTAATAGTACATGTATAATTCTGAAGGTGACAGAAATTGAAGGTGATGAGTGTCTGATCCCCCTGTATCTGCCTGTATCTGGACATTAGATTGTAATGGATGTCTTTTTCAATGTCAGGGTTCATACCTATAAATCAAATCTCACATGCTTGTTTATGTATACACTACTCTAGGCCATACTCATATGTAGAGTGGAGGTTTATAGCCTTCTTGATTAATGTATATGTAAGGATTTGTTAATTCTGTCAGAATATATGAGTACCACTGTACCTGATTGCTGAAAGACAGGTGCACTCAATTGAAGTCCATGTTTTGGAATTTTTTTCTTTCTTAAGGAATCCCTTCTGTAAGCATATAAAATATGAAGGTTCCTTTTAATCTTGCTTTAAAAACAATCAATATTATCAGCTAGAAGAGAAGATACTAGACCTGGTCAAATAAATCTCCACCTCCAAATTCCAAAATGAAATGATAAAAGGAAATCGTGTAATTACCAATAAGTCAACATGTTGCAAACAAATTACTGGTAGTGGTCATAATTTCATATATATGGATTAGTGGTAAGTTTATCTATATCATATATATATGCCTGGAGAGTTTTTTTTTTTTTTTTTAATTAAAGTTTGACATAATTTATTTTACAACATTTGCGAAACAAATTTTCCAACTTATATTAATCACTCTTGTGGGCCCAGATGGAAGCATGTGGGGTCTTACCGTGGCAGGAAATCTAGAATACCCTGGAAAAATCCAGATGGTCGGGCAGGTGACCCCACACCTTTTCACATCTGTTATGGGAATCAAACTCTGGACTTACAGGTGAAAGGCAAGTGCGATACCACTGCACACTCACTCACCTAAACTAAGGGTTTTGATTTGATGATACCAACCCTAGGCTACTACTATCTAAATCTTTTTGATTTTACATGCTAAGATGAAAATTTTCAAGATGAATATTTGCACATGTTTAGCTTGGGCTTGTAGAGTTGATCAAAATGTACACTCTGTTATATGAGTTGGTTAATTAAAGGTGCTGTTTGCCTTTATTTGTCAGAAAATTTATGCTTTTGAAAATGTCATTTCAGCTGAATAGATATACACTTTGATTTCTCAGTATATATGTAGCTGTTTGTAGAGTGCTTGTATTACCTATGAATTTTTATTACGAACAATCGAGGTGTATAAGGTTTATATTTTTACATAACTGTGCATTGTTTAGATAACACAGGTAACATAAGTTAAAGGGCATCATGCTAGCACTGCCTGTCAAAGTTTTATGAGATTTTTATTTAGACTTTAGCACCTACTATACAAGAATGTACTTGTATGTGTATATATTTATACATGTATATACATATGTGATACTAATATGCCATTTGCATTAGATTTTAAAAAAAATCAAGTTTGGCATTCATTCACGACGTGATAATGCTCTTGTTGTATCATGTTATTATATATCTACAATGATTTTTAACTTATTGTCTGGTCCAAGTCAGAATTTTTTCATATATTGCATCAAATCCATTGACCATCCCTCATATGATATTTCCCCTAGATCTGTCTAGATCTGGAATTGGCCGAGTAGATCCTGACCAGTAAGGGCTTTTTACTGAATGGTAAAAAGACAGAAAACAGAAGGTGTCTGAGCTGCCATGTTCTCTCCCAACTATCTTAAACAGGGGAAAAAAAATGTATCATTTGCCATTGCACGGCATCCGTCATCCATCTGTTGGTCCATCCGTCTGGTGTCCGTCAATGTTTTATTTAAACAACTTCTTCTGAAATACCAAAAGGCATAGAGTTATCATATTTGGCTGGATGGTTCCTTTGATGAAGCCCAACAAAGTTTACGAAAAGAAATAACCTTGACCCATATTCAAGTTCACAGAGGTCAAATGTATTAAAAACTTTAAGTGACTTCGTTCAAAATACAGGAAAGCCTAGAATCATTATATTTGGCTACTATGTTCCTCTTATGGTGTCCTACAAATTTTGCTGAAAGAAATGATCTTGACCTATATTCTAGGTCTCTGAGGTCAAATGTGTTAAAAGTGGAACATATGCGCAGATATAGTAATGTTGGTCATAAAGATCCTCTGGGCCTCTTGTTCTTCTTCCACATTAACAGACACTTCAGAAAATGAAAATTGCATCAGTTGTGTTTGTGTCGTGTTTAAAATATTGTTTGGACAAACCATACTGGGATAACCAGTTTTAAAACTGACCATTATCATCAAGCCTAATGTGTTGATCTCCATTTTGAGCCAATTTTTTTTTCTGCAGCCTTTCATTGGCTGGATTGTTTACCACAATTATCAGTAATATTGATAGTCCTGGTTCTGAGGTTTTGTTTTTCTTTTAAATGAAGATTCATGTTTGTAGACTGACCATGAACAGTACAAAAGGAAATTGGATGAGATGCTGGCATTGCAGAAGAAGTGTCTGACAGGCATTGCCAACCAAAGGAAACGACTCAAAAAAATTCTGGGGCATTGTAAAGAGTAAGTCATTTTTTATCATAACAAGTTATAGTCTGAGGTGAAAGGGTTTCCATGTCAGATGTTTTATGACATGAAACAGACTTTTAGGTGGGTAACTGAAAACTTAATCTGAAATCAAATTAAAATACCTGGTAGTAAATTTCAAATCTATTTATAAAAGTGGCTTGGTGTATGGTAGACAAAAATTCGAAAGGTTGAATTTGAATTGTTTGATCTGTGGTAAGTAATTTAAACCATCTTTATATATTGGGTTTTATTAAGCACATTCTTCCTCTGTTGTCCCAGCAGAGAGAGTGTGTGTTAGGGGACCTGGTGACCTGATAATTCGGTCAAGTATGGCAGATGTTGTCAAGAATATATAATCCTCCTGTATACGTAAATTGTATGAAATCTACTTTGAATTTGCATATTTTCTTTACAATGTGTTATAAAATATACTACATGTGTCAAGTATAACACTAATTTCATTTTATATGAGAAGTTTCAAAGAGAAATAACTTGTGAAATATCTTTTGTATAATTTTCAACTTTTATAGGGCTGTAATAATACATCTTATATCTGAGATGATACATATCCTTATAAATTTTGGTCCTATTATATTTTTCTTTGGCTAGTAATATTAATATTAAAAAGGAACATGAGATTCAACTCCAATACAGTAACATATCAGAACAAGTGGTGTGAAGTGTGTTTATATGTACTTACATTGTACTAATAATGAATGAGCTAACAAATAAAGGAAAAAGAGAAAGCCTTTAATTAGTTACTTGCTTGCTTTAGAAAAAAATAAAAATAAAAAATGATAATTTACATCATGACAATCATAAGGTGATAAATTTATCATCAGCTTAGAGTAACCTTACTGAATAGTGTATTGAAATAGCAAAGATGTATTAAAAATTGAATTGTAAGGCAAATAATAATGGTATCTCTACTACACTTGCAATCATATCTAAACGTGTTTATTTGTCATGTTTGTAAGAACATGTATTACAGTGTTTATCAGAGTTACGATGGTGGAGCATGATTTCATTTATTGTGTCATTAGATCATGAATTTAGAAGATATATAATAAACATCAATATGTTATCATATACAAAACTATGTACACTGGATCAATTTTGTTTACAGAAACATGCAGCTAATACATATTTTGTTTCTGTTTAGAGCTAGAATACAGAACTTGGATGGGGAACAGAAAGCTATCCTGAAGGAACTGGATATCAAGGCAAAAAACCACAAAACTCACTTTCGTGAAATGGAGGAGTGCCTTCCGCACAAGAACGGGTATGTTTTCAACTCTGGACAGTTTTTCAGATATCTATAGAATATTACTTTCTGACAAGTTCCAATATACAGATCACAGTAATATCAGTGTGGTCTAAAGGGTAGCTATATGTTAGTCTGTTGTCAATTTACTTCTTAAATTTGCACTGATTCAACTGAGTAGCTACTTGCTTACATATAGTATATTGTACTTATTCTGCAGTAAGCCAGGGGCTTTAGTGGCTGATCATGTAAGTGGTTAGGTGTCTGTCTGTCTTTATCAGGAGCCATCCACCTCTGGGTCATGGGTTCGAGGCCTATGTGGGGCAATCGCCAAGTACTGGCAGTAGGTTGGTGCTTTTTCTCAGTAAGTTGTGGTCTTCCTCTACCACCCAAACTTGGCCGTTGATAGGACGTACAGCAATAATATAATAAACCTGCAGAAAGCCAATGCCTGGTAATAAGCCCACCTATATATATTGTAGTTTGTCAACTATTGCTATTGTTTTGAAATAAGCTCACCCACTGGTTTAGTAATATTCGCTGGTCTCCTTGGGCTTATTTGAGGTAAAATATGATAATAATGTGTTGTACTTGTAAAAACTGAACAGGATATACACCTATCAGTACTTTAATGACATGTTGAAAGGTGTATTTACACTTTTGAAGATAATTCGATAAATACTTCGAGGGTGTTATCTGTCTTGTTTCTAGTACAGATGATCTACTGACCTTGAACTTCATATGTTTTATATAGAAGTTATGCATGTTTGTTTGTGATAGTCTGACCGTATTAATTTTTATGTACATGCATGTACTTTTAAAGAAATGTGATTCTTGGAAGACAGTTATACAAAATATGAGAAATGGAAAGATTAAAGAAAAAAATTAGCCGGTTAGGGAATTTTAAAGATACTTTAACGAAAGATGTATTTAAAGAGTACTGAAATTGAAAAGCAGAAGCTCATGACAATTTTTAATTCACTTTGTAATTGTCATCACTCATTTTTTATGTCTGTTGTTTTAAAAATTTTGCACTGTCAGCTTCTGAAAAATCCTTTCAGTGGTTTTCATCAAATTTTGCAGCTTTAATGTCATGGTCAGTAAGTTTATAAGTAAAAAGCTCCTATTATCTCAACGGCCTTATATGTCAAAATCTTCAATTTCTTGGGGAAATTTTAATTAATCTTGTATATATTTATTGGAAATAACACTTTAGGTCATATTTTGTATATCTGTCATTGAAAATGATTCAAAGTTTTTAATAGCCAAAATTTTACTCCTGGGCCACTATCAAAATAAGGATATTCTTGACATATATATACATGGATGCAACAAAGCCTCAGTAGCGAAACTAGTTTGATCCCCTTAATTGGCATAAAAACTCAAAATTTATGATACTCAAAACACAATAGTTATATATTAATTAAACACATTGATCAGAAGAATATAGCTGTGAACTTGAGATACCTATAAACAGAATCTTTATTTCAGAATATACCTTAGCATTATCCTTGGACAAGTGAATGTGTCATTGCTGAACAAGGCAGATAAGTAAGTACATTGAATATTATATATAGATATTTTAAGTGAAGGAAAATGCCTTAAGTTAAAGAAAATTTATGAATCTTGGGCCAGTTCTTTTAACCTTTTATCATATGATGTCTGCTATTCAGTAATATAAAGGATGTTCCAGGAGTTTTCTATTTGAGGAGAGTTATGAAATGTGTCTTGAGAATTTTTGTTATATAACTACCTCATCAGAAAATGTGAAATTTCTGATAAATTTCATGAAAATCATGAAATAGTAACAAAGTTTGTGGAAACAGCATTATACAAGACAGGAACAAACTAAAGTATTTGATATATTCTATATTATCTCTTTCTGTGGTGATACAATGTACTACATTATGTATGTAACATCATTAACTTATGACATCATAATGGATATAATTGGAACCTTCAGCCAATTACTGTTTATGTAAATTTAGGTTGTGGATGTTAGGCCTCCAGATGTTATTATGCTGATATCAGTGTTATAAACAAGGACCGTCCTTAAGTTTATTACACTGATAACAGGGTAGTTATGTAATGGGTGTTATTACAGTGATAACATGGTAGTTATGTAATAGATGTTTTTACACTGATAACAGGGTAGTTATGTAATATATGTTTTTACACTGATAACAGGGTTGTTATGTAATAGATGTTTTTACACTGATAACAGGGTAGTTATGTAATAGTTGTTATTACACTGATAACAGGGTAGTTATGTAATGGGTGTTATTATACTGATAACAGGGTACTTATGTAATGGGTGTTATTACACTGATAACAGGGTAGTTATGTAATAGTTGTTATTACACTGATAACAGGGTAGTTACATATTAGATGTTATTACAGTGATAACAAGGTAGTTATGTAATAGATGTTAATACACTGATAACAGGGTAGTTACGTAATAGTTGTTATTACACTGATAACAGGGGAGTTATGTAATGGGTGTTATTACAGTGATAACAGGGTAGTTATGTAATAGATGTTAATACACTGATAACAGGGTAGTTACGTAATAGATGTTAATAGACTGATAACAGGGTAGTTACGTAATAGATGTTAATACACTGATAACAGGGGAGTTATGTAATAGATGTTATTACACTGATAACAGGGGAGTTATGTAATAGTTGTTATTACAGTGATAACAGGGGAGTTATGTAATAGATGTTAATACACTGATAACAGGGGAGTTATGTAATAGATGTTTTTACACTGATAACAGGGTAGTTATGTAATAGATGTTATTACAGTGATAACAGGGTAGTTATGTAATAGATGTTAATACACTGATAACAGGGGAGTTATGTAATAGATGTTATTACACTGATAACAGGGTAGTTACATATTAGATGTTATTACACTGATAACAGGGTAGTTACATATTAGATGTTATTACACTGATAACAAGGTAGTTACATATTAGATGTTATTACAGTGATAACAAGGTAGTTATGTAATGGGTGTTATTACACTGATTACAGGGTAGTTATGTAATGGGTGTTATTACAGTGATAACAGGGTAGTTATGTAATAGTTGTTATTACACTGATAACAGGGTAGTTACATATTAGATGTTATTACACTGATAACAAGGTAGTTACATATTAGATGTTATTACACTGATAACATGGTAGTTATGTAATGGGTGTTATTACACTGATAACATGGTAGTTATGTAATGGGTGTTATTACAGTGATAACAGGGTAGTTATGTAATAGTTGTTATTACACTGATAACAGGGTAGTTATGTAATGGGTGTTATTACACTGATAACAGGGTAGTTATGTAATAGATGTTATTATACTGATAACAGGGTACTTATGTAATGGGTGTTATTACACTGATAACAGGGCAGTTTTGTAAAAGGTGTTATTACACTGATAACAAGGTAGTTATGTAATAGATGTTATTACACCGATAACAGGGTAGTTATGTAATAGATGTTATTACACTGATAACAGGGTAGTTATGTAATAGTTGTTATTACACTGATAACAGGGTAGTTATGTAATAGATGTTATTACACTGATAACAGGGTAGTTATGTAATAGTTGTTATTACACTGATAACAGGGTGTTATGTAATAGTTGTTAATACACTGATAACAGGGTAGTTATGTAATAGATGTTAATACACTGATAACAGGGTGTTATGTAATAGTTGTTATTACACTGATAACAGGGTAGTTATGTAATAGATGTTAATACACTGATAACAGGGTGTTATGTAATAGTTGTTATTACACTGATAACAGGGTAGTTATGTAATAGATGTTATTACACTGATAACAGGGTAGTTATGTAATAGTTGTTATTACACTGATAACAGGGTAGTTATGTAATAGATGTTAATACACTGATAACAGGGTGTTATGTAATAGTTGTTATTACACTGATAACAGGGTAGTTATGTAATAGATGTTATTACACTGATAACAGGGTAGTTATGTAATAGTTGTTATTACACTGATAACAGGGTAGTTATGTAATAGATGTTAATACACTGATAACAGGGTAGTTATGTAATGGTTGTTATTACACTGATAACAGGGTAGTTATGTAATGGTTGTTATTACACTGATAACAGGGTAGTTATGTAATGGTTGTTATTACACTGATAACAGGGTAGTTATGTAATGGTTGTTATTATGATAACAGGGTGTTATGTAATAGTTGTTATTACACTGATAACAGGGTAGTTATGTAGTAGATGTTATTATACTGATAACAGGGTAGTTATGTAGTAGATGTTATTATACTGATAACAGGGTAGTTATGTAATGGGTGTTATTACACTGGTAACAGGGTAGTTATGTAATAGTTGTTATTACACTGATAACATGGTAACTAGGTAATGGTAATTATTTTGGTTACAGATTTGCTTACAAGGAAGATTATCACCATGCCACATAAATACAGCTTTATATCACCATGCCACATAAATACAGCTTTATATCACCATGCCACATAAATACAGCTTTAGTATCACCATGCCACATAAATGCCACAGCTTTATATCACCATGCCACATAAATACAGCTTTATATCACCATGCCACATAAATACAGCTTTATATCACCATGCCACATAAATACAGCTTTATATCACCATGCCACATAAATACAGCTTTATATCACCATGACATAAATACAGCTTTATATCACCATGCCACATAAATACAGCTTTATATCACCATGCCACATAAATACAGCTTTATATCACCATGCCACATAAATACAGCTTTATATCACCATGCCACATAAATACAGCTTTATATCACCATGCCACATAAATACAGCTTTATATCACCATGCCACATAAATACAGCTTTATATCACCATGCCACATAAATACAGCTTTATATCACCATGCCACATAAATACAGCTTTATATCACCATGCCACATAAATACAGCTTTATATCACCATGCCACATAAATACAGCTTTATATCACCATGCCACATAAATACAGCTTTATATCACCATGCCACATAAATACAGCTTTATATCACCATGCCACATAAATACAGCTTTATATCACCATGCCACATAAATACAGCTTTATATCACCATGCCACATAAATACAGCTTTATATCACCATGCCACATAAATACAGCTTTATATCACCATGCCACATAAATACAGCTTTATATCACCATGCCACATAAATACAGCTTTATATCACCATGCCACATAAATACAGCTTTATATCACCATGCCACATAAATACAGCTTTATATCACCATGCCACATAAATACAGCTTTATATCACCATGCCACAGCAGGTGTATTTGATTTATGGAGGAAGGTATTGGATTAATGATTAAAATTTCACTTAAGTTCAGGTTTTATTGTAGTCAGGTCATAGATGAGTATTGATAAAAAGTTGGGAATGTTGACTTAGTGTATTTATGATTTTTAAGATTAAAACAAATACATAAATGACATCTATTACTGGTAAATGTTGTTGTAACCTGGACGAGCGTGACTCGCATAGAATGGCACAAACACATAATATACAATATATACAAGTTTAATACACTATATACACATTATAAATTTTACACACAAATGTAAATACATATGTATGTACAACTCACTCACTCATTCAAAACACCATCACTTCAATAATTACATATAAACAGTATAGTCTGTCCTCAACGAATCTGGAAAGAGGTCTGGAAACGTCTCTGGACCGACTAACAACCAGCAATGTTCACAGCATTGAACAGTTGCCCATAGGACCGTCTGATGACAAATGTCAAAAGGAATTCATAAATAGAGCACAACTGTCAACACAACATAGCACCTGCCCACACAGGATATCAGAACATCTGTCCACACAGGACATCATAGCATCTGACCACACAGGATATTAGAACATCTGCACGACCACACAGGACATCATAGCATCTGCTCACACAGGACATCATAGCATCTGTCAACACAGGACATCATAGCATCTGTCCACACAGGATATTAGAACATCTGCACGACCATATAGGACATCATAGCATCTGCTCACACAGGACATCATAGCATCTGTCCACACAGGACATCATAGCATCTGTCCACACAGGACTGTAACTGGCGGCTGTCCTGGCCCACATATGACTCTGTATTCTATATATGTATGTACTCTGACTGTGTCACATTCGTTCCCGCCATCAACATGGGTAGAACTGCAATAACACAAGACTATGTCTGACTATGCTGACTATATAGTCTATAATGATTCATAAATATTTATACACAGTATTTCTTCTATTTCAACTATTATTTGTGTATATACATTCATCTGCCTACATACAGTAATTGATATGAATCTATTCACTAATTCTAGTCTGAATTCCATGTAATTCATTGACATATTAACAAGTTTCGCTTATATTTATTAAATACAAACTAAATTCATATAACAGTTGATATCTTATAGCTATAATAGAGATATATTGAACTGTACTCATATAGCGTTATAAGCATATACATTTATCGATAAATATTCGCCTCAAATATCAAACACAACAGATTTCGGGCATATAATTGCAATATAAAGGCACAAGAAATGATTACAAACTTACCGCAAACTGTATTTTGCGTTGGCTAACCCCATATAAGCAATAACTGACTGCCAAAATTTACACCGCGGCTCTCGCTTACGTGTATATTTTCCTTCCGGCGAGACTAATTTCAAATATTCGAACTCGGATCCGGAGAATCCGCATTTATAGAATTTACAGCAAATAATTAAGAAAATAAAAGCACAATATTTAGACCAGATAATACCTGATTTCTTTCATCGAATACATGTACAAATAGTTCAGACATTGTTTGATATATACAAAAATGTAAAATATACAAAAGTATGGTTGGGACTGTGACAGTTGTTATGCTCTGGATCTACCATTACTAGACTTGCTGCCTCATATGGCTCTCTGTGTACTTACATTCTTTGTTTTTCTCGTTGAAGCTTAACTTTTTACTTTATACATGTAACCAGCTTTACATCAGTAAAGATAAAACTTTGGATTTTGAAATTCAGGAAATTGCATATTGGTATCTAGTTTTAATATGTTGTAGGTGGCTGGATGCTCTCCATAATTTCCTGCTTGTTTGGTACTACTGTACTCTGACTATCCGTGAAAACATCCTCGTAGTCAACGGCTCCAGGTAAACCATTAATACGTTATTTCATCAACATCAGATATGTATATTAACTGGGTACAACCCTGATGTTTTCAAAGCCTTCGATATGCAAGATATACAAGCTGTGTGTTTGTTAATTACCAACTTGTTGAAATGTAGCGCTTAACACTGCTCCCTCCCACTGATAAAAAAACAACATCATAAAACAATTACACCACACTACACATTCTCATACATACTCTGTAGACAATCCGTTGTTTCATCAACCTCACGTATGTAGATTAAAGGGACATAACCCTGATGTTTTGCAGAGCTTTGATTTTCTATTATTGAACAATTATGGAACAAATACATTATTTTGTTGGAGTCATATCTCATGGAAGTTACATTTATAGTTTTGCATATACACATACAGGGAGCTTTAATTTCCAGTTAATGCATAATTTAGGAAATGAATGGATTCCCTAAATCAGATATTGACTGATTATCACTGTCTAATATATTAAAATTATTGATGTTTCTGGAATCTCTCCATTGTGACCTACATATCACTTCAGTATTTACTGCCCACCTGCATGGGACATTATTTTCTCTGGTCAATCAGTTTTACAGGCACTAAACAACACACCGAAACATTTACAACCAGTAAGTACATATATGCATGTGTGAATAATTTGACCTCGGGATGTATTAGAATGCTGGAGGGTAAAAGTTTGTCAGGATGAAAATGATGTGGTTTGTTATTTGAATTTTTCAAAAAATTTTCTGTGCTGTTTATGAAATTTGAATTATGTTACATGATATTTGGTAATATTCGTCTATGAGAAATATTTTGAATTAAAGAATTTGATAAGGAAATCATGAGAATAATGTCGAGGATTATTTTAGTAACTCATTCACCATTTGTAAACACTTCCTTTCTTATTGACAAAAAAGAAACAAAGGTAGTGTTTAAGTGGTCATTGCTCTTTGTTTATACGGACAAACCAGTACATTGACACCTACACTGGTCCAGCTGCTGGTTAAACTAATCATTAGGAACAACCTTGATGGTTTGTTTGGTATTCCCAGAACTAATACAAGAGTTATCTTTCTTTGGTTACGATGTACAACTACATGTAGGTAATGCCTGAAAACTGAGTGGGTAATGTTTTCAAATTATAGCAGAAATAACCTATTAATGACTATCTTTTATGTATCTTAATAGTGGATTATACTTTTCCTGGTAGGGAGACTGATCTATATCATTATAACCAGAAATGAGAGCCAATTTTACTGTATTATTATATTAAACAGCATTTTGACTTTTCAGTGATTAAGATTGCATTATTATCAACATGAACAATATTTGATGGTTTTTTTTTTATTGAATTATCCTAGAATACAGGATTGCTTAAGTAAACTTTTAAGTTTACCAGATCACTCCTTTATTACAACTAAAGTTACGAAAATATCACTGAAACAAAAATAACTAGATCAATAAAGTGACCTTTGACCCTATATTGTATTTGTATTGAGATCACGCTAGAATAATCTCACCAAAACATTTTTACAAAAATCATGTTTTTTTTATTTATGATTTCCTGATTGATAAGATTTGATTACAAGTTTGAAAAATGTAAAGATATGTAGAACATTCACTTGCTTTGTACCGTACTAAGTAATCATATCTGTCTGTATTAATTGTACTAATAGCGTTATTTACAAAAAAAAATCTGTCTTATTTTTTGCTTTTTTAGAATCAAAGGTTGGTGGGTAACCCACCATTTTATATCTACAGTTTGTGCAGGAATAGCATTAATCTGGTGAGTCAGCATTTCAATCTATAATAGAATGTTATTCTAAGATATTTTGGTAAGGAGCTTGACAATTTAATCAGTGAACTTGAGTTGTAGAAATGTCTTTTACACACATATATATATACACATGTAAGTGATAATAAACCAAGACTTTACCAGTAAGATGATACATATGTGTACCAAACAATGCCGTCAGAAATCAAAAGTTTCACGTTTTCAAAGCTGCCTGATATTGTGTAACTCTATGACATTTCTGTACAAGACATATAAAGTTAAAACTATTTCTTATGACACTGGATTACTTATCATTTGTGATATTCTGATTCAGAATTCAATGTGATAATGTACCGGTACTTTGATTTGTTTTTGTACAGGCCAGACGGCTACTCCTACCAGTCTTTCCGAACCCAGCATGTCATCTTCTCTCTTTACTTAAGTAAGTACAGCAACTATAGGCGGGCCACATACATTATTTTGTGTATTGTTGTAATACTCCGCCCTCACAAAAAGGGATGTAGTAGTTCTATCTATTTATCAAATTTATTTGTTATTGTTGTGAGATACATACTCCAGTTAATATGTCTTTGTAACTGGCTGTAAGTCCTCCAGTAATTAAGTGCTTTTACAGGCATGCTGTATGCTGAAATTCTGCAGTAAATGTGTGATACAGACTGTAAGTCCCTTAGTAAATTTTTAGACATGCTTCATGTCCTATTGTAAATGTGTGTCTTTGTTACAGAATTCTGTTTGTTCTTCTGTAAATGTGTGTCTTTGTTACAGGCACTGTATGTCCTGCTGTAGATGCATGTCTTTGTTACAGGCATGCTGTAAATTTGTGTCTTTGTTACAGGCATTTGTGTCATTGTTACATGCATGCTGTAAATGTATGTTTGTTACATACATACTGTTCCTACTGAAGATTCTTGTCTTTGTTACAGGCATGCTGTAGATGTATGTTTGTTACATACATACTGTTTTCTACTGTAGATTCATGTCTTTGTTACAGGCATGCTGTAGATGTATGTTTGTTCATGCTGTTCCTACTGTAGATTCTTGTCTTTGTTACAGGCATGCTGTAGATGTATGTTTGTTACATACATACTGTTCCTACTGAAGATTCTTGTCTTTGTTACAGGCATGCTGTAGATGTATGTTTGTTACATACATACTGTTCCTACTGAAGATTCTTGTCTTTGTTACAGGCATGCTGTAGATGTATGTTTGTTACATACATGCTGTTCCTACTGTAGATTCTTGTCTTTGTTACAGGCATGCTGTAGATGTATGTTTGTTCATGCTGTTCCTACTGTAGATTCTTGTCTTTGTTACAGGCATGCTGTAGATGTATGTTTGTTCATGCTGTTCCTACTGTAGATTCTTGTCTTTGTTACAGGCATGCTGTAGATGTATGTTTGTTACATACATGCTGTTCCTATTGTAAATTCTTGTCTTTGTTACATGCATGCTGTAGATGTATGTTTGTTACATACAGACTGTTCTTACTGTAGATTCTTGTCTTTGTTACAGGCATGCTGTAGATGTATGTTTGTTACATACAGACTGTTCTTACTGTAGATTCTTGTCTTTGTTACAGGCATGCTGTAGATGTATGTTTGTTACATACATGCTGTTCCTACTGTAGATTCTTGTCTTTGTTACAGGCATGCTGTAGATGTATGTTTGTTACATACATGCTGTTCCTGTTGTAAATTCTTGTCTTTGTTACAGGCATGCTGTATGTTCTACAGTACTTCTACCAGAAAGGCTCCTTGTACAGACTTAGAGCACTGGGTAAAGGCCACGAAATGGACATTACTGTTGGTAAGTTACTGAACAATAAGATGTACAAATAGATATAAAATATGTAGATTCAATTCAAAAGGGCAGAAGTCTATAAACATATGATAATAGTAATTTATTTTTGGTCATGTTTTACCTAAGCATTAACTCAACCTCATCCGCGCCTCCAGAAAAATATTACCTCACCGTCCCTGGCAGAAAAAATATTGTTTGTTAAAGAAGCAAATCATTTCTTTGAAAAAAATGTTATTATTTGTAACATAAATGTGTTTTTCTACAGAGGGCTTCATGTCGTGGATGTGGAAAGGGATCTCCTTTATCTTGCCATTCCTGTTTGCTGGCTATGTAAGTATCCTCTCAGTTACACTTTAATGGTGTAAGTGATTAAGTGGTGTATCTTTTGGTTGTTAACTTTTTCTTTAAACTTTTTATCATGATATTGGTGTAGTTGATTGTGTTTCATTCATAAAAGGAGAAAAATTTTATTGGAAACGAAATGAAAACAGGTTTTGTATCTTTTTTTGTATCGGCCATGATCAGTGTTAGATAAAGTCAAAAGCATCTCTCCCAGCAGCTAGTTTAACTTCCATAATATCATAGAAGCTTTGTCCAGGTCTAATGCTATTTTTGTGTTGTGCAGATTTAAAGTGTCAGTTGTGATAATTGCTAGCCCACAATCATCTGAGATAAACAGAATATACTGACTGAAATTTGTCTTTTATTTGACAATTGAAGATTATAATTGCTATTTCTTGAGATGAATTCTCAAATTTTGTATAATTAAGAGGGAAATATGGGAAAAGATCCAGCATTTAAACAAATAAATGAAGATGAGGAATGGTGGTGCCGAGATCCCTCTGGGATCTATTGTTCTATTACAGATCAATCTTCCTTTTATCCATTATATTATAAGTGTTGTACTTTTCTTGTAGTGTTTCCAGCTGTACAACTCCTATGTGTTATATCATCTAGCTCTTCAGTCTCCACATTGGCAGGTAAGTCCTTTTTAAACAATCTCTACATTGGCAGGTAAGTCATTTCAAATGTAATGTCTCCTCACTGACCGGTATCTCAGTCTAAGTTTCTAGTCTCCACACAGACAGGTAACTCAGTCTAAGTATCTAGTCTCCCCACTGACAGGTAACTCAGTCTAAGTATCTAGTCTCCACACTGACAGGTAACTCAGTCTAAGTATCTAGTCTCCACACTGACAGGTAACTCAGTCTAAGTTTCTAGTCTCCACACTGACAGGTAACTCAGTCTGTTTCTAGTCTCCACACTGACAGGTATCCCAGTCTAAGTATCTAGTCTCCACATTGACAGGTAACTCAGACTAAGTATCTAGTCTCCACACTGACAGGTAACTCAGTCTAAGTATCTAGTCTCCACACAGACAGGTAACTCAGTCTAAGTATCTAGTCTCCACACAGACAGGTAACTCAGACTAAGTATCTAGTCTCCACACTGACAGGTAACTCAGTCTAAGTTTCTAGTCTCCACACTGACAGGTAACTCAGTCTAAGTATCTAGTCTCCACACTGACAGGTAACTCAGTCTAAGTATTTAGTCAACATGTCTATATATTCTACCTGTTTATTCTACCTGGCTGTCTATATATTCTACCTGTTTATTCTACATGGCTTTCTATATATTCTGCCTGTTTATTCTACCTGGCTATCTATATATTCTACCTGTTTGTCAATATTTTCTACCTTGCTATCTCTATATTCTTCCTCTCTCTCTTTATATTTTACCTAGCTGTCCATATTTTATGCCTGGCTGTCTATATATTCCACCTGTTTATTATACATGGCTATCTATATATTCTTCCCGGCTGTTTATTCTTCCTGTCCATTTATATAATTATAATCCCAACTGGTATGCATGTAAGTCCATCTGTTTTCCAGTTTCCATATTGAAGTAACCAATGTAGATTTATGTTCTACTCATAATGTTGAGAACCAGAACGCTATAAATTGACAAATATTTGTAGGAAATTTGTTTTAAAATGTTCAGACAATATTGTGATAACAACACCAGTTAAACATAAAACTTGATTCACTCTGATGCATGTGTTTGCTAATTATTTTCTTTAATGACCTTTGTTATTTTTATTTTATATTTATTTGCTATTTTCAGGTCTTTGCCCTGAGCTTTCTTCATGGCTTCCTTGGAATGGGAAACATTGCAACAACACTTTTTGTTGTTCAACAGAAAATCAAGGAGCAGGTAGCTGGCTTGTATAAATCTCGCCTCCCCAACAAATACAGGTTTAATGCACGCACAAAAAACCTTTGAATTATCTTGACCACAGCTCCAGGACAAAAACCTGGAGGTCATATACCAGCTTTAGGAGGATCTTACGCAAATGACTTACATTAAGGCTTGGTTATCTTAAGTCTGAAACCTCTTTTGCAAGCAACGTTTTGTTTTGTTGAAAATTGTTAACTCATCTGAGCCTAAGGATGAAGGAAGTAATTTGTGTCTGTGGTTTTCTGTTGTCTGTCAGTTTAAGCAAAGTTTTCGTTTCTAAAACCACAGAATGAATTTCAGACAACTTTGGTGTAATGCATGATTAGATAAATGTTGATGATATTTTTATTTCATGCCTTTAGAACAGGTTGGGGGATTAGAGGTTAGGCTTAGAAGAGTAATTAACAGTTTTTTAGAATTTTCTGAAGATCTCAGTCATAGAATAGTCTATAAAGATATTGAGAAAACTTCAGGTACTTCCGTATCAGTGAAAACAATACTCATTCTGGTTCTTAATTCGGCATCAAGCATCAATTTGACAATGAGCTATTGTCCTCCTATTGGTCATGGAAGCAGAGAGTAAAGTTGTTAGATTTTACAAGAAATCATCAATGTTTCATTATCTTATGAAAGTCATAAGGAATAAGGGCTTTTATTGAAATCTTACGATTCCAAATTTACATTGAAAAAATAAGAATGGAAGGAGTTGATAAATGATAAAGTCAATCTGGAAACATAGCCATTGAATGGCAAAATCATTTATTGGGCAAGTGTTTAGGCTGTAATTGATTAGTTTTCCAGGACATTGCCAGTAGCGGTTGTGATTACACCTCACACGTTTCTAGTGCATTGTAAGATATTACTGGATGAGCACATCACTGAATCAGCACATTACAATATACACTGAAAAACAAGAAAACGCAGCTAAATGCATTTATGTAATAACACTTTGGACTTCACGTTATGTGCTACTCTGTGTAAGACTTTCGCAAAATAATAACTTCGCTTGATTCCTTCTTACAGAAAAAAGTGCTATGATTATTTTTAATCCATGACAGATATCTTTTAAACTGATTTACCTGAAGAAGTAAAAATGCATAGTTATCTCTGTAATCTCGTACTTATCACATTTTGAAATCATTGTAATAAATCTAACTTAAGGGATATATAATCACTTGAATAAATCTGAGCTGTATTACGGATATGTAATCACATTTATAAATATAACCTGTGTCAGGGATACGAAATCACTTAATAAATCTAACCTGTGTTAAGGATATGAAATCACTTAATAAATCTGTGTTAGGGATACGAAATCACTTGATAAATCTAACCTGTGTTAGGGATATGAGATCACTTAATAAATCTGTGTTAGGGATACGAAATCACTTAATAAATCTAACCTGTGTTAAGGATATGAAATCACTTAATAAATCTGTGTTAGTGATATGAAATCACTTAATAAATCTGTGTTAGGGATACGAAATCACTTGATAAATCTAACCTGTGTTAGGGATATGAAATCACTTAATAAATCTGTGTTAGTGATATGAAATCACTTAATAAATCTGTGTTAGGGATATGAAATCACTTAATAAATCTGTGTTAGGGATATGAAATCACTTAATAGATCTAACCTGTGTTAGGGATATGAAATCACTTAATAAACCTGTGTTAGGGATATGAAATCACTTAATAAATCTTACCTGTTTGAGGGATATGAGATCACTTAATAAATCTAACCTGTTTTAGGGATATGAGATCACTTAATAAATCTGTGTTAGGGATTCGAAATCACTTAATAAATCTAACCTGTGTTAGGGATTCGAGATCACTTAATAAACCTGTGTTAGGGATATAAAATCACTTAATAAATCTGTGTTAGAGATATGAAATCACTTAATAAACCTGTGTTAGGGATATGAAATCACTTAATAAATCTTACCTGTTTGAGGGATATGAAATCACTTAATAGATCTAACCTTTGTTAGGGATATGAAATCACTTAATAAATCTAACCTGTGTTAGGGATATAAAATCACTTAAGTAATCTATCCTGTGTTAGGGATTTGAGATCACTTAATAAATCTGTGTTAGGGATATGAAATCACTTAATAAACCTGTGTTAGGGATATGAAATCACTTAATAAATCTTACCTGTTTGAATATGAAATCACTTAATAGATCTAACCTTTGTTAGGGATATGAGATCACTGTGTTAGGGATATGAAATCACTTAATAAATCTAACCTGTGTTAGGGATATGAAATCACTTAATAAATCTTACCTTTGTTAGGGATACGAAATCACTTGATAAATCTTACCTGTTTGAGGGATATGAGATCACTTAATAAACCTAACCTGTGTTAGGGATATGAAATCACTTAATAAACCTGTGTTAGGGATATGAAATCACTTAATAAATCTTACCTGTTTGAGGGATATGAAATCACTTAATAAATCTTACCTTTGTTAGGGATACGAAATCACTTGATAAATCTTACCTGTTTGAGGGATATGAGATCACTTAATAAATCTAACCTGTGTTAGGGATTTGAGATCACTTAATAAATCTGTGTTAGGGATATGAAATCACTTAATAAACCTGTGTTAGGGATATGAAATCACTTAATAAATCTTACCTGTTTGAGGGATATGAAATCACTTAATAGATCTAACCTTTGTTAGGGATATGAGATCACTTAATAAATCTGTGTTAGGGATATGAGATCACTTAATAAATCTAACCTGTGTTAGGGATTTGAGATCACTTAATAAATCTGTGTTAGGGATATGAAATCACTTAATAAACCTGTGTTAGGGATATGAAATCACTTAATAAATCTTACCTGTTTGAGGGATATGAAATCACTTAATAGATCTAACCTTTGTTAGGGATATGAGATCACTTAATAAATCTGTGTTAGGGATATGAAATCACTTAATAAATCTAACCTGTGTTAGGGATATGAGATCACTTAATAAATCTGTGTTAGGGATATGAAATCACTTAATAAATCTAACCTGTGTTAGGGATATGAGATCACTTAATAAATCTGTGTTAGGGATATGAAATCACTTAATAAATCTTACCTTTGTTAGGGATACGAAATCACTTGATAAATCTTACCTGTTTGAGGGATATGAAATCACTTAATAGATCTAACCTTTGTTAGGGATATGAGATCACTTAATAAATCTGTGTTAGGGATATGAGATCACTTAATAAATCTTAACTGTGTTAGGGATATGAAATCACTTAATAAATCTTACCTGTGTTAGGGATATGAAATCACTTAATAGATTTAACCTGTGTTAGGGACTGAATCTATGATTAGAACATTAACCATGACCAAACAATAACAGAAAAGGCAACCCTTACTCTTTTCCTTACACTTACTCCTCTATCACATCCTCCAATCAAACACTCTCCCCACAAACTACCAATAATCTTCTATTCATCCTTGATTCTAGTGATTGTTTTCTTACACTGCCTTTTATTATAGTATTGTGACAACAGAAAATTTTCACCAAATTTTGTAATAGTATTACCCGTTGATTTCTTGTAATAACACATAGAATAGACTATATTACATAATTTACTCACTGCTTTTGTGTGAGCTTGAAAACCAATTTTTATTCTATGAAAATGTGCTTATAGGCTTTCGTATAGAAATATTTCATTAAAACACCCCAAACATGTGTCAATGTGACTATTTAACTATCCTAAACATCATCTTCATCACAGGTAAATGTTTTTGCAAACTGTCATGTTCTCACTCAATTATGAGGAAAACACAACTATAAGTTTTTTTTTGCTCAGTGTGTGTAAGTAGACTTGTTAATATGATACTCTAGCAATCTATCACACAAATTTACTCAACATAACTGTCTCGCAAATAATCGGGTAATGTGTGTTATGGTAAACCTTTGTCACAGTTTTTCTTGGTAGTTGTATGTGGGGCTTTGTTTGATAAGATGCATTTAGTATGTATGATTTAAAACATATATTGAGGATTTTTTTGTTTGTAATTCATGTGTAGTTTAAAGTCAAGTCTACTTGTCTTATGTGGAAAGGTGTGCTTTTCCTTTTGAATTAGATATGTATTTTATGTAAGTGTACATGTACTTTACGTGGTCTTTAAGTATATTTTTTGTGGAACTGCCAGAAGTTAAATACTAATTTTGATATCAGCAGAAACCTGTTATGGTGAAATTTGATAGACAAAGCTCTATTAAGAAATCAGTAGTGTGAAATCATTATTATTTTTTTTTAAAAAGAATGATGTTCACAGCAATGTATATTATAACACAAGCTGCTAAAGTTATCACAGTATGTCAGCAATAGTTATACACAGTATCAGACAATAGCAGCATTTATTGTACTTTTAAGTATTTCACAATAAAATATACTTTTTACTAAACGCAGTTATTTTAACATCCAAATACCAGTATTTGTACATCACAGATACATAACCATATGGCGCTATAAAGTCTCATATCACTTATCACATAGATGGGATATTCTCTATAATTTTTAATGAGATGGTGAAGATTTAAAGTAGTATCTGATAAATACATCAACATCATGTATAATTAAGATCTGAGAGCATGTTTCAGACATTTTGATAATTTGAAGTTTCATCAGTGAACATTAATGTTGAATTAGCGGAGGTAAAATGTTTCTGTTTGCATCTTTAGAGCAATATAGTAAAGTCACGAGAAACTAAGGGAGACAATTCATACGACTCTGTATTATGTAGATGGCACAAACAAGAAAAGACCAAGAATAATAATCATTGTGCTTGTAACAACCAAACATTTTGATGTTTTAGAAACAATAATTATAAGGATATATTTATAAACATATTGAGATTATCCTAATATTTGATATGTACTGTATTATCAGAGTTATTGTATTATAATTGTAATACATTGTAATATAATTGTAGTCCCTGCAGACAAACTGTGTTGTTGATGAAAGTCCCTCTGGTGACGTCCTGATCCTGGTTGGTCAAAGGTTAGTTAGAGTTAAAAAGCGGTTAGTGAAAAAATTAAAATTGTTTCTACTGCAAAAACAAGGATTGAAAAATCAAAACTGACACTAAAAAAATCAATCTGACCTGTCTCAACAAATCTTTAACGGTGAAATTATAAAGAGTGTTTGCAATTTTGTTTTATTCACATTTGAAAGTTTTCACTAACTACTGGTTTTCTCTAACCAGCCTTTAAATAACTGGGGCCTGATGTGTAGTCTGTACCGTAATGATTGCTTTCGTGAATTTGTGGGTGCTATTTGTATATTGTCAACATTTCCATCTCTGAACCATAACTTTCTGATGTACTTTTCGTATCACAGGAAAGCAATTTCCTGTGTTTAACACAGAGAAAAGTGCCATGTTGGCCCTGTATATACTCTTATATATTTACAAAGAAAATTTCCTCATGCTTGCCATTTCAAGATTAGGGAATATAATTATTTGTTGTCGGGTAAAGTGTTATGGTCAGAGATGGAAAATGTGTGTTAAACATGTCAGTTGACATAGTTATAATTGTGTATTGTTAAAACTGTTCATATCAAAGTAGATATATTTTGTGTAGCGTACTAAGTATAGTAGTGGGAAAAGTTGGTATATTTTGTTAATGTTAACAATAAATTTGATGGCATTTATGACTAAACTTTGTGTTGTATTTAAAACAACCCATCAGAAATTAGACACCAATGGATTTTTATATTCCTTAGAGTTACTCTGCTAAATTTACTACCAGATAAACTCACAAATGTGTCTGGCTCCATGCGATAGAGTGACATGATACAAAGACATGAGCTAGAAGTGATGATAGGTATAATATTATATATAATTGAGTCCATTTGATTTGTATTGTTTTCCTTTGAAAAGCTGCATCTTGCATTCAAATGATAGCCTCACAATATGAATATAAGTTGAGCTTAAAGTAAAATAAAATGACTGTTTTGCTGTATGTACATGCTATATATATTTTAAATGAAAAGAATTAATACAAATTGTAATACAAACTGTACAAAAATTCAGAAACATGAGTAAAATATAAAGTCTGTTTTGCTGTTGTACAAACTATCTACACATCAGGAGGTACTTTAACAAAAACATTTGTCTATAGTCACAGCTGGCCAAAACAGTTTATTTTTTCTTGCATTGTTCACAAGTCAAGTGGTTACATACACGCAATATTATAGTTTGTGACTATCCATTCTTCGATGGTGAGGTGTTAAATAAAGCATCAAATTTCTAGAAATAGGTATGTTTTGCCCATGGTAGGGGTTGTATAATTTTTACAATGTTTTTAAGCGATCATGCACAAATACACAATAAAAAGTATGGCGACTTAAACATGGAGGATTATTTGTATAATTTAAATATACATTTTGGCAATGCATGGAAAAAAACTACATTCATTAATAATTTGATGACCGATTGATTTATGGAAAAACATATTTATGGTCGGCACTGTGGTTAGAGTGCTAATCACATACTAAATAAGACCATGCTAGCTATGGGTCACATAATTCAAATTACATGCCATACAGTGTAGAAGGCTTTTGGGTTTAACACGGAATGTTGATTACTACTTTCACAATAATAAAACAAAATAAAGGACTGTGTGAAATAACGATATTGTAAATATAATTTGTAATTTGTAAAACTGATTAAAATATCACAATTATCATAAATTGCCACTTTATTTACCTTAACAGAGACAGATGGTGTCTTATCAACATTTCTATAAACATTTTCAGTAAAGGGAAATGAGTTACCAGGTATGTAGACACATTTTCTCACATATGAAATGACTCGATATGAATAAAGAGAAATATCAATTGTGTTAAGGATTAAGTGGATGACACCAGATGCCAATCAGACTGCCATTTCATCTCCACGAATATTTATCACATTGAAAATTCATGTTGTATTTGTCAATATATTTTATTTGATAAAATGTCATGGATTGTACTTGAGTAAACTACCACACTGTTCATTAATCACTGATATGATTTGGTAAAACTACTTTACTCCCCATAAAACTCAAACGTTTTGATAAAATCCTTCAATTTTGATACTCATATATTAACGCAGAGACTGGGGTCATGTGATCGCCCTGTCCGTAGATCACACAGTAGCTTTGTCTTACAGTCTCCGATACACTTGGCAACTGGAGCAGACTTCACGTAGTATCTGTAATAATTTTGGATGTGATTATTAATTATTTGTGAAATTTGCTTAATACCTATCTTAAATTCTATAACAGGTCATGTTTACCCTACAAAAAGTGGGTACATGTACTGACTATGCTAAACCAGATGATAGCCGACACAAACATGCATTACCTGACAATAAAGTCCGTGACACAGAATACAAGATACATTGTCATTTAGACACATTAATGCCAAATTAGGAATTTAATCATGTCATCAAGTAGTTTCATCCTTCTTAGATTACAGAGTGGAAGGTGTTTGTATCAGTGTACAGAGTGGAAGGTGTTTGTATCAGTGTACAGAGTGGAAGGTGTTTGTATCAGTGTACAGAGTGGAAGGTGTTTGTATCAGTGTACAGACTGGAAGGTGTTTGTATCAGTGTACAGAGTGGAAGGTGTTTGTATCAGTGTACAGAGTGGAAGGTGTTTGTATCAGTGTACAGACTGGAAGGTGTTTGTATCAGTGTACAGAGTGGAAGGTGTTTGTATCAGTGTACAGAGTGGAAGGTGTTTGTATCAGTGTACAGAGTGGAAGGTGTTTGTATCAGTGTACAGAGTGGTTGTGTTTTTAAGACGGGTTGGTTTGTATCAGTGTACAGAGTGGAAGGTGTTTGTATCAGTGTACAGAGTGGAAGGTGTTTGTATCAGTGTACAGACTGGAAGGTGTTTGTATCAGTGTACAGACTGGAAGGTGTTTGTATCAGTGTACAGACTGGAAGGTGTTTGTATCAGTGTACAGACTGGAAGGTGTTTGTATCAGTGTACAGACTGGAAGGTGTTTGTATCAGTGTACAGAGTGGAAGGTGTTTGTATCAGTGTACAGACTGGAAGGTGTTTGTATCAGTGTACAGACTGGAAGGTGTTTGTATCAGTGTACAGAGTGGAAGGTGTTTGTATCAGTGTACAGAGTGGAAGGTGTTTGTATCAGTGTACAGAGTGGAAGGTGTTTGTATCAGTGTACAGAGTGGAAGGTGTTTGTATCAGTGTACAGAGTGGAAGGTGTTTGTATCAGTGTACAGAGTGGAAGGTGTTTGTATCAGTGTACAGAGTGGAGGTGTTTGTATCAGTGTACAGAGTGGAGGTGTTTGTATCAGTGTACAGACTGGAAGGTGTTTGTATCAGTGTACAGAGTGGAAGGTGTTTGTATCAGTGTACAGACTGGAAGGTGTTTGTATCAGTGTACAGAGTGGAAGGTGTTTGTATCAGTGTACAGAGAGGAAGGTGTTTGTATCAGTGTACAGAGTGGAAGGTGTTTGTATCAGTGTTTGTATCAGTGTACAGAGTGGAAGGTGTTTGTATCAGTGTACAGATCAGTGGAAGGTGTTTGTATCAGTGTACAGAGTGGAAGGTGTTTGTATCAGTGTACAGACTGGAAGGTGTTTGTATCAGTGTACAGAGTGGAAGGTGTTTGTATCAGTGTACAGAGTGGAAGGTGTTTGTATCAGTGTACAGACTGGAAGGTGTTTGTATCAGTGTACAGAGTGGAAGGTGTTTGTATCAGTGTACAGAGTGGAAGGTGTTTGTATCAGTGTACAGAGTGGAAGGTGTTTTGTATCAGTGTACAGAGTGGAAGGTGTTTGTATCAGTGTACAGAGTGGAAGGTGTTGGTATCAGTGTACAGAGTGGAAGGTGTTTGTATCATTTACAGACTGGAAGGTGTTTGTGTACAGACTGGAAGCTGTTTGTATCAATGTACAGAGTGGAGGTGTTTGTATCAGTGTACAGACTGGAAGGTGTTTGTATCAGTGTACAGACTGGAAGGTGTTTGTATCAGTGTACAGAGTGGAAGGTGTTTGTATCAGTGTACAGAGTGGAAGGTGTTTGTATCAGTGTACAGAGTGGAAGGTGTTTGTATCAGTGTACAGACTGGAAGGTGTTTGTGTCAGTGTACAGACTGGTGTTTGTATCAGATATCCAGCAACTATGGTGTGTTATCAGTGTCATATCTATGCATATTTTGTTTTTTTATATAATAATTAAATGTGACATTCTCTTTTTAGGATCGTACAGCACGTGCACAGAAATTAGAATGACCCAATCACTCAATACTTACCTATAAAATTTCTGAAATAAGTTGTCATCATTTTTCATGCGATATATCAAATTGTCCCACTCCTGAGGGTAAAGGTTGGTTAGATTGAAGTCAGCCTAAAAACAAGAAAAAATAAAATATACAAAGCATTTCTCAATGATGTAGACTGATATGCCATCATACACTGGAAGGTACATGGCTTTGCAGTTAGGACTTTGGAATGGCAGAGACTACCCCAGTCCATGACCGTAAGAGGCGACTTGATATGAGGTCTCATAATCGACATTTTTCGCCCTGGCAACACCTCACTTTTAGCCTCCGTTGAGTGTCCGCCCAAGGGAAGAATATGGGGTTTTCCCCGTATATAAAACTAGTACATCTACGCTGTACCAGGGATCTATATGTACTGATTTCGACTGTTTTACTCTCAGTGACTAAGGTTAACACGATGTACTGTGACCGGGTGGGGTGCTATGCAAACATGTCCAGGTTACGGAAATAACAAGAAAAATATTATTGAATGATTATATCTTTAGTGACACCGCCCACATATCAAAGTTTTTATGGATGTAATAGCCGATGTAATTGCAGGTAACATTTTGACAAATTCAGCGGATCCAGCTAGGTTTCCATGGAAAAGCCAAAGGGGCATCCTAAGGTTATAATGCCTATTCTTATATTCAGAAATGTCTATATTAATTGTATTTGCATTCCTACCAAGGTTTTTGGAAATATTGATTAGGTATCTGGTGATACTGAGGAGAACACTAATTTTACACGGTGGAGTAAATCCAGTAAAATAGAACCGTCGAAGCATTGAACGATCGCCAAGAACATTGTGACGTGGCCAGTAACAGTTTAGTGCTGATGTACTGCGACAACAGCGGGAAAATGTAGGTGACGGAAGTTGTTGCGAGGACATCAAATCACAAACATCTGCATGTCCTACTACACGAGGGGAGAAAAAGAAGTCTTATTTGTCTATTGAGTAGCATACATTCTATGACTGAAAAGGGGACGTTTTAAACAAGGGGGATATATTAAACAAAAGGGATGTTTTTAAAAAAGGGGACGTTTTAAACAAAAGGGGTGATTTAAACAAAAGGGACGATTTAAACAAACTGCTCAACGTATTTTCGTAGTTATGGAGATAATTGAACTAAAGCTTGATATGCTGTATGTAAATGTCGTTTCCTTCTCCTAATCTATGAAAAATTGCGCATGCGCGTTAAAATAATCAATATGTGTACAGGTGCTGATTGATTTACAATAACCAAGATTTCTTTTGGATAAGTTCACTTTGTTGGAGAGTTAGAAAATATTTCAAATACGTAAAGGAAGCGTGTAGAAATAACTTCAATCGTTTCAAGTTTTCTACCACATCCCTATTAAAAATCCGAATCACTGATAAAGTCCAAACGTAAGCGATACCATGTTGTAACATAATTATGCAAACAGGGTTGGGTTGAGATTGAAGTAACACAGGAAGGACTCTTATATCATACTTGGGTATTAAGTGATAACAAATTGTTTAAAGATACTGACGAACTGTGCGTTAAAGGCATGACGGAAACCATCGCCTACAGAACACGGATCTGTGGCGGATGGTTAAGTAGGATGAAGACTACTGAACCTCTCGTTTGCAATGATTCCTCTAACGATAACAATCCTGGGTGGAGTGACCACTTTATCGTAACGTAACGTTAAATTAAAACGTTCAGTACTCATCATCTTGACTTAACAGGACCCATTTTAATCTCTCAATTTGTAGTGTAGCTTTAAATGAAATTTCAGTCACATATGTTCAATTCATTTGCTCACCGAAATTCACAACCAGACCGTAAATTCGATTAAGCCATAAGGTTAGCCCCGACAGCCGGCCGATAACAGTTTGATAACGTCATTTATCAAGTGATAACGAGAGAAAAATGCCTGTATATTGGTTTCCAGCTTCCCATTGTTTACTGACGGAATAATGATGAATATCTTTAACCTCGCGCGGTTTGATCATATCATATCTATTTATCTATCGTCTTAAGTTTTACATCTACATGTCAAATGTCACATTTAACAAGTGATTTTTCAAAATTGATGATCACACAAAGGTGTTTAACTAATCTCTGTATTATGATAACAGATTAGTTTTATATATTGTATAGTTAAGATGATCGACATCCTCCTGTAGTGGACAACAAGACCTGACTGGCGATCTTAACTCGACACACAGAACATGTCTTATTAACTTTAAAACAAAGCTAGGATTACACATACCTCTGTTATATAACAGAGGCCTAAGTTACACTGCTGTAACGGAAAATCACCAGTAAACAATACTTGTACAGCTTGATGAGATATAAATACCAGTTTTAAAACAAACTCTAAAAGATTGTAAAATATGTATTAAAAAACAACACATGAAAAGTATTCCTAAACAGAGCTGATATCTAGCAACAATCATATGAAGCATGTTTATGTTACACAACAGGACTTGTCTCCAGCTGTGAGGATATTCAAATTTCAATAAGGGGTAATCTTCTTTCCAGGCTGTGTGATAATGCATCTCGCCCAAGATGAATAACACAAGAACGGGTTTTGTCTAGTGCTACGTAGAAATGTCAGATAAAACGCTTCAGATATGACGTTCTAGGCACGATATAACATGCAGAGTGTATCACATGATAAAGCATATTGAATATTGCTAGACGAAAAATACTAAATGCACCGCAATGATATATAGCACAGAAAGCACAGAGAAACATATGGCACCCAACAAGCAGAAAAAGATACAGGGAGCCAAATACAGATAGCAAATATTCTTTGGTACGCTGCATTTGTTGTTTTCTATCCATTACGCTGTAATTGCTATTTCTCTCCGGCACGCTGTATTTGGTTGAATGCTGTATTTGGTGGAATGCTGTATTTGGTTTCCTTTATCTGATACACTTTATTTGTTCATCTTTATCTGATACACTGTATTTGTTCATCGTTATCTGATACTCTTTATTTGTTCATCTTTATCTGATACATTGTATTTGTTCATCTTTATCTGATACACTGTATTTGTTCATGTTTATCTGATACACTGTATTTGTTCATCTTTATCTGATACACTTTATTTGTTCATCTTTATCTGATACACTGTATTTGTTCATCTTTATCTGGTGCACTGTATTTGTTCATCTTTGTCTGGTGCACTGTATTTGTTCATGTTTATCTGATACACTGTATTTGTTCATGTTTATCTGATACACTGTATTTGTTCATCTTTATCTGATACACTTTATTTGTTCATCTTTATCTGATACACTTTATTTGTTCATCTTTATCTGATACACTTTATTTGTTCATCTTTATCTGATACACTGTATTTGTTCATCACTGTATTTGTTCATCTTTATCTGATACACTGTATTTGTTCATCTTTATCTGATACACTTTATTTGTTCATCTTTATCTGATACACTGTATTTGTTCATCTTTATCTGATACACTTTATTTGTTCATCTTTATCTGGTACACTGTTTGTTCATCTTTATCTGAAACGCGGTATTCGTTCATCTTTATCTGAAACGTGGTATTTGTTCATCTCTATATGAAACGCGGTATTTGTCTGGTATGCTGTATTTTGTGTAAGTTGTCCGGTATGCTTTATTCAGAAATCCTGGCAAGCTTCGTTATGAGGCATGCTAGCAAAAAATCATTTCCTCGGACGACCGGACGGAGATATGTTTTATTAACGTTTTCAGAATGCAGAATGTTAATAAAATAACAAAGTAAACTATCTGAGTTTCAAAACCTCCTAGGAATATTTCATGTTATTTGCAAGGTGTATGTGAAATTGGCCGCATCCGTTTTTACAAATTTAACTCCGACAATCCATGTCTACCATGTGTTACGTCAATCGAATGGTCCACACATCTGTTTTGATCAGTCATATAGGCTCTCAGATTTATTAAACATCGATTAAAAAGGCAAATGATTTGGAAGTATAATAGGGCACAGCAGCAACTAACGCGAGTGGCTGCCAATCACAGAGAGAGGAACATCCACACTGTAATGACTTATCAGTCTGTAGGTCTCTTTATCACATGTTCGGTTTAAATCATGATGAAGTTTACAGGTGAGCATAAAACAAGTTACTATGTATATTTATAGCTTTGATTAATTTTACATCAATATATCATCATATATCATTACTCTTGTTAGTCTACTCTACCTTGGCGTCATATTCCAGTTTCCAGTTGGGCTTGTTGCTCACGTTTACATCAGTAAGGTTTAGAAAATAGTTCTGAAAGTTCAGCGTGGCCTGTTAAAAAGAACAATGTTATCGTGTCATCACAAATGGATTACAATGGATGTCCTGGACATGGAGAGACAGCAAAATGAAATTTATGAGATTATTGTAAACTTTGAACAGCAAAAAAATTAAGGTCATATGATTGTTATCCATGTGTAGTAGGAATGGGTACATGGACTTGTAGCATGTGATATTCAAGGAATGCTATCTTAAAACTGAAAAGGTTATTCAGGACTAAACTCAGTACACAGTTCAAACGATTTTAACAGTTTTAAGGTTTCCATTCGTTGTAAAACATGTAGTCTTACCCAAGAACTGCCTTGGTAAAATCCGTCCAGTTCATAAATTCTGAACCCTGGATTGAGATTGGAGTATGTCGTCACGCTGCCTGGAATATACACGACGCTGATTGGTCGAGTGAAATTGACGTTGTCATACATCACCTCGTAAAAGTCGGAATGACTGTGTCCAAAGAACTGTCCAGCTATTGTACTCTCGTATCTATGGTAACGAAACAAACAGCAATGTCATGTCAATAATATTGATATTACCGTAAATACCCTTATTTCGCTCCTCGTAAAATACGTTTGTATCTAAAAATATAATCAATCAATTATAAATCAAAAACTGATAAAGAGTTAAAAAGAACAAAATATGTTACCAACGAGTTGAACATTCCTCCGTACCTGTTGACAATTTTAAAGTAGTTCCAGCTCCAAGCCTTTAAACAGTCACTGGACCCAGGGAAGATGTGACCAATCATATGAACCTACAATGCAAAAGTCAACCTACAGACATACAATCACAATTTCCCAATATGTAATGTAAAGGACAAAGTTGTTTCCTTTACTGGTTGTAAGTAGGTGTTAACTATCAGTAATATAACTCGTTAATGGTTGTAGGTAGGTGTGAACTATCAGTAATATAACTCGTTAATTGTTGTAGGTAGGTGTGAACTATCAGTAATATAACTCGTTAATGGTTGTAGGTAGGTGTGAACTATCAGTAATATAACTCGTTAATGGTTGTAAGTAGTTGTTAACTATCAGTAATATAACTCGTTAATGGTTGTAGGTAGATGTTAACTATCAGTAATATAACTCGTTAATTGTTGTAGGTAGATGTTAACTATCAGTAATATAACTCGTTAATGGTTATAAGTAGAAGTTGACTATCAGTAATATAACTCGAAGTTGACTATCAGTAATATAACTCGTTAATGGTTGTAAGTAGAAGTTGACTATCAGTAATATAAACCGTTAATGGTTGTAAGTAGATGTTAACTATCAGTAATATAACTCGTTAGTGGTTGTAGGTAGATGTTAACTTTCAGTAATATAACTCGTTAATGGTTGTAAGTAGTTGTTAACTATCAGTAATATAACTCGTTAATGCTTGTAATATAACTCGTTAATGGTTGTAAGTAGATGCTAACTATCAGTAATATAACTCGTTAATGCTTGTAATATAACTCGTTAATGGTTGTAAGTAGATGTTAACTATCAGTAATATAACTCGTTAATGGTTGTAAGTAGATGTTAACTATCAGTAATATAACTCGTTAATGGTTGTAAGTAGATGTTAACTATCAGTAATATAACTCGTTAATGGTTGTAGGTAGGTGTGAACTATCAGTAATATAACTCGTTAATGGTTGTAAGTAGATGTTAACTATCAGTAATATAACTCGTTAATGGTTGTAAGTAGAAGTTGACTATCAGTAATATAAACCGTTAATGGTTGTAAGTAGAAGTTAACTATCAGTAATATAACTCGTTAATGGTTGTAAGTAGATGTTAACCTTCAGTAATATAACTCGTTAATGGTTGTAAGTAGATATTAACTATCAGTAATATAACTCGTTAATGGTTATAAGTAGATGTTAACTATCAGTAATATAACTCGTTAATGGTTGTAAGTAGATGTTAACTATCAGTAATATAACTCGTTAATGGTTATAAGTAGATGTTAACTATCAGTAATATAGCTCGTTAATGGTTGTAAGTAGATGTCTCAATATGACACGGAGAAACTTATTCACGTATATATTGACAAAGTGAAGGTGACACGAAAGGTGGGTTGAACTGGTATCTATCCCTCCTACACTTAAATTAGAATGACTAAAATTCTACTTCCGAAAATTGTACCAAAGATAAACAACTGAAAATCAGACTGTGATACAAACTTAGATTAAGATAGAGTAGAGCACAACAATAAATCATCACACAGCTGTTTTGTCCTTCTAGGACTGGTCAGTGATACTACATCACACAGCTGTTTTGTCCTTCTAGGACTGGTCAGTGATACTACATCACACAGCTGTTTTGTCCTTCTAGGACTGGTCAGTGATACTACATCACACAGCTGTTTTGTCCTTCTAGGACTGGTCAGTGATACTACATCACACAGCTGTTTTGTCCTTCTAGGACTGGTCAGTGATACTACATCACACAGCTGTTTTGTCCTTCTAGGACTGGTCAGTGATACTACATCACACAGCTGTTTTGTCGTTCTAGGACTGGTCAGTGATACTACATCACACAGCTGTTTTGTCCTTCTAGGACTGGTCAGTGATACTACATCACACAGCTGTTTTGTCCTTCTAGGACTGGTCAGTGATACTACATCACACAGCTGTTTTGTCCTTCTAGGACTGGTCAGTGATACTACATCATACAGCTGTTTCGTCCTACATCATTCAGCCGTTTCGTCCTTCTAGAGCTCGTCAGTGACGTTAAGGACCTAAATTTTGGAGCCTAGGAGCGATTGAAAGAAATCTCAAGATAAAATTTTATCTATTTGCAAATATTCATTCATTGATTTACTCTACTGTATCTGACTCTAAATCTAAAGATATCTTTAAAAGGTGCCATTCAATAGTGTGTCTTTGGTATAATCTTCGAAAAAAGGAATTAGATACAAGTTGAAAACTCTCGTAACAATTAACGGTAACGATATTATATGATTAAACACAAATATGAGAGTTAATGGTGATAATAAACGTAAACTATTGTACATAGGTATAAACAAACCATAAGGTGTAAAAGCGAGGGATTGGAAACTTTACTACTTGTAAGTCTTAATGACCTTTAACCCACTGATCCTGAACTATTTTCTGCATCATTTCATTCAACTTTTAAATGCATAATAATGCCTACACAAAAAAAGTTGAACATTTTTTTACAAAATTGGTAGTTTCCCTTCTTCTAAGTGTTGATGACCTTTGACCTAGTAACTTGTCGAACAAAATAATTTCGTCAACTTTGCAGATGCCTTTACAAAACGTTGACAGTTTTCAAACTAATTGGCATTTTTGAAAAATTCGCACCTTGAGGCTACATGCTACGGTCAGAGACAATGAATTTCGAAAAAAAACACACGTTTTTACACTGTTTATCCTCGTCCACTGGACCTCAGCGGATGAGAACCATGGTTTTGATGCTCATTCAGGTATTGGTGGTAATGACTATATTTGGTTTAAATCGGCCCAGCGGTTCTTGAGTAGACGCTGAAAATGTGACAACGGACGACAACCGACAAACGGCGATAGTGATAAATCGCCACTAGCCTTTGACATGGGAGACCTAACAACAGTATCTAACATATAAAAGGCAACAACAGTTATAAAAATAACTACAACTGTATTCAGCATTATTAAAACACAAAATGCCCATCTGAACATCGAGCAACACTAACGTGTCTATTGATTACGTAATTCAGATCCATTCTGGTAAAATTCTCCACATTCTTTCCCATCAAAGTACAATTTGCCCATCCCATACTTAACTACAGTGTTTTTTACATAATAAAGTTTGAGTCTTTCACAAAAACGTTTCTATATATTAGAGGAAATCAAGCAACAAGGTTGTTCCACAGCATTCCCGACCTTCTCCTGTAGCAGCCCAACTGTCTGACATCCATGTTGGATGTTGGCAAAGGAGAATTCAAAGATTTGTTTTTACTATTTATTGGAGATTGGCCAAGTGCACAGTGGACTCTTCCTTCCAAAACGTGTGGCGAAATCTTATTGCGACTCCTTTCAAACCTCTAGTAGCAGAATCTTGCTGTAAAATGCATCACTGCAGCCAGGATATGCCATTTCATAACCCAGTTTCTCTGCAACACTAGAACGGCCAACACTGAGTCATAAAACCATACAGATGCACATGCAGTATGCCAGGGTTTATACACTCGAGATTGAGTGCACGAGAATTGCACGAGATATATATTACACGCTCGATGGCTGCAACAGATTGCCTGTTAACGATTAAATAGCCAAGCCACTACACTTGATGTTCAAACGAGTTTCGATTACCTCCATCCATTCGCATGATATCTTGTTAGCAATTGGGTTTTGAAGGACATTCAATGCTTAGATGTCATATCAAAAAGGAGAGGACTGCAGAAAAAAGTATCCTTATCAATTCAATATTTCAATCATCATGCAATGAACTTGAGTTTAAAAAAATACCCAAAAAAACAAAACAAAACAACAAAGAGAACAAAAATATCGACATGTGAACTGGCTATAAACGTATTATCACGCGGTAAGATAATCTTGCTATCGCTATGCCATCAAATATAATGGGACAAACCGTACTTAAAACATAACACTCATTACAGGTTCTTAATTGCTTTCGTGCTGAGGCAAAAACATCGTGTCCATAACTTCATATCTTGGTTGTATACGCTCTTTATATACCTTGCTTTCATTTAAAAACGTGACATCACTTACTTCGATTGATTAAGGTTTACATGGAGGGTGTCGTCGATGAAGCAGAAGACGCTTGACACCTGGTCTTATTCTCCCCATCCCACACATATTACAGACTGTTTCCTCTCACTCCACACACTTAACAGGCTGTTTCCTCTCAACCCACACACTTAACAGGCTGTTTCCTCTCAACCCACACACTGAACAGGCTGTTTCCTCTTAACCCACACACTGAAAAGGCTGTTTCCTCTCAACCCACATACTGAAAAGGCTGTTTACTCTCAACCCACATACTTAACAGGCTGTTTCCTCTCAACCCACACACTTAACAGACTGTTTCCTCTCAACCCACACACTGAACAGGCTGTTTACTCTCAACCCACACACTTAACAGACTGTTTCCTCTTAACCAACACACTGAAAAGGCTGTTTCCTCTCAACCCACATACTGAACAGGCTGTTTACTCTCAACCCACATACTGAACAGGCTGTTTCCTCTCAACCCACACACTTAACAGACTGTTTCCTCTCAACCCACACACTGAACAGGATGTTTCCTCTCAACCCACAAACTTAACAGACTGTTTCCTCTCAACCCACACACTTAACAGACTGTTTCCTCTCAAGCCACACACTGAACTTAACCCACACACTTAACAGACTGTTTCCTCTCAACCCACAAACTTAACAGACTGTTTCCTCTCAACCCACACACTGAACAGGCTGTTTCCTCTCGACCCACAAACTTAACAGGCTGTTTCCTCTCAACCCACACACTTAGCAGACTGTTTACTCTCAATCCACACACTTAACAGACTGTTTCCTCTCAACCCACACACTGAACAGGCTGTTTCCTCTCAACCCACAAACTTAACAGACTGTTTCCTCTCAACCCACACACTGAACAGGCTGTTTCCTCTCAACCCACAAAGTCAACAGACTGTTTCCTCTCAACCCACAAACTTAACAGGCTGTTTCCTCTCAACCCACACACTGAACAGGCTGTTTCCTCTCGACCCACAAACTTAACAGGCTGTTTCCTCTCAACCCACACACTGAACAGACTGTTTCCTCTCAACCAACAAACTTAACAGACTGTTTCCTCTCAACCCACAAACTTAACAGACTGTTTCCTCTCAACCCACACACTGAACAGGATGTTTCCTCTCGACCCACAAACTTAACAGGCTGTTTCCTCTCAACCCACACACTTAACAGACTGTTTACTCTCAACCCACACACTTAACAGACTGTTTCCTCTCAACCCACACACTTAACAGACTGTTTCCTCTCAACCCACACACTGAACAGGCTGTTTCCTCTCGACCCACAAACTTAACAGGCTGTTTCCTCTCAACCCACAAACTTAACAGACTGTTTACTCTCAACCCAAACACTTAACAGACTGTTTCCTCTCAACCCACACACTGAACAGGCTGTTTCCTCTCAACCCACGCACTGAACAGGCTGTTTCCTCTTAACCCACACACTGAACAGGCTGTTTACTCTCAACCCACATACTGAACAGGCTGTTTCCTCTCAACCCACATACTGAACAGGCTGTTTACTCTCAACCCACACACTGAACAGGCTGTTTACTCTCAACCCACATACTGAACAGGCTGTTTACTCTCAACCCACATACTTAACAGGCTGTTTACTCTCAACCCACACACTGAACAGGCTGTTTCCTCTTAACCCACACACTGAAAAGGCTGTTTACTCTCAACCCACATACTGAACAGGCTGTTTCCTCTCAACCCACATACTGAACAGGCTGTTTCCTCTCAACCCACACACTGAAAAGGCTGTTTCCTCTAAACCCACATACTGAACAGGCTGTTTACTCTTAACCCACACACTGAACAGGCTGTTTCCTCTCAACCCACACACTGAACAGGCTGTTTCCTCTCAACCCACATACTTAACAGACTGTTTCCTCTCAACCCACAAACTTAACAGACTGTTTCCTCTCAACCACAAACTTAACAGACTGTTTTCTCTCAAGCCACAAACTTAACAGGCTGTTTCCTCTCAACCCACACACTTAACAGACTGTTTCCTCTCAACCCACACACTGAACAGACTGTTTCCTCTCAACCCACAAACTTAACAGACTGTTTCCTCTCAACCCACAAACTTAACAGACTGTTTCCTCTCAACCCACACACTTAACAGACTGTTTCCTCTCAAGCCACAAACTTAACAGACTGTTTCCTCTCAACCCACACACTTAACAGACTGTTTTCTCTCCAGCCTAACGCTGAACATATTCCTCACAAAACCATGATACACGTGAGAATGAATTTAACGAATCAACATTACACTTCTTATGATATAACAATGAGAAGTTATCAAAAGCTTAATACTTACTTAATAAAGAAATGCAGTTCAAATTTCGAATAAATTTTTACTTAACAATCATAAAGTACAAATACCAAATCAACAGGTAGATATGAAAGAAGACTTATTCTAAAAGTAAAAGTTTGAAACGACGCCTACCATGTGAAAATAAAACGATTGTAAAGCATTGAGAAATCAATAACAACATCGCCTTTGTGAAACATTAAACATGATGCATCAAGTGTACAACAGGTTAGTATGTCATCCCATCACAGTCGTTCTTGTAGGTTATTCTATAACACTAGTGTTAATGCATTTATCGTATGCGAATACATATTTCATACATATACGCCGAACGGCGCTCCTCCAACCTCCCCTTCCCAAACGCCCACTTTTTTTTATCAGTATCTAATTTTGAGAGAGATGCCTTTTAACTTTTAGTTTACGCGCTTTGATTATGATATGACTAAAACCTGACATTATGGTTTTGACTTTAAATAAATGGCAAATTTTGCGTGGACAAATAGACCAGTTATGATTAATACAAAATGTCTCATGTCATTATCGTAAAAATCAAGCATTGAAAATCACAAGCATCAAACTGCTATTTGACCTAATTTGAAATTCCAATATCATTTGCAAATGTTAACAATTATATTTGGTTTGTCTGTTATCTTGTGATCCTGAACAGATACGGAAGAAGCGTGGTCTTATCAACATTTCACCTTTCTGATCTCAATACTCATTACTGACCTAATTAAGCCCAACGCCTCATCTGAACAACTTGACCTCATTTCCTTTTCTACCTGCTTATATTAAAACGAACTAAATATGATAAATGAAGCCCGAGTTTACTTTGAATGCCTTTGGATCAAATATGATTTTCCTAACTTGCCTTCTAGGTTTCACAAGGCCCTATTGTATCGCTGACGAATTCTAGAAGGAAAAAACAGTTGAAAGACACGGTTTAATTCTGATCTTGTGTTGTGATGTGCTATCCATTCGTTTGTCTTTGGTAAATTTTCTACCGTATGTTAGTACATTGTGAAAATTTAACACTTTGTATCTATCAATCATGATGATTTTTATTGCACGCTTCCAAAATGATATTACACCCAAGGTTAGCTATCGAACATGTGTTTGTATCTGGTATACGTGCCGACACCAGAGGGAACATTCTGCTCCAATACCGACCACTTATAAAGCTATCAAACCCTATTACACTGCCTAATTGCATGAGAGTAATGATCACCCTTTCCTGCCAGTCCCAGCTGTTGGCTGGTATACCAGGCAAAAGTATCCGATATCTCACAATTATTTCAGCTACCAATCTTAATACAGGACACAAAGGTAGGCCAAGATGTAGGGAACTTACATCGTGTACATACAGATGACAAACATTGGGGACTTGAAAATACAACAAGGATTTGAGATTGTGCTAAAGATATATAGGAATGGTAACACATTTCATTACAACCTTGTATAAAATTTAACTACATTATACAGCTGTTTAATCGTTCTAGGACTCGTCAGTGATACCATAGGACGAAATTGTTAAAACTTTGTGAGCTGATGAATGATAATAGAAACAAATTGTAAACTATTGAAAGGGAGTTGCTCGAAGCCAAAGATAAATTTTGTTTTCGGAAGTGATCCATCAATTGAAAAGGGTCATTAGCAAGTACGAGTGTATAAGATATTGTGAACCGTGCCACCATTCCCGAGAAATAAGATTTAGCATGCAGAAATACGACAAACTTCGGGGACTCAAGTCTCTCAACATTGTTTAAAAAAAAAGCATTATCACGAGATAGCAGAAAAGTCAACAGTGTATAAAGTAATATGACTAACACTAGTACACAACATACGAGAGCACATAATGGTTTAAATAGTGACTTAGAAACCATGGTAACATCTTATAACAACAGGCTCGTGGGTTGATTGTACTATAAAGACTACATATTGTATCAGCAGCAATGGTACTGAGATTAACTATAAAAATTAAATAAATTCTGGATTTCTTATTTTAGAATTTCATAGCAAAGAATGAAACTGGAGAGGAATATCCTTGTTGTATTCTTTGATTGTTTGATAACTTGGAAAAACAATGTCTTAGGATCGACAAATTTTAGCTGCATCCTAGTAGATAAATTTGAATGTGTGTTACTAAGGCAAATCATGATCGAAAATGATGTTACAAAGTAATACTCTTTGTATTCGTATCCCTGGCTTGTATGGTTTGTATTAAGGAAGGTGACATAGTCAAGTCTTCATCTCTACATCAGGCCGAAAAAGGGGGGCTACGTATATATACGAGATATCAGACCTCTGACCCAGGCAGGTGGGTTATTTGTAAATATGAACGAGATATCTGTAATTCAATCAGACCTCTGACCCGAGCAGGTGGGTTATTTGCAAATATGTACGGGTAACTCAATCATGCCTCTGACCCAAGCACCTGGGTTATTTGCAAATATGTACGAGAAATCTGTAATTTGATCATACGTCTGGCACGAGCAGGTGGGTTATTTGTAAATATGTACGAGCTTTCTGTTATTCAATCAGACCTCTGTCCCGAGCAAACAGGTGGGTTATTTTTAGATAAGTACGAGCTACCTGTAATTTCATCATATCTCTGGCACGAGCAGGTGGGGCTTTTTGTAAATATGTATAAGCTATCTGTTATTTAATCAGACCTCTGATCCCGGCAAGTGGGATATTGGTAAATATGTACTAGACATCAGTAATGTGATCAAACATTTGGCACGAGCAGGTGAGTTATTTGCAAATATGTACGAGATATCTGTAATTTGATTATATCTCTGACCCGAGCAGGTGGGTTATTGGTAAATATGATATATCTACGATCCGATCATACCTTTTTGTTTATGTTATCTACCATACCTTTTCGTTGTTGTCTTCTGCTTTCTGTAGTTCACTTATAAGCCACTGAAGCTGTCCATTTGGGTCCGTGGTATTGATAAGTAACCACCTGCAACGTCAGGAAAGAAGATGTGTTAACAGTATATCTACTCATACTTTTACGTCATATCAATTTGATAATATTGGATTACAGCATATTAAATAACTTAACAGCATATCGATGATGTACAGTCAGTATGTTGTATGTGTGTATGGTTACATCATATCAATTAATAGTATCAATGAAAAGTGTCAATACCAGTATGTTTCAGTGTTTTTGTTGTTATTTGCCATTTCTTCAGGATTGGTGTAGTAAGATATTTCTGTGTATTGACTTTTATAAAGTTGTTCCAACGATTTTTTGCTTTTCGATACTTACAAAATTACCTCACTGTACAGCACATATTACATTACGACACTGTCTTTTGCCGAGTTGGCATTAGGAATTTGTCTTTGTCCGGAAATAATTGCAACATGACATTGTCTTTATGGCAATATGGAATTATCTTTGTCAGGTAAAGATCGAATAATGAAACAGATTGAAATGATAACTTTGACATAGTTTAACCATAATTGCATCCCTACACTACCCGTCCGTCGTTAACCATTGTCTTTGTCTAGAAAAAATGTGCAATGTGGCGCTGTTTTTGTCTGGAACAAATTGTGATATGACGCTGTCTTTGTCCGAAACAAATTGTGATATGACGCTGTCTTTGTCCGAAACAAATTGTGATATGACGCTGTTTTTGTCCGGCAATGGTTTTATGACGACATCATGATTCTAAACAAATAAAATTTGTCATACGGCACAGACAACATCACGACTCGACACAGAAAAGATAACGACATTAAATATTAATGAATTAGGTTTTCTATAAATAAAAAAGTGAATAGTTCAACAAGATTGATTTAACATGAACGCATGGTTCATTGAGAACTTTTAAATTGCTAAATTTATTTTAAGGTTCCACTCTCATGTAAAGTGATTACGATGATATGTCATAAATACAAGGTCTGTGATATACATTGTGTTCATTATCTGTCAGGACAGCCTTGGAACACAGGATGAAGCTTCACTACGCCGGGTCGTTAGTGATTTTATCAGCACGTTTCTGCCTTGATAATACTATACTCGTTTAGGCCACGTTTTTCATGGATCCCAAATGAAGGAAAGTCGTTTTCAAATGTCAGCGTCTCTGACATATTATCAATTACACACAAAATACAACGCTTCACTTTCTCTGCATTTGTCACGAAATAGCTGTCATTGACCAATTATCTATATCTCGAAGGTACTGTTTATCGTTCTACAATAATCGCTGTCCACTGCTCAACCGTATACATTTCCAATTAGTCACCGTGATTCCTGTTTCGGATGCAGCTCCATCCATAATCAGTATGTCAAACAATAAATTTAGCTGCGGAACATTCTTATTCTACACGTATATCTTCTATAGACTTGAAATGGTAACTCGTTACATTTTTCAAAAGGCTAAAATGGCTTTCGTGTTCTTCTTCAACACATTCATTATTAACCCGATAACGCAACGAACATCAGTTTGTGTAAGATATTGATATACATTAAACACGTTTCGTGGTTTACAAAACCTTTTAATACATAAAAAACACAACATAATCTAATTTATCAAACTAAAGGCCGTATACTAAGTATTCAAACTGAGCTGAGGAATTATTTTGCTCCTTTGATGACGTTTTCAATTCAAAATCAAATTTATCTGGGTTTCAAAAAAACTCGTGTTTGCTATCGATTAGAATATTCGAAATTGTGTCGCCACAACGAAAATTGCTTCACATTTATACATAGTCGGTGTAAAATTCAATAAAAGTTAATTGATTGAAAGAAGTCACATCCTTAGGGAACGGACACATGGTCTTATCTTCCTCCAACTTATTTCAGGACTCTCCTTGTAAATCTTTGCTTTATTTTGCCCTTGTTACCTAGGATGTAAGATTCTGTAAACACATCTATATTTTCTTTGTTTAATATACAAAGATTCAAGCAACTTTCTAATGATTAATACCATCAAATTGAATGTTTTACTTACCAATTGCCATTGTTACAGAAGTTCATATTCAGCGATATGATTCTGAAACCAGGACTAGGGGAAACTGAATAAAAAGCACCTCTGTAAAAATAAATTGAATAATAAACTACATATAGGGTCATACACAGGTATATCTTACATAATAAAACTGTAAAATTACGTCTCGGAAACAAATCAATTGTCAGAATATTCAAACAATATCTGAAAAGTGAAGTCATCTTAAAAAGTATTAATTTTTACATCAAAAAATATCTTGCAGCAAATTAACATCAGTACATGTTATAGGAGAGTAATTCCATTACAGAAACGGATAATATGGCCCAAACTATTGCATGGAAAACCAATTTATTATTTTCCTTTCCGCCTGCTCAAAATTGACAAACCCATTTTTCAATCTTTACTTCTCAGTGAGAAATCTGAAATAAGGCAAAAATTCGTTTATTGATGACAATAGTGTCTGAACATCAGTTTCACAGCTTGGATATCTTTGAGGTTAATGAGGTGATGTTTAGAGCTAGTTTCAAGCATGTATGATCTGGCGAGATTTCTTCGGTAACTGTGATGATTTTAAACTTTAGTTACCTTAATGCCTTGGCGAGCAGTCACCGGTACTCATGTTGAAATTGACCCTAAGTTACCATTATGTATCTTGGTGAGCAGTATCCGGTACTCATGTTGAAATTGACCCTTAGTTACCGTAATGTATCTTGGCGAACAGTTTCCGGTACTTATGTTTTGTTTGACCCTTAGTTACCTTAAATATCCTGCCGAGCCGTCTTTGGTACTAATGTTTTGTTAGTTACCTAAATATATCTTGGCGAGCAGTCTTTGGTAACCATGTTGAGATTGACCCTTAGTTACCATAATATATCTTGGTGAGCAGTATCCGGTACTCATGTTGAAATTGACCCTTAGTTACCGTAATATATCTTGGTGAGCAGTATCCGGTACTCATGGTGAAATTGACCCTTAGTTACCGTAATATATCTTGACGAGCAGTCTCCGGTACCCATGTTGAGATTGCCCCTTATTTACCTTAATATATCCTGCCGAGCAGTCTTTGATACTAATGTTTTGTTAGTTACCTTAATATATCTTGGCGAGCAGTCTCCGGTACCTATGTTGAGATTGACCCTTAGTTACCTTAATATATCCTGCCGAGCAGTCTTTGATACTAATGTTTTGTTAGTTACCTTAATATATCCTGCCGCGCAGTCTTTGGTAACCAAGTTCCCCAGCTATCTGCCAGTGCCTCATATAGCCAGTTGATGGACTGGTTACCCGTAATAAAGTCTGGTGGGAAACTACAAATTAAAAGATTCTGATAAATAGTCTTAACCTTTGACCTTGTGAATCGAAGATTGTACAAAAGACACACAAATGAATAACGCCATTTAATACAAATCTAAAGCAAGATACAGTAAACCCAAGCAATGAAGAATACTGCATCATACAACTGTTAACTGATAAAAATAAAGTGAAAAATAACTGTGGTAAAGTATCTGTAGAGTCGTGGATTATACACAAATAACATGGACTTTTGTAAAGTTGTTATAACAAATAGCGACTAAGCAGAAAATGATTACATAAAGTTCGATGAGGGTAAACGTGTTTTATAAATTCCGGAGGATGGTGGAAGATATTTAAATAAGGCTAATGGTTATATGCTAGTGGGAAGTGCAGTGTAAACAACTAACCAATGTTCTGAAAGGTAACAGCACTGTGATGTAATGTAATAACCACATCAACAATCTGTGTAAACAGTCCTTTAGAATAACTAATTACAAGATACAATATTGGTGAAAGAATACATCACACCTATAAACATATACCACCATTAGTCACACAACTATTAACAAATTAATTGCACAAGTCCTCTCACTGGTTGTATCATTAACATTTCATACAACTTATAACTCCGTTATCATTAAAACCAATCATTAATACATTGATCACTAGAATCAATTCATTTGTTTAAACACTGGCCCAGTAAATACTAAAAAATAAATATTTCCTTTGGACATTAACTTAAAAGATACTAATATAGGTATATCATATTTTCTTGTAATGGTTACGATATCGATTAACTATCGATTAGATATCGTAATCACACCCTGACGTTGGTTACAACACTTCGATATCTGTTATAAACGTCAATACATACAACAACAAATACATACTGCAAAACATGTTTGATATTGATGGCTGATGTTTTCGCGGTTATACAAAAAAACTAAAAGCAAAACGGTCATCAAACGGACGATGGCTTTCTCTATTAATTTCAACTTCGTTTTGTACATATGAACAGAACCATGTAGTTGCCCATTTTGTAACTTTAGAAAGAGAAAGACATAAAACCGGAAAACTAAAAACCACGTTGATTAACAGGGACACTTCATACATTCATACTTGAATACTTTAATAACAATAAAGACAATTCAAATTCAATTAAACTAGGGCAAAAAAAAATAAAAAAAATAAAAAAAATAAACAAATAAATACCCCTGCAAAAGCACAAGGAAAATAAGACCAGGTGTTACAGGGAATCAGCATCTTTTGTTTCATCGACGATATCCTTCTTACCACATGTTTGTGTTATAAAACTGATGGAATTTAAAAAATCCTTTTTGTGCTGAGCACAATCTTCTAGTCCCATGATAATATTACAGTTTCTGTAACCCAGTATGAAAAAAAATAACACTGACAGTATATGTGCCTCCATACACTTTTAAGTAGATATATGTTCTATATTATGGCTAAAAGCAATCGTGTGAATAGATGTGTCACACAATACTAAGCAGGATGTGCGGAAAATGATATAGCAGTGCTTCGTTTGTGTACCGAACAAAACAAACAACATCAAAATACATTTATTAACAACACTGACAAAAACAATGGATGCCTAGAACATTAATACTGATGTGTAACCATTCTAATGAAATATTCTTTTTGTGTTTGCTATAAAACAATTTATCTGGTTCAGTTATGTTCAAATAGTGTTTAATGCAGGAAGACATCCCTATCAGATTGCATGTTTGTGTTTCAGCTGTATTCGTGTCCGGAAATTCGAAACAAAGGAAATATTTGTATAATTGTATTAGATGTAGGCCCTAAGATGCTACTACATGTTGGCTGGCATGTTTAATTTGCTAATCAAAAGAACAGTTGGTCGAAATTAACACATGTGATTCATCAAAGTGATTCTACAAATCGATTTAAGGCAATTTCAGTGTTCGATTTCACAACTCACAAAACCATCCAATTACACCAAATTAATGAAATGCCCGTGTTTGTCCCTGGTCTGTGGCCGAGGTGACACACGGGGATGTAGGCCACACATCAATATCATTGTCAATCTTACATCAGCAGTCGAGGTCGACATTCTCGGATAACACTGCCGTAAACACAGGGATTGTTATTGGTAGTATAGATAGTCAACAAACATTACATAAACGTACGCAAAAATGTACAGGATTACAAACAACTCATTGAATTATCAAACCTCATTGAATTATCAAACCTCATTGTATTGTTAAACCTCATTGCAGAGGTAAAACTCATTTTCTTGTTTAATCTCATTGTATTGTAAAATTTCATTGTAATCTTAAATCTTACTGAATTGTTTAATATTGCTTAATTTCATTGTAATGTCAAATCCCATCATATTGTCTAATCTCACTGTTTTGTTAAATTAAATTGGATTGTTAATCTCATTGTTTTGTTAATTCCATTGTAATGTTTAATCTCAATGTATCGTTTGATATTGTTTAATATCATTGTATTTTTCAATATCATTATATTGTTAAATCTCATTGATTGTTAAAACTCATTGTATTGTGAAATTTCATTGTAATGATAAGTATCATTGTATTGTTAAATAATGTTTAATCCAATTGTATTGTTAAATTCCACAATATTGTTATATTGTTAAATCTCATTGTATTGTTAAAGTACAATCTAATTTAATGGTTTAATATCATTGATTGTTGAAATTTACTGCATTGTTAAATGTCATTGTATCGTTCAAGTTGAAGACCTTCCATATCTTAGATTGCGCTTACTTTTATTGTTCCTGTTTAAGAAAAATATTCATTGGTAATTCAACAGGATATATAGAAGGTTTAAAGCAAACGAAACTATACACAATAGATAGGAAAAGAAATTCACAGAACTGGAGGTACTGTATCAATTCTAAAAGACGTGCTCAAAAATGCATCCTTAGTCTCGCAAAAAATTTCACATTAGCTGTCTTATTAACAAAAACGTCATCAAATCACCAAAACATGTTCCTTGATCAAGAATCAAGAATATTAGCTAATCAACGAGTTCTATTTGATGTAAAAATTCGGAATAGTCATCACGCTTGTAGTACATTTTTTGTGTGTCCGTCCTCTCATACTATAGACCAATCGCCGAAGCCTGTACTAAGGAAACCTCTGCCACTCCTGGATCAATGAGCAGTTCGTGCTTTTCCAATTGTTTGGAATTCTGGTTCTCATGAAATCACTCAAATATGTTACTTGATCAAGAATCAAGTATATTAACTATTCAACGAGTTCTGTCGAACAAATGTAATGACTTTTTATCCGAGATATTCCCACACATGTTCGATTGGATTAATGTCGTTTGATAATGAAGGCCATGGGATCGTTTTATCACCTCTTGTTGAAGAAAGACTAGCACTAAGAGGGCTCTGTGTGGCTTGCCATTGTCATCCATTAGGACAGAATGATCTGCCAATGCATGGGCATCACAATACGGAACAACTAATGGTCGGAGTTTGGATATAAAAGTGTATTCCTGGTCTCCAAACACGAACCTTACAGTAAAAGTAAAGACAACAGTGGTCTCTTCGCCAAGACCTAAATTTTCAGTTTTAGTAATCACGTGCTCGTTGAAGTTTTGCGTTCCAGTCAACAAAAAGGACATTTTTCTGGTCGGCGACATCGTAGTTACCTTTTGTTCAAAGGTCTGTTGGCGGTGTGTTGACGGTACGCCGGCTGACGCAAATATTGACGCTCCAGTGTCCTCTAAGCCTGTTGGCGCAAGTGAATCGGGCTATCTTCGTCTATCTAAAAAGATGTCTATCGTCTCTGTTTGTAGTCATTCGATATATACCAGACGCTCGTCAACATGCCCAGTCTGACATCAAAACGTGCAGTTACTTGCCGCCTGTATATCATACTATCTTGAACTGTTCCAGAAGCTTGACATCTTTCAGCATTTGTCAATTTTCGACTTGTCGTTTTAAAGTACAATATGAGCACGTGAAGGAGTAACCAGCAATACACGTGCATCCGCTACTTAAGTGATAAATCAAACTTGTGTTTTGTTAGAGTACGGGGTATCCCAGTTTAATCCGGAATGCCATTAAGTTGGTAAATTGGGTGTATCGCTTGGTGGCATACTGCACCGAGCACAAAAGCAGACATTTCATGGAGTACGACAAGGTCTATTTTTACAAAGGGCTAAATTTGTTTTTATTGAAATTGTCATAGTGCAAATTATGATCCCTAACTTCTAGCCAAGTGTAAGTATTGATGTCTTACCGGTATTTTGATGTTGTGTAGGTTATTCCGTTCTAAAAACGTTATAACCGCGTTCAGTTCAGGACCAAAAACAAATGTTTCAATTACACACACGAGTACATGGAATAAGATTTCAAACGCGAAAAGATAAGCACAAAGCATTTTTCTACAGATAGTTGGAAAGAGGAATGTATCCATATCTATATATCTATTCGCCTACATTAATCAGTTACCGCTCCGCTCGTCTGATCAGTATTGTCTGGATTGTCAAATCTATTTGACGTCAACTTTAAGTAACGGTATATGCGTGCCCGGTACTATTTCTGGTCGAGCGATGTTTTTTCTTACACATAATATCAGATATCAGCATCAAAACAAACATTTGAAAGTGAATCTTTATTTAATAACACTTGTATACACCTTGTAATTCAATAATTTATTATACGCATCGGAAAGTTTAGAAAGTTTATCTTATGAAAAATCTGAAACAGAATATCGGATAACCCGCTGTGTAACAAATTAGTCATAAATTGACAAATCCAAACGTTCATATTTCACGAGAAATTAATCATTATCGTCCGATTTAAGTTTATTTTCACAGCGGAAATGATGATATAGTGGAAACGATGACAATTAACTGTGTTCACATTGACGAATTGTGTATTGCTAACACAATTTTGGACCAATTTTATGCCAAATCTGGTTTCTGTTAATAACAAACAGACATATGATATCACAGTTAAGAGATTTGTCCTTGGAACAAACACGGCAAATCGTGTGCATGCTACAGTCTATACCACGTCTTGGATGTCAACGACAATGAACACAAATAAACGTGCTAGAACTAGACAGTTCTTTCCAATTCAGACATGCAAACTAGATTTCCAGAAAAGTTGATAGACAATTGAATGATGCCCATCTTCAAACTTCAGTCTGGAGATAACGACAAGTTGTGAGTTCATTTCGATTCAATTCAGTTACTGACGCTGGAATTTTCGACACAAGATTACTTGTACTGCAATAATATATAACATAATACCGGATGACGCAAATCCAGGGACGAGTTATTAAACAGCAAGCCGGAGCTTAATACCTTCGAAATGAATTTTCTAAGAAGTCACATCTCCTAAGAATTGGTAGCACGCAATAATATCACCAGTGCGAATATAGATGGTATTTGTACATTGTACTCGGCATATAACGCATTCTCCGATTTTTGCTGATATTGCATAATCAAAACAAATGAGAAATCACTAATTATAGAGTAAACCTATAGGATAGGGCGGTCCTAGACATTTCCGTGACTCCTCAAAGCTACAACTTGGGACGTTTGGGCGATACGGGGAATAATACAACTAGATTACCTAGGCTATGATTGCAGGCGAATAAGATTGTTTCCATGATGTTTGGAATGAAGTCTCGTACAAATTAAGTAATCCATGTACAATTTGCCTGTGAATACTTTTCCTTCATGATGTCCCTAACATCCATTATCTTGTAACGTTGGCTGTCGCCGGAATGAAAAACTCAAAAAGACAAATAATACCCAGCAATGTACGTAGCCGTTACCAAATACATATTCCATTTATGTATTCACGTTAGAATTAATCATGTTATGCCCCATAAAACGCTTTCTCAGCCTCATAAAACGCTTTCTAAGCGAATACCTTTTTTTTGAATTGCACTATCGTCAACAAAATGATAGGAAAGGACAGACTTTCTTAGTGAATCAGATCGGTGTCTCCAACGCTACAATTATAACGTCACAAATTCAATAACTTCACCATCAAAAGCACGCTATTTACTGATTCCATATTTTGTGTTAGAAAGCCCGAAATTGTGTTCTATCAGTTAGAGCCAGTCGAAAATGTACATGTATTGGTGCCATCGCCAGTAATGTTTTCGTTCTGCTGTGACTTTTGTACTGTCTACATCAATTTGGGTTTCAAACACACTGAATTTGTCAAAAATTGTACAAAAGACACACACGTGAACAACACCTTTCCATGCAAATGTAGACATAAACACTGGAGCCAAATAATGAATTGAACTGCAGCATCCGACTGTTACGTCTTCTAGGACTCATCAGTGTTGTCTAGGGTATAACTTTTAAAATATAGGAGGCGACTTGGGAAAATCAAAATTGATAAAAAGGAAATTAAAAAACCCAAATTGGGAGGTGCAGAAGACTCAATATATTTTCAATATATTTCCAATTTTTCTGAAATTTCTGAAGAACGTCAACTACATGCTTATAACTACGCCACTGTGCAAGTGAAGAAAAATGGCATGCTGGTAGTATTTTTCTGATACCATACAATGCGACGCAACAAGATATTCCATCGTTTTGGTTACTAATGCTTTATAGTCTCACATTTAAAATAACAATTTTGAATAAAAAATTCTAAGTCTACTTGATTTATTGACCATTTTATGAGCAGCTAAACAACATGATGACCTATTTCATTCCATGACTCGCATTTCAGCATTTGTAGCATTAAGCGTTAACTGTAAGAATCTGTCAAGTTCTTACGAAACTTCGCGAACATTATATACGGAAAGCAAAACCATAAGAATGATCAAGCTTCTGGCTTCGTCGAGTTTGGTGGTAAGATATTCTAACAGACTATCGGCATATGGCTTTTAATCACGGGATACAAAGACCTTCCAAAGTCGTTTAATTTTACTTTCATATATTGGTGACGTCTTGTCTTTAAAACATCAAGGATATTATTGACCACGTCCATTGTATACACCCACCAGAATTGGAAATCAAGGACACAACAGACTTAACAACTATTCTCGATCTTTTCCTACGTATGGTAATCGTAATCATTTCAATATCCCTATTGTGAATTTTCCATTTCTGTATAGCAACATCCCTACGTCCCGAACCTATGGTGTTTTCATGTTGCAGTTGATTCGATATAAACGGGCTGCTCCCATTATCACAATTTTCGTGCAGGAGTCGCCAACTAACGAAAAAAAACTCGTGGTAGAATGTTTCATAGATTCAGATTGATTAAGTATGGGGAAATTTCACGGTCGTCATAATAATCTAATTGAAAAACATTCCGTTTTATTGTGCAATATGAAATTACACGCGTTTGATATTCGTTAGTTTTCGGTAACATTGCTGCTGTATACCTTGTTTCATTTTGAGAACGTGTCATTACTTACACGGATTGACCAAATTTTGCAATCGATGAGTCAGAAAGCGCTTACTCTTCCGGGAAACCTGGTCTTATTCTTCTTGTACTCTTTCAGGAGGCTCTGAGTAATTTTATCTTTTTTTCATATTTTGCGCTAGTTTTATTGAACTTGAGTTTGGATTATGGTATGTTGACATGTTGGTATTTTCTTGATTTTATTTTCATATAGATAAGACAATAAATGCTGACAAATGAGATTTCAGCATCTCTTGGTACAAAGACAAAACTCTTATTCACAATTAAAAGTTAAGTTGGTTTTTCCTCTTTCCTAGTTGCTTTATGTAAGTAATCTGAAAAAAACTTGTCCCGTTATAACATACCTGTTTACCGGGGCGCTTTCGTGGTTGCCAAGAGCGTTAAAGACAACTTTGTCGGGAAGGTACTTTTTAAACAACTTTGTGTAGGTCTGTAGGGAGGTAAGCTGATCCGTCCGGGACTGGTTCCATATGTTGTGTGGAGGTAGATCTCCCGTGAATATGACATAGTCAAACTGTAACCAAACATACAGATGTTATGTGGGGGTAGATCTCGAACTTTTCCCCATCAATTTTGGTTTTCCTCTGTCACCTGCCACTGACAATCCTAGCTAGTAGTATGGTGTATTTCAATTGATCATTTGACAATATATCTATCTATTTTTAAATGAAATATTAACTTTTTGTCCGTTGTACATTTTGAAACGCTGTAAATAAATACTATGAACGGAGACGTAATGTTTGGAAATGTACATTAATTACTCGGAACCATGATAGGTGCCATTGCTATGTGTACAGACTGACCTGGTCCTGTATGGAGCTGAGGTGAGAGAACAAACTGTCCAGCGTGATAAATGGAGTATCACACATGGCATGCGATCCCCACTGACCAGCTTTATCCTTTGCAGACGCTACAAAAGACAGACATACCAGTGAGAAACCTTGGCGGACGTTAAATAGACAGACATGCTAGTGAGAATCTAGGTAACAAATAGTGGGATACGTTTTTGGACGTTACAACAGACAGATATTCTAGTAAAGATTGTGAAAAAAACCTTGTCGGACGTAAAACAGACAGACATACCTATACAAAAATGAACGAAGAAATCAATACCGATATCAGCGTATTAGCCTGTGATTGGTCAGCTTTTTTCTGATGGAACCAATCAAATAACTTCGCTTGTGCATTCAGTTTTTTTCTATGACATGTTCCAGGCGTGAAAAGAGCAAAAGTAATCGTAACTTCTGGAGTATCGAGAATGAGATTTTTCTAGTTTGACTTTTGCACTGACTTTTGTTCTATGATTAAATATACTTAGAAACTGTTCCTTACGTGCTTTCCCGTCCTCTTTTCGGCAGCACAACGGTTCTCCGCAGTTTGTGTTTGACCCTGTCATGTACGCTGGGTCCAGATGAATATCCGTTAGATGGAGCATGCGGAGTGTTTGGGATCCGGGCTAGTTAGAGAAAGTGGTACCGATAAATATAATAATGAAGGCAAAGTTTAAATAAACTTTCATTATGTCAAAATAATCTCCAGTTCAAGTGTCAATCTTTGACTATCGATTCAATTTATAAGTGCAATAAGGGTCAAATGAGCTTGTCTATCCCAAAATATTTGCATATGCCCATCAGATAGGATATTTCAGACAGGTAGTCTCCACAGGAAACAGGGTGACGGAGAAGCTGTCTGACTACTGCACGGTGTACAGAAAGTCGTCACAGCTACTCCAGGTATAACAGCTCATTGCATGTCGATTATGACTTTTGTGACAATAATACCCATGAATCACTGAATAATTCGACTTCATTGGAAAATATTACGAGGAAAAAAAATCGATTGATTGATGGCAGAGACAAAATTCTTTTCAGTTGAAAACAATCCACAAACTATTGCAGAGACACAAATGCTATATTTGCCAAATGGAGGCTTATAGGTACGTCCGGATGTGTGTCCTCGCAAATAGTCAAAGTCATCAGAAAATGTCCACAAGCCATGAAGACCAGTAAATGACCACTTTTTAGTTTCCTAACAGAAGTCTTTAATTAACTTGTGGATCCAATACAGGAGAAGGTAGCACATATTGTACTCTGGAGATGGGTATTGGTGAGAGGGACAGTAAGTCTGGAACATTGTCCTTTTGGCAATACAACAGAGGATTAAGGGTGACATGTTTAAAATGTGGTTAACTTTACCTTCGGTGGTTTTGGTGGGGTCACAGGCGGTTTCGGAGTGTTAGGTAAAGTCACATTCCACATAACGTTTGGATCCTCAGGTGTTCCACAATTAGTACCGAGGAGAATTCCACAAGCTTGTGGTGGACTGAGGGACAGCCTCTCTGCCACCCCAAACAATTCATCCTAGTAAGAAACAAGTCATACATATGGTAGATCATTAAAACGTTGAAGCAACAATATGTTTTCATATTTATGGCGATCTATGCTGTTTTTAAACAGCTCTTGTAAACTTTAAGTATACAGTGAGCATTTGGGATCTACCTTTGACCTCTCCCCACCTTCCTATCACAGAGGTCACAAACCTTACTATATACAACAATAGTGATGTCATTGTTTCAGTCATATTTTCCTTCATATTCGTTTTGTTGCCGTTTTTTTTATAACTACGCGTCGTTAAAATGATATAATATTTAAGTGTTCTACATTCTTAACCCCCGATCGAGGTATAACTATGTTATTTAAGTAAAAACTACCAGAGGACCACTGATAAGATGGTGACGCCATATAACCATCACGTGACACTACACGCGCAGTTCAACCTCTCGGTATTTCTCACAAAAAGAATGATTAGCAGTCTTGTAGTAAAATGATAAAATATTTAAGTGTTCTACGTCCTTAACCCCCGATCGAGGTATAACTATGTTATTTAAGTAAAAACTACCAGAGGACCACTGATAAGATGGTGACGCCATATAACCATCACGTGACACTACACGCGCAGTTCAACCTCTCGGTATTTCTCACAAAAAGAATGATTAACAGTCTTGTAGTAAAATGATAAAATATTTAAGTGTTCTACATCCTTAACCCCCGATCGAGGTATAACTATGTTATTTAAGTAAAAACTACCAGAGGACCACTGATAAGATGGTGACGCCATATAACCATCACGTGACACTACACGCGCAGTTCAACCTCTCGGTATTTCTCACAAAAAGAATGATTAACAGTCTTGTAGTACAGTATTCTACTGTCAGTTGTGATTCTGATTGATTTTACCGCAATATGGCGCGAATTTATAGTGCAGCTGAATTATTAATATCTCCGGTCTAGATTCTCCGGCCAACTCAAGGCAATTGTTTAAGATGGTTTTGATCCAATACATATATAAAAAAAGTTACCTGCATCGTGACTGCAGTTATCCGATAGTATGTGTAGAATCCACAATGGATTAGAATTGGTATTCTTGTTTTTATATCTATTTTAATGAGACATTTACAATACAACTCAGAAAAACCTGCCAGTAAAATAGCGCTCATCTTACGATCATGTTCACAACACTATAATAGCGATGGGGCTATCGACAGAGTCTTGAAATTAAAAATGTCTTCATGTAATCAAATGGCATTTATAGACATATGAATGATGCAGATTTGCATACCGAAGATATAGATAAGGCAAGCATTATGCTTTACGGCATATTGATATCGCTTACACGTCTTGTTGTGTCATATACAGGTAAAATGAGTATTTATCCTGAAGAGTGTCAGATTTCCTAATTTTGACACCAATCCGTAACGATTTTAGGGTAGCGAAAAAAGAACGCTTTTTGTTTATTTTTTATTTCAGTATCGATGACGGTGATGTCTGCCTTAACCAGTGTAATATGACCGGGTTTTATACTACTGTGTCCAGGATGTAAAACATCTGGCACGTGAAACCCTATCATCGTACGACCTTCAATAACCTAAATTATGACAGGTCTTACTGACCCAGTCACATTCTAAAGAAGGATTCGCTACTTTCAATAAAAAATATAAACGGTCGTTTACTTTTCTGTAACTTACCGTTATCGATCGAGTCAGAATTTTTAGGGTCAACAACTCTATTAAATCATGTTCTTTAAATATTCATTTTATGATAAAAAAAATGATTGCCAAATATCACAAGTCATCAAAACAAAACAAAAAACATAACAGGATATCATGTATTCTAAACTAATCTTTAAACATTTGCTTCATTTTATCTAAATCGTATCACCTTTGATTCTCAGTATCACAATAAAACATTAACAGATTTTAAGATTGTTGACCTTGATGCTTGGTTATAACGCTATCTCCGATCAACTTTGCTTTGTACTACAGTCCGAACTTTAACCAGTTAGAAGATATAAATACTCTTGTCATTGTGACTGGTGATCATACTATTTGTTGTTTGTTTCTGATAAGTACACTTCGTTATGTTATGAAAAGTGTGTCGGAGCAATAAACCCGACTTATGACTCGGTGACATCAATACTGATTTTGTAATTTCACATACGATTCTGATCCACTCGTTTCACACTGTTGGATAAAAGATCTAAAATTTGACTTTAACCTTTGACCTTACCACTTTGATATTTCAGACAAGGTACTTTCGCCTCTCACTCACTTACGATATATATTACTTTTACACGTTTTACCCTCCCACTTCATCAGATCCCATCTTCGACCCCTCGAGTTGCCATTATTATTTACATGAGATTTTATCTAAAATTACACGAATGACTCTTCCGTACCCTGCGTTTCCCTCTCTCGGTCAGATTCCCCCAGTATCCTGTGACAGCACCCTCCTCAACCCAGAACTGTCCCCTTTCATTCCTCGAACTTTCTTTTTTCATTCCTAGGAGATGTCCTCTTTATTTTCCTCGGGTCGTGTTCAGCTCTTCCCCCGCCGTCCTGCATTTCCCCAAAATATCCTCTTCCATTTCCCCGGGTCGTGTTCAGCTCTTCTCCTGCCCTCCCGCATTTCCCGAGGCGTCCACTTCCATTTCCCCGGGTCCTGTTCAGCTCTTCCCCCGCCGTCCCGCATTTGACGAGATGTCCTCTTCCATTTCCTCGGGTCGTGTTCAGCTCTTCCCCCGCCGTCCCGCATTTGACGAGATGTCCTCTTCCATTTCCCCGGGTCCTGTTCAGCTCTTCCCCCGCCGTCCCGCATTTGACGAGATGTCCTCTTCCATTTCCCCGGGTCCTGTTCAGCTCTTCCCCCGCCGTCCCGCATTTGACGAGATGTCCTCTTCCATTTCCCCGGGTCCTGTTCAGCTCTTCCCCCGCCGTCCCGCATTTGACGAGATGTCCTCTTCCATTTCCGCGGGTCGTGTTCAGCTCTTCTCCTGCCCTCCCGCAATTCCCGAGATGTCCTCTTCCATTTTCCTCGGGTCGTTTTCAGCTCTTCCCCCACCGTCCCGCATTTCCCGAGATGTCCTCTTCCATTTCCCCGGGTCGTGTTCAGCTCTTCCCCAGCCCTCCCGCATTTCCTGAGATGTCCTCTTCATTTTCCTTGGGTCGTGTTCAGCTCTTCCCCAGCCCTCCCGCATTTCCTGATATACCCACTGGCTTTCCCCAGCGCCGATCTCTCCCATTCCCCGAGATGCCCTCCTTCTTTCCTTCGAATTGTTTTCTCCCATTTCATTCGAGTTGTCAAGTCCCTTCCCTTGAGTTTTCCTTTCCCATTCCTCAAGTCTAGTCCTCTCTTCCATTTATCTGGCTGCCTTCTTCCATTTATCCGGGTTGTTCTTAGCTCTTCCCCCAGATGACCTCTCACTTTCCACGAAATGTCCTCTTTACTTTTCCCGTACTGTCGACTCACTTTTCCTCTCCCATTTCCCTGTTATCCTCTTCAATTCCCCGAGTTGCCCAACTCCTTTGAATTTCCCTCTCCCATTTCCTAGTTATCCTCTTCCATTCCTCCGAGTTTTCCAAATGCTTCGAGTTTCCCTCTCCCATTTCCCTACTCATCCTTTTCCATTCCCCGAGTTGCCCAAATCCTTCGGGTTTCCCTCTCCCATTTCTCTAGTTATCCTCTACCATTCCACCGAGTTGCTCAACTCCTTAGAGTTTCCCTCTCCCATTTCCCTAGTTATCCCTTTCCATTCCCCCGAGTTTCCCAACTCCTTCGAGTTTCCCAACTCCTTCGAGTTTCCCTCTCCCATTCCCTTGTTGTCCTCTCCTTTTACCCCGAGTTGATATCTCACCTTAAACTGTACCGTGATGCTGTTACAGACACGGCTATCCTCTATCTCAAATAGTTTACAGATCTCTGTGGCGAAGACGACCACGTCCTCCTGTGTGCTTTCCTTTCTGACGAGGTTCTGCAACCCTGAAACCACTACTTTACAGATGCTGCAGCCTATGGCACCGAAGTCCACCGTACCACACTTCGACATCATCCGTTTGTATTTGGGCACCTTTGTGGGGAGATACATGTTCTCCGAAACCGAGTGTGGCTTGTCTGTGGGAACTTCGATAACATGCCCAGTCTCCACACCATGTTTGTACCAATTATAGAGCCATGGAGCTCCAACTAGCGTCAAAAAAACACCACATAAGGAAACGATGAGAAGGATCTTACTCTCCATCACGGACATCGCGTGTATCGTATGATCATGTATGGAGGCCCTCGCGGGACACGTGTTCTGTCCTGACCTATAACAATTGTTGTATGTTTTTATCAACCTTGTAATAAACCTTATTCGTATATATATCCGCGTCCGTAAATTTATCTTACTACGAATAAATTGTGACTTTCTAACATCTATCGTTAAACCTAGGACAAGGAGGAGAGAAAACTCGGTCACGATAAAGAAACAGTATCATATTGTATATTTGTATGTCCTCGGAAGATAAAATGTACCTTACCTGTATCACCGCTTATCTGGGTAATTAACATTGTCATGTTATCTACTTCATACTATGAAATTTTCTGTTATTTTATCTATTTGTAAACATATATCTTGTTTTCAAATGAGTCAGAATCAAAACTAAGCCAAAACTAAGCCACACAACATGCTATCTGTGTGTTAATTATATATGTTATAACACAATTGTAGGTGCCGGTTTCCCGAATTGTTTATGGAGACATTGACCGCATACGTATCATCAGCGAGCTCACACTAACCCAGTGACCACATTGTTATCGTCATTGAGACCTTATAGTTTATCATAGTCATCAGAGAGAAAAAGAGTCGGTTCTAGACAGTAATTTGAACCTTCCGAACAAATCGATAGCCGAGTCCAAACTAAACTATATGAGCTGAAACCTAAGGTACCCGGGACGTCCGAACCAGACGAAAGACGTTTTAACCCAAGAAACCCGGGAAGCCCGAACTAAGTTATAGGCGTTCTATCCCAAGAAACCCGAGACGCCCGAACTAGGTTATAGGCGTTCTATCCCAAGAAACCCGAGACACCCGAACTAGGTTATAGGTGTTCTATCCAAAGAAACCCGAGACGCCCGAACTAGGTTATAGGCGTTCTATCCGAAGAAACCCGAGACGCCCGAACTAGGTTATAGGTGTTCTATCCAAAGAAACCCGAGACGCCCGAACTAGGTTATAGGCGTTCTATCCCAAGAAAACCGAGACACCCGAACTAGGTTATAGGCGTTCTGTCCCAAGAAACCCGAGACACCCGAACTAGGTTATAGGCGTTCTGTCCCAAGAAACCCGAGACGCCCGAACTAGGTTATAGGCGTTCTATCCGAAGAAACCCGAGACGCCCGAACTAGGTTATAGGTGTTCTATCCAAAGAAACCCGAGACGCCCGAACTAGGTTATAGGCGTTCTATCCCAAGAAAACCGAGACACCCGAACTAGGTTATAGGCGTTCTGTCCCAAGAAACCCGAGACACCCGAACTAGGTTATAGGCGTTCTATCCAAAGAAACCCGAGACGCCCGAACTAGGTTATAGGCGTTCTGTCCCAAGAAACCCGAGACGCCCGAACTAGGTTATAGGCGTTCTATCCAAAGAAACCCGAGACGCCCGAACTAGGTTATAGGCGTTCTGTCCCAAGAAACCCGAGACGCCCGAACTAGGTTATAGGCGTTCTAGCCGAAGAAACCGGAGACGCCCGAACTAGGTTATAGGCGTTCTGTCCCAAGAAACCCGAGACGCCCGAACTAGGTTATAGGCGTTCTAGCCGAAGAAACCTGAGACGCCCGAACTAGGTTATAGGCGTTCTATCCAAAGAAACCCGAGACGTCCGAACTAGGTTATAGGCGTTCTATTCGAAGAAACCCGAGACGCCCGAACTAGGTTATAGGCGTTCTATCCAAAGAAACCCGAGACGTCCGAACTAGGTTATAGGCGTTCTATCCGAAGAAACCCGAGACGCCCGAACTAGGTTATAGGCGTTCTATCCAAAGAAACCCGAGACGTCCGAACTAGGTTATAGGCGTTCTATCCGAAGAAACCCGAGACGCCCGAACTAGGTTATAGGCGTTCTAACAACAAATAATCCGGGACGTCCGAACTAAACTGGCATATGTTCTAAACAAGGATCCTGAGACATCCAGACAGCCAGAGATTGCACATGATATTAGAGCTACAGTAAAAGTGGATTGTTATCAAACCAGGGGATCAAAAAGAACTTGTTGTGAGAGTATCCTAACAATGCATGCGATCCCTTGTTTACAGTGCTGTCCTCACCTTCCCTCTAGGTGGAGCATTGATAATATCCAAACAGCTCATCCAACAGAGTATTTCTACTGGGAAAAAACATTTCTGTGTTACATTCCATGCGACTACAAATCACAAACGCTCGTGCGGGGCATCCCTTATATTGCATAATTAAAATACAACTATATCTGTTAATAAACTGAAAATATGAGGATATTTGAAACCAAACTCTCCGTTTTATAAATAAATGTATGCTTTTAGCTGTTTTTCCTACCGCAAATGTCATTCATGTTTGTGTTTTATTGTTAATTTATTGGATAAAAATATTGTCGATATAATATATGACAAGTACATGTCACCGTACACATACTTAAAGTCTCATGATTGTCAGTATGTCCGTCAGAGCGCGTGATCCACTTAGCTCGGTGTATTTATGTAGTGCAGGATTTTCCTGTACAGAAACATATATAGAACCGGAAACATCATAGTATAGTATTAAGATTTGTCTGTATTGCGGTGAACAATCAGATTTGTCGGTGTAACGTCAAAATCAATGGTTCAGGCATTTTTCCAAAATCAAATTCAGTGTGTAGGACAGGATATTTCTTCTATAATGAAAGACATAAAGGGGAGGGGGTATAATAAGTCAACATTTAGAATGTTTCCACCGAGGGGTTTTTCTTTGTGTATATTATGGATGTGCCACTGCAGAGGATGTGGTTTGTGAACATTTGTGGATGATCACCCCCAGGGGATATGGTTTGTGGATATTAGAGATGATCACCCCCAGGGGATATGGTTTGTGGATGATAGAGATGACCACCCCCAGGGGATATGGTTTGTGGATGTTAGAGATGATCACCCCCAGGGGATATGGTTTGTGGATATTAGAGATGATCACCCCCAGGGGATATGGTTTGTGGCTGTTAGAGATGATCACCCCCAGGGGATATGGTTTGTGGATATTAGAGATGATCACCCCACGGGGATATGGTTTGTGGCTGTTAGAGATGATCACCCCCAGGGGATATGGTTTGTGGATATTAGAGATGATCACCCCCAGGGGATATGGTTTGTGGATGATAGAGATGATCACCCCCAGGGGATATGGTTTGTGGCTGTTAGAGATGATCACCCCCAGGGGATATGGTTTGTGGATATTAGAGATGATCACCCCCAGGGGATATGGTTTGTGGATATTAGAGATGATCACCCCCAGGGGATATGGTTTGTGGCTGTTAGAGATGATCACCCCCAGGGGATATGGTTTGTGGATATTAGAGATGATCACCCCCAGGGGATATGGTTTGTGGCTGTTAGAGATGATCACCCCCAGGGGATATGTTTGTGGCTGTTAGAGATGATCACCCCCAGGGGATATGTTTGTGGCTGTTAGAGATGATCACCCCCAGGGGATATGGTTTGTGGATATTAGAGATGATCACCCCCAGGGGATATGGTTTGTGGCTGTTAGAGATGATCACCCCCAGGGGATATGGTTTGTGGCTGTTAGAGATGATCACCCCCAGGGGATATGGTTTGTGGATGATAGAGATGACCACCCCCAGGGGATATGGTTTGTGGATATTAGAGATGATCACCCCCAGGGGATATGGTTTGTGGCTGTTAGAGATGATCACCCCCAGGGGATATGGTTTGTGGATATTAGAGATGATCACCCCCAGGGGATATGGTTTGTGGATATTAGAGATGATCACCCCCAGGGGATATGGTTTGTTAGAGATGATCACCCCCAGGGGATATGGTTTGTGGCTGTTAGAGATGATCACCCCCAGGGGATATGGTTTGTGGCTGTTAGAGATGATCACCCCCAGGGGATATGGTTTGTGGATGATAGAGATGACCACCCCCAGGGGATATGTTTGTGGCTGTTAGAGATGATCACCCCCAGGGGGCATGGTTTGTGGCTGTTAGAGATGATCACCCCCAGGGGATATGGTTTGTGGACATTAGAGATGATCACCCCAGGGCATATGGTTAGTAGAATATAAGGTACTTCGCTGTAGGGGATATATTTTGGACTATAGGCTGTTCCACTGCAGGATTCATGGTTTTTGGACTATATGGTGCACCACTGCCGGAAATATAGTTAATAGACATTAGGGATGCTCCATCCCAGGGAAAATGATTTATGCACATTAAGTTGTTCCACATGAGAGGATCCCAGCATGGAAGTAGGACATAGGAAGTTGGACGTGGAGCTTTGGGCTTGTTGATAAGTAGGACATGGGACGTTGGACGTGGGGCTTTGGGCTTGTTTATAAGTAGGACATGGGACGTTGGACGTGGGGCTGTGGGCTTGTTTATAAGTAGGACATGGGACGTTGGACGTGGGGCTGTGGGCTTGTTGATAAGTAGGACATGGGACGTTGGACGTGGGGCTTTGGGCTTGTTTATAAGTAGGACATGGGACGTTGGACGTGGGGCTTTGGGCTACGATCTGTTGACACTATGGTTAGTTGTCATTAGGGTTACTTCTTAGGAACTATTTACGTTTTTACTGTCGAATGAGCTTGTGTTATGTAAGGATATAGTATGCGGTAGTATATGTCACTCATAATAAAGGAAGTTTAGTAAATACAACAAATTCTGATAGGAAACAAATTTCTTCTGTAACTATTCGTCTGTATTAGATACTAGACGTTAACAATAGTTATGATCAATGATGAAATGGTGATTGTTTGTCCGTGTGTGATGGTAACAAAGGAATAATGGATCTCATCAGCTCAATATTTATCTATACAGGTATTTGCAACCAGAATTCACCTATTTCCATGTATCAGTTTTAGAATATAGTTTATCGAATAAAATATAATCTGTTGCCGATTGGCTTTGTGTGAAGCTGTCATATAAGAGAATGTAAGCGACCATCGGTATATGGAATCATGTGGAAAGGCAAATATAACTGAAATTTTTCATGAACGGATCCTAAAAAATTATTAAATGACCTTAAGAGTTCTTAAAAATATACATTCCATTAACTATCAAAAATCCCCTTTAAGATCTCATATTTAGATCCCTATTTCTATTTTTCATACGTCATAAAATGAGGCTGTTATATTATGGCCTTAGGTTTCATTTTTAACGGAGGACATACAGCAGAGTTAGGCTTCCTTTTTAACGGAGGTCATACAGTCACGTTAGGTTTCCTTGTTAACGGAGGTCATACAGTCGCGTTAGGTTTCCTTGTTAACGGAGGTCATACAGTCGCGTTAGGTTTCCTTTTTAACGGAGGTCATACTGTCGCGTTAGGTTTCCTTTTTAACGGAGGTCATACAGTCGCGTTAGGTTTCCTTTTTAACGGAGGTCATACTGTCGCGTTAGGTTTCCTTTTTAACGGAGGTCATATAGTCGCGTTAGGTTTCCTTTTTAACGGAGGTCATACTGTCGCGTTAGGTTTCATTTTTAACGGAGGTCATATAGTCGCGTTAGGTTTCCTTTTTAACGGAGGTCATACTGTCGCGTTAGGTTTCCTCTTTAACGGAGGTCATACATTCGCGTTATGTTTTCTTGTTAACGGAGGTCAAACACTCGCGTTAGGTTTCCTCTTTAACGGAGGTCATATAGTCGCGTTAGGTCTCCTTTTTAACGGAGGTCATACTGTCGCGTTAGGTTTCATTTTTAACGGAGGTCATATAGTCGCGTTAGGTTTCCTTTTTAACGGAGGTCATTCAGTCGCGTTATGCTTTCTTGTTAACGGAGGTCATACACTCGCGTTAGGTTTCCTTTTTAACGGAGGTCATACAGTCGCGTTATGCTTTCTTGTTAACGGAGGTCATACACTCGCGTTAGGTTTCCTTTTTAACGGAGGTCATAGAGTCGCGTTAGGTTTCCTTTTTAACTGAGGTCATACATTCGCGTTAGTTTTCCTCTTTAACGGAGGTCATACACTCGCGTAATGTTTTCTTGTTAACGGAGGTCATACACTCGCGTTAGGTTTCCTCTTTAACGGAGGTCATATAGTCGCGTTAGGTTTCCTTTTTAACGGATGTCATACAGTCGCGTTAGGTTTCCTTGTTAACGGAGGTCATACACTCGCGTTAGGTTTCTTCTTTAACGGAGGTCATATAGTCGCGTTAGGTTTCCTTTTTAACGGAGGTCATACAGTCGCGTTAGGTTTCCTTGTTAACGGAGGTCATACAGTCGCGTTATGTTTCCTTGTTAACGGAGGTCATACAGTCGCGTTAGGTTTCCTTTTTAACGGAGGTCATACAGTCGCGTTAGGTTTCCTTGTTAACGGAGGTCATACACTCGCGTTAGGTTTCCTTGTTAACGGAGGTCATACACTCGCGTTAGGTTTCCTTGTTAACGGAGGTCATATAGTCGCGTTAGGTTTCCTCTTTAACGGAGGTCATACACTCGCGTTAGGTTTCCTTGTTAACGGAGGTCATACAGTCACGTTATGTTTCCTTTTTAACTAAGGTCATATAGTCGCGTTAGGTTTCCTTGTTAACGGAGCTCATATAGTCGCGTTAGGTTTCCTCTTTAACGGAGGTTATACAGTCGCGTAAGGTTTCCCTGTTAACGGAGGTCATACAGTCGCGTTAGGCTTCCTTTTTTGTTAAATGTTATGCAATGGCCTCCTAAGGTTCTTTATTTCATGGTTAAATGCATTTTTGTTTAGCCCCCTCCTTACAATACCTGAAACTCCAGCGTAAAATATTGGGAAACATAACAACTATCGCAGATTAAGACATAACGAAGTGTTTCCATTTGATGTGTAAAGCTATGAAGAGTCGAAGAATGTTTTATTTTAACGGCTTTTTATTGTGCTTAAATGGAAAAAAACGCCTCAAGTTTCATAAATCACATTTCAAATGGAAACGAACTTAAGATCTTTTACATATAATGACTGATTTTCAAGCAAATGTTGCAAAAACAGACATTTCTTTGTTAAATATCAAGTAGTATATATATGTTGACGTCATTCCGTTATATAAAGTGAGCTATATATTACACGTTAAATACGCAAAAATATGACATGGATGTATTTACCGAATAACAGGACACTCGTGACTTATATGGTTGTTTATATAGACTCTTCTGAAGTTTAGCAATAAATTAGAAACAAGGAAAACGTTCAAGATAAATGATAAGGTAGTATTTTATCTTTTGAAAACGTAAATAAAACGGTTCAGAGTAAACTGGGGTTTATGTATCAACCTATACCTACACACTACATTCTCTGCTTTTAGGGAAAGATGGAGGAGAGTTCATAAGTTGCTAGAACTTGTCTCTGATCCATTTATCTGCTACTGATAATAAAATATGTTTAAATCAATCAATCAGGCAAGGGTAAAGTTATAGAATGTATATATCTTTAGTCACAATCAACGAACTCCATGTGATCAAATATTCAATAATGTTAAAGATACATTCAAGATCTATCCAAATTTCATTTCTTTATAAAACAATGCTTTTTGTGATCTACCGATTTTACTTCCACCCTCATCGCAAACAGCCCTCTTGAAATTTTGCAGCAGGAAGGGGCAGGTTAAGCTTTGCAAATAAATGCGTTCAAAATCAATGCATGCCCAGCATACCTTAGGAAATGACGTCAAGAAGGAGAAAATAAGAAGACACGTCTATTTTTAGTAACGCACTATTATCTCACTGGACTAGCGCACATGGTAGCGATCGGGGGAAGCCGTATGCGATGCTAGACGGTGTTGTGTATTCTAGGCCCGCGCTCTGTTAGCAGTGCGGTACCTATGTGTTCATTTAAATCCTTAGAAATCGACTGTGGTCTCAAACTCCATCAACATGGCGAAAGTGTTGGAAGGACTTTTGGGTACTCACGTTATTCGTGGACATGGGGACAAAGCGGAGAAAGTGAGTGTGAGCTCGCTTTCTGAAAGGAATTCCGTGGTTGGCCTGTATTTTTCTGCACAGTGGTGTTCCCCATGTAAGAGCTTCACACCAATACTTCTTGATTTTTATGAAAGTTGGAAATTGAAAAACGAGGATGTTAAATTTGAAATTGTGTTCGTGAGTTGGGACAAAGATGAGGTCAGATACACGGATTTTTTTTCATCAATGCCTTGGCTGGCACTTCCCTTTGACCCAGACAATCTAAATAAAAAGGTAAGCAACTATAAGTTAGCCATGTGTACACACAATTTACCTGTAGCCAGGTGTGTATGTGCCATACCTGTTATATAGATAACGTTACGTTTAGTATATATATGATGTGTGGCGTGAACATGTATTTCGGTTGCTCGCTCCGATACATGCATCAGTCTCGGCTGACATGTCGACACATTCCTGATACGGTCTCGGAATGTAGTCATCACATATAGTATAAATTAATAAAGGAAAGATGCAGGCCTGTAGTAATTTGGGTCTGTTCATTTTTTGTCCAATAAGGAGACATTTTCTGCACAATTAAACAACATCTGAAACCCAGTCCTGTTTATTTAGATTTTCGAGTTGAGAAAGTGTCATGATACGGTGTATGTCTTTTGTTGATCATGATATCATATCTGTTATATTTATATATTTATCACAATATCAGGCTGACATGTCTGTCACATTGTTATGCCTGGCTATTTCCTTAGTGTCATGAATTCTTGAAAATTATTAGGGTCATGATGTCATGTCTATTGTCTGTCACTATGTCTTGTTAATTGTTTGTCAATGTCATGATATCATGTCATTTGTCAATTAGAGTGTCATGTTAGTTGTCTTTCAATGCCATGATGTCATGTATATTGTATTTCACTATGTCATGTTACCATTATTTTCTGCCTGTCATGATGTCATGTCATTTGTCAATTAGAGTGTCATGTTAGTTGTCTTTCAATGCCATGATGTCATGTATATTGTATTTCACTATGTCATGTTACTGTAATTGTCTGTCTGTCATGATGTCATGTCTATTGTCTATCATGGTGTCATGTTCGTTGTCTGTCTGTCATGATGTGATGTATATTGTCTCATGGTGTCATGTTCATTGTCTGTCTGTCATGTCTGTTGTCTATCATGGTGTTATATTAATCGTCTGTCTGTCATGACGTCGTGTATATTGTCTATCATGGTGCCATATTAATTGTCTGTCTGTCATGATGTCATGTCTATTGTCTATAATGGTGTCATGTTCTTTGTCTGTCTGTCATGATGTGATGTCTGTTGTCTATCATGGTGCCATATTAATTGTCTGTCTGTCATGATGTCATGTCTATTGTCTATAATGGTGTCATGTTCTTTGTCTGTCTGTCATGATGTGATGTCTGTTGTCTATCATGGTGCCATATTAATTGTCTGTCTGTCATGATGTCATGTCTATTGTCTATAATGGTGTCATGTTCATTGTCTGTCTGTCATGATGTGATGTATATTGTCTCATGGTGTCATGTTCATTGTCTGTCTGTCATGTCTGTTGTCTATCATGGTGTTATATTAATCGTCTGTCTGTCATGACGTCGTGTATATTGTCTATCATGGTGCCATATTAATTGTCTGTCTGTCATGATGTCATGTCTATTGTCTATAATGGTGTCATGTTCTTTGTCTGTCTGTCATGATGTGATGTCTGTTGTCTATCATGGTGCCATATTAATTGTCTGTCTGTCATGATGTCATGTCTATTGTCTATAATGGTGTCATGTTCATTGTCTGTCTGTCATGATGTGATGTATATTGTCTCATGGTGTCATGTTCATTGTCTGTCTGTCATGTCTGTTGTCTATCATGGTGTTATATTAATCGTCTGTCTGTCATGACGTCATGTATATTGTCTATCATGGTGCCATATTAATTGTCTGTCTGTCATGATGTCATGTATATTGTCTATCATGGTGCCATGTTAATTGTCTGTCTGTCATGATGTCATGTCTATTGTCTATCATAGTGTTATGTTTATTGTCCGTCAGTGTCACGATGTGATATCTACAGAATCTGACTACGGCATCCACAGTTGATGTCCCTGATAATGATACTATATCTTCAGAGCCTGGCTGTAGTGTCTACAGTTGATGTCACTGTGGTAGTGATAAATCTGTGGTAAATATCTACAGGACCTGGCTGTAGTGTCTACAGTTGATGTCACTGTGGTAGTGATAAATTTGTGGTATATATCTACAGGACCTGGCTGTAGTGTCTACAGTTGATGGCCTTGTGGTAGTGATAAATCTGTGGTAAATATCTACAGGACCTGGCTGTAGTGTCTACAGTTGATGTCACTGTGGTAGTGATAAATTTGTGGTATATATCTACAGGACCTGGCTGTATTGTCTACAGTTGATGTCACTGTGGTAGTGATAAATCTGTGGTAAATGTCTACAGGACCTGGCTGTAGTGTCTACAGTTGATGTCACTGTGGTAGTGATAAATTTGTGGTATATATCTACAGGACCTGGCTGTAGTGTCTACAGTTGATGTCTCTGTGGTAATGATAAATCTGTGGTAAATATCTACAGAACTTGGTTATGAGTGTCCACAGTTGATGTGTATAAAACCATACCCTGTGTAGACAGCCAACAGTGATTACCAGCCTTAGAAGAAAATTTACTGCCCCTGGTTAAGAGTCTAGTTTTTTGCTTCCCCCTTAGCCCCTTCCTTAAAACTCTCCAGTTACCTTAATACATAACACAGAAGAAAGCAGGGCATCTCTTCTAAAATTGAAGTGAATGTGTTTTTAATTTGTTTACTACAGTATTATTTAATTACTTTCATACATGTCTGCATTTTTTCTGTCTGTGAAGGACTTCCGACTGCTTACAAGATTTCTGCTAGATTCTGTCTACATGTCGGGCTTGTCCAGTGATGGAGAATATGGCTTGACACCGAATTATTAACCAGAATTATTAACCATCGTGTGTTCCATACAAAACATGACAGTTTATCTTCATTATACAGACATATATTTTGATAGATGTCACTCTCTTTTACATGGAAATGGTGCTGGAATTATAAAAATTATGGCTGTTTAATTCAAATTTTTTCATAAGTTTTTTCACTAGGAAATATTAATGTTACTATTTTAAAGACTTGAAGGCTTCCTGAGAAGATTACTTCATTCATATATGTTTAAGGTATTCACATCAGATAACAAATTTTCTATTGTTTAATTAGGTTAGGCCGGCTCTTTAGATCTTCAATGAAAACTTTTGAGTGTTTTATAAAAATTTTCTTTTACGGCACACAAAAATGAAAACAGTTTTTCAGGAAGTAATAAACTCAGTGTGAGAAGTACTTAAAAAAAAAATTGTGAATGTTAAATTTAGTGGAACAGCTGTGTGTTTCCTCAGCATAATAATAACTTAAATCCATCAGCTCCTAAACAACACTGTTGTGATTAATGGGGGATGATTAAAAAACACTATATATAACATTATGTGTAAGGCCATTGTCCCCACTGGCTTATTTTTACAGGTAATAAGCAGCAGTGTTCTACCTGGGGTTTTTTAATTCACTAATTTACAATAATTAATTGTGGCCTCAGTTTTCGTAATGTTTGGATCCGGAGCAGTCAGTCAATGCTAGGAGTATGGGATGGGTAATACACACGCAATACCTTGCTCCTCAAATTCTCTCTCAGGAGAATTACATGCCATATGTTATGTGAATGTTATAAGAAAGTGGCATTACCAGTAGTTGAGAGAGGAAGTGATCACACTGTGCTGAAACTGAGCTGATTCACATATAATGTTTATGTGAGCAAGACAATAAATGTTCCGTTTACGAATCCTGAAATTTGGCTGAAGTTAGATCTTTTCAATATTACATAAATATTTGATGTTTTAATATAAGATATATATTTATTACATGATTGCCTTGTTATACAGTGAAAATGCCCATATGGTGTGTTTAAACTTTACAGTCCTTGGTTCTAAAAATTTGGAAGTGCCAGGTCTTTAAGTTGAAGAAGCACCAGGAAAAACGCTTGTTAAACACAAATACAATCTCCTGCAGAGAAAGTAGATTGACATATGGTGTGGAAATGTAAATTGTTAATCCTGGGCTCTGTTTTGGAGTATTATGCAGGTCTTTCTTCCTGGAGTTGTATATATTGTGTAATGTACTGTAAGCCATGTGGCTAGTGACAATTAGTAGATGAGGGAGTCAGTGTATTTAGAATGGATCCTTAGCTGCAGATGGAGTACCTGGCCTTTTGACAGTTATTACTGTATAGTAGCAATGATAATGTTCCATGTTTCTGGTAAAAATCATCTCAGTGTCACATCTGCTCCAACACTTGAGCAAGGGTCACATATTTACTAAGAGGAGAAAAGATGTCCAACAGAATTACAGATCTTATTTGTTGTATTGTGTAGAAACTAATTACGGTAGAACCATCAATAGTTTAGTCATGGTGAATAGGATCGCTATGTAGTTGGTTAACCCTAGAACATCAGGTCTAAAGACATGTATACTTAAGTCTCAGTTCTCTGAACACATGCAATTATTACCCTCTGTGAAAAATCACATGCAATTTAGTCATTTTTACTTCCTTCATTGTGAAGAGCTCTTGAGACTCTGTTTTCACATATGGAACATCTGTGCCAGATCATTTTTGTCACCTTCAATGGTACCCAAAATATCTTTCTTGTAGATGTTTTATATTTGTATGTATATAAAGAATTCATGAGTTTATACAGTGTTGTTAACGATACAATTGTAGCGGAACTGGACTAGGTGATTGTCGGTGACCAGGAGGCCTAATTTGTAGAACGTTTGCTAAGAGTTCAAAGGTTTCTGGATTTCGAACCCTAGTCTGCCTGTGCATTTTGCCAACCCTATTGTATATGGTGTCTATATGGCCAACCCTTGTTTCAAGTAGGCAAATTCTTTTACTTGACAAGAAGATACGAGAACAAGGGCTGTAAATAGTTGTGTTTTATTGTGCTAAGATTAAGGATTAGCATAATTGGTAGAGTGGCCTTATATAGTTCGGAGGATTTAACCCTGGTCTGGCCATACGTTTCCCACTCTTTTTATATCATATTATAATTTCATTTGCAAGTGCATTCTGTATTACAATTTTTTATAAATTCCATAAATATGTGATTGGAATTTTGGAATGAATTAAATTTTTCAAACTTTCAAATTTTTCAGAGTGGTTAGTGTTGAATTCACCCTATAGT